TTTATTACTAACTTATCTCTATCGAAAGAGAATTAAGTAATAAACCTCCTAGTAATTACTAATAGATTAATAAAAGAGGTTATTTTAGTTAGAATAGTTAAAATAACGGCTAAATAGATAGCTAAAGCCTTCTTAATATATTTCTATATATACTATAGCCTATTACTAGTAATTACTAGTAACTATAGACTATAATTCGTTAGTAGATTTTAGGAAGTTATATATAAGAAGCTATCGATTCGATGCTAACTCTCTACTACTTTCTATCTATAGATAGATAGATTTACTAAGCGTACGAACTAAGAAGTTAAAAGGATCTTAAAAGTATTTATATCTTATATATAAGATAATTAGTTAGAACTATTACTAGTTATAGTAATAGCGATTAATAACTAAGATACTATATCTATAGGAATATTACTATTCTTCTTTATATATAGCTACTATATTAATTCTATCGGTATTAAGGAAGGTAATCTACCTATACTTAGTAGAACTAGCCCTTAATAAGTAGATAAAGCGTTTATAAAATATCTCCGGGATATAACCGACTAGGTATAAGCTACTATTATAACTATATAGGATAAGTAAGAAGAGAACGCTAATCGGTCCTACTAGATAGTACTAGCCTATCGGGTAGGAGATAAAGTATAGTTAAACCTTAAGAATATTTAATCTTAATAGTACTTAAAGAAGCTTAACTAGTTATATAGAAGATATACTATATAGGAAGTACCGTCGCTATATACTATTCGGCTTAATATACTAACTAGTATATATCTAGTATTCTATATAGATTTTATATATCCTACTATATCGGACCTACTACTATTATAAATTATTAACGATTCGTAACCTCCTTCTTTAGTAATTAATAGTAAATTAGAGTACTAGATTAAAGAGATATTAGACTATAGGATATATAGTATAGGAAGAGGGACTAGAATAGAGATATTAGTAAAGTAGATAGACTACGTAGAGACTATATAGGAACCCCTAGATTCCGTTAAGGACTACGAGATACTTAATAAGTATAAGAAGCGTTTTAGGCCCGTCTTATCTACGAATTAGCTTCTAGTCGATAGGAATATCGATATCGCTATAACCGCCCTTAGGGTAAGGAGAGGGGTACTATAATAGGCCAGAGCCCGGTAGTAAACTATTAGCTATAGCCTTCCGAATTATATTAGTAGTTAATAGCGAAAGACTATCTTAGTATTCTTCTGCAGAATAATACTAGATCAGAAGGACAGACACCGCCTTTAGCAGAAAGGCCCCCGTATTATTCACTACCAAAGAGGGACCGTTTCTTTCCCTCCTTAAGATTATTATAAACAGTATATTAGCCTAGTATAATTAAGTTAATTCTACTACAGCCCTTTATATATATACTTAAATTAAGTTATAGTAGCGGTTCTAGCTAGTACTGTCGGAGCTATAGGAGATAGTAATAAGAAGGAGTAAGAAAGAAGAGGAAGGAGAACTCGAGGAAGTATATAGGAGGAAAACCTCTATCTCTCTTATAGTAGTCTCTATAGGCTATCTATTAGATAAGAATAAAGAAAACCTAGTCTTTATAGATCCGGTCTATCTACTAGGATCTAGTATTCCTAGAGGGAAGGATAGTTATAAGAAGACTCCCTTTATTAAAGTACCCTATTAGATTATCTATAGTTATCACGGGCCAGTGCCCGATATAGGTCACGTGCATCACGAGACCTTGGCATGTTGACGCGGAGAACGCGCGGAATAAACTTCCCCTCCTTAAGCTTTTTGTAAACAGCATGTTGGCCTAGTTAGATTGAATTAAGTCTTGCTTCAGCCCTTCACAATAGTCTAGTAATTATTAGGTAATCCGTAACCTACGATCTAGAATAGGCTATATAATAAGTAAGGCCCTCCTATAACTTCTAGGAAGCTAGGCTCCCGGGCCCTCCTACCTAGCCTCGGACCTCCCTATTATCCTATATATTCTAACCCGAAGGATTATAACCTCTATAGTAGCTCTGTTCTACCTCTTCGGGTAGCTAATCGATCGATTAATTAATAGAAGAGGGAGTTAAGAGTAATCCCCTCGAGAGTATAGAGAGGGAGGACTATAAGATAGATACTAGAGAAGGGACCGGTAGGGATCCCTAAGAATTAGTCTTTATACTAATTTAACTACTATAAGCTATCTCTTCCCTAATAATTAAGTCTAGCTATCTTACTAAAGTAGCTACCTTAATATTACTACTCTAATATAATTTATATTATAAGTATAAAAGTAGTTTAAGTTATACTTATTTAATATATAGGTAAAAGTTAAGAGTTAACTAGCGAGTCGGTTAACTAGTTCGAGAGCGAACTTAGAGAGCGGAGTTAGTTAGAGGAGTTAACTAGTTAGTTATCGCGAACTATATTAACTAGTAGATCGATTAGCTAGTTAATAGAGATCGACTTAGAGTATCGAGAAGGAGATTATATAACCGATATTTACGTTTATAAGATTAGATAGATATCTACGTATTATTAATAGTTAGAGCCTTACGCGTATATATATACTAGAGCCTAAGAATCATTTACTTTTCTCTTTACTTCTGTAGAGGAACCTTCTGTCTAGGACTTTCTAGGAGGATTCTACTACTTCCCCGTGGTCTGCCTACGATAAGTATTTAAGGTAGCACTTCGTCTTTCTTATTTCTTCCTTTCCTTTTTCCTCTTCGTCTTAGTTTCCTTATTATATAGGATATAGTTACTTTACCTTCTTTCTTCTATACGTAGGTTTATATAGCTATACTACCTAGGAGTCATAACTTCGACTCTTAAGGCTATCTACTAAAGAGATACTTTTACTTATTATAATAAACTAGGAAAGTAGGAGATAAAGAGATTCCTCTATTTAATTTAGATACTCGGATCTCTAACTATCGAAATTATATAAAGATAGCTATAGTATATTATTTAAGTAAAGCTACTTCGATAACTAGATATTAGCGACGCTAGGTATCTATAAAGAAGTTACTAGAGGAAGGTAACTACTTAGATCTAGTCGATCTATAGAAGTCTAAAGAGGAATTATTATTCGAGATCGAAGAACTCTTTAAATAATTAGAGCGTTAAAGGAAATCTAGTTATAAGAAGGGATTAAAAACTAAGTATAAGTAGATAGCTTATAAGCCTACAGAGTAAAAACTATTATCTAGTAGTAGAAATAAAGAGGCTCTTAGATATAAATATAATACTAACTTAAGTAATTCGAATGCTAGAATAAGAAATTAAGATCCTTTAGAAATTACTATTAATAGGGATTAATACTATAGACTAGCCTAGATCTACTTAGAGTACTAAAATATCTTCGGAGGAGAAGGAATAGTTCGATATAGAGAGTTAAGAACTAGACTAATATAGAGGCTTAAGAACGAGTAGATAATAAGTAAATATAGTTAATTAGCTTTTTAATAACTAAAGACTAGCGATACTAAAGGAGTCTATCCTCCCGAGTCTAAACTACGCCGGGCTCGGGCCCTAATAATATAATACTAATACTCACTACGTAATTTAGGGAGTAGGGTATAAAGTCTACCTAATATAGCAGATTAGCTAATAGTTATATAATTATTAGACTACGTAGCGATAACGCTCTGGACCTTCCTACTTACGATCTTAACTTTCTATTTAATTAATCAATCAATTCTGTTTTCTGGTTTCAAATTACTATTCTGAGTGCGTTAAGTTAAATATTTTATAGTTCTATTGTGAAGTAGAGTATAGCTTTTGTTTTGTGTTAGCCGAATCAAGAGGCTTTCGCCTCGTATCATAAAACCCCCGACCCAAACGCGGTGATGACTAAGACGCTTGCGTCGGGCGGGCGGCGGCTCGGCACTGCAGTGCCCTCCAGCTGTCGGGTCTCCCGAGTCCTAATAGTTAGGCGCCATTTCCTTAACTGCAATAATATCTGTTCTAGCGGCTGCCGCGTCAATCTTACTCATGGTCATGTGTCACTGCTGTATAAATGGAAGAGAATTCTCTCGATGAGGCTCGGCTATTTCTCTCAAGTCCACTTGAAATGGGCCGAGTTTATTACTTAGGTCGCCTAGATTATGACCTACCCCGCCATACTCTTAAAGCAGGGTGCTGAAAGACCAGTTCCTGTCTGGAAAGATTGGATTATATCAAGAAGCTCACGTAAGCATAGCAGGACACACAATTGCCATGTCGCTTCCGTGTCGACATGTCAGCTTACTGGTGCCTGGGACCTTCATTGCAGTATACATACTTCAAGGCAGAGTGTGCGACTGCCTCAATACATGAGCGATAACAATTCACCCTGTAAACCACCATGTCAACAAACGCAAATTCGAACCGTTAAATAGCTTGCTGTTAAACAAGGGATTTAGACCGCCACCAAATATAATTCTTAAATACTAGAATTGAACTTTCTTAGCTTCACGTCTCAGTGATTTGGTCGTTTGTGAATTTTGCCTTCCTAGGCGGACGAATAATTCACCCACATGTGCTTGGACCACAGAAGAAGCATCGGAGCTACCTTGCTTCAGCGGAATGTTACACAACCAAGCTGTATACTGCAGTCGCAATAGCTTTGTAGGCAGTGGGCACCTTTGATGGGTCTCCCTACTCAATGATATGTCTCAATCGAGACACTTCCATGCTAGGAGGAAGCATCAGCCCCAGCCCGCTTGGCTCCTAAGGGCCCCTTTGTCCCACTGAGATGCAGATCGCATTTGGTCAGGTTGAGTTTCACTCCCATGGAGCAGCATGCAGCCCACCCTCTAAAATATTTCAATAATGGAGTGATCTCCCATGCTCGACCGAGGAGAAGACTTCCGCCAAACTCAACGCATTGCCTCAAAAAACATGGACAACCAGGGGAGTAGGTTACCTGGCCTTATTAAGTCAATCCTGGTGAGTTCAGACTCCCCACGGTCTCGGCTTTTGCAACATAACATATCACACAGTGACACACACTAACAAGGGATTTACTTGAGCAAAAGGTAGCGATGGCCATTGCGGTCTCGTACCCCTATCTAGCCGGTCGCATCTCAGCCTTGTCCACTCTGACATCAAGCGCACTGAACAAGATCGGTGAAGAAAGGAGCTTCTCCAAGTATGAAGTGTTGTTTTATGACCAGATACGGAATTGCGAGGACGCGATATTGGTCGACGGCCACGGAGCCGCAATATTGAGCTGTGATGCCGGACGAGACCGGTGGAACACCGTCATGGGAACTTTCTATCAGAACCGAACAACGATCACACCTGGCAGGCTCTGGCTGTATCGATATGATGAGCAAATGCATTTTGGATCGTCGGGCCTTTACCCGATCAAATTTGAAGCGCTCCCGGACGAGTCCAAATTCCACCCTCTGGGCATCGAGTATCATGAGAACAGCTCGACTCTCTTCGTCATCAACCATCACTTGGATGGTTCGCGGATCGAAGTATTCGATCTGAACCTGAAGTCCCATGATCCAATCGCGAGACACAAAAGAACGCTCATTCATCCACAGCTCACCACACCAAATTCTCTTCGGGCTCTGAACGAGCATGAGCTCTTCGTGAGCAACGATCACTACTTCCAGGTCCGAATGAACCCCCTGCTGGCCAAAACCGAGACCTACGGTGCTCTTCCCTTGGGAGGCGTTGTGCATGTGCACATGCACAACGACGGATCGACTTCCGTCAGACCTCTCGCTAGAGTGCCATTCGCCAACGGCGTCGAGTTTCTCAATGCCTCCACGCTGGCAGTGGCGTCAACCAGCGCACGTGATGTTCGGCTATATAACATCAAGTCAGACCGTAGTCTTGAACTGGTTGAGACAATCTCTGTGTCTATGATGCCGGACAATCTATCAGTGGACAAAAAGGGTCGCCTGCTGATCACCGGCCACCCACATCTACCAGCTCTGGCTAGAATGATCTCGGATCGGACACGGTGCCTGGACCAGAATTCGGCTGATGAGAGTGCGTGCTACGACATGAGCGTCCCCAGCTGCGTGATGGAATGGACCGGAGAGAGTGGAATCAAGACTGTCTACAGAACGGCTGGCGAATTTAGTAGCAGTTCCACGGCCGTGAGGGATGTGGGATATGGAATTGGCTTGATCACGGGTCTTTACGAGAAGGGAATCTTGGTCTGGAAGGAATGAGTGGTACTGAACCCGACTGTATGGCTGGACTGATCTCTTCTCATATCAATTATGCCAGTATTTCTAACTACGACAATACGATGCCCTGAAACAGGAACGACATGGCTTTGATATAGAATGTGAACGAACTGACATGCGAAGCTTTTCATTCTAACTATGGCTTCAATGCAGGTCAGCCAGCAATGTCAATGGCATCAACTGCGCGATACTGCATTCTAAGCCTCTCTCACGGTAAAGCCAAACTTGTCCCCCCGATCCAGATATACAACCTTGTCTTGCAACCCAGCCATTTCAATCTCAGCCTTGAAATCCTTGAGCGGACTGGCAAACACATCATAGTCATCGTAATGAATGGGAATCGTCAAGTCTGGCTGGATCAGGCGGATCAGCTGCACACCCTGTTTCGCATCCATGGTGACCATCAAGGCAAGAGGTCCAAGGGACGGCGAGGGCACGGTTGTGCCTCCGAGATGTGCCAGCATCAGATCGATGCGCTCGTTACGGTAGAGTTCCGGAATCTTTTTCAATTCATCGACCAGCAGAGTGTCTCCGGTGATGTAGATTCTGTAGCCGCAGGTGAACTTTTCTGCGTCGTTGGGGTCAACCCCACCGAGTTCGACCATCCAGCCGTTTGTGGGTGGAATCTGAAGACAGCTTATTATCAGCTCGGAGTGCAAGACTGAGCATGGAAGTTTCACTGACAGCTTGAACTAGAGAGTTGAGACTGTCGACGATTGAATGACTCGGTACATGTTTTCCCGGCATACCCGTCACTCGGATCTGGTGGCGTCCCTGAGACTCGTTGCTGTTGATCTTCACGGCAGTCGATTCAAAGTGATCCAGTGCAGTGACATTGGTAAATGAGTCGGCAGATTTACCCGTCAGTTGCTTATGAGCATGGGGTGTTGTGATGATTGGAAGGTCGCGCCTCAGCGAAGCCTCGACTTTTTGGTCGAAGTGATCTCTACATTAGGTTAAATCAGCCCAACCCGTGGATGGCTCTCTTCTAAGGTAAGAAGGCAAGCCTTCAAAGTGCGAGGCTTTGAAAGGATACTCACCCATGATAGTGAGATAGCAAGACCAAGTCAATACGCGGTAGATGGTGAAGATCGACCGCCGGATTGGTTTGCCGGGTGGCAGACACTCCAGGACCGAGATGCACATGGTCGCCGGCGTGAAGGAAATTGGGCTTTCCACCATATGAGCATGATAGACCAGCATGATTCGACATCGGAAGTCGAGGCTCTAGAGCAGTGCCCGGGCAGTATACTAACATCAGTCATGATCCGCATTCCCATCCATTCGCTACTCTCGCAGACTTGTTAGCCCGAGCATTGCCTCGATTCTCAGACCTCGCTGTAGTCACTCACATTATTGTTGTTGCCGTTCCCACGAAGTAAATTGAAGCATTTTCGCCCCCGTTTGGCTGGGTTGGATGTAATCTGACTTCCTTCGGGGCAGGGAGCTCATCAGGTACTGTTGCTCCTGCAGGAAGATCGCGCGTCGCGGGGAGATCATTTCCTATGTTGATTGAAATATGTTGCATGGCTTCTGATTCTTCTGTTTCAAGTGTATCAAACCTTCCAGTCACAAGTAGGTCGCCCTTCGATATGTCTTTTACCTAGCTGATGGAAGTGAAAGTTGATCGAAATTCAGACGGTCGCCTGCCGGTCAGATTCCTGGACACACTTTATTTCGTTTACTCACTCGTTTTTATTGCCTTCCAATGACTAGGCTAGAGTGGTACTGCGGGGGGACTCAGCCCCTCCATCTTGCTGTCATTTCCAAGTTTATGCCGAAGCGTCTACGGTGTTTTGACAGAAAGAGGTTTAGTCTACGAGGATACCGATGGTTGCGCTCAGAGTGATGTAATAAGATCACGATAGCCCTCAAAGGAATAAATGCCATTCTGTCTACGGAAGTATTATGTTGTTGGAGTAATATGAACTCCACTTGGCCATCGGATGGGTAGTTAGTACTCGAATACGTAGAGGTAGAATTACACCGTGCCTTTTGTGGCATGTCAAGTAATATGGTCCGGTCTCTCTTGCGACCGAGAGGCTTCCATATAGAGCGGCGAGGCACCTTGGTGAATTTATGTGTTGAGTCACGGGCTGTCTGCCCGGCTCAGGTCGGTCACTCCATACGCCAATCTGGTCCTTGGGTAGTGTTTGCAGCATCAAGAAGTATTGATCAGTTCCATGTAAAATATATTCTAAAAGCAATAATAACTTTCATAGTAAAGCTCACACCAATTGAAATACGGTATACTCAAGAATTACAACCGATGCCACATTCTGACTGCTAAGAGTGGGTATTGTATGGTGTCGCAAATCAACTACCTGCTGATCAGCTCCACTAAATGAATAATATCCATCAAGTTATCCATTCCATCCGTCTTGGCGAGATTCCATTGATTCTTCACGCGTTGAAAATAGGGAAAATAATGCATGCTGCCAATTTCCTATGCAAAAGATGGATGGCATCAGGATTCACCAACTTGTCAGTTGACAGTGACACTGTGATTGTGTCATCGAATAACGGAATATGAGTGAATTCAAAGTCTGACTCGCGAAAGCATAAGGATTTGCACCTGTATGATTCGCATGTTCAGGAGGCATCTGAACTTGACTCTTGATGTGAGAGCACCTAACAAATATTATGATTGCAAACAGCGCGTTTTCATGTATAAACACCAAAGATGAGTACACTCTCGTCATTCCCTTGCCACGACACAAGTGATGACAGGGCCGAGGATGACAAGCCAGAATATAAAGGCACCTAATGCTATTTCTGCCAGGCAGAATTGCTCTGCAATCAGGTTAGCCCCAACACCGCCACACGAGACCCACAAAGACATAGCGTGGGCTAATGGTAATATCCGCCGTGTCCATCTGCAGGTACACACCCACTAGATTACCTACCTTCCACTTTTGAGATTAAGCCAGGCATATCAAGAATCTCCAACAGAAGGCTTGCTTCGCTTTCTAGGAAAAAATACTCTGCAGAAGATGAAGTTATCGAAGCTTCTGTAGTATGCTTTTATAAACCTGACTGCGAAAAATGTTGTTTGATAGCGAGACGCGCATCTCTCACTGACAGATGAGATCTGAACGACAAGCATCTTCAAGTATCTACTTCAAACTTCCACTAGAAGCTGTCTTCGACTATCTTCAACATCGCACGCGTCATGATGGAACGAAATTGTGTCTACAACACACACGTGTTCACGCTCACTCACCTTCCACACCTCTCACCTTCGCCTCTATAATAGATCACCTCTTGACAACTCTCAACTTCCCTTCTACAGCAGATCGCTTCCTCAGGGCTTCAATTGGCTCAACATGGATGAGTCTACTTATATAAGGCGCCAGCAGCACCTGGCAAATATCTATGCCCAACTCCAAACATGCGAAGAGTTCTACCTAGCTGCACATGAACTCCAAGCTGTGGGCATTTCGGCTTCTCCTGCCTCTGTGGCCGAGAATGGGGAGGTGATCTTCACACCCGGTTTCTTCAGAGCATACCCCTATGAAGTTCTCGCGGCTTATTCGATCGACGAGATTCACCAAAACATCACCTACTGCCCTCACATTATCTCTCCTCTGCGTGACGTGCCCAACCTCGACTCCCAGCTTCGAGCTCACGAGCACATCGTGGACCCCGAGGCCCGTTTGGAAGCAGCCAGACAAAGTCTCATCCTAAGATTGAGCGAGTACTGGCTGGAGTGGAATGTTGTGCGTCGTGTCCACAACCATGTCGACAGCCAGCTTGTGGCTTTTCGGCTGGGGCTACCAGACGGGTTCACGCTACTCCACCTTGGCTCCCTGCAGCGTGACTACATGGAGTATGTTGCATACCCCACTACAACAACGTCAACAGGTGTTCAAGTTGCTGACTCCCCCGCAGGAACATCATATCGGACAGTGACCCATCTCCCTTCTCGACAGGCGTCAACTTTATGCACTGGAAGATTGAGGACCTCCTCGATGACTCTTCTGAGCAGACAAATCCCCATGCCATCATCAGTGTGTTGACGGAAACGGACGCGAGCGCTGAGTCAGAGAGCCTCACTCTCCACGAAGTTCACGCGATCGTCACAATGATGATGATCCGCACTTCCCATGGACCCTGGGCCCGTGATGAGATTCAACCGGTAAGCTGAGACCACATCTAAACTAAGACATACGTACGGGATCGAACAGCATCAACTGACTTGAGTCCACCTCACAGCTTCTAGCCATCACCTACACAGGCGAGGGAAGTGTGAGAATCACGCAGGCATCCTGGCAAGGCGAGACCTTAGTCCTGCAGTTCTCACCACTGTGGGACTTACAGCATAGCGAGTCAGCACCGGTCGACTTGATCGTTCGCTATTATCTGAGTCAGTTGGGACCGGTGGACCCTGCGGCACAGAGAGGTCCAGACTTCAATGCCTTGGCGGAGCTTGCGTCGGGTCTGACTTTGGGGTTGACCTCGAGACCATCCGACGAACAGATGAATATGTCTTGATAGCGGGACCTGCAGAAGGCGCAAGGGAAGCGTTCTGGATTTTGTTTTCCCTTATGGTGTAAAGTTATTGGTGACTGCCAATCTCTTGCTATTTGCTCATATAGATAGGGAATACATGGAAGGACGAGCAAATTCCATACCCTTCATACCTACGAACATGGTACAGGTCCGAACCATCAAGATGGACAACGTTCCGCTGTATCTACCTTAGTAGCTGTCCACTTAAACGGTCTAAGCTGACGCCTCAAACAATCCATCGCGTATGACTTATATTCCGAATTAATCAAGCTGGATGGATTAGACAAGGTTTCCAAGTAAGGAAAGCAAATCCGAGACCCTCCAAAAGGTACGTACGACATACGCAAGTCTCATTATCAAAAAATTCGAGGTAATAAGCATCATCTATATGAGATAGGTATATACAAGCAGAAACGGTGCCGGTCCAGCGTACATAATAATGAGGACCGTAGAGGCATGTGTCGCAGAAGCAGAAAATATGGACAAAGTACACTTTAGAATGCAGATGAGAAAGCGAACACACCAGCCGAGATCATAAAGATCGTTGACAGATGGGCGCTTGAGAAAATTGAGAGTGCACTCGACACGAGTCCACAGCATTTACCGTTATAGGTCACATTGTTCATCTTGGCGGCAACTTCAAAGACAGATCCGGGGAAATTGCCCTCGTTGTAATAGTCAACAAGCAGGAAGTTAGGTGGGCGGTTCCACATTGCTATTTGAAAGAATTAGCGGGGAAATTTTTCGATGATCAGACAGTCCGATGTGCCATTGATATATGTATTGGAGAAGAGTGAACGTACCTGTGCAGTTGTCCGCCATGCGACCCAGACTGCCATACCCACTGACCGCATTGGTCTCGTTAATCACCGCAGTGTTGGGGATGAGAATGCTCAACGAGCCAAGGTTCAATTCCACGTTTAAGTTGTGGTTTGCCATGTACATGCGGTTCTTCGCATCCTTGGGCGCTAGGTCTGGCGGCCGCTGCTCTGTACAGGGGAACTGGCGGTCAGTGGGGGAGAATGGCGTCTCCCACATTTGTGAAAACTCGTCATTGAGCCATGGAATAGCAGTTTGATTGGCCTGGTAGTCCAAGAAGAAGACGACCCGCTTGTTCGCGAAGATCATGTCGGACAATGTCGGCCAGTCATGCAGTGCCATAGGGATCTTTGGAGATGTGTAAACCAAGTCCATGATGCCCGAATTCATAACCGGAGCGGTGTAATTTCCAGGGTCCACATAGTCACTGTTGACCATGAGGATTGTGACAACATCATACGGATGATCCCGAACCCACTGATTGACCGTCGTGAGGTACGATTCGAGTGTCCCAGCATTTAACAGATCACATGAAGTATGGCAGAGCATAATGGTGCCGTTGCGATAGTGGGATTCGAATTGTACTGCGGCCACATTAGTCATCGCGAACTAGCCAGCCGCCGAACCATGGATACCAAGTGTTCTTCAAGTGAACGCCTGGGGAGGCCACTTACACATGCGAATACCGTCATCCAGCTGTGTCGTCACCGGTAACATTTGATTTGAGGCAGCACTGCCCTTTCGAACAAATGGACTGTTATGAGCTGCAACCATGGTGATATTGGAGTAGCTGCGAGAGCAGTATTCAGGATGGCCGTTGCAGGGCCGTGTATTCTTCACCGGGGCTTGTGTCGCGGTCGCGGTCGCCGTGGCATTCATTGTGCTGTTGCCCGTGAGGGTCGTCGTGTGCCCGCCACCCACCAGTACCGTTAATGAGTCTGAGCTAGTGGTTGACACCGCAGTCTGATTGCCCGAGGTGAACGTCGCATTGCGGGCGGTTTGGGTTGACACCAGGACCGAGGATTTGCCGTTCGCAAGGGTGATTGTTGTGCTGTAGGTGATATAGCTGCCGGATGGTAAAGCGACTGTTCCGTTTGTGATTGTCGTAGCCTCTGCCAGATCCAGACTACTCGAGCCTGACTTGCTCGACGTGGTCGAAGGCGCACTGGTTATTGTCGCTGAAGTGTCGGCAGCAGCTTGCGCTGCGAGGAGCGCCAGTCCAAGTGATGGCCACCTCATTTTGAGTGAGCGTAAAATCGCGAGCACAGCCAAAAAAATGTAACAGAGAACAGAAATCGAGGCGGATGGTCAATTAAGGATTAAAGTCAATAACCACCCTGGCAATACCAATAGAGAACTGTAAACCAACAAGTCTCAAGAATGTTCCACCTGGGTCACTTCTGGGCGAACTCATTGGTCACGAGTCACGCGGCGCCCGACGACATTCTGCACGGTTCAACTTCACACACATCAACTTGTTGTTCCTTTTTCCTTCGCTTCCAACATTCTCTACCCAAGCAGTCATGGATCCTTCCCCCCCCCCCCCCCCCCCAAACATCGTATCAATCGTATCGAGTTGAGACTTGGCTTCTCGTCTAGATCACATTTGGGAGGCCTTTCATGACCCTCCGCAGCATCTCATCGATTCGAACACCCTTGGACCAACCAGGGTCCATCCAAGGGAGAGGCGCAGGGTACCAGATGACGCTGCCTGAAGCCGTGGCTTCCGCCAACAGCCCAATCTAGTCAGTGGGAAGAAGAGGCTCCACTCGCATTGTTCGGTCGATCGGCCGAGACACTTTTATGACTAACAAAAGATCGCTGGCCAGGTTGTCCCAAGTTGCAGTTCCCCAAGGTTCCGGCACTCTCCCACTGGTTTAACTGAGAATCTGTATTTTTCTGACGTACTCGGGATTGGCACCTGGTATCAAGGTAATTGGGCCCAAGATTCATCTGTTCGGTGAGACTACGGTTGACGCGTCATTGGAAAATCCGCAGGAGGACATCGAATAACCTTGCAGTTTGGCAAGTCGTCTGTATCCACGATCGCCGCGGCGTGTGGGTCAGGCTAGCGAAAAAGCCACTGACGACCCCAGCGAGCCTGCGGAAGCCTTTTGGGTCTTGGGCCTCAAAAGTGGATGTGGACAAGCCCCCTTCTCGAGGAAGTCTCACACTGCGACACAGGCTACAGCAATCTAAATCGTGGAATAACCCACGAAGATCGCAGTTGATCCAAGTTGATCTCTTCCCTTCCCCTTGGATTGACAGGTCGGCGACAGGTTTCCTTACTTGCTGGACTCCTGTATTGCTCGAAGCAAGACGCATCTCACAGAAGACGTGCGACGCTCGTCACAGTGGAAATCCCCCGATCTGCCGTTACTTGTGTAATGGCTTGAGAGGTGGTTTGTTGCGTGTTAAACGAATCAATTCTTCTTCGTCTTCTTTCCCAGCAAAGGCTTGGTCTTTCCGCCCTTCGTCCTAGGCTCCTACTGTCACCGCAGAATCGGCCATCTCCAGTTCCTCATCGCAATCGACACGCCATGGTCGTTGGGACGGGTGTGGTCGGCGACAGCCAACGCGGCTCACCTGCCTTTCAGCACACTGCCTCAGATACCCCCCAAGCTCGCCGGCGCCCCCTCACGGTACATTGGCATCGGGCTCTCCGCTCTCTGCTCTATCTCATCGCTTTGGTGTTTGTCATCCTGGTGATAATTGGCAATTTATCCAACAAACCGGTCCTGCGCAGCACATACTTCCTTTATCTAGATCTCTCAAACATCATTCCGCTCTCGGTGCCCAACGCTGTGTTCATCAACTCTATTGCCCAGTCGATTGGTCTACATGACTTCTACACGGTCGGGCTTTTGGGGTTTTGCGAGGGGTACAATGTTGAGGGTATTACGTCGTGCTCCAAACCGAAGGCGCTATACGCCTTCAACCCAGTCGAGATTATCGTATCGGAACTGTTGTCAGGCGCTAGTAGTAAGTCGTATGATGCATGCTCGGGGAATCCTTGGTATGGGAATTAACGAATCTGCCTCCCTTCAGTTGCGCTGCCCAGCGAGATCTCGCAACCCTTGAACCTCGCCCGAACGGCATCACATTGGATGTACGGTCTCTTCATCACATCCGCTGTCTTGAATTTCGTCATGATCTTCCTCAGCCCCTTGGCTGTGTCTTCGCGCCCTCCACAAGCTATCAAATACGTGGGTGATCACGAGCTCGCCCCGACGACCAGGCTTCCTCACCGACGACAACGATTCGTGTGGCTACGCTCCTTCCCCTTTGTGTTCCTCTCTTTCTTCGCTGCATTGGTCACGATTGCGGGCTCGGTCATCGCAACGGTCATGTTTACCATTTTCGCCAATGTATTCTCGAATGCAGATCCCAATCTCAACATCTCGGCCCATGTGGGTGTTCAGATGATGGCGTTCATGTGGGTAGCTTCAGGATTCAGCCTGATTGCCTTCATCTTACAGCTCGGCTCATGCTGCGCTGCCTGTTGCGGTGGCCGCAAGGTGCAAAAGCGACTCCAGGCGCGGGGGATGAGTTTGCATGAGAAGAGGTCACCTTCTGGGAGTGACCCTGGCACATCCGAAGCTTCCCAAGCAGAAACACAAACGAGGGACGGAAGGTGATGTGCTAGCTACGAGTAGGGACTTATTCGACGTGATGCGACCCGTCGAGATGAGATCCCGATCGTTGTTCTCATTTAAATTTTCCATTGTGTTTGTTCACTAGACATACGGCATTAGCCATTAGTGATACATTGCAGCGTTTATAGAGATTTTCCATCCGATTATTTCATTTCATTGATTAATAGACCTAGGAGACTGCCAGTTGTGCTAAGTCAGAAGATCACATTCAGATCGTCATGTCCTCGGTGACTGCAGCGTGTACTCTGGAGAAGACGTGACATGCACCTCATCTACAGGATCTTTGTATTCGACCTTGATAAGAAATTGACCCTGAGAGTCTCAAGTCTCGGTTGAACTTCCGTGGACCCCCTCTTCGTATCGCTGGACACGGACAAGTTATTGCTGCAAAGGATGATCTTCCCAAGTCATGAATGAAGACCATTAACTAAGAAAGGACATAGTGTTGATCATAGAAGTCTGGGACATGGAAGCCTGAGACCCGGTTGGAAAGTTGAGGCTCAGGCCGAGCCTTTCATCCGATCGCAAAATGGGCCTATTTGGGTATAGCCTCCACGGTGCGCGAGAGTACCGGGCTAGTCCAGTACTAGTAACTTGGTACTTTAAAGTTTAAGGTAGGTAGTGAAGCTACAGTACTACTAGGTATCATACTTGGTGAGTCAGTACTACTACTATGTGCTTAGGTACGATAGGCTCCACTGCCCGGTAGTTCTCACTTACTAGTTCACTTATAAGACTTGCTTATGCTTGTGGTACGCCAAATTGCCGGTGATGTAGACCTTTCTTTCCGGTCAAGGCCTTGTCTAGCTTAGCTTTTGCATTTTACAGAACCGGAGCTAGTACACCACTCGGTGAGTCAGTAGGTAGACTCAGTACTCAGTAGTCACTCAGTACTGGTTGTCAAGAATAAGTAGTATACTACCTAACTGCTCGATCAGTCTAATCGCTAAAGCGGCGGCTTTCCCACGTGAACCAGCACGCTAAACTCAAAGTGGCTTAATTCGCGAGGAGGCAAGAGAGTGGTACCTTTCACCGTGTTGGACGAGAGCGAGGCTGTGATTGGTGAGGTGGTGAAGGCTTTGCCCAATGCGGTAAAGACCTCGATGCTCTGCCGGGGGTCTTGGGTATCCTCTTCGAGCGGTCGCGAAATCAGCCCGATTGGGAAATTCGTGGCATCGTCACGTTTGTCTGTTGATTGAAATGGGGATGGGATGTTATTTAAAAGGGACACTTTTGCCGATTGAGGAGTTGGAGGGTTATATGACAATTATGTTTGACTTGGAGAGTTGCAAAACCTCGGCTTCTTACGTCTTTTTATCATTTTGGAAAAGTGCGTTCTGTTGATATGCAAGTAATGGCCGAGATGGCATCATTCGCGAGCCAGGATAGGCCAAGGTTGGGATACATGGACCCATATGAATATCAGCAGAATTTGGCACCGCCGCCTTGTGGAGAGTGGATGGACTCGAGATGTTCTGCGCCGTCATCTACGAGACTGAGTGGTCTCTCTCCACCGCAACTCCAGCAGCGTGAAAATACACCCTATGGGGCCATATACGCCATCTGAATACGATCAATTTGCGCCTCAAGGACCCTTCGGGCGGCAATACGAACATTCTTCCCTGATCTCTCCATCATCATATATTCCGCCCGCTGCCCCAGAACGACACGTGCACCATCAGCAATATCAATCACAACATCCCGCTTGTCATCGAGATGAATATACGCCTGGTCCAAGCAATCCAAATCAGCCATCTCCGTCTCTCCTCCTGCGACGGCAAAGATCCTCCCAGGACCGACCGTGTGTAATTCCTCGTAAGTAGACTGGAAGCAAATGATCGACCACAACATGACGATCGAGACAGACTGACGAAGCCTCAGAAATCACCAAAGTCTTTCGCGGAGCCAACTTCAGCCCCTTCATTCGCGCTTACGCGCCAGAGCTGGAACAAAAGTACGGCCTCTCGTCTCGCGAAATGCTTGCATTCATCGACGGCCTCAACGAGGCCCACATGGCGAACCCGTTCCTGGAAGCCACCAACACCATTGGCTCCCTTGTCGGTATGGTCCCCTTACACACGGCTCAGATTGTTGGCACTAGCCTGAGCGTGGTGGCGGGCCTGGGAACCGCTGGTGTGGCCATTGTTCGTACAAAGAAGTACATGACGTGGGCCAATGAGGTCATCTTCAAGCCCAAGGGTCTTCTCGCGCAACTCTGCAAGACGGAGAAGATGCTAGGCCAGATTGGCATGGAGGGGACAGAAAGATGTCTTTGCGCAGATGCAGTACCAGACAGTGATGGATAGTGCGGTGTCGAATGAGCCCAGTGCTCGTGCGATCGCCAAGCGAATGAATGCATTGGGAGATCGAGTACTGCCTTTGTCGTTTGAAAACATCGAAGCTCCAGTGTCACCGAAAAACTGGGCGAGGAAGATTGGCTCTTGGTCTGCTCAGCGCGCGGAGAAAAAGCAGCTTGAAAAGTTCGGAGAAAAGACGACCGAAGCTCAGAAAGATAGAGCAAAGCTCGACAAAGAAGCTGACAAGGTCATCGGGGGAATTGCAGGAGGTGGAGGAAAAGATGGCTCGTTTGGACCCGAATGAACGGCGTTACGGCAAGCACTTGAAACACCTCAGAAAGGATCATGCTAAATTAAAGCGCGATGTTGGAAAATTCGAAAAGGAACGGCGATCCAAACGAGATAAGAGCGGCAGCAAAGACCGCAAACATGGAGAAAAAGAGGCAAAGAAGATCAACAATATCTATTGGGTTCTCATCACGGCCGCAGACGAAGCACTTGGGGATGATGAGGACTGGGCCTCGGAAGCTTCGAGTGAAAAGCTCATTTATGCGAACGAAAGGTGAAGTTGATGATGAGGTGTCTGATTTTGTGATTTGTAGGTGTCGCGGGAAAGAGACTGGTGTTGTGTGACTGTTCTTGAGTAGTCTCGCAATTCATTTTCTATTATCTTCTCATTCATCTCTTGCTTGGATGTAATTGTCGCGGCATATTTTCCCTTCGCCCAACTTCGAATCCATGGTAGTCTGCGACGACCGCCATGACTGCTTCGAGCCAAGTTTTGATCTCGCCGGTGTCTTGATCCAAATGAAGATGCGCAACATTCAATGGAAAGATGAGCATAAAGGCTCCTGAGCTCCGACGCAAAGAGTGCATATGATAATCAACCATTCTGCAATATTTCAACAGCCACTTCGTTTCTTGTCCCTTCCATAGGAAGAAGGGGGTCATTTTGAGGTCTATCGGACATCGTGTTGCCAACATGCACGCCGATCGTTTCAAGTGATCGGTGTAGCAATCAACCGAATGGTGTTGTATGTCATCAAATCTTGGGCACGGTATGGGTCTGTGAACCAAATCACACTAGTAAATGGATCGGGTGGGATTGGTAGAAGAGTCTCTGGGTCAGGACCACCGGGCTCAACCAGGTATGTGCAACACGGAAACATCTGCTCCCACTTCCATCAGCAAGCGTAAAGGGCTTCGAGAGAGTCGCAAAGATACGAGAACACAGTGCTGAGTGGAGAGCCGCTTTTGAGAGCTCGTCTTTTTCCCACGTCAGAATCTTGTCCACGTCCTCGAGTTGCCCAGGAAGGTCGCAAAGCAAATCCTGAAGTTCTTCAATAGGTAACTTGGCATCTAGGCCACACTTGGCCCAGGGAAGGGTCTTCCATTCGGGAGATTCTAGAAAGCAATGCTTGCGCTCAAGAAGATATCCCACGGTCTGGAAGCAGGACATAACCGGTCAACTACACAAGTCTCTCCTGTTCTATCAAGGCTGGACACTCACAATGCACGATCTAAGCGTTGGCAAAAGGACCAGTGCCACACCAGACTGATGGCGCCGAGGGCCTCGTAAAGAGGTCTTCAACAGGTAAGCCAGATATTTCCAGAGGTCGTGGTGGTGGAGTGGATTCTACTCACCAGCTGCGCCAGACCTCTGTAATGATGTAGCCAACTGCTCGGCTGGGTCCAAGCGACCATCTCGTAAATGGCCATGCAGATGATTGCCACAAGTAACTCGTCCCCCATGGCCAGCGTGGGGGTCATGCAAATCATTTTGAAGAGCTTGAAGAGCCCATGAATAGAATTTGGCTGCTTTCTTCGTCAAGTCAGGCTCTCGATGAATTTTTTGCAATGTAAGCTGTCGCCAAGGCATTTACGGATGAGAAAGACAACGAAGCTTCATCATGCGGGCCTTGCAGCAAGACGTCAATCCACGCTGCGGATTGCCTCGAGGAGCTATTTTCGTGCCAAGTAAACAACTTGTTCACGAGATGAGAAGTGAAATGAGACTGCTCATCCCATGGGGGATTGACCGAGATAGAAACCACAGGTAACCCAATTACCGAGCTCTGGGAGCTGGAGGTTAATTTCCAGCCTCCGGCACTCAAACTCCGCCCTGCAGACGGACTGCACGGAGTGCTGGTGGCGGACGTCGAGTCCCTTTTCGACTGTCTCTTGTGCGACACTTGAGCCGTGACATCGATGAATTCAGCAAACTGAACATAGCCGTCACATTTATATCCCGCCTTCTGACAGCGAGTACAGGTGGGCTTGGTCTCATCTAAAATCACGTTAGTTGGTGGCGTTCGTCGAACCACTCAAAGGGGCAAATGATGAAAGCCGCACCGCACTTTACTCGTCGACGACGGCATGTCTTGCAGCCTTTGCTGTGACCACCGACGCCTACCATTCTGATAATGTCATGGCCAGAAGTGGACTCTGTGATCGATCTTCCGCGGAGGGCCGTGAGGGACTCGGGCATGACTTGACACCATTGAGGCTTGACTTGACTCGGGTGTGCGGGTGGGGGCGGGTCGGTCACTTGGTGAGGTAGATCGGCGCCGGATCAAATGAGCCCTGAAGCTTTGATCCAGAATGGATTCGTGTAGGAACTTAGGACGAAGACAAGGCGTGGAATCACCGGGAAGAAATGAGAATCAGACATTGACCCTTTTCAAGTAGGCTGGCAAGCTCATAGATTGTATGACGAGTCCATATGTCAATGTGGATATTACGGAGGGTTGCTGGACAGATATTGATGTGCGGGTTTGGGTGGATCGAATCCGGGCTGACGTGAAGTACGGTTGAAGGTTGATATGCATATTGTACCTGTAGGTTTGCATTGATCAACTCCCAATGAATTTGTATTTTGATCGCTAATCAGGACCTGGTCCTATGATCAAATTTCTTGCTAATGACCTTTGAACTGGGTTCTCTGGTCGGTGCTTAGACTACTCGCGCTTGATTTTCCACTTCAAATCTTCTGTTCGTGACAGGGTTTCCATTGTCAGATGTCAATTTAGTAGTATGAGTCTATGCCCAGTTAACAAAAGTATTTATCACAAAGTGGGTGATTCTTCCGATCCGACAGTCAGCATGAAGAAAGCTCTTTTGATCGGATTTGAGAGCAATTGAACGATCAACAGTCCGTTGTCTCATCCGCCAGTTGGCTCGTGCCGCTATGGACTGACTGATTCAATTCCCCGGTTTTTGGAGAATCAAACTTCTGTTGCAAAATTGTGGTAAAATAGATCGAGTGCATACGACCGTTACGAGACCGCTGGATTGAACACTCAGCAGTGCCACGAGCGAGTCCCCGAGAATTCAATTGCATCGTCCCCTTCAGTTCGCATGACCCCTGGCACTCCAACCTGGACCCTCACAAGGTTCACGAAGCATCCAGGGCGAGCAATCGAGATATTTTTGGCTACGAATCTACACTGAACCATACCGCGGGGTCGAGTCTCGGGGAATTGATCTCTTCCTGGCACGTTTCCAGCTCCTCGGGCCCCCTTGGCCATTGCTTCTGTCTTGTTCAGTGTTTGGTGCCCAAGATCTCCAATTTCTCTCGAGTGTTGCCGCTGGTTCGGGGCCAGTTAGTCGAACTCTGTTCACCCCTCGGGATCGAGCAGTTGCGATTCGCGAAAAAGGAGGATGATCAAGCTGGGAGTCTGCCCACACTGATTTCAATTCACTATTTTGGATTCGGGGCTTTGGGCTGGTCAACGGTTCACAGCAGATATTACAACAACTGCCCTCGTGATGATCAGACTCCCCGACGGGGCTGCTTGTGGATGTGAGCTAGCGAATGGTGCAGGTAGGAGACGAAGACGAAAGATTTTCTCGGCATCGCGGCGAGATGTAGCTGGTATGACTGTGCCGTACTATAGTACTATACACTCTACCGTATACCCCTCGATCTTGTCATTGCGTAAGTGGCCGCGATCACGAAAAAACCTTCATGGCCCCGAGTTCTAGAGTTGACGCGACGACAAGCATCAGGTCTGACGCAGAGGTGGTCTAAGGGTCGGCTTGTCTCGTGAGAAAATGCTCAATAAACCTTGTTGAACACAAGGGCAATCAGGATCGAAGGTCGGTGCTCGGATGTTGAAGGCAGAAATCTCAGGTGTTGGCGCTGCCTTTCTCCTTTGGAAACAACACCAGAATCCCGCATGCTTCCCCCCGGCGAGGGCCCAGACTCGAGACTACTCGCGGCCAGGTGCCACCCCGTGACCGCGGCCCACTTCCGTGTAGACCGGAGATGTTGTTTGGGGATGGAGAGATTCACGGCTAGACAAACCTTACCACATGTTCTGGGATATCCTCGCTCGGGAGCTGCACTGTGCAGTGTGCACTGTGCAGTCTGCGCAGGATCTCCGAACCCGACTGCTGTCCAATGCATCTTGGCTCACCGGTCATGGACTCATGGCGGCCGACAACGCAATCCCTAGACAGGTTTTGTCGGTACAGAGCAAATGGCCACACCGAGCGAAACGAGTGTCAATCCAAATGATGTGTGGTAAGACTTCCCTTCAAATCCCCCCCCCCCCCCCCCCCCGTGGCCTCTTTGATTCATGAACGAAAGGAGCATCGCTACGTTCAGGTCATGAAGAGGACTTGGGTATGGGTATCGCGGAAGACCACAAAGACAGCAGTCCGCCTCATCTAGGCCTCCCCCCACCTCATTCTGTGATCCGCTGTTTCCAGAACATAGGCAGAGACAGGGAACCAGCTCTGCAGTGCCACTGTCCACTGCCCATCACGAGTAGTATCATCGTGAAGCTAAGAGGCCTATACTACTGTCACACTGCGTATGTACAGAATCAGAGCGGGGGACCTTGAGGGCGCTCTCTCCCCAATTGGTATCCGGCGGCTCGAGGGTCTAGGCCAAGTGCTGGCCAGTGCCCAACTGCCACCGTTCAGTTTCACAGCCCCGCTTATTCTGGGCTACATATTGACGAGAAGCAATCTTGCGGGAGACGATATTGCAGGAGGTAACATGGACGAGGCGAATAGGGACTGGGGGGGGGGGGCCAAAGAGGAACGAGATAGACGTCTGATTGACGCTGATAGACCTGGGGGAGTTCTCGAGCAGAGGTATGCTCATCTTCGATCGAAACAACCGCAAACTCAAGCGTGTCCGGCCAGAGGTGATGAATCGCGCACGAGAGCGCCGGTCAACCCAGGTCAATTAGGGATCGAGAATCATGCAGAGGGACCACCAACACGATCTGATGGCAGGTCTTTGGCAAGTCGATGTTGGAAGGTTCGGAAGTAGTAGGTCTAGAGTCTAGACTCGCAGGCCGCCCTCCAGTTCACGTGAGACGCAAATCATGTGAGCGTACGAGAAGGATAGGATAGATCGACACAGAGATAGTAGTAGTATCGATGCCTTGATGGAAGTGCGACGATCGGCGATCGTATCTCTGCGACGCTGGTGTAGATCCGATGTGCTTTCTGAGCGGTCGACTGTACCCATTGCAAATTGTACCCTTGGCCTAGAAGTCGACTAGTTACCTACTACTGCTGCTACTACTACTACTACTACTACTACTACTACTACTACTACTACTACTACTACTACTACTACTACTACTTAGTCTAGTAGTACTGTAGGACTTGATCACTTCAGTGAGAGCCCTCCAGCTGTGCTGATGTCGAGGTGCTTCATTCTTCATCGTCAGTCTACATCCCGCAGTCTCGTAGTAGTCCGGTTGGAGGGTTGATGGTTGAAAAGTGTACCGTGCAGCTGGCAGGAGCGGAACTGGAGTCGGAGCTAGCCGAGGCCTCTTCCTCCCAGGGGAGAGCCCTCAGCGCCCAATCATGTCCTTCCACAAGTGACCCGCAGGGAACCCACTCGCCCCGTCCAAAAGCCGGTTTTTGCCCAACCTTTTCCCTTGTCAACAACGCTTTTTCCTGTCAAAACTGCGGTTTCACTGCGATACCTTGATTGGGATCAACCTGTCAACAATAGGCTCATCACCGCGGCCGGGTTGGCCCGCGTGGGAGGTTGTTCTCTTCTTCCATTGTCCGAAACAGGAAGCGCCACAGCTCCTCTAACGGCGACCGTAAGGTGACTCGCTCTTCCTGATCCCCCCTGGACTCGGGTCGGATTTCCCCTCTCTTCGTCAACGTGCCGTATGTGTGTGTGTGTGTGTGTGTGTGTGACCTGACCGAGAGAAAGCAAGAGAGAGAGAGAGAGAAAGAGTGTGGGTGGGTGAGTGTGGGTGTTGCCAGCTCACATGGTCCGGACCACAAAGTATACTTTTCGGGCCATCTTTTTCTAAACTTCTTTCGAATCACCTTTCTAGCTTCCTCACCACCACCCTCCTCCTCCTCCTCCTCCTCCACCTCCACCCGCCAATTCCTGCCACTACCGCCACTTCCTCCCCTCTTCCCTCCCCTCTCCCGTCATCCCAGTCGTGCGTCGTAGGCATGCATGAAGCTTCAAGTCATGGATCAAGCAGGCTTTTTCGCCTTCCACCCATCCACATGTAGTACCGAGCGGGAGAGAATCAGGGAACTATCGAGGTAGGTCACAATGAGAAGCTTCAGTGTTTTGCCCTGACCCAACGATGGTTACTTTCCCCCGCCTCGATCAGTAGGGCTCTCCGCTGACCGCGGGGAATAAAATTTTGGTGGCATTAGATATTATTGCGCTCTAGGTCGTCCACGACCTTCGACGACGCGGAATCAGGATGCGGAAAACTCGGAGGCCGCCAATGCCCAGCCCAAGGCGCTCAAACGCGATGAACGGCACACAGCCGGCATGCTCTCAACCGATATCACCTTGACCGCGCTGGCACAGCTCGGCGTACTGCGTCTCGCGGGGAATCGATCGTTCGTCTCCCTCATCGACGGCGGCAACCAACACATCATCGCCGAAGCCACGGCATCCATCTCGTTGCGCGACCACACCCGGCACGCGCCCAATGATGGACTGTATCTGGGCACGCGCACGCTTGACTTACTCTGGGGAGTCTGCCCGCAAACGATCGCCTTGTTTACCGGGAGAGACACGTCCTCCGTGATCGACAATGAGAATATCACCGGCAACCGAACGCGCTACATCATCCGGGATCTTTTGAAGGAAGAGTGTTTCAAAGACCGGCCCTACGTCCGGGCATGGCCATTCATGCGCTTCTATGCCGAGGTCCCAATCTTCAGCCCCTCGGGCTTTGTGCTCGGCACCTACTGCGTCATCGACGACAAGCCTCGCACCGAGTTCGGAGACAAGGACGTTGCCGTGCTGAGTGAGATCGCAGAGGCAGTCGCGCGGCATCTAGAGCATGTCCGCATTGTCCACTGTCACCGCCGATCCGAGCGACTGATCAAAGGGTTGACCAATTTTGTCAAAGACCATGCCGAGTTTGACCCCCGGGGGGTGGCCCACAATCATCGATTAGAGGCAATGGCGAGTACGTCCCTATCACAAGTCGGCTCGACCTCGTCGGCTGCGAGCTCAGGTCCCGTAGAGACGTCTTTGAATCAGCAATTCGGCGGTGTGACCTCTTCCTCCACGAGTTTGTCCGAACAGCCATCGCCCTTATTCTTCTCCGGTCCGCCGACCGGGTCGACCGAGCCGTCTTCCTTCAACTCGACTCCCTCCGAGCAACAATTCTCACCTGAGGAGGAGAACCCGATGGATGATCTTGCAAAAGCAGATGGCCAGCCCGGGGCGGAGAGCGCAAATGTTGACTCTCACCCTGCGCTCGCCGATCGCACGCCTCTCGGAAATCGACTTCAGCGTATCTTCCACAGAGCAAGCACGCTGCTCAGGAAGTCGATGGATCTCGACGGAGTGGTCTTCCTCGATGCCGCTCGAACCAATCCCTCCTTCCTACCACCCGAAGATCAGGAAGGTTGGGAACCTTTACCCACGACCGCAGTCCCCGAATATCCGGTGGTGCCGTATCCAAGTCCACTGGGTCGATCTCCATCGTATGCTAAACCATCGGAGACGTCATGTGATGTCCTCAGCAAGGCCTTGAAGGTCAGGAAAGGTGAAACTCTCGATGTCAAGGCAGACATCACTTTTTCTGAAGAGCTCTTGAATCTGCTCGTGACCTCATTCCCCCAAGGGCAAGTGTTCAATCTCGATGAGTCCTCGGAGTCGGAAGACTACGTGTCATATGAAAAAGGGTTAGACGGCCAAGACAGTCAGGCCGAGCTCATGCGGATGGCAACGCAGCGGCTTCAGCAAGTCCTGCCCGCTGCCAACTCCGTCCTGTTCTTCCCGCTGTGGGATCACAACAAGTCCCGCTGGATGGCTGGCACTCTTGTGTGGACTCAAGATGATCACCGAGCTCTCGGCATCGAGGAGCTGCATTACTTCAAAGTCTTTGGGGATTCCATCGTCTCCGAGGTCTCTCGGGTCCACTGGGCAACCACCGAGACTTCCAAATTCGACTTTGTGTCCTCCATCAGTCATGAACTTCGCTCTCCACTTCACGGAATTTTGGCCAGCGCAGAGCTCCTGCAGGCCACGCATCTGGAACCGACGCAGGAAGAGATGGTCAGAATGATCGAGTCATCCGGCCTGACACTGTTGGACACCACGGATCATTTGTCAGTGGAACCGTTGCCCTTGCCAAATACTGTGATACTAATCCCCCGCCATAGGCTTGAATTTTGCAAAATTAACAACCTGACCCAAGTGAAAAAGTCCCGCAAGAAGGACGGTAAGAGGCTCAAGGAATCGACCTTGGAATCAGATTTCCATCTAGGTCATCTCGTAGAAGAGGTTGCCGACATCTTGTACACTGGTCAAAACGCGGCGGAGATGGTCTCTCAGACGTCACTGTCAACTTCCGCAACCAAGGCCTCCATCAGTCCATTCCCCGACTTCGAGACAACCGAAGAAATGTCGGTCATTGTACGAATCGAGCAACGTCGACCGTGGCTCATTCGGTCTCTACCAGGGGCCTGGCGCAGGATTGTGATGAATCTGCTTGGCAATGCCATCAAGTGGACCAAAACCGGATTCGTCGAGGTATCGCTGTCCCGGATGCGCAATCCTGTCAACATCCACAAGCCGATCGCGCACCTTTCCATTACCGATACAGGTAGCGGTATTGCGTCCGAGTTCCTACGACACAAGTTGTTCTCTCCCTTTGCACAAGAAGATTCTCTGTCAGAAGGCGTCGGCCTCGGCCTCAGTATTGTACGCCAATTGGTGGCTGCGTTCAACGGCCATGTCAACGTGAGAAGCGAGGTTGGTGTTGGAACGCAAGTTGACGTTTACATTCCAGTGGAGCTCGTTAACAGCCCAGAAGCAAGTCCAGTGTTCTGTCCATCACCCGTAGAGCCCATGCGGGAGTCATTGCCATCGCTTCGAGCGTGTTTGGTCGCCTTCAACGGATATCCCGATCTCCAAGAAACCCCGACAGGCATGTTGAGCCTCGAATCCAAGCGAAAACTCTCCATCCAAAGTACGTTAGCCGACGTGTTCATGTCCTGCTTTGGCTGGGCTGTCTCCCTGGCAGAGACCCTGGACAAGGGCCAGGGAGACATCGCCGTCATAGAGGAAGCCGTCCTTCGAAAGGAAACCGAGGGAATCAGCTCTCTGGAGCAATTGGCTACGAAACACAACTTCAAATACTATATCGTGTTGGGAAGCAATGCCCCATTCTTCGAGACCTTGCTTGCTCCGAATTTCGTTTGGGTATCCCAGCCGTGAGTTTTCAAAATTCGCAAGGAGTGTTGGATCGTTACTGATTTCAAATTCCTTCAGATTCGGTCCACAAAAGATCCAAAGTGCCATAAATCGGATCCTCAATCAGGGCAACACCGACTCTGGGCTAACGGCCGAATCTCCCATATCTTCGGCGGCCCCTTCCGCTCATTTGGGAACTGAATCATCGTCGACGCGTGAGAGGTCAGGTGAAGAGACAGTGCTGACATCGATGCGACACGCTCCAGCATCCCCTACCAAGCTTGTGCAGTCTCCTGCTCTGCCAATTCGCCCTTCGAACGACCCACAGAATGTGCATGTCCTCGTGGTAGATGACAACAACATCAACCTTAAAATCCTTGCTACCTACATGCGCAAGATCGGTTGCAGCTACGATACTGCTTCGAATGGATTGATTGCCCTTGAGAAATACAAAGCCTCGCCACGGCGATTCGACTTTGTGCTAATGGGTGAGTCTTCGATTTCGGGTTCGTCGTGGGTCACGCTGGAGTACGCTAATCTCCAGGGTTAGATATATCAATGCCCGTCATGGACGGATTGACATCGACCAGCAAGATCCGACAACATGAAAAGGAGCACAGCCTAGAGTCCTCGTGTATCTTGGCTGTCACTGGTGTTGCTTCGGATAACATGCAACAACAGGCTATTGCAGCGGGCATCAATGACTACTTGATCAAACCGCTGTCTCTGCAGGGACTGAGAAAGATTATGCATATTTCTTGAACGGGCCAGGATCGTGGTGTCTGTCTAGCGAAGCACTCGAGAAACATGATTCCGTCTCCACGGCGTAAATGTCATTTTGAATTGGTGTTGGGGCATGCCGTTTTCTTTTGTTGGGATTGTTATGAGACAGAACAATCTAATGTATACCCCTGATGGCTGGCGTTGATTTTGTTTGTTTACCTCTCTTTTAATTGCTAAGAATTTTCGAGATTCGAGGCTGAATATGCATTGCCTCGGAAAATACGAAGAGTCATCAGAGCATCTCATAAGGTCCAAGGACGAAAAGTATGAATGTCACCTCAAGCTGAGTCTTGATATACCTACCAGACCGAACAATAGCTTTTCATGAAGGGGAATGGCGTGGATATCCATCATGGAGCTCTATGCAGAGTACCTGCCTGTAAGTACTACTATGAAGCCCTGAAGATGCGGGTCGATCATTACCCGATTAGTCATGCATTGAACACACCCCGGCCAGGTAGTCGCGGGCACAAGTCACGACTCGCCAGTATGGCAGTAGACCCCCAACCTCCATCCTAAACTGCATCTTGTTTTATCAACTCCCTTCATCTATCATTAATCTCGGCTCTGATCAGATCCATGAGCGGAGTACTCTGGTCTACCTTTTCAAAATAGAACTCGCTTTTGCCACGGCACATCTTTGGACCGAGTCCCTTGAATTCTGGCAGTGCCATGCTCTCACGAGGTCGTGTCCGCTTCTGCACGATGGCGTCACAATTCGAGACCGGAGTTTTTCAAAAGTTTCATTTCATTGAAAAGGAAAGAGTCATCATCAGGGATCAAATTTACGGAGAGCATACTATCACTGAGCCTGTTCTCATAGAGCTCCTGCACAGCCCTGAACTTTCTCGCCTTAAAGGCATCAGACAATCCGGCGTGACGGCTCTTCTTGGCTTCGGCCCCAAGGTCACCCGTCTTGAACATTCTGTCGGCGCCTTTCTGCTCACACGAAAAGTTGGGGCGAGTGTTGAAGAGCAGATCGCTGCTCTTCTACATGATATCAGTCACACGAGCCTCAGCCACGTTGTAGACTATGCACTCTCGAAGGCCGGGGAAGAAAGTTATCACGAAGTTTACAAATCCCGATATCTGGAGACCACACAGCTTCCGGAAATTCTCATCAGGCATGGCTTTTCGGATCTCAAAGCTCTTGATGAAGAGCACTTTCCGCTGGTCGAACAGCCTTCCCCGCATCTTTGTGCAGATCGTCTAGACTACTCGCTTCGGGACTCGCTGGCTTTTGGAAAGCTGAGTCTTGAAAAGGTTCGGCGAGTGTTTGATTCCCTCAGAGCGGTGCCTAACAGCAGCGCGCCCAACCGCTTGCTCGTGCTCGACAATCCGCAACTTGCTCTTGCTCTTTCCCGTGCGTACCAAGCCACGGATCGAGACGTCTGGTCCAATCGATCACATGCCAACATCTATCGACGGACCGGTCGAATTATCAAAGAGCTTGTGGAGTCAGGTCGGGTTGATGAGCGCGCACTTTGGACCTTGTCCGATGTAGAGTTCTGGTCATTACTACGTCGGCAGGCCACTCCGCAGCTTCTCAGTGAGCTGGACAGACTGGAAAACGAAGGCTTGCCGGATGAGAATGAGTTGCGTCTACCCCAGCAGACAAAGATCAGAACACTAGATCCAGATATCTGCCTGGCTGATTCGAAAACCAAAGAGCCTGTTCCTCTATCTGTTATGTTGCCTGAGTGGGGTGCAGAGCGTCAGCAGTACATAGATGAGCGTGAATCGACGCGAGATTAGCCGGTGCATCATCAAAGAGAAGATTGGGTATCAAGTTGAGATGCACCGTTCTAGGGCAAAACCCGCAAATTTCCCTCGCTTCAGATGGTGAAGCGCGATACGCGCTTGATTGTCGCGACGAAAGAAAAAGGTAAACAACCCATGGATGTTTGTGCGTGCGCGATGTTATCATGTTAAGATTATCGCCTTTCCTAAATTGGAGAAGCGTATTCTAAAAGTCACGCAGCAAGTGTATGTTCGTCAGCTTGTATTTTTTTCTACTCTTTCTCTTCTCCCAATAGGAGTGTATGTCAAACACTTTCTTTTTCCTTGCATCTCTCAGAACATTATCTTACACCGTTCAGTTTTGTATGTCAGACACTTTCCTTTATATTGCACCTCTCAGAACATTATCTCACACCTTCCAAGGCAGACATTCTAACCCAAAAGCAACGTCAAGGACTTCATCTTCGATTTTTCGTAAGTAGAGCACATCAAGCTCTTCCAGCATGGAGAGTGGCGGGGGTGATCATCAGGATCCCTCGCCAGGTCGCCCTGATGCCCCGCGAATGGCGAACCTGGAATCTCGCCAGCGCATACTTGAAGTACGAACGGAACGACTGGAGAGAGCCATTGCCCGACTGCACAGGCTCATTGACGCGAACTCAGCGTTCTATGAACGGTCCCAGGGTATGACAGCCATGATTTCAAGCACGGTAACCGACACAGAGTCACAGCAGCGACACCATTCTCAAGCTGTGGGCGTACCTCATCTGAGAAGAATGACAGGTCTAACAGATGATGGATCCAGTCTTGGTCGGGGACCGCAAGCGTCGCCCACACCGTCCTCTGCAAACCCATCTATGCCTGGAGCATTTCCATATGACGACGTGATTGCAGAGAATGACTCTCCACACGTATTGAGAGAGTCCTTGAGAGAGTCCATGCGATCTCTTCACCAGACTATCTTCGCTCTCCAAGGCCAGGCGGGCCGTGGAGCAGAACCACCCACTTCTCCTCGGCACAAACCGGAGTGCTCAAGCTGTTTCGAAGAGATCGAGGAGCCCGCTTACGTTAGTTCTTGCTTGCACACCTATTGCGTGGAATGTCTGCGAGAACTCTTTCTGCGAGCAACTCGTGATGAATCAGTGTTCCCGGCTCGCTGCTGCGGTATCGAGTTTCGATACGAGACTATCCGCTTGGTGCTCACCCATCACGAACTCCAAGAGTACGATCTTCACGCCGAAGAGTACACTGCGAGTCCTCGTGTCTACTGTGCTGAACCCACTTGCTCTACGTTCATCCGTCCTTCGGCTATCAAGAACGAGCATGGCACCTGTTCAAGATGCCACAAGAAAACCCACATCACTTGCAAGGCTCTAGCCCACCCAGGTCGCGAATGCCCTGTTGACGAAGCCCAGAAAAGTGTGATCAATCTGGCGGAAAAGAACAACTGGCGACGCTGCTATCATTGTCATGCTATTGTTGAGCTTCGCTATGGGTGTAACGAGGTCCGATGTCGGTATGTGACTGCTTCAACCCCGAGATAACGTCGTTTCTTCTCTATCGTGAAAAGGAGCTCGGGGAACAAACAACGTATGCTTACCCAATGTTACTTTGTAATCTCCCCAGATGCGGACACACCTTTTGCTACCAATGCGGCTCCAAGTGGAAGACATGCGAGTGCCAAAACCTGTATCGACACAATACCCCAATGACTGATCAACCTCTGCAATGGTCCATGTTCTTAACGCCAGGAGATCTCATTGGAGCGCCTGTCCCGCAAGCCAACCCGTTCACCACCACCCCATCATCATTCCCGATGGAGATGCCAACTCTGGAAACGACATTGCGACAACTTCGACGAGGAGTTCCCCCACAGATCCCTCCTACCGCACCGGTTTCAGATCCCACACCTCCATTCACATGCGAAGATCACCGTGAAGCGACGTGGACTTCAAGAGGCGGCCGAATGTTCCGGTGCTCAATCTGTTCTGTATTTCCACCCCAGATCTTTGAGTGCGATGCTTGCCATATGCGGGTTTGCAGTACTTGTTCAACAATCCTGTCAATCGGGTCTCCCACCAAGAATCCTGATTTGCAGACAGAGCCGGGGAATAAAGTCACGAAAGAGCCCGAGGATGAAGAGGAACTCTAGATAATACGAGGGAGAAGACTCGGTCTACTCTGCGTCTGCTTCTAGGAACGGAGCTTGCCCTGTACGTTCCTTGACCTCGACTACTGTTGTTGACCTTTCTCACTCCTCCCTCCCCTTTTACCTTTCCAACCATTCCTTGTTCTCCTTTCCTTTTGCCGCTCCAACGCGACCCCTTCTCAACACGTGCCATTGTTGCAAAAAAAAAAAAACACACGTTGTGACCAGGAGCACCTTCCCGATTGGAACTCATTTCGTCGGCGCATTGTTCCAACCACTTGTTCAGCAGTATCCGCGCTGGCTTCAAGATATCCATGTAGTTTAGTGTCCACGTCCACGCACAATTAGCAGCTTTTCGCAACGAGTTCAATGAGTCAATGTATGATTTCCGTTCAACCCGTATGCAGTAATTCAGGAAAAAAAAAAAAGGCATAGCTCATCCATGTAACCCGACTTAGAAAGCTACCTCTCCCATCCCCAAACCCTAAACTAGGCTGAAGAGCTCAGGGCGCACATGTGAGAATCCCCATCGTGCCTAGAAACTTCCAAGGAACCTGGCAGGTACCGCGCAAACTAGAATACCAAAAATACAATCCAGTAAGGTTGGACCTAACTCCAAATACCCCGGAACTTCCCTATTTCCAACCACACGCCCCGGGCATGTAGTGAAAAATGTTGGTGTACCGGAGATCTCCATCTCCAAAATATATCTGCCCGATCCCGCTACTCCATGCAAGCGTTTATATGTATCTGATGCCGAGGACTAGTAAATCGCTTGAAGGTTCCTAAGTCAAAACTAATCGAGGAAAAAGGCAGTCGTACTAATACTTGCCGCTGTTCAAGCCAACATATCCAGGTTCCTACTCAGTAGGTACTAGGTACACGGGATATGCGAATGATAGGAGATAGTCCGGCGAAGTGGTCATGAGAGAGCCGATAAATTCCCAGGGGGGGGGGGAATGGCTGCCCGGGGGTCGGTGCTCTTTTTACGTCCCTCTGCTTAAGAAAGCGGAGATGCGGTCTACAGTGGCCATATGTGCTTTGAACCAGATAGTCTAGATAGACTAGTTGTCTATGCTGCTAGATGAAATATACAGGACGTGGCAGGGCAAGACAGACTGGAATAAGCGCAGTTCGCAGGTAAGAAAGTGACACGTTCAGCTTATGCCAAAGATGAGGCCAACGTCGGAGACGCAGGCTAACATACATCCGGACACACATGAGCAACGCCATTGAGATCTGCAAAGGATCATTCTCGAGAAAAAAGCAATCACGATCAGCTTGGACAAATTGATTTGCTTGCCTCACCTGGTGCGGCATAGGTGCACACGAGACACGGTCTTACATGAGTCTTGCTTGGAAAGCGAATCGCTGGTGAAGATATGTACATGGTAGTTAAATGTCCGCGAAAGGACGTTGGGGGAAGCCGCCAAACAGACCACGTGCCGATCATACGAGCGAAGCACTGGGTGATTGAGCACAGAAGTGACCACAAGTTGAGAAGTCAGAGCTGAGTGAGAATATTGACAAGGTCCGCTGCTCAGCCTCGGTTCACTTTATTCGTGGTGGACTGCATCCAGCAGACAGTCCAAAGGAGGAGGTCCAACTTGCAAAGGACCGAGGCGGACATGGCCACGGCGCGCTTTACTTGAATTAGGTGACAATGGCAGACGCGAGAGAACCCATAAATAGAATATCTGCATTGCGAGAAGATAAAAAAGAGCAGGAATAGTGCAAGTGCGCCGCCGAAGGGGGGGGGGGGGGGGGGGGGGTATCTCTTTATTCCTGTCCAAACCCAAGCGTCTCTTCCACCGCAATGGACATCTTGTGCTCCAGCGCCTCATAAGACTTGTACGGAGGCAGATCGAGACGGTTGAAGCAGGTGTGCGATTTTGGAAGGGCCGCAGGGTCACCCGACTTCTCGATAGTGAATCGTCGAGGACCGTCCGAACCCTGCAAGTCCTTAAAACCGTTGACGGGGATACGCGACGTACCCGTGGTGAATTGCAGAAGACGGGACTTTTGCTCAGCATCCCAAGTGCGAACCACCTTCCAGAAGTTCTGAATGACCTCGTCCTGCTCCTGGTAACCACGGTAGTCGGTGTGTTTCTTCCAATCGTCGACATCAATGTCGGCGATGCCACCAATGAGCAGCTCCAGTTCTCGCTCGTCGAATACGTTGACGAGGTCAGCTGGAATCAACTCATTGAACCCAACCATGAAGGCGTTGAATTGCTCCTCAACCCGTTTCATAATCTTCCATTCCGTCACCAACTCGATGTACTGTGCCTTGTTTTCGTTCGTGACGGGAATGTCCCGACCACCAGGAATCAAATCAACAGTAGTGCGCTCGCCAAACTTCTCATCATCAACCGAGAATGTGAGTTCGATAATACCCTCGATATCATTATCCCTGTAGTGACGTAATTAGCAACCATTGGCGGGACATATCTTTTTCGGGCTTTTGGGAAGACATTGCAGTGAATAGACACGACTTACAGAGTCCACGCAAGGTTGCGATGCAGATCCTCGTCCACGCCCTCCATATCCTGCAGGGACACCTTCTTCCGCAGCATCATTTTGTAGAAAGCTGGAATGAAGAAGGAGTCCAAGAAGCGACGGTGGAAGATGGCGAGACCGACGACTCGGCCAATGAACTTGAAGTAGTTGAGATGCTCAGGGTTGACGCCAGAGTGAGGGTTGATTTGCAGCGTGTAATTGTCGTGTGCAGAGTATTCGAATAGACAGTAGAAAGGATTGAACATCTCATGGGACAGGAGGAAAAAGAATTCACTGTGTGGTCAAGTTAGCGATCTAGTATGAGAAGCGTGATGAATAAATCGCCAGGTGACGTACCGAGAAAGACCACCGTAGTCGAGACCATCCTCGCCATCGAACTTGATCATCAATCGCTTCTTTAGATCCGAAGCACTTTGGCGCATGATCTCAGAGTACGAATCTTCGAAGATGTTGTTACGGCGGACCTTGACGTGACATTGGCCGACCAAGATGCGCAGCGCGGGCTGAGAGCGGAAGTAGATCAGCTTGCGACGGAAGTCACGCTTGTATTGCGGTACACCCTGGTCGAGCGAGGAAGGCAAGCGAGGGTCGTCCCATGTGGTTGTCTTGGTATTGTGGTCGACAAAGTATACACGGGCCGTGTGCGTGAGGCGCATTTCCCAGCCGCTGGGTAGAGGACCAAGTTGAGAGACAGGCTGCTGCTGGAAGGTCACATTATTTCCAGTCTGGTTTTGGTTTTGGCCGTAGGTTCTGATGTATCGCTGTCGGCGAGGATCGACCCATGTAGTCGTTCGCGTGTTGTGATCGACAAAGTACGCCCGGCCCTCGGGTGTATGCCGCTGCTCCCAGCCGGAAGGGAATTCTCCTGTGCCAGCTGTGGTCACTCCGGTAGCCATCATCGAGACAGCATCAGCGTGCGAGGCGGCACTCCCGGCGGTAGGAGCAGCGGCGGAGGAAGATGCCGCAGCTGGTCCCGGTGGGGGTGTGGCAGGCTGTTGACTATCTGATAGATTGGGAGAGTTGGCACCAGTGCGATCTTCAGGGAGCATTCGACTTTGGTGGGCACGGCGCTCGAGCTGCATGTTCGCCTCCCGCTGACTGCGCTGGGTTTGTTCATTGTAGTTGGCCGACGGTCTTGACCACGTGGTGGTACGCGTATTGTGGTCCACGTAGTAGGTTCGACCTATGTTGTCCTCGCGACGTTCCCAGCCAGCAGGAAGTCGGCCTTGGCTATCCTCGAAAGAGCTCAAGTTGGCGCGAGATGGAGCATTGGCGCCGGGTGGAGCGGACCCGTTGGGGGCTCCTGGCGGAGGATGGCTTGTTGAGACTCGGTGGTTGAGTGAGGCGCTGGACGCAGCCGCCGAATTGCCGGTTTGTGGTGTTGACGAGGCTGCGACTTGAGGCACAAGTCCACTTGACGTTGACGACTGCGCTGGATGACGTTGAGAGCCGGCTGGCTGGGACGCTGCGGCAAGATTTGTCGACAAGTTGATGATGAGCTTTCCATGTACAACGAGATTATCGTTGGATTTCTTGAGGTCTCTTGTGATCATCTCTATGGAGAGGGGGAAGACACTGATCAGTAATGGCGCAAAAAGTGTAGGCCAAGTGAGACTTCTCAACTCACCATCTCCTCCCATCTGAAGATCGATGACATCTCCAATGCGCACGTTGATCACCCCGAGGAAACCCTGGTCCTTCTTCTTAAATTTCTTCTGGTCAAAAATCTGGATCGCAAGGATACTGTCCTCGTTGACTCGCCTACCCAGAACAGATCACTAATCAGCAACGGATGCACGAGACAAAGATCACCAAAGCGGCCAACTGCGGAACCAAGTGGGCACGTACAGATCAAATGCCTCATTCCAGTATGGGTTCAGTGTTTTTTTGATCACAGACGTAGTATGAGTTTGCTCGCCGCCCACGGTGGCCACAGCGAAGGGGTCCGGGAAGCCTAAAAAGTTGAAAGGGCGGGTGTTAGCGCTGAGCCCAGCGTGGGGCCTGGAAAGGTGTTGCGAAAATAAATGAGCAATCGCCAGAAATGGTTCATTACTTACGGAAGACATCACGCCGATAAAGTCCATCTGCTGCAACGACTGAGTGGACATGGTAAATCGTCAGTATGCTGATATCAAGGCCGCCAGCCCCGCAACGTCCCGCGCTGGGATGCACGCCACGGCTGGAAGAATCAGGTAATCTTACTCGTGAGTCGAATGTTTGGCTGGCTATAATGCAGACCATTAGCATTGAGTATTTGCAAGAGATCACAAGTCACGTCGGACTCGACTGTCCCTGGGGTCACGTGTCTAGGGCAGGGCTTCTGGAAGGGGAAACGTACGCAGGCAGATTAGAAGCCATGATGATTGCCCTGGTTGCTTCACAAGCAAGCCGTCCGGTGCAAAAGGCCGATCAATCAAGCCCAAGCCAAGAGTTGTGGAACACGCATCCACAACTGGAGTCAAGTAGGCGAGGGAGTCGCAGAGTCGAGTCGCACTTGATGAGGCCTGAATCAGGGAATTGTAGTTCTCGAGGACAAAGGCGGAGAGAGAGGGGAAGAAAGAGGAAGCGTGAGCGGTGGTGATGTTTCGATGGAGGACGGAGGAGAAGGGGAAGCGGGCTGCCCGGGGCTAGTGTCAACGGTTACAATGCTGTGTAAGCGCCCGTTTGGGTACGTATGGCCTGCCATAGAAAACTCCGTCTTCATGCGGGCAAGGATCCCCTCCAATTACGGTAAGGTACTGTCATTTTGAGAACAACCTCCGACATGTACTCCGCCTACGTAACGACTATGAAATCTGGTCTTGGAAATACTTCGCTGGTACCAAGTTTTGACTGATATGTTCTTTCTGGTCTTGGGTCACGAGCACTTGTTCTTGTGTGTAGAATTTTCTCTGCGCTCGGTTCGCTCTGCTAAGCAAAGTAAAGTGTACATGATCGAAGTTGGTGCAAAGGGCTGGAGACATCATTACGTTGTGGACCAGCCCATCCCGAACGATAGTCAGGTAGATCATGTCGAGTTCTAACTTCGACTCAGCCACAATCCACCGAGTCCAGGACTCCAGTGTGCAATTGTCAGCCACCCACGGGCATATTGAAGCACACAGCTACAGGACATGGAACATTGACATTCACAAACTCTATGAGGAGGCGAACAAGTACATTCATTGATATTGCTGATGACCTGCCCCTACAAGTCAAATGGTTGGCTGTAGGACCTTCAATCAAAATGATGTCAATTTGGGAAGAAGATAGATATGGCCAAGTCAATGCCATCAAATCTACCCTGAGTTGTCAATATAAGATGTTGGTTTTAGCACAGTGAGTAGTTGTCTGTTGCGCGCTTGACACGAATAGCCTCCCGCCCACTGACTATGCAGAGACATGCTGCTTCATGGTATTAATATGCATAGCCGAAATGCCACAAGCAGCTCCATGGAACTCGTCCGAGTTTTTCATCATCGGGTCAGTAGTATGGTACTTACTCAGTACTTCGTGCGTAGCAGCGTGCTACAGTATGCTGACAGGACAAAGAGGTGGCGATATTGATGATTGATAAGGATTTGGTAATTCAAGTGACCTTTTGGAGTGATTAGAGAGAGCATGCTACCTCATTCTCAACTGGAGCACTCGCCGTCCTTAGTACTCTGCTACATAAGCTCGACTTGTATTCCTTCAGCGGTTAGCCTTAGGACCAGGCAACAGGATTCACTCATATATGATCATCAATGTATATTGCGTATGGGGCAGTGACCACATTGAACGAGTGCCAGGACCCCAGGCTGGCAGGCCTCTCTCAGAGAGGTAGTCGGTACATTTTTTTTAGGTGCGTTGTTGCGCTCGGAAGCATGCGCCCCGCCCAATTCGACGCCCGGCGTCAGCCCATGCGGCGCTCGTTGCTCGCCAACTGGCTGGTGCCAGAAATAGTAGTCGTCAGACGCTAATAAGATGCTCGCAAACACTCCTCGTATCAAGAATCCTGGCTTGGTCGATTGCCGAGTTTTATGGTAGTGGTTCCACCCGTGATTGTCGGGATTAGCCTTATGCAAATTTGACAGCTTTCGGTCTTACTTCACATCTCAGTTTGGAGGAACCCCCTTAATACCGGAAGAAATAGAACGATAGACGGGATATTGGAAACTTGAAAAGAGGTGATGCCAACAGGCGAATATTGAAAACATGACGTGTGTGTTTAATCTGGCGGGCGCTTTTATTGTACATCTTCTCGACCAACGACTTCACATATCCCGCGCGCGCCGAGAGGACCGAGTGCGTAGCTGGATGCAGGAGATGGAAGCACCATGCTTCTCCATACAAGCATGGCGTAGGAAAGACAGATAACCTCACCAACCGGTTCTTGCGGGTCCCTTATCCCGGATCCTGATCAAGCCTCGTTCGATCTCAGTTCCCTGTGGCATACTCGGGTTTACAACGACCCTCGTACCGGTCTTGTAAGCTTCGAAGGTGGTGTGTAGAACGTCATTCGAATGGTTGCGCAGTTCAACTGCACCTTTAGTATGGCGCGAAGCCACGACCCCGACCCCGATATCCACCTCGGTAGCTTCCTCGGAAACCACCACGTCCACGGCCACCGCGGAATCCACCTCGTCCACGCCCGCGAGTCATGCCCGGAAGGTTGGTGCGCTTGGGAGTCACCTGTGAATGTGCGGAAACTCCAGTCAGCTTGATTGGTTCGGCTTAGTGCGCAGGCATGTCGGCATATCATCATTCAAACTCACCTTCAAGTTCCGGCCACGGAAGACACTCTCATTGAGAACCAGAGCCTGGGCCACAAGACTGGGCTCCGCAAACTCGACGTAGGCATAGCTATGTAGTCCATGTCAGTTTCCGGGACCCTGTGAACGAGACAAGAGACGGTTAGAGCTCGGATGTGGACGCACCCCTTCGGCTGACCCGTGAATTTGTCCAAAAGGATGGTCACGCGATTGATTGACCCGCAGCTCTGGAAGTGTGCCTGAATCTCCTCGGGTGAAGCGCCGTAGTCGACATTGCCGACGAATATACTCCGCGCATCGATATCTTCCTTGTTCTCTTGAAGGCCCTCGGCCTGCTGCTCCAGCGTCTCCTGCATGTCGCGTAGCTTGGCAGCCTCGGATTCCATCTCCGCAACACGTCGCTTCATGGCGGCGATCTCCTCCTAAATTTGAGAGTGTTTTAGATCAGCTCATGTCGGAAATACCGTGCTATCAAAACCCAGAGATCATGTCGCATTGTAAATGCTTCCACACCCTTGAACCGATCGCCAACCTACCTCGTCGTCCAATCCCTCGTCGCGGGGAGGCAGCTGCTCATCCTTCAATTCTGTGTGTTCTGCAGACATTTTTGGGTGTATTGCAGGGTGCGCGTAAAGTAAAATGAAATCTCGAGGAAGGGTGGGTGAGGATAAAGGTTCTCGGAATTAAGAGAGCAGCCGGCGGAGCTCTTGAGGCGGCTCGCTCGATAGGATAGCAGATGTCGGCTTGGTATGAGAAAGTTTGACACTGAAGAGCGAGTGTCTGGCCGAACTTGCTTTCAATGCAGCGACAAAGGATTTGTTAAATACAAAGGGAACTTTTCCAATAAAGATCTTTGCGGGGCGGAGACTGATAGGAAGGCTCGCGGTCAATTCGGGACTTGAACGAGTTCCGCTTTGAGACTAGTGTGTGGGTCTATCAGCGTGCCTTGTGAGCTTGTCCGGTACTTGTTGTCGCGACGAAGGGCCTTGAGAAGTTGGGATATCTTCTGCGTACGGTTTTTCTTCTTTTGTACGATCAAATTCACTCGCTTGTTTGAACATGGAAGTCGAATCATTAAATTTTGAAGCATTCTGACTGACCAGAGTACGGCCGAGACGGGTGTTCACTGTATATGGAGGTAGACAATTTAATGATTACGAGCAGTCATCTTCTCCTTCCTATGTTTATCTTTCATTCAGCGAACGTGGCAAGATACGAGACTGAAGCATGATTTCTAGATGATTCCATTAGGTGTATCTGCAGGGCAAATCAAAACAAAAGGTAATAGCATACTAGACGGACAGTAGACATGAGAGCGCGACGGAAGGGGGACTATATACATCAGACGATAATGCGTGGAGGAAGGGGGAAGTAAGCTGGGAATCAAGGTGTAACAGACTAGGACGCTGGCGCTGGAGCTGGGGCATGATTTTTGCGGTACGAGACCTTCTCCACCGAGACATTCTCCACGCCATTCGCATCGGTCTTGAGCTGATACACGTAGAGCACCAGGACATCTCCTTGAATCTGTGTCCATCTGTGAGTTATTCATTCAGAGGATATGCTGAGGGTAATGGGTTAACTCACGTCCATGAGACAGAAGCTGGGAGTTGGCTCTTCACCATCCGGCCAGTAGCCGGAGCTCATCGCACCCGTTGCGCTGCCTGGGTTCACAAAGAAGCGGCCCTCCATTTCGAAGGCCTCGAAGCGATGCGTCCCTCCCCAAAGCAAGATATCCACATCCATCTGACGGGCAGCGATCAGCAGAGCATCTGCGTCACCGGGCGGGATAATGGTATGACCGTGGGTGACACCGATGCGCAGGCCGCCATGGTTGACGACCTTGGACAACGGCAGATTGGGGGAGTCGACGTCGTAGTCGCCCTTGACCATCTGCAGGTCTGGGGCTACTTGGCGAAGAAAGTCATAGGTGTCGCGATCAGTCAAATTACCCAAGCAGAGGATTTGACCAATCTTTCCGGGTGTGAGGAGTTTGCGGAACTAGAACGAAAGAACGACAGAGCATGAGCTTAGGGTCACTGGAACCACAGAACCCTGCGAGTTGAAGGTAGAGCGAGATATTGTCACACGAACCTTGGCAGGCAGATCCTATGAAGACGGAAAGGAGAGTCTGTTAGCGCTCAGTTCCTGGGAAGCTCTGATAACATGACCGCCGAAGCTTGTCTAGGCTCATGGACCTACGGGAGCCCGGTCCGGGATGAACAGGTCACCGATGACCAGCACCAAACGGGCAGTCATGCTCAGGTGGTGTGTGTGGGTCTTGACAAGAACTGCTAAGATAGATCGAACACTCAATGGCTGGACCCGGCTGCAAAGAGATTGAGATCTTGTAGATCCAGGCAAGCGCGCGGGCAGTCGGCGATACCAGGCGCGGGCGATCACCAAGGCGGAAGCTTCGCGGGGAAGCCGCGAGCTGATGGCAGCCCTGAGCCCTAGGTGATGGCCCATTTCGGCATAGCGGAGATCACGGATGGGGCGTTGGAGGTCCAGCCGTGAGTTGGTTGACCGAGATGATGCTTGCTATGATGCATGTCAACTTCAAGAGTTGAAGTCCTTGAAATCTACATTTGCCATGTCGCGGCGTCTTGTTGATTGATTGATCCCTTGCACCAATACAACTGGTCCGACGCCAAGTGGATTTGGTCTGCCAGGCAGTCTACGGAAGATGTTGATATTTTCTTCGATTTTCGGAGCTGGCCGTTTTCATCTATTCATACCACGCTATTCATAAATTGTCCGGGAAGTTACCTCCTCACGCCTTAATCGACCCAAACAGTGTGCTCTAGCGGGTTTTACAATCATTTCCATGACCAATGGGCAACTAAAGCTGGAGGTCTGATTGGCATATCTCATCCGATTTCGAGGCTCACCGGCGAGCGTATCGTCTCCAGTCTGGGTTGATCCTGGTAACCATCTTCAGAGTGGCCAACCTTCTTTAGTAGATGTCTATCCTTGTCGTGGCTATTAAGATGCGATGTCATCCATTGGAGATTTTCCGTCATAGGAAGCAGCCGTTACATCATTCATGTAGTTAGTTAGAACATGGTCCTCTATGAATGGTCTGCGTCTTAAAGGGACCAAGTTATGCAATGGTTTGATCAACCATGACCATCATGCTAAGGAAGGTAGTACCACTACCTAAGTTACTACCGCCGTACAGACTGTCAGTCTGTATGCAGTTATTCACTAACTTCCCGTTTGAGACAAGACCCGCTGGAGCTACCCCAGATTCCGATGTTCAGCCGTTCACCATTCACCGAACTCTGCTCTAGGAATAGACTCTACCGCGTAGGTGATAGTCTTGACCCCGATCCAGTCTCGAAACTTCGAAGGCACGAAGAAACAGTATGTTTCTCGAATGGTAGTTTCTGTACTTTCTTTTCATTCGGTAGCGGAAGGGTCCGGCCGTCTACTTTTCTGCGACGGACTGAGGAGAACTACAAACGGTAATACGATGAGAGCCGATGGGGCGGGACTTACAATACTGAAGAGTTACCGTGGGTATCCAGAATCAATAAATAGACTGGGGAATATCCACTGCTGAACTTCTCAATCTCCATCTTTATCTCAACAAGAGTGATATTATTATCTTCAGTCTCTTATACTTCAGGACAAGTACTGCGACCAGCGCGGCCTTATTCTCCAGTACTACAATCGCAGTATCTATACCTCCTCTGCAGCCAATCCCCTTCCCGCTCATCTCCTCCACTCTCTCCCATCGGCGGCGACCCCCGAACTTCGCAGGAGTCTGGTCCCTCGGCAATCCACGAGGCACAAGCAAGAACCGCAAGAACCACCCCCAAGCTGGCTCTACCGAGAGGAAGCTTACTGCGTGGTCTCCAGTTATTCCAGCTGCCGCTGCCAAAAACAGGACCTCCCAGACTGACCCCGCGGCAGCCCCTCCGCCGCATTTCGGAAAAGCTGGCGCCCACGTCCACCACGCAGCGCCTGAGCCTGATCTCCAGACACCTGGATCAGCGCCTACCGTTGCCCGAACTCAACACACCCTTCTCGACCGAGAGAAACTCCCTGGCTCCAGACGATCTTGAATATAAACCAATTGACCGTTCCGTTCCCTCTGCTCCTCTTTCTACCAAATCTCCCACCATGTCGTCTCAACCCCCTCACAACACTCTGCTCATCCCGGGCCCGATTGAGTTTGATGATGCAGTCCTGCAGTCCATGTCCCACTATGCGTGAGTACCTCCTTTGTCCTATCTTCCCCGAGCATGGACGCTCGAGTTTTGGGACTCATAATGGAAGACCTTGCTCCCTCCAAGGTCTCCCTCAAGAGGCGGGAATAGAATGGCTAATGGTTGCCCGCCTGCAATAGTGAGAGCCACGTTGCTCCCGGCTTCGTCAAGGTCTTTGGCGAGACCCTGACTCTACTGCGCAAGCTGTTCCAGTCCACCAATCCTTCTGCTCAACCTTTCTTGATCTCCGGCTCCGGCACTCTCGGATGGGACCTGGTCGCGGCCAATTTGATCGAGCGGGGTGAAAATGCTCTCGTCCTCAATACCGGGTATTTCGGTGACTCCTTCGGCAACTGCTTGACGACGTACGGTGCCGAGGTTACCCACTTGCGCGCCCCCATCGGCGACCGCCCTTCCTTCGAGACTGTCGAGGCTGCGCTGAAGGAAAAGTCGTATAAGCTGGTGACGGTCACACACGTCGACACCTCCACTGGTGTGCTGAATGACATCAAGCGGGTCGCCGAGATCGTGCGTCGGGTCAGCCCGGAGACCTTGGTGATTGTCGACGGCGTGTGCAGTGTGGGCTCCGAGGAGATCGCCTTTGATGAATGGGACCTCGATGCCGTGGTGACCGCCTCGCAAAAGGCCATCGGATGCCCTCCGGGTCTGAGCATTGTGTACTGTTCAGGACGCGCCATTCAGCGCGCTCAGTCTCGCCAGACTCCCCCGGCTTCCTACTATGCCTCCATGGCCAACTGGCTGCCTATTATGCAGAATTATGAGGCCTGCAAGCCCTCGTACTTTGCCACCCCGCCAACTCAGCTTGTCCACGCCCTGCACACCACCCTGAGCCAGATCACCGCCCGTCCCATGTCGGAGCGCTTTGCGGTCCACACTGCCGCCTCAGACAAGGTCAAGGCTGCCGTTGCCGAGATCGGTCTCTCCCAGGTGGCTGCCAAGCCCGAGTGTCAGGCCCACGGTATGACGGCCATGTACCTGCCGGACGGTTTGGCCCCGCCTGATGTGCTGCCGGGTCTGCTGAAGCGCGGTGTCATCTTCGCAGCCGGTCTACACAAGGAGATCGCCACCAAGTATATCCGATTTGGCCACATGGGTGTCAGCGTGACGGATCCCCAGCGCAATGATATTGAGAAAGCTCTGGCTGCGCTGAAGGAGGCTTTGGCGGAGGCCAAGCAGGCCAAGGGTCTGTAAAGACTTTGAATTTGTGTATACATGCGGTCGTGGGTCGACCATGGACTGCCAATTAACTTCTTTGAGTGTCTATATGCATAGAGCAATTCAACCACTTTGCACCCCTACCGTCTCCTGCGTTCTTACTTGCCCAACAAGAAAAGATTGCCCCCACGGTACTGTCGTTTGCCGAGATATCTTGTTGATGCAAATCTTAACCTAGCCCCATGACCATGAGTCAAGTATCTGCTCTATCGTCCATATCTCTGTATTTTTCGACACATGAGTTGGTCCTCCCGAGTTCTTTCGAAGCTGTGGCCGACGAGAGTTCCGTTTCGAGTGATTACGCAGAGCCCCCGTACCGTCCGTCCTAGACCAAAATACTAGTATCACATTGACTCTGAATCGGAAACCGTCCTTCTCATTGTTTACCCCATGTAGATATTAATCTCCCCGTATAGTAAGAGGAGTATGCAAACACAACGCTATGCCCTGAAACCAATCACTCGGACAATTCCCAGCACTGAAACACCCAAAATGCTAAATGATGGAAACCCCCTCAAACCCCCACTGAAATGCATCCTGAATCCCCATCCGTCTCTTCTACCCTGCCTCGTCCCTTTTCCTTCCTACTACCCCTCACATCATAACCCCCAACGCCAACCCCAAAAACGCTACCCAAGTCCCCGACCTCTTCACGGCATTCATCGCGGCTCCAGACGTCGGGCTCGGTCCCGCCGTCGTATTCCCCCCCCTGTAATCCGGTCAACGTCTTCGTGGGCGCAGCGTCCGAAGTCCCGGATCCAGATCCCGTCTCGCTCCCACTATCGCTATAGTCCGCACCAGCGTTGTTTTCTTCCAGGCCGCTGGGAGTGCCGCTGGATGTTGCCGATGCGTTATGGGGGTGTGTGTTTGTGCCGGTGGCGGTCTGGCTAGGTGCGGCGCCGAATGTGGTGGTGGTGGCGTAGGCTTTGGCGTTGGCGCAGTTTTGTTGGCGGATGCTTTGCGCGGTGGTGCTTGCGATTAAGTCGGGGCAGTTGTTGTAGCAGCTGTGATGGGAAGGAAGAAGAAGAAGAGATGTTGTTAGTCGAAACTCAGGAGTGGGGGTGTTGGAGATTCAGGTTCTGGATGATGGACGAAGTGAGTTCAACTTCTGATCTGATGGTGGGAACAACATACTCGACGACGTTGGTGCTGCGAGTGCATTGGCATGCAAAGTCATAAGTCTCGCAGCCCTCGAGTTGGAATTGCATATCTTGAACACATCGGTCGACAACACTGTGATGGATGAATGGTATGTTAGTATCCATGGTGGGAAACACTTGGTTGATATGCCGCGAGTTGTATCATTGACAATATACCCTCTTAAGGGTTGTGTTTGTTGCAGTGGATGGTATCAACCAAATGGATAGACCTGGATGCTGATGCTGTGATGAAGCTTACTTTTGCGCAGCGCACGTCTTTGAATTAGAAGTCTGACCAACGACAACAGAGGCTGTGGCAGCGATGAGAAGCGGAAGTCTGGTAGCGGCAAAACGCATGGTGGCGGCTGAGCTGATGAAGAATTTCCGCGATATAAGGTATGATTGACTCGTGTATAGGAGAAGACGAAGGTGGGTATTGTAGAACAAGACAATATCACAGTGGTATTCGTGGACGATGAGAATGGAAGGATGTAGCACCTTTGGAAATGTAGTGGGACCTCGGCTTCATATAGAATCCGAGACTAGCTATACGAACTCTCATCCTGTGCGATTCTGGACATTCTCTTTCACTCGACACATGTAAAGCTTTCGAGCTGGGCATAACACATGCCTCTATCCGGCAATAAGTTGAACAAGGGGTGGGGAAATCGAGACACCAAAACGCCCACGTCAATAGTGAGAAATGAATGCAAATGGACAGGCCGCGCTGAAAATGCCCCAGAAGAGTAGAGTAAGCGCAAAGTTCCAGCTCGACTGGAGAACAGTAGACATGATTTGATGTGGCTGGTGGCTTGAACACCATCGAATACCATCAAAAAGGTTCAATTCGGCTTTCCGCAAGAGGGTCATCGGCATGGAACCCTATTTTTCCAACGGTTCGGTAGTTCGGATCTGGGGGAAAGCTACTCCACCTCAACGGGATATTCATCAAGAACCAATAATTAGATTGACTTGAAAAGAGTCGTCGCTCTGATCGTGGCCTCCGGATCTCCAGACATTCTTTCTCGAGTCTGGGGTGGTTGGCTACATTCCACTGAGGTGATGGTATTCCATCCCTTGTAAAATGTCCCCCACTGACTTCTCGGTACGACAACTTCAATCTCACGCGGTTGAGAGTCTACGAGCTTGGAGATCTAGAGCCCAATATCCAGGCCATCTGACTGCCTCGGCATTTAGACCCGACTTGCGCCCTCAAAAGTGGATGATCCGAAGTGTTCGGGTCGATTCCAGTCGAGTAGCACTCATGCGCATTGGCTGAGTTTGTGACTTCCTCTTATAATAGATTTACGAACTAGATCTGATTGTGGGCAGCTCAACTTGGATGTGCCTTTTTATACTTCCCTCGTTCATTTCCAATCGATCATGAACTTTGTCGACGAGTGAGATGCTACCTATCGACTGAGAACAGTGATATATTGTCACTCATTGGGCGATTGAAAGAATTGAGACGAGGAGGATACACCCGGTGAGACTGGTACGACGTTAGCCCGTAAAAAGGGCTCCAAGGTATGACTGCACTTGGTCGTATACAACCCCCTACGATGGGAGTCGGTCGGTATAGCACGGCCACCACTGGTTCTCCGTTAACCTTGAGCACTTGTCGGTCACTTTGGTCTGGCGAAGCATGCCAGAGTCTGGTATACATACCACAATAGGCACTAAAGGAATCAATTGGGAGTTCTTTCGACTAAAAAGCGAACAAGACAGGCCGTACACAAAATCTGCAGATCCCTCACTGCAGAGTTTCTGTGGAGAGGACTAGTGATTCCTCTGCGAATTCAAGATGTCACCAGCTCCTGTCAGCGATGCGTGGTCGCCTGCAAAGGCAAACCAACAGATTCCCTCCGCTGAATGTTCCACACATGCCCATGTCAAGCACTGGCGATCACACCGGTCCAGCCGCTTTAGACTGACAGAACGAATCCCCTATGATGAGATGCGGCTGCAGTAGGGGTAGCCGTACGATGTGAGAGAGCGATGAGGATGAGATTGCTACGGAGGAGAGGTTCTATCTACGCTATGAACTGTGGTGAGCGGCAGATTCACATACCATACAAACACCCAGCATCTTGAAGGTGTTGTACGTCGCAATCTCCACGCCATACCCTCGCAGAGTCCTGGGCAAGCGTCTTCGCTGACAATGGCTCTGGTGGCCGAGGGCTTGTGAAGTTGGCCCCCGGCTACCTTGCCCTAGAAGGTGCTGAGTGACCCCTAATAACAGCAGCTACTTCTGGATGGTTCCCATGAGGAGATGACCTCGCTTATCATACATGGACGATTCAATCCACGGGACTTTTTGGGCGTAATGACTGAAAGCTTTAAGCCTCCAGGAACGAAAAGAGCTTATTTAAGTTGATAGCAGCAATGCAGGAACGAGCTTATGTGGATCGCTTTGAGCAATCGATAATGGAAGAGTATCAGTCCTCTCGTGGTTCTGAATGCCGGCACCACCTCCGGAGTTCTCGCTACGTCAGGCTCGCCTTGGATGTGCTGGGCTCAGATCTTGCAGCTTATGCATCTTAGACTGCATCGGAGTATTTACCTCAGCACATGACACACACCGCCCTTCCGCTGCGAGTAGTCTCATTGAATTCCACTGGGCAGTTGATGTTACAGATGACGGCCCCTGTCGATTTATGGCTTGGACGAGATGACATCCAAGCTTTCCACATTCGGAAAACGGTTTAAATCATCTGATTCATGACATCAGCCAGGCCATTCTCTCCGCGCTTTTTGCTGCACTCAGCAAAAATTTAGCCTTCTGAGGTATGAAGTCGATGGAGATTCACGCCAATGCAGTCCCTATCTGGCGGCCCTGGATAGGGGTGTCCAGGGCACTCTCTCCAACCGGGACTCTAGCTGCTCTTACGATGTTCAACAACAGGCCGTGATGAGAACTGGCTCCGCACTTGCGCAATGCTTCCAGGTTGGCAAGTGGCATTGACTGCTGCATACATCGGTGAGAGCTTACGCATAACTAGAATCAGATCAACAAGGTCGAATCGCTCAATCCTCGGTCAAACTTAAGGTGCATTGTGTAAGCAACCTGCATATCCATATCCTGGTTTCTACACCCCAGAATTCTCAGCCAGTGTGCAGTGTACAGAGACCTTGAAGTCATTGCGCGTCCATTTATTATGCTTGCACTAGTGTCGATCACCTATGAGGTATAGGAGTGATCTGTCGAGGCAAAATTATCCGCAAACTCAGAGACCTTCTGCACTATTTCCTGAAGCCCTGTCCTGTCCCTGGCTGCTACAGTCATCGTGACCAAACTGGCTTCCTGAAGATGCACCCAAGCTGTGAGTACGAGAGAGCCACTGCACAATTCCTCGGCAAAGTGGCTCTCGAACTCAGCCTGCGTACACGTCAAACGAAATGTCGACATTGCCGCTGCCTCGGAAAACCCGCGGCGCGTAAAATGTCCTCGCAGTGGACCCAGGTGATACGTTGCGGTGATGCGAACATTGAGGTCCACGACGAATTGCACCCCCGTCTCATCCGTCATGATGTCCACGCCTGCGGGACCATAGTATCCGTGTTTGTGGAGAAAATGCGCCACCGCATCCATTGTCTCGCGGTATTGGCTTTCCAACACGGCTTGTTCGTTGTAGGAGACCAACCCGCCTGACCAGATGTATGCATCATCCACATCCTGGTGATTACAGCAGTTGAAGATTGCGCGGCCGGTCTGCGTGACAAAGAAGTTCAGACTGGCGGTCTCGCCGGGGACCATCTCCTGGATGATCACGTTACAGGTTGCAAGACATTCGTTTGCGGGATTCAACGCGAGCAGCATTAATTTGACCTCCTCGAGGAAGACCTCGTACACGGATGATCGATCAGCCTCGGTGTGGACTATAAAGGTGCCCTGACCGACACCGGTGATGCGAGGGACTTTCACGATGAAAGGAATGGGAGTTTCGAGGATTGGCTTGGTCATACGGGCGATCTCCGGCTGCAGGTCCTTGTCGGTGAAGGGCTCCGTCGGGGAGGGGGAGAGGACAGTGTCTATGACGATCGTCCTAGGCGTAGGAAGACCAGACTTGGCGAGTCCACGCTTGGAGAGCAGATTGTAATGGATCCGGGGGTCAATAACTTGTGGGATATGAGAAAACCAGTCCAATGGGCCAGTGACGGCCAGCTTTGTCTTTGCATCAAGGCGGAACTTGGACAAGTCACTGATGGGTACAAATAATGGAAGCGGCCGTTGTTTCTCCTGAAGCTGACTGAACACCTTGGAGATGTCTGCTTGAGAGCGTCCATGGGATGAACATTGGCTTTTTTGACTTTCTGACTCCAAGACGAGAATCCGCATTGGGCCGGCACAGAATGCGAACCTCTGTGCTACGAGATGGAGGATCGTCCGGGTGAGCTCATCCTGATCGTATGCTGGACATAGTGGTGCCTGAACAGGAAACTGTTTGATAGCCGGTATATGGGCTGCCAGTGGGATACTGGGTGGCGGTGCGTAAGCATTGACCATGCAGATATCGTAGTCTTGATCGTCGGCATTGTATAGATCGTGAAGGGTGTAGTCCAGCACCACAGACCCAGGGGCACTCATGATGATTCGGAGAGTTGGTTGTATAAAATGCACTTCTACTTGGCAGGGCCGACATGTGGTATTTATTCTTTCGTGGATGCTCGTATCAAAAGACTGATGCACTTCTGAAGTTCTGACCGCCCCTTCCCTCTATTCCAGCTCGATCTCACTTCAACCCTTACATAAGAGGGCAGCATCTACGACTAGGACCACTCATTTAAGCTCGTGGCAGACTACCACTTCTCCGCATGATTTCGTCCGTCCCATCGGTATACCGAGCTCAAGGCGCTAGCTGAGGCCAGTATCATTGTGGACAACAATCTTGATCACCTGTAACCAAAGCCCGATGAGACGTTCAATCTATAAACCACTACCTCTGCACACCTCAGCGTGGAATTTCCAATTGACGAAATTCTCAATGCAAGACCGTGGATCGAGGCGAAAACACGTACGGAAGAACCTGGCTCTTGTTCCCGGCCATTTCTGCAGATATGAGCCACTTTACACCTATCAAACATCATGGAAGTGTGCATAACATATGTTCAACTGGAATATATCATAGGCAAGGCCTCATGGATAGGCATGCATGTGTCCTGCGCGTCGAGCCCAGGGTGATCTGTCAAGTTTAGGACCCGCGTTATTTTGTCGAAGCATGTTTCTCGGCCTATCGGAGGCTTCGAGACTGGTGTTGTGAGATCTTGAAGTTCTTTGCAACTTTGACTTGGGAGACTGAATCACCGGCTTTCTGAATGTCCAGATTGGATCGATATAGTCGGGGGGGGGGGGGGGGGGGGTGACTCCAGCAGACCGAACCTCGGGAAAAGACATACGAGAAATGTCCAAAGCATGAAGACTGAAGTGGCGGTAATGGTGAAATGGTGGAAAGGTTGTCTTGTCGGGCACACGTCGGAGGTTTCATGGCATGGCCTTCCATCTTAGAGAATCGATTACTTCGCAGCTTGTATGACTGTGCAATATGCGTTGGACTAGAACCTAGTGAGCCCCCCGCCAAGACTGTACTCCAGTTCTGACAGGGCGGGAGCTGCTCTTCACAGAAACAGACTTTTCGGGGTTTCTCGGCCCATGCACCTGAACTCGTTCACCAATGCAGTCTGGTGTTTCACGGGAGGATGCAAGGGTGTCTCCAGAAATACCTTCAGCCTCTGGAGTCTGGACCCGTCGTCTCCTAATTATGGGGGGGGAAAATACTGAGGACTTGTCTTGCAGGTCTTCAAACCCCACATGTTGGCCTTACACTGCCTAGTCGATCATCATCGATGCACAGGTTTGCTACACAAGACACCTGAAGCACGTTTTTCTATGCTAAGCAAGGAGAGTTGGGTACTACTACTACTACTACTACTACTACTACTACTACTACTACTACTACTACTACTACTATAAGTCTCTCGAACTAAAATCGAAGTACTCCCAGCGCCAAGGTAATAGGTCCGCGACAGTAATGCTTGCACGTCTAGTAACTAGCATCGGAAGACGCACGAATTTCACACCTCGCGCATAATCCCCTCAGGTAGCATGTCCCAAAGACAGTTTCCCGGGTATTGTTCGTTCTACTTTAATCATTTGAAATGAACCCAGTGACAGCTTTCATTTTGATAGCATCTTGCAATTCGACACACATATTGTCCTCTCTTCTTCTTCTTCCGCGGACATAGACAAGGCAGTCCTGAGTTCTGTTCATCCTGAGTTCTGTTCAAGCTTTTTTCGTGCGCTTTGAATACCTTCTCACATGACTATCTTGGACTTCTCTCTTCTTCCGCGATGCTGGATCTCCCGCAGTCTCGGCCTTCTCCTTCTTCTCTTCTTTTTCCTGCACGGGTTCCACCATTGTCTCCGATGCAGACTCGACAAGACCAATTTTCTCAACACCAGCCCCATCTCCAAAGAACCCAGAAACCGCAATATTGCGCACAACAAATGCAGCCCGCTCGATATCAAGATGAGAAATAGCAGCCATCTCAGTACGATCCGGGCCCATCCCAGCAGGCTTCCCTTCCTCGGCGGCACGATTCAGTCTCTCGTGGACCGCCCAGCATGATTCCCATAATTGGCCATACTCGGCGAGATTATATTTGACGTTCAATACAGAGACATTGGGCCGGTTGAACTCGGGAAGATTGCCATGTTTCGTTTCCGTGCCTTGACCGTCTTGCTCATCTCCGCTTGTAGGTTCAGGGAAGTCTTCCAGACAGAGCCAGAGATATACATCATCACTGAAGAAGGGGACTTCCTGTTTCACGGTGGCGGTCTGTTGACCGTTGCCGTCTTCTTTTTCAGGACTTGTGGCAGTTAAGAGGGAAAGGATCAAAGAGGCTGTAGCGACACCAACGCCGCGCACGGGACCGAATGCATCGAGGCTGTCGTTGGGAAAGGCCTCGTCTGGTTTCGAGAGGGGATTCTCTCCAGTAGATAAAGCGGCAAGAGCGGCCGAAACACTCTTTCTCACTGTTTCATCCGTGTTGGACTTGACCATGCTCATGAGGACCGGGCGGTTGACCCCATGTTTTCTGAAGTCGAGATCAGCGCATGTCGGACCCAAAGGTCATTCGTCTTGCGAGTGCTCTCGTCACTCTTTCTCGAAATAAATGCACGCAAACTCGACCAACGCACGCGAAAAGGAGAAAAAGGGGATAAGAACTCACAATTTCCACTCCATCGTCCTAACCAACTCCTCCTTCCCAAACATCTCCGCCCTCGACACCCCAGCATACCGCCAACCATCCAACTCCAAGAACGCATCAACCGCCGCCCTCACGCTCTCCCTCTCCTCATCACCCAGCTGCCCGCTCTCAATCTCAACGGGGATCTTTCCCCAGACCGGTACTATTTTCTCAGCTTTCCCGCGCGACCGGGCCTGGGCCTGGGCCTGGATCTTTTTCGGCCATAGTTTGAGCAGTGCTTTGTTGCGGTGCACGTTGCGGACGGTCGTCGGGTAGCATGTTAGGAGGTGGTGGAAAGTGGACCGGGTGATGTGTTTGGGGTGGAGCGTTGTGGTGGTAAATGGGATCGGGATTGGCAGTGGGCTTGGAAGTGAGGATGGTGTTGTACTGGGTACGTTTATCGGGGCATTTTCATGTCCGGATATTTTGGGGGCCGCTGGAGAAGGCGGCTGAGCTGGTGGAGACGGATAGGGCATTTCCACGGGTCTGGCTGCAATTGCTCGATAGCTGGATTGGGTTGGGGGGAGGTTGTGAACTTGCGATGTTTGGGATGAGCCTTCTGTCTGGCGACTCGGGGGTCGAGTCCGCTGGGGTTTGGACTGAGAGCACTCAGGAAGAAAAGATCAATGTTCTCACTTTTCAAACACGATCTGCTACTGGATGATGCGCGAAAGACGCGAGAATTATCAATATTTGAGCTGCGCGTTCAGTACTCGCGGTCTAAACAATACGGTCGAGGCATCTTGACAGACTCCCGTGGTGTCGAGTCCTGGAGACGCAGCGCAGCACCCAGAGGGCGTTATCGCGATAAGCTTTCCCGCGGTCGACTGTAGCTTGTCCGATGGCCGAGGCCCATGCTTGCTGGAACAGCTTCGGCCTTAACGTACCTTTGATAAAGTAGACCTTTGTATGGATGTCGCTGCTTGAGCCGAAGCTCTCATGAAGATACTACCAGGTCGTTCAAGAGATACGAAATGACTCCTCTCCGTCTGCTACACAATCCTTTCGAAAATCAAGTACCTCCACGAATCGATAGCAACCAAGTCTTCATAAGTCTATACCTCGACTGTAACATTTTAAGTGCCTGCCGGCAGCCACATTAGCAGCACAAGAACACGGACACCTATATACATGATCCAACAAAAGTCAAACACCAGCAATTCAATCAAACACCATGCTGGCCGCGAAAGACCACTATGTCATGGTCTCGGATTGGGAAGGAGAAGCTAGTCATGGAAAGTGAATGAAGTGGGAGACTCGATGGAGGGAGGGGGAAAGGGAGTAGAGAAGGGAAAAATAATAATGTCAAAAAGGTTTCAAAACAATCATCATCAAACAGAGTAAAGAATAGAAAGACTCCAACATCACAAAAGGGTCATCATCCGTTTCACGCACATGCGCAATCAGCAGGTAAACCCCGTCCATCATCAAGACAGAGGGTGGCTATGAGCGACCGGCAGCGATATTCAAGTCAAATTAAAAAGAACAAATCAGGTGTCGGTTCAAGAATACGAAAGAGGAGTGAGGGGGTGAGGGAAAGAATTGAGGAGCAGAGTTGACCCGGTCGGGCGGTGCAGGTGGGTGCACGCACTCGGCTAGGAAAAGAGGAGAGGAGTGAATGGTTGGAAGAGCATACATGGCAAATCATCATATGTGAAGTCAAGGGCACTAGCACATGAGATGCCACAGCCTCATCAGTGAGAGGGTCGGGTGTTGTTCTTGTCCGCATGCCCATGTTGACCATCACCTTTGAGTTGCAAGTCATCGGCCTTGGCATCACCGAGTCCTGAGCTCATGGTGAACCTTTTGCGGTTGTGCTTGGGCGGCTTGGGAATCGGGGCAGTCGTCTGAGATCGAGGGTCTGCGAGAGCAGGACCGGACTTGGGTTCGGGGGCAGCGGCGGTAGACGGGGCACCAGCGCGCTCATCATCCTCAACCTCGATATGGCGGAACTCCTGTTCTTCCTCATCGGCCTCAGAGGAGCTCGGGCTATCTGAATCGGAGGCAGCCTCATAGTCATCCTCATCGTCGCTCACCAGACTGGGCGCCTGATTGGACTCGAGAGCGTTAGGGCTCAAGTTGGCGGAGTGGACGAGGCCATCCCCGTCACATGCACCATCAACCAGTGAAGGATGAGGTTCCCGCGGGAGCGAGGCAAAGTCGAGGAATGAAGGCTGATACGAGGGGCGCGTGGGAGTCGCGGCGAGCGAGTCGGCTTGCTCTTCTCGAGTCGTGCCCTTGCGACTTTCCGGTCGCTGCAAAGTAGTGGTGGCTTTCGCGGTGGGGATCCGCATTGGCTGGCGAGCCGCAGAAACGCCGTCCCGAGAGGAAGGTCGCTGAGATCCGGTGGATTGATTGCCTGACTCCGGGTCCGAGTCGTCGTCAAAGAGACCACTGAGGTCGACAGGGGTCTTGGCCTCTTGTACCATCTTGTTCAGGTCCAGGCCATGCCCACGCTCCCTCATGAGAGCAGACAAGTGAGGCGTCGCGGGTGAGGCCAAGAAGGACGGGTGCTTCTCCACCTTGAAACTTCTGGACTGACGACGAGACTGAGCCTTGGGCTGTCCATTCACCGGAGACTTCTGGGGGGGGGACAATGGGCGACTCCGCAGAGGGAATCGGGAGTTGGGCCGACCGAATCAACGGGTGCACCAAACCGGAAGCTGGCACATGACTGGCGATGGAGTCGCCGCGGGGGGTGGCGGTCACAGGAGAGGCAGCGGTGCTAGTGGCAGTGGTACCGATGACGGCGCCGGCCTCATCAACTTCCACAGGCTCACCCGATGCCATGGCCGCCGCATCGTGACTAGCAAAGTTTCGGTTGTGGGCGATCCGACAGTGATTGATGAACCCCTGCGTACTCGAGAAGTTATCGCGCCGACAGTCCAAGCACACTAGCTTGACCCAGACCTGATCCGACTTGCGTCGGATGATCATCGGGCCCGGCTTCTCCTTGGGTACGGGATACCCGGCGGACAGGGACTGGAACTTGCTCTGGGGTATGGCCCGCGAGGGTCGGGTCTTGCCCGCCAGCGAGCTAAAGTCCAGGGGATTCCCACGGGTCGAGCGACCCTCGGGCACTGCAAAGCTGCCGTTGCGCGTCGGCCTAGAGGCTCCGTCCAACTCGCCCCCGTCGAATCGAGGATCTGGAAGAAGCCATCGTGCATAATGGCGCGAATAGGCACCTTCCGTCACCCCCCAGGGCGCAGGCGAGATCGGTGCCGGCCCATTTCCAGGCGCCAGCACCGAGGCACCCACGCCCGCGCTCACATCGGCTGATATCCCGGAGACTGCCGATCCCGGGTATGGAATCTCAGCACAGCGTCGCAGCTGTTCCAAGGCGACTTGACACTTGGCAATCTCCTGGTCAATCAGGCGCAGCTCGTTGTGCTTGAGGAGAACCTCAAGACTGAGCTGAGCGTTGATGGTGTCACGCACGAGGTTCGCGCTCGGTCGCCCCTTCGTCGTTGGGGTTTTGATCGGCGCTGGTACTGCCTCTCGCGCTATCGAGCTGGGCGGTGATGCCGGCGCCGCGCGACCGAGGGTCGCATCAGGCGTGGACTCTGACTTGATGGCTGCGACCGCGATTGATGGAGTCGCCACCGTCGACGAGTCGTCGTCCGTTCGCGGCCTTGTCGCAGGGGGCGCCTCCGTGATGGAGGAATCGGAGCGTTTGCGCTTGAGCAAAGGCGGGATCGCTTGCGACAGCGCACTGACTTGAACATTCAAATTCATGTTGAGGGTCGATGGACAGCTAGCAGGGGCCAGCATCTTCGCGTCCTCGGGCAACACCTTGTTCCCTCCTATGGGAGAAGGCCAGGGCAAGAGGCGAAACATGCCATGCGAAGGAGGCAAGCCGACCGAGTTGGGCTGGAGGAGGCCGAACGGGGGAGCAGACTTAGGATGAGCAACCACGGACGAGTCGGTCCATGCGCGAGAGGGTGGCCGGTCGGACACCTTGAGATGAGGTAAGGGTGTTGGACTGGATATGATTGGCGGTGACCGGTGGGAGATCGTTTTGTTTTGATCACTCCGGGTTGGTCTTTTTTTGGGGGAGGGGGGGAAAGATTTCTCTCTTTTTTTTTTTTCTTTCGAGGGCGTTTTAATTTGGAGAGCAAAGAGGTGATGTCTGGAATGGAATTGTAGAGGTTGAACCAGACGATAAAATTACAAGAGGGTGGTGGCGGGTGAGGAGGTGGTCGAGGAGCGGACTGGGGACGTGAGGCGTGGAGGTGGTGAGTGAATTCAGGGAAAAGGGTCAAGGTCTGGGGGGGGGGGGGGGGGGGGGGTGAGGAGGAATAACAGAAAGAGCGGACGTTGACGACGTAGAGAGAATGTCGCGCGACCGTGTCAACTGGGGACCTTTTGGGTGGAGAATGGGGGAGGGTACCCGGTGGGGAGGATTACGGAAGACGGTGGCGAAAAAGAAAAACCGTGTGAACTGTAGTCAGAGCCGTCACGGAGAGAGAGGTGGAGGTTGATGAGGCAAGGGGAAGAAGGAGAATCTGAGGTGGTGAGAGGGAGGAGGGAGGAGGGAGGAGGGAGGATGAAGGAGGGATAGGAAATTGGGCAGGAAGGGAGGGGGGAAGAGCACCAAACGGAGGAAGAAGGAGGAAGAAGGAGTCGGAAAGAGTAAGAAGAGGGTGGACGAGAGATCCAAGACTCCGACAAGACGTCTACCACAGGGGGAAGCAACAGAGTCGAAGGTGAGCCGGCGGTGGAAGATGGAACAGTGGACGAGAGGAGCCAGTAGTCGAGGAAGAAGTGGGAGAAGAAGAAGAGGAGGGCCAACAGTAATGATGATGATGATGATGTTGTTGATGATGGGGATACGGTCGATCAGTCCAATAGTTTGTCCTCCTCACGGGGATAAGAGAAGGGGGTAATGAGTTTTCTTGGGGACCTGTAACTGACCGTGCAGACTGATAATGACAATGACCATCACCATCACCAGAATGAAACCTCCTCTGAGTCCTTGCTGCAGTCCTTGGTCTTACCATCTATTTCCTCTGAGTACTTTCATAGGCATCTGGATCCAACAGTCGTCGAGGGGACTAGAAGAGAGACTCGTATATTCAGGGATTTACTGAAAGCCTAGCCGTACTATGACTAGGATACATCGGTACCTGAAAAGTGACTACGGACTACTAGTTAGTAACTACTAACTAGTACTACTAGTCTCGATCGAAGACTAGTATAGTAGTAGGGTAATGATCATATTCACGATTCTGAATAGGTGTTGCAGATAGACCTGGTAGAAGGCAGACACAAACCACCATCACTAGAGTCACGCTCACGATCCACACTACACAGTACACAAGTACACAGCGAGAAAAGGAAGAAAAGGGGAAGATGAATCGTGGACCCCTCCAGGGCCTAAAACCCGCTGCAGGTGGCTCGACCTCCTCGGGCAAACAACAACACCCACCTCGACCCAATGATGGCCTTCTCCGACGATCAATGGGGACGATGGAGCAACAAAAGACTACAGATGAGCTATCACGTCAAGCCTTCATAGGCTGTGGTCCTTCACCCCAGTCCACCGGAAAGTGGAGCCATGATATGATTTTCAAACATGTCCGAACAGATTGTGAGACTGAGATCGGGGGCGCGCTTTGTCTAAAGGGACAACGAACTGACGAAGTGACTGATGACTCCAAGGGTAAGGAGTGACCTTGTGGAGGACTGAGTAGGGAAGTACTACTGATTAGTACTACTAACTCGGCATCCTTCTGCAGAGGGCAGAGATCGTCCCTTCTAGGAATCTCCAGGCTGCCACGGTCACGGAGGCAGGTGACTAGGGCATGACTCCTTTCAGAAGTCGGAGAGGATTGCAATCCTTAGTTAGTCGGTGTGTCTTAATAATCCAGATGTAGTCGGGCCATCTCTGAGGCTGTATCATTGGAAGAGCTCCAGTCTGAAAAAGCCTATCAGCCTAGACACGTCATGCATTTTGTTGCCGAGAGCCTGGGACCTCTGGGGCTAAAGTTTCAAAAGTACAAAGCGGAGGTACTTCGGAGCTGCTGGAAGATCGACGAGCACTGACTGTAGTACTCTTCTCCGTTCGAGAAGGATCTCAAACCGATGCGCGACCGGGTCCATTGCATGGGATTCCCCAATCCAACCAGGCTACTGCTATCTTATGTGAGAAATGAGACATCAGAAGAGATCATGTTCTTGATTTGATACTTGAATAGCACCAATCAGATCATTATTCTGGAAATAGGGTGCATGTACCGACCGTCGCTTAACCTGTGATCAAAGTGATTGATCACACATGTTCATCGTCACATGAAGAGTACTCCGATCGGACGCGCAGATGTTAAAGGGTATGAGGGTACTAACTTCAAGTGACTAACAAATTTGTATACCCGGCTCACCGTCGTCGCGATGAGCTGAGTACAGTACTTGTAAACACTCGACTATAGAATGTAGACTGTAGAATGTAGACTGTAGAATGTAGACTGTAGAATGTAGACTGTAGATATACAGTACTGCCCTTTAAGCGTGTTGGTGTGTACTGTGTTCTCTTTACAGTCTCGTGAGTCTACTGCGAGCGCAAAACCGGATGCGTGCGGCTCCCCATCCATGTTTCGGCGACTGGTTCCAGCCGACGCAAGCCACTCACGCACGGACAAATCCTATCCACCCACACTCTCGGAAAGGTTAAGGAACAGGCCTAGACACCTAACACCTCCAGTCCCAAAAACGAGGCTTACAACATCTGGATTCAGTAGCCTACCTGTAAACTTAGTAACCTACTTGGGCGCTAGACCCAACGCTACCTGGCAGTGCAGGACTGCAGGTTGCCAGATTGCCAGGTTGCCAGATTGCCAGATTGCCAGATTGCCAGATTGCCAGATTGCCAGATTGCCAGATTGCCAGATTGCCAGATTGCCAGATTGCCAGATTGCTAGGTAGTAAGTTACAGGCAGTCAAGCACCATGTTCAAACGTTGACGCTATCGCCGGTACTACGATATGTGAGGGACCACCTACCTACGAGTACTAGGCCACTCCTATAATCCTAGCGAAAGAACAAGCACAGTCTCCGACTACAAGGTGTCAGGTCACTCGGGTGTACTGACTCAGTACTCAGTACTCTAACTAATTTATGTACTACGCCAACTCAGGTACTGTGCCTTACTGCCTTGGAAGCTGCTTGGTCCTGGCCCAGAATGCTCCAAGCTCCCACCCATGGACGGACCAGGGCCGCCTGTCTCGGTCAATCCATAACAGCTCCGGACAACTCACCACCTCACTCCACCGCCCCGTGACCAGTATCCCAGCTGGAGATGCCTACAGATGCACAGTATGGAATCATGGATTGGTCCAGTTTCCAACTGTCCGCTCCCGAACCCCGTGCCTTCAAAGTTGAGAAGTCTTAAGACTTGGATCGAGGGTGTGCCAAGAATCTAGTAAGGTGTGGTGGGGGCATACAAGTTCTATCCTTTACTTTTTGGCTGATCACGTATATCAATGCTGTAGCATGGCCACTTGAGTCTACTTATGTGGAGCGCTATACTTTATGAACTACTATTAACTATACCATCTGAGCACGCTTATCTGTGCCTATCCATGACTTTGGTACTCCCTATGGGACTTTCCGTGCAAGACGATGATATTCCACTGATGTAGAAGCCTTTTGCATTTCAAAATAAGAGCCAGATCTTGTATACATAGCAGGAAGTTCTCTCTGTCGAAAGAGCTGGTTCCGGAGTCCGGAAAGTGGCAGGCAGCCTCGGCTTACTAAACCAGCCGTTTGCTTCAAGAGTCAGGTAGGTTGGAGCTAATCAGATCGGAGTCAGAAGATCGCAGATAACGATAAGATCCACGTGATTTATGCTCTTAGGTCGACGGACGAGGTTATACCCAGAACCGGGCCCACATCCTTGATGAAAGTAGGTATAGGCCAGGGCAAGGAGTCTGCACCTACTGCTGTACTCATACTATATATAGTAGGATGAGTAGAGTCCTGTGTCTACGAGCTATCTCACACCAGCAGGATGACTCGAGCAATCTGCATTCAAGTAAAGCATGTGCAAGGAAAACCAAGACTCACCAAGAAACAGGATGAAAAACATATCCCACAGAACAATGCTAACAACCTTAGATGTCTCGCGGCCCTACAGCTTCCCTTTCAGTTCACTTCGTCTACTACTCCCATCATATCCTTCCTCTCATAAGTCCTTCAAAACTTCATTCTGCCGGCTAGTAAGGGTCTCAACCTATTCCTCATAAACCCAAAGACCTTACCTTATGACTGCATACAAATGCACAAGACATTCAATCACATTCTTCTCCAACCACCACGTAACACCGAGCTTGACTAGACTTGACCATACCGATATTCTACTCAAACAGTCCATCGGGGGTATTTTTACCCTGGTGCCTGCGGTACATTCATATGAGCAGAATTGATCAGGTCCGTCTCGTCTACAATCCCACAGGAACTATGTACCTCGTTCCCACAAATTACATGACATGACTGAGCTCTGGTATGATTTATTCGACTGGATGCCCGGGTCGAAGCATCAGGTACCTAGCCTCGTTTGCTTCATCAACTCCATTCACGGGTATCCGCCTCCACCTTGCAGAACTCACATGCCCAACGGACCGCCCCAGAAGTTCCGTCTCCGATGAAAGATCATTGGAACCTTCCCCCCAGGAGCTTTCCTTCTTTCATGGGAATTTCCACTTTTTTGGCATTACACAACGCCCATAGATTTGCCCTTCCGTTTTCAGTAGGAAATCAAGGCTCGTTCTTGTTCCGGCATCTCTTCCTGGCTTGCTAGCAGAGATGGCTTAATGCTCGAGATAAGATCAACAGCCATGTTCTGACCCGGGAAATGCCTAGATCCTAACGAGACTTATGGCTTGAGTAAGTATGATGCCACACGCACGGACGCAGGGGCGCTCATGCAAAGCGTGCAAGATTCAGGTCTGGTAGACATGTTGTCGGACCTTGAGACTCGCTTGAGTAGGTACACAACACCAACCACCGAGGTACCTACCTAATCATGTATGGTGTATGGGCTCTGAATGAATATACCTACTTTGAAGTCTTTGGTCAATAGGTACTACTTTGTTGTAGAGCTACTGTACCGACCTATATGTCTGTGGTCGAAGAGCCGAAAATTGGTGATTAGTATTTCATTCATGACCCCTCAGTCTCACGGTCGACTTGTATTCTCGCAGAAGGAATGCTCTGACCAACCCTGAAGTATATCTATACTTGATCAGTCCCTGGGGACACTCATCAAAAACACGTTCATTCTGAATCATAGGTTTTGCGGGTTCAGTTCTCGCTGAGTCGACAGTTGACCCCCTAAGTGCTAAGGTTAAGGTAATGATTCTAGATAGTGCCAAGGAGAAGGGTTGAGTAATGTTTGAGATGAGCACGATGGACCGAGAGGAAGTAAGATGCTTGAGATTTACAAGCAAAGTAGGTAGATCCTTTGCATCTCTGAGACAGCGCAATAAAAGGAACGGGCTAAGAGAAGGTCGATTTTCTCGATTGATCTGCGATAGCGTCTGGAGAAGTGATAGTAAATGAAACCTTGATTATTCATTTTGAAGTCTCCGGTTCACTCCACGAGAACCTTGAAACCAAGGGTGATGACCTCGTTGAGAGTGAGAGACTCCCTGGGACTCGAGATCTCGAGTGAAGCGGCTTTTGTTGACTGATATCAAGTACACGGATGAACTTTTGCACATGTCAGTAGGACTTATGCAAAAGTTACCTTGCTCGAAAAGAAGAGATAGTGACCCCGTGTCTGGCAATACTCGTACCAATTCTAATCATGGACAGCGGGAATCCGTCATCACCTGCTCTGATAAATGGCAGAGGTCAATGATTGGCATAGAACCGATCAAATACACCATCGCCAGTGACGGGGGTAATTGAAAGCGGAAGTTTCTGGCCGTCATTGTTTCGATCATTGACAGTCTTGGCCTTGGTCTTTACCGCTCATGACTGAGCAGCCTGGAGTTCGGTCGTGGCCGTGACCTGATCGCCCTGGTCAAGTGCCTATCTGGATCATAGCGATCAAGTGCTGGCAGAATTTGGTTTACTGCATGGCAACCGTCGACCAAGGGGCCACATCATTTGCGAATTCCTTGATTGCCAAGCCATGCGCGAAAGTGTGTTTGGCAGAGTAGTCAACAGATCCAGGCGACCGACCAATTTGGAAGGTTTGATATCCTTATTTTGCTCGTTCTGGAAAGCTAAAAAGACTTATGCCGCTGCGTCCAAAATTCATCAATATCTTGACTCAGCTGTGACGCACAGACTTCTGAAGAGCGATACGGCCAGTTCTGGTCGAGGTCGACGAAGGCGAGCAGCGCGTCATGGACGTTATCATTGGCTCCTGCTAGTTCACGAAGAACTGCAGCCATGGAGTCGTCGGCGTTGTACGTGGGATTGTTCCACATATAGTCGCCCTAATTTGCAAGCGCAGGCATCGTGGCATAGGCTTGTTCCATTGAATTAGAAGTAAAGCAAAGAAGATACTTGTAAAGGTCCGGAGCACCGGGATCAGTGAGTGGATTGAGAAACAGTCGATCGCGTTTGCCGTCGTTGACGGGAAAGTTGTCCCACAGGAACAATTTGTCGGTCACGTATGTGGAGTCCGCTTGTTGAACGCTGGTCTTGTTGATTCGATCGCTGAACACCGCTTCGCCTGTCCGCTAGATGCTAAAATTCTTGTTCAGCATCGTGCCAAATTCTCCCTTGTACGGGTCCGGCGCGCTGCCGGCATAATTTGTCGGAACGGTTTCAAGATCGTTCAGACTATTTGAGATGATATATTCCTCCTGGACGGGGTTCAGATAGTAAGCCTGTGCATCGGCGAGCCAGTGCCAGTCACCTTCATCCGTCCGCTTTGCCTTGTCCGAGTCGCAGTGGAAAACGGTGGGTATATCGTCAAAGGCGATATAGAATCTTCTGACGCCAAGTATGCGAGCCTGGTCGAACTTTTTGATCGTTGCTTCAAAGTCAGCCTCGACGAGTAGCACAGATCCAGGCCGGGAGACAAGGCGAATGTGAACTCGACGTGATTGGTATTAGCAGTATCAATCAGCTCCTGAAGCTGTGACAGTGCATCGCCGGTGTAAAGAGTACGCTACTGCGCGCGAAGCAAGGGATCGTCTTTTGGGATTGTAGATGTACGTGTTCATTTTGTGTTTGCCATAGAACACGAATTGGTCCAGTCGTGCCTGGTGGGACCTCGGTTCACCATAAAAACCCTCGATAGAGCCCCGGATCGACATGAGCGGCCAGTCGCGTATATGGGCTCCAGACACTTTGTGATCTTTAATAAGTTGGCGGAGTGTCTGCGCCGCATAGAACATACCACGCTTGTCCACGCCATTGAGCACGATGGTGGCTTGTCCGCCATGTGTGCCGGTTGCGAGAATATAGCCATCCGGGAGCAGATCATCCGCAGACTTGCCGGTGAGAGATCTCGCAAGATCAGCGGCAAGCTGGTTCTCAGATTGAGTGACCGCGACAATCTGTGTTCTTTTGCCTGTCGATGGGAATGAAACGCCGACCTTTCCACCAGCCAGGGATACGATGGTTTTGATCACGTCAAGTGTGCTGGAATCTGTCGTGTTCCCGACGACGAGGGTCACATGTTCTTGCGACAGTGATATTGCTTGGCCGTGGGAAGACAGCTCTTGCGGAGTAGGAGTGATCTTGAACGACTTATTGACATGATTTGCAGGTGTCTCTTTCGCAGTGACGACGACAAGAAGAACTTGGGCCAGAGCTGACCAGTGCACTAGACTTCGCAGAGAGAAGGGTACCATAGTTGCGATGGAAGATTCGATTGGAGATGAATGATGGCCCTCACTTGCCACTGTGAGACTCAACAGGCAGGTTTTCGTCGGCCTCGGTTTTGTCTACCACCAAGCCAAGACGGCAACGAAGTAGGGTTGGTTATATACTACGTGAATGTATCTCAATCTATGATCATCCCGCAATCTCACTTGCCGGCTGATCAGAGGAGATAGTAGCAATCTGCCTCAAAGCCTTGCCATTCCGATTTGTCTGCTCTCCGCAGGTTGAATGTAACACTGATCTGCACAAGCATCAGCGTCACTTCCCCTCTTGGAGACAAAAGGGCAAGATCGTCAATCCCGTGCTCACACCAATGTGTCCCTCGACGAGAGATCTTGTGTAAAGCGGCCGTCAACTCCGTCGTAAAACCTTGAGAGTGGCCCAATTACGAGAAGGACGTGATGCCACTTGATATTCGTCATCGATTTTATCAGGCCTCACCCAAAGCTTCTCCCTGTATTTTTTTTGCAGCATCATCCCTGGTGTCCGATTGCTCTGTGAGTAAGCGAGTGTTCCTCTCATCTAGATCAGGATTGGGAAAGGATCAAAAAAGGTGGTCGCATCGTGGCCCTGGCTGAGATGAGATTCCACCGGGTTATTTGGGATTCTATGCGGGAGTTGCATTATCCCCTCACGAACCTTTTCCTCCGGGTTGCTTGCTCTGCCGGCGGGGGGGGGTGGGTTGGTGACTACCGAAGGTAGATAAAAGTGGCATAGTTTCGTCATTCTCAACGGCCCGGCGTGCGAGACTTTATGTTCTCATCGCATAGCATCAGGAGGTCTCTCTCCCATGAGGATGATGAAAGATACCACTGGGAGTTGACACCTGTACCAGTGTACACTGTCAATCCTTGTCAAAACCTCACTTATGGTGATCCCTGTGCATCTCCATTATTAGCGACAAGACCAGTCCTGTGAGCCTTGATCGTGAACATTTACTGTCTTGATACCCCGACATGCGGAGAAAGGGCTTCTTCAATGTTGCTCCGGGCTTCGAAAGGAGAACATACGGAATGGTAAACCTACCGGAAAAAAGGCAATGCGGAAAACCAACGGATGAAAATCTGCATCATTTCAATTAATGACTGATCTGCAGAGCACGGGTCCAGCGTCATCAGTTCATCAGTTGGATTGCAGACCAGAGGGCGAAGAAGCCAAGCCAAGCCTAGGCTAGGTAGGTAGGTAGGTATGACGGACTAAGATCTGCCACAATGCCGATGGACAATGCCACACATCTCTTGTCCATTGACTTTGCCGGCACCCATCAATAAGGAGTGCATGCTTTCTTCAACCGAGGCTTTTCGTATACCGGCATAGTCAGGACGAATTGATCTCAGCCACTTGCGTCAAGTCCACCAATTCAGTGTCAAACATGCATTCGGTCCAACGTCCTAGCGAGGCTTCGCGTTTGAAACTCAATGGCCACTTTCTCCTTGCTTTCTGTTCGTATGGCATGTGATACTGCCGCCTCACCGCAGTCCATAGCTTAGGTAGAATCTCTCCCCCTTAACAATCTCACTCCTCATCCCTCTCACACATCGATACTGCTGCCCCTACCGTAGCCGTATCTCATCACTTTCATCGTCTCCCTGTATAGGTCTCGGTCGATCAAAGAGGGCACTGATATCCAGCCTCCTGGGGGATGGAAAGCCTTTTATCCCCGGTAGACAGTTGGAGGACCTGAGGATTGCCCTCTTGCAATGGATCACGTGGATCGCAGATCAGATAACGTCGATCGTTTGGACTGCGCGGTCTCGACACTGCTGACTCGCCTGGTGGTGCACCAACCTTGATTGCTAGATAGATATAGTAGCCTAGTCGGTTAGGTAGATAGTGACACTTACAACATCTAATTTCCTCCCTCTGAACCAAAGCGGACTCAAGTCTACCAGAAAGTGCAGTTGTGTTGAAATATTCCTCGAGCCGAGGAACACGAGAACGTCTAATTGAGATGGAGACCATGCTACCAATGAGAATACCCGGAGTAGTTTCCCCGGCTTCTGTGAAAAAGCGACTGGGTCATTTAGTCATCATCCGCGAGTGTTCGGACCATGGACGGCGCTGCTTTGGCTCCTGGCTCGATTAGTTAAAATGATCCATGTTGTTGTGACAGCCACGGCGGGGGTCCTGGATATAGTCCGTTCAGTAGTACTACAATACTGAGTACAGTGTCCTGTAATTGGGGATCGCTACTGGGACTTTGGGATAGAGAGGGAAGAAGGTCAAGCATCGATCTTTTGAAAGGAAGAGTGTGCCCGGCGGATTTACTTGACGGTGATTGATGCTTAACTTGGAGAGGTCTGAAAATTAATGAGCATGCACTGGAAAATAAGACCGAGTATTGCATGTTCGAGAGCGTCAGTGGTCAGTCAACCTTTTGACTGGATAGACATTAAATCTCTGTGTGCCGGTACGTGTGACTCAATCTGCTTCTGGAGTCGAGACCCTGAGTGGACCATGGAGAATGGACTGGTGAAGATGGATGAAGCCCTAAAGGCGGGCTTCTTACCGTTTGACCGGGCGCAGTGTCCGCTGTCTGGCAAGTCCTGGTGGTCTTGAAGATTTTTGAAGTGGAGGTTCGCGTACCCACACGGATGGAGTGCACGAGGAGAAAATTCCGTTTCCTTCTCGAATCCATAGCAATACGCCTGGGTCGATTGAACTAAGTTAATGTGTGTACGTCTGTAAGTGCACGACGGTGCAGTGAGACTCTTTTGTTTCTTCTGGCCGAGAGTGCTTGGCTGTCATTGGTCTGTCGTACACTCTGACAAGCTCCGCATGGAATCCGGACCGGCAATGAACAGACCAGTTTCGTACAATCTCCCACTCGGGCAAAGTACCGTCAACATTGAACATGGGTTGGGCATGTCATTTCAGGTTACAGATGTTCCCCGCGACACGTACAGGTCCGCTGGAGACCATCTCGCGAAGGACTCCAAAGTGCAAGTGAGTCGTGTCCTGACCGGCGACGTCGATTCCTCGAGGGCGACGTATGCCAGGACGTCAGACGTACAAAGAAAGTTCGATTGCGCAGTGTTCCTGAAACACCGGCGTCGATCGGATGTTGGGGCCGCGTCCACCTGGAACGCTTTGAATGGCCCGGGCTTGTCCTCAGTGGTGGCGCGCGCCATTTTCTCCGTTTTTCCATTTCGACTTTCCTGAGTAAAGCAAGCGTTTCCCTTTAACTCTCTTTGATGGTCCCATGAGTCGGGGCATCGTTGCGCGGCTTCCAACGACGCTTTCGCCTTTCTGAGGCAGGCTTGTGCTGGAGGAGGGAATCTTCACCGACCGGGATTGTACCCGGACGGCATTGTGGATGGTCAGTCATCCTTGAGTCGGAGAAATGCAAGAATCGGAGACTACTGGGGCGGGACCACTTGATTGACAACCGATTCCAGTTCTGGGTGGTGGTCCCCAGCGTGTTTGAAATGGGGCATTGTACAATGTAGACCAGTCGGCCACGTCGACTTGGTGGCACCGAGCCACAGACTACCTCTTAGATCCATTCGTCTTCTTTATCTTGCCGAGTGCCGATGAGAGTCTGCTTTCGGTTTGGCTTCTCCTTCTGGCCTGGCTCATTATTTGGAGGTTGCATTCTGCAATGCTGTAGGGCCAGGCCGTGATCAAACTGGATGACAGCAGCGTTCTCGATCTGGGTCTGAGCGCATGTAGACCGATTGGTCCAGCAGTGGGCGACTCGCCCTTGAGCCCTCCCCAATTTTGGAGGGCCATGGCCTCGTCGGGCATCGTTCGGGGCTCACAACTAGCCCACTTGTACAGTTGTCAGTTCCCCGAGGGCCCCGTCGTGGCTGGCCAGATAGGCGTAGGTGCCCAGGTCGATGGCCTCCCCAGTATTCCGACACAGGTGTGCAAGACGGCAGTGGTTCAATCACCCAGTATTGTCTGGCTTGGCAAGACCTTGCTCATCTGGGTGACAGCACACTGCTCGTCGTTGTTGTGATGGCGCAAGGAGTTGGGCTTTTTCTCTCTGCAAACGTCGGGCGGTCAGCCAGCGACTTGTCCACCTCTTGTGTCAGTACAGTCCCTATCCAAGTATCTGGACCTTAGTAAACCATCTCCAGCCAATCCGCCCCGTCGCTTTCTACTCTCTCTCTCTCTCTCTCTCTCTCTCTCTCTCTCTCTTTGGGCCGTCGATTCGAGCCCTTTGGCTCTGCTGGTTGTGCCCTGAGCGGACCGTCCAGGTACCACTAGGCGAGCGCCACCGGTCCACCAATGGCCAGTGTGGCCGAAGCGTTCCAGACGGCCCTTTTGCAAGCTTTCGTCCGTGGTCGCACTCGTCCTCGTCTCCACCATCGGAGCCCCGCTGCTGCCATCTCATTGCTTCCAATGTTCAGTGCCGGTGGAACACAGTGCGCGGTTGATGGGGAATTGTGTACGACACGAGACGGTTCCCAAATCCCGCGTGGTCGTACCGCACAGCACCGAGTGTCGCCTTCTGTCGGTGCCTGAGAGAGCGCGCCTGCCAGGGGCCAGCCAATGCGTGGTCGCCCACCGAGCTGTTTTTGGGTTAAACGCCCGTCCCTGGGCATATCCTTCGCACTGGCGAAGGATGTGTGGGATGTCCCACATGTGCCTGGCCTGTGTGTCCTGTTCCTGAAACTCCCCGAGGAGACTCCAGAGAGTTTCATGGATCATGGCCGTCCATGCGTGCGTTCTTGGTGCAGCGGCAGGCTCGGGGTGTCGGAGCATATTGGCCAGTCCACCAGCCCAATCTATAGTGTAGTATAACTATGCAGTAGTCTACTGTGATACACTACTACCGCAGCCCAATACTCCAGTGTCAACATGCGCCGACTGCTAAACTCTGTGTCTAGCGAATGCGTCTGGGCCTCGGATCGGGGCTCGGTGGAGTTGTCCATGAGGGACGGTGGAGTCGTGGAACAACTGGAACTTTGCCTTTGTCTGTTGCTGCGCCGTGCAGGCATGATGATTCGTGAATGGTGTCCAGTCCAGGGGAAAAACAGACCGAGCAAAAGTGATGGAGAATGTCCCCGCTGCATCGTCGGGCCCCCTCTCGACTGGAGCCATTAACATCTCATTTTTCCACGATGCAGCCAATCTGGCTTGATGGAGGACCCCGCCAGGAACACCTTTTTCCCTTCACCAGCAACAGTCCAAAGGAATCGACCCTCTCGTGTGACCAATCAAACAATAATCTCGCTCTTGTTTGTCCGTCAGAAATCCACTCGATGCGACACACACACACAGCGCGAGTGGGCAAGGAAAACAACAGAAACAAAGAAACAAACACTCACTGTCCCAGGCTGCAATCCAGTCGACAGTCAGTCGACGGACGACGTCGGGGAAGCAGAGGGAAAAGCACAACACAACATCCTTCTATACAAAGAAAGAGTGTTCCCCTTGCATCCAAATGGGGCAGACAAGGATCGTTCCGTGGATGATGCAGCCTGGAAAGAGGGCCGCTTTGCATACATCAACGCCATGAGCAGTACTTCCCAATCCAATCGCGGCCTCGATTGCCCTTTGCATGACTCTCCACCGAGTCCACTCTGTCACTTTTCTCTGCTCTTGGCGAGAAAGGAAACAACGATTTGCGCCAAAAGGGCAAACAACGGGCACGCAACAAGAAAAATAAAAGAAATCCAGAAAAATCCCATCATCTAAAATCAAAGAACAAAATGGAAAAAGACGCCGTTCCAGCCAGGCGGTTACGGGCTCCGCAGGCAGGATCGGCTGGCGTCCAGAACTCGAACACACAGTCTCATACAATATGCGCCGACGAGAGTCCGGGCGTATAAATATCATCTAGTCGTCCGTCACCATTCATCTCTCTTCTCTCTCTTTTTTTCTCTTTCCTCTTCAGTCAGCGGCTCTGAACCATTCATTCCTTTCTTTCGATCCTTTTGAGATCACCACTTCGATCCTTTGATCTTCTAGTCACCTGTGCCGTGCACGGTCTAGTCCTTCCTTTTCCCTACACACACACACACACAATCATTCCTTGAGAACGGGTTTTCTCGCATTTCAAGTTTCCACATTCCTTCTTTTTTTTTGCCCTACGTGATCTCAACGAATCCATTTTTCACCGGATCAACCAAAATGGTCGCTTTCACTCGTCTGTTCACCACCGGCCTCCTGGCCACCTCCGCCATGGCTGCCCCCATCGTGCAGCAGCGGAGCTCCTCCGGCAAGCGTGGTGCCGCCTACAACGACATTGGGACCGTCCAGCCTCTGAGCGCCGCGGGGACCGTCTCGTGGGCCTACAACTGGGCCATGTCTTCGTGGGGTCAGGCTCTGCCCTCCAACGTCGAGTATGTGCCCATGCTCTGGGGTGCCAAGGACTTTGGCGGCTGGTTCGCCGCCATCGAGACTGCTCTCTCGTCCGGCTCCAACTACATCATGGGTTTCAACGAGCCCGATATTGGCTCCCAGGCCAACATGAGCCCCGCCCAGGCCGCGGGTTACTACCAGAACTACATCACCCCCTTCTCCGGCAAGGCCAAGTTGATCTCCCCCGCTGTCTCCTCTTCCACCAACCAGGGCATGGGTCTCTCCTGGATGAATGAGTTCCTCAACGACTGTGCCTCCTGCGGTATCAGCGGTATGGCCATTCACTGGTATGGCGAGACGGCGGATCAGTTCAAGTCGCACGTGTCCAACGCCCTCACCATGGCTGCCAGCCACGGCATCTCCGAGGTCTGGGTTACCGAGTTTGCCCTCAACGCCGATGTGGGCGGCGTGACCAACCCTGCCAACACCGCCGCTTTCCTCGCTGATGTTTTGCCCTGGCTCGACGCCCAGCCCGGCGTCTCTCGCTACTCCTACTTCATGTGTGCCGAGAACTATCTGGTCAACGGTAACGCCTTGAACCAAGCCGGTCAGGCCTACATCTCCTAAGTGCATTGCACTTGAGCACTTTGGGCTGTTCAGTCATCCACATTGAACTGCCACCTCACTTGCTTGTGCTCTTTCCCCATGCAATTGTCTTTGCAAGAGCGGACACGGGAGGTTTCAAAAATAAACACGGAGAAAAGAGAAAAAAAAAATGAAAATCGCGACGCGTCATACGAATCTACGAAACAACCCAAAATGAATCGATGGGACAAGATGGCGCCTTTTTACGTTTGCTATGATTGGGAAACTACGTTCGTTTCCCAAGAGGAGCTTTTGAGGGAGGATTTTTGGGGTGTTCTTTGCTTTCTCTGATCCATGTTATCTGCGAGGGCGAACATGATGAGCAGGGCTCTCACTTCTCATCTCGAAGTAGCTACCTCAAGCAAAATGATCTTTTTCAGAACCTGAATGCTTTTCAAGCGTAGTCTCTCAGAGCCCTTTGCAGATCTCACCAACAGTATCCCATAACTCTTCCCTAGTAACATACACAAGGATCACTCCAGTCTGAGCACTGTGCCGGTATGCCCAACGAACTTGACCCCCTCTCCCGAAGAGCACATTTGAGCAGATCAAGTCCAGTCAACATAACGCTCAAGTCTCAGCTTCGGATTCTCACTGCCCAACTCGGCATCGGACCAAACACTTTCGGACCCGGCAATTACAAAAGCACCGCGTGCCTCTGAAAGACGGGAGATTCTGCGACCCGGACTTCGTCGCATAGATCAAAGGATATTTTTTTAGAGGGAATACTCAATCCCTCAAGTCGGAAGCATAGATCCCCTTCCACGATGTTATGACGCTTTGTTTTTTTCGAGCTAAGATTTGTGAACAACTCCTGACGCCGGGGTATTCTCCAGATTAGGAAGAAGAAACATCAAAGCACAACGCAATCACCTCCTATACCCAGTATCCAAAATATGACCCGACGCGCTCCCAATGCAAATGCAATATCAGACCGGCTATGGCAGAAAGTAACGATAGGGGAACCATGGGAGAGGGGAAAATGTAATGCCGACATAAAGGTGGAGATTCGAATGTACGGCCCGGAAGTCGTTCAGGTCATCTCGACATCTTCTGCACGCGCCGGGGTGGTTCCGGTCGTGGAGGCAGCCTCGGACGGAATATCCACCATCTCATTGTCACCGTCGTCGGGGTCAGCTATGGCTTCGTGGTCGATGACGTTCACAGGGGCGAGGGCCAGGCCGGTAATAGGTGCGCTGTCATGTGCGGCGCTAAGACTTGTCCCGTTCGCTTTGGGATCTTCCACAGCATCATCTCTTTCTTCTTCTTCTTCCTCCCACACTCGAACAGTCTTGTCAAGGCCACAGCTCACAATGAGACGTTTGCCATTGTATTTCCCCGTATGCACTCCCAAAACAACATCAGTGTGGCCCTCGATGCGCTGCAGAACCGACTTGCTAATAATATCCCAGCAAAGTATAGCTCCGTCTTCACTGCCGCTGACCGCAAACGCCAAAGGCGGATCCCGCTTGGCCGCGTCAGCGTCCGATGAGTGATATCCATAATCGCCAAAACACCCCGACAGGCTATATTTGTTGTTGACGTGGCCCTGAAACGTCTTGATCACGCGACTCTCGACGTAGTTCCACATGCGCACACAGCCGTCCAATGTCCACGCGAGAATGTATTTCCCGTTCGGCGAGAATTTGACACAGGTCGCCGGGGGGTTGTCCTCGTGCACGAGCGTTTTGAGACACTGTCCGCTATGTGTGTCCCACACCCGGACGAGGCCGTCCAATGCGCAGGAGACGATTAATGTGCCGTCGTGGACAACGTCGATGCCAGCGACTGGATCGGAGTGTGCGGGTAGAGAGCGCATCACGCGCGCACGACGTACATCCCACACAAAGACGGCTTCGTCATAGGAGCCGCTGACGAGGATGTTGCCCTTGGGGGCGAATGCAATTTGGTAGACGTAGTTATGGTGGCCTTCGAAAATTTTGCTGTGAGCACGGGCCCTATAGCAAAAGACCAGTGTCAGGGTAGTCGCAAGAAGACGAATCCAGAGAGTTCGACGATCGACGAAAGGGCTTCATATCAACTCACGGTGTTCACGTTCCAGAATCGTATTGTCTTGTCGTCGGAGCCGGAAGCAATCCACTGTCCATCGGGACTCCATGCGATGGTAGAAATACCAGCAAGGTGACCCTCAAACGTGTAAATCAACCGACCACTTGAAGTATCCCAAACCTTGACTGCTGCATCGGCACCTAGATTCAAGAAACCACTGAAGATTAGCATCCGCTACCCTGTCAAGACATCGACCATTGCCCCCCACCCCCGCAACCAAGCATACCTCCACTAGCAATCATTGAGCAGTCAGGAGAGAACTGTACCGCCGACACGCCGCGCAAGTGACCGCGCAGTACAAACTTCTCCTTGTAATTCAGACGCTCCGGTTTAGCACGTGTCTCCACCGACGGCACCGGCGTCGATGAGTTGTCCAAAGATCCCTCACGCTCAGAGATACGCCCCTTCCCATCATGGTCCATACCATCCTCGTCGTGCGATCCCCGGTCAGACTGGTCATTGCTGCTCAGGCCCGCATTGCGATCAATTGGCGAGGGACTCCTGCGCTCCTGTGCATCAAGCCAATATTCATCCGTGTTTCCACTTAATTCAGCAGAGCCCCCTGATTTCCGATCTTCTCTTCTTCCATGTTTGCCTCGTTGGGGCGAAGCGCTTCTCTCTCTTGACTTTGACCAGCTTCGTCGCTGGCTTTCGGCCTCGGCTTGTCCTGCGCCGGGAGCTGTCGCACTTGACATGATGTCCGCGGGAGATTGATCGCGGGGACTGTGGCGACGGGGGTGTGGGCGCGCTTCCTCCATAGGCGAGATACGGTCAGGCTGGAACCTCAATGGGCCGCTAGTGTCTCTTGTAACTCGGTGGTGGTAGGGTGTTGTTTATTTCGTAAAGCATGCAATTTAATTCAAAATCTCCCCGCGGCGGCCGAAAACAAAGCGATAGTCTTATCGCCCTTTGCCAGGTGGGCGGTGAAGGTCGACTCGAGGTGGGTACCTAACCCGTAACTATGGGTAGGGAGGCAAGTAGGATAGGTAACCTACTACCTGAATAGGTTTGGAAGTTAGGTGACCTATCACTCAATGACTGTGTTCCGTCGCTCGCAGACAATCCCCAGTGTAATATTGTGAGCTTTGAGGTAGAATATTCCGTCTGCTGGAACAGCATATGGTATATCATTCTCTAGCTCCACTACCCGGTCGATCATTCGAGGTCTGAAAGGTAAGTCTGTGCTCTTACTGCCGTTAAGTCTTTCAATCACAAAGCCGAGGCTCTTTGTGGTCGACTCAAAAGTCGAGCTTTCTTCTGACTCATGATGAACGTACAAAGAGCCAGTCAGCGTAATGGCGACGAGCACGTCGGAAATCAGACGTCGGTATAAGAATCACTGCGTGCCAAGGCAAGAGATCTCAATCTCCTAGTTCTCGGAAGTTGACTGAGAGAAGTAATAAAGACCTTTCTGGCCTTTGACTTGAACTATAAAAGATTGTCGAGCGTGGCTTATAAGGGATTTACTGAAGTGACGTACTGGTGTCTTTAGTGACAGAGACATCGGCAGTCCCCAGCCAGGGTACAATATCCTATGTGTAAGTGACGTGCACGCCTTTCCGCGATGCTGGATGAATGTAGGGCACAAAAACCATGCATTCTTTCTGGAAGATATCGAGCATGGAGACAGATCAAATATCTACCAGTTTCACTTGTCATAACAAGGGTAGCATGTACTCTCGATCAGAGCCTCGAATTTGAAAGAGTCATATAGGGCGACCACCTGGGTACTCTTTACAAGTCAGTGTGGACTCATGTGGCAGTAGACAGGGTTCAGCTGCCTCGCTCAAATCGCGAAGAACATCTAGGTATACGATTCGCCCCGCCTGGTGTCCACGCTTGATGCTGATTCTATTGATTTGAAAGCGGCAGGCGCCTATGTAGGCACTGATGACGCTGGGTCGCTGGCCCTGCTTTGGACGGCTACCACGACCCCTCCTCGATCTCTTCATTTTCTCAGGACAATATTGTCGGAGGACATTTATCACGTGTGAACATTTTGAGGGACTTCTTAGGGCCTTGCAGGGAGATTTCGTCTATCGGAGACTCTGGAAATCCTACTGAGCAGGGCGGCCGTCGACTACGCGGACGGACAGGCCTTGGAAAACATCCCGCTGGATACAAAGTGGCATGATGCTTTGGGCTCTCTGTAGCCTGCAATGTCTCGAGAGTTGCCCTGGAGCAAATCGAAAAGACTGCAGGCTTTGCAGTAATGAGTCTCGACAATTGTTATTCAATTTGAGCAAGACGGGCACCGATTTTGTTTGTATGTCAGGGCAACCGGCTTCCATAAGACTTGATGGTGCATCGAGGCGCTAGTCCAGGAACGGCAAGACTAGCCACATTGAGCCACCTGTCCGGCAGCATTTCATATTACATCATCAATCCACGGGCACCTTCCGTCCAGATTGATGGCTTCCCCTTGGGGAAATTCCAGTGAAGCCAACCTAGGATAGATATCTCCAAAAGAAATCTCAAGCCAAGTAGCCTGCCGTGGGCTACATACCAGATTCAATGGCGGCTTCACTTCCCCCTACAGAGCCACCAACTCACATTCGAATTTTAACCCTCAACTGCTGGGGCTTGAAATTCATCTCCAAGTTCCGTCATGAACGTCTATCGGAGATTGGACGGCAGCTTGCTCTGGCAGACACGCCGCCCGAAATTGTAGGACTTCAAGAATGCTGGACCCAGCAAGACTACCAAAGCATTCGCGATCAAACGCAGCATATTCTTCCCTATGGGAAATTCTACTTTGGGGGCATTTTCGGTGCCGGGTTGGCGATTCTGTCAAAATGGCCCATCGAGGAGAGCGGCATGTATGGGTACCCGCTGAATGGGCGACCAACGGCGTTCTTTCGAGGTGACTGGTACGTTGGAAAGGGAGTCGCCTGTGCTCGAGTGCGTTTTGGACCAGGAGCAGCCGACGTCGCCGAGGTCTTCTGTACACATCTGCATGCGCCGTACGAGCGGGAACCGAACGACTCCTATTTGTGTCACCGTACCGCGCAGGCCTGGGAGATTTCGAAATTGATGCGCGGTGCTGCTGAGCGCGGTCATCTTGTCATCGGTCTAGGGGATTTCAACATGATTCCTTCGTCTTTTGCGCACAAGTTGATTACTTCGCAAAGCCCGGTCCGCGATGTATGGCGTGAGCTACACCCTGACTCGTCCGTTGGCGGATGGCTAGAGGCCTCAGAGCAGGCGCGAAAGACGCCGGTTCCCTCGGCCGAGTACAATCTCACCGAGAATTGTGCTACGTGTGACGGCCCCTTCAACACATGGCGCTGGCCCAAAGAGAGACAAAAGCAACTGTTCAAGGGCCATGAAACACCCGTCGACAAGAACGAGCCTGATAAGTACGGCAGGCGTTTGGATTACATCTTCGTGGGCGACGGAGGCTATGCGCCTGACTTCCCTGCGCCACGGTGGACAGTCGAATCCGCACAGGTCAGCATGACCCAGCGCCATCCGACTCTACGCTGCTCACTCAGTGATCATTTCGGCGTCGAGGCTGTCATCACTCGAATCCCGGCTGGTCGAGCCCTGCCCACTACTCTTTCCTCTCAGAATGACATGCCAAATTCATCTGACTCACCTCCCCTGACAAAGACCGCCTCTACCTCCCTCGCACCCAACGCCAGTCTTTCCACCGAGACATACGACATCATTCTGGGCATGATCCACAAGTACACATTGCGCGAACGCTCCCAGCGTCGCTGGCGCTTGGCACATTTCATCGTCTCGATCTTCGTCTCTATTGGGTGTATGGTCGGTGTGTGGTGGGTCGGCAATCGCACGTACATCGGTTTCATCCTGGTCCTGGTGAGCACATTGAACTTTGGAGCCGGTATTCTAGATGGACTGATTGGTGGCCTGTTCATGTCTGGTGAGATTCGTGCTTTAAAGGAATTTGAATGGGAAGTTCGCAATGCCCGGAGCTTGGTGGTTGCTGCTGAAAAGGGGGTCTAGTGGAAAATCTGAGAAGTGGCTGGCCCAACAAAACGAACCTGGACTGTGGGGAGAGCTGGTTGAGGTGTGTTGTTAGGGCAGTCTTGGTGTACTAATCATATGTATAGTTCTTCTTAATATTGCCAATCCAAGATTGCGTTGTGTCAGGCACGTCAGCGCTCGCTCTTAACAGAATTAATAACGGACACGGTAAGTTGGATCTAATTTAATCGCTGAAAAGGCACTTGATCCTTGTTCAGACATCTACCATGTGGCAGACAAACGAATCATAGTCATGGTCAAGCTTCAACCTTACTCGGCGACGCGGGCTCGAGAGCACGGGCGTGGCACTCATTCGTCGAGATATGCGACTCGACGCCCTACATTCCGTATGAAACAGGCGGTACACCTGCACAGATAGACAGAGAGCAGTCTTCACTTCTAGACAAAGACGTCTCCTTTACGTCTATTCAGAAAAAGCCTTCAAAAAGCAACGAGCGTGGTTAAATTCAGTCTCATGTGAACATCACAAAAAAAAGAGCGTGGCTACTAGTGCATATGTCCCATGAAAGGTCGACACTGCAAACTGCAAAATCCGAGTCGCTGTCCGTCTACTCGGCACACTCGCGCTTACGCTCGTCAAAGACATTCAAAGCCTCTTCGGCGGCCTTCACGCCACTCATGACCATCGCACCGAAAGTTGGACCCATACGATTGAAACCGTCGATTTCAGAGAGTTCCATGCCACCAATGATCAGGCCCTTGGTGACTTCACGAGTGTTCTTGACAATGGCGTCCTCGGCCGCGTTCATGTCCAGACCGCGCATGCCACCCAGTTTTTCAATGGTGTTCATGGAGACGAGACGCTTGGCACAGAATGCGCCGAAGGGACCGTCGTGGCCGGTGGTACTGATGATCACGGGCGCGTTGATAGTGTTGGGGTCCATACAGGAGTGGTCGTCGTGGTGGAGAGTTACCAAGGTCCAGTTGACGACCACGCCGGCAATGCGAACGCTGTCACCATCGCGGCGGGTGATCAGATCCTCGACACAGGTAGCGTTGAAGAGCTTGACGTTGGGGAAAGCCAGGACGCGCGACAGAAGAGTCGAGGTGAAAAGAGCCGCGTGCTTCACGACCACAAAGTTGGGGTTGTTCGGCTCCTCCTCGAAAGGAACACCCAGCTCATTCAGGAACGCATCTGCGGGGCGTCGCAGAACCATGGCAGAGAAAAGTTGACCACCAAGCCAAGCACCACCCCCTGCACATGTACAGTTGTTAGCACCAGGTGTTTAGTTTCTGACCTGCCGCAATGCCCTGAGAATAAGAGATGATAGATGTAACTGACCAGGGGACACGGAGGCCTCGAGAATGGCAATCTTCAGGTCTGGACGGGCCTTGGCCAGCACATAGGCAGTGCTGAGGCCACAGGATCCTGCACCGACAATGACAACGTCACTCTCAGCGAAGTTGTCCAAATCCTGATAGTATCGCCGAGTCATGGCACGCGAAACCTGACTCTCACGAATCGGAGCGAACTTGAACTCATCCCACTTGCCACCAAACTGCTCCAGGAGTTTGCTCTGGCCCTGGCCGGTCAGGGCTGTAGTGAGTGTCTCGGACACATTCACTTTACCCTTGATGTCGGTGACGACGGGGGCAGACTCGTACAAGGCAGCAGGAGGAGACATGGTGAGTGATTGGGATCAAGTCGAGTTGGTGACTTGACACTCGAGGTTAGTTACACATACTTACTGTGGGAGTGGGGGGGGGGGGAAGGAGGGGAAGGCAGTGATCCTTTCGCTGGTATTATCCAGATATCAAGTTATGACCGTATAATCTCAGAACGAACCCACGTCAACGACAATCCAGTGAGCGCCGGCAAGCCGTCAGGGTAGATGACTACCAACGACTGCTTTCAAGCTTGCTTCCAGATTTCCGTTGACGAGGAGAACGAACACCGGTCCACGCCCAGAAGTTACCTGAGATACCTTGATCCCTCATAGATAATTTGCCCAGCCAAAGCATATCCATTGCTTCCCAGCCGTACAGGAGGGGCTGTGTGTACTTTGAACTGGTGGTGTTCTGCACATCAATTGCGTTAGCTCCAGGCTCCTGATCATGGGCAGGTATGCGAAAGGATGATAGTTACGATAATGGCTGAGTAGCTGGTGATGTGGTGTGCACAGTTAACGGACTCGTGGAGTGGAAGAGAATAGAGAGAAGGATGATGATCTTAGATGAGGGGTAGAAAAGCTGGTTAAATACGTATACTTCGACACATGACTGAATTGAATTCACCCCGCCTGAAGGACCTTCCAAGAATCTGGAAGCTCCACCCAGTAAGAGTCACCACTCCGTCCCAGAGCTCCATCTCGTTCTACTTCCGCCACTTGGTATTTCTTCTTTGAATTGATCTGCTCTAATTGTTCGAGCCCCAATCGACAATGGCCCGAAACAATCCGACCGGTGAACATACTCGTCAGACATGAGGATTCCGGGAGGGGTAACGTTGATCGCATCATGACGCATGTGTACCACTGGGAGATCTTCGTACAGTGTACACATGTTCCTCTATCCTGCCTTTTTCACAGTCCTTTGCAACGACGCTGGGTATGTTGCTGAGCTCTATTCGCTGGGTATGTAGTACAGCTATTGCTCGTGACAGTCGCACGAGATATAGCCCTGCACACTGCCTATTGCCCAGTCCAAATGCTCAAAATCAATGATGACAGCTTTTTCTCGTCTGCTCATGGTCGTGCAGTGATCGACCGAGGCGATATACTTCCCGGAGTACTGTGCTCCTGGACGACGACAAGGATTACCTCAATCCGTCTGCGCCAAGTCACCCCGATCTGACCCGCAATCGTGCATCAACGCTGTCTCCACCTGGACAAATGAAGTAAATGCCTCGAGTGCTCGACTGGTCCGCGCCGAAATCAGGAAACATAGTAAGTTCCGTGCTGAAATTGAACTCGAACTTGCGAAACCTTCAATGTAGATCAATGGGCGGCGTTCCAGCGCCATCCTCTACATTATCCGGCTGAAAAGGCACATCTTCATTTCCAAATGGTCGACTCTCCGTTGATGAACTGTGGTCTATTTGACCGGCGGAGAAAAGGGCACACAGAATCAATTGGTCGTCATGAGTTTATTGTCGATCGAGCTATTTCGTTCCGCGAATACCACACAATTATATGGCCCTCGTGCACAATCAAACCCAATGGGCGGGTGTTTTCACCGAAAGGAAGAGTCAAGCTGGAGCTCGATCCGCCATCACAAGTTACTAGATATTCGACTTGACTCTGGGTCGTTGTTTGCAAGGAAAGATGAGCAATATAAGTTCGAAGCAAAAAGAAACGGAAAGCTCGCTGTACGAACTACGAAGTGACATATGACTTCTAGGTGACAAGGTGCCTGTAGGATGGGTATAATTGAGACTCGAAAACAAACATTGTACAGAAATAGCCTGTCAAGGGTTCACACCCTGACGGCGCCGACCAGGCTGTCGTCGGAAGCTGGAAAGATGCGGCCAAGTTCCGAGGAAATCTGCAGAAGCTCATCCGACAATTGGCCACTAACGATAACTGCGACAGACCAGTTAAAAATCCATCTCTCAATATATGAAGCATTGCCGCAGGATATACTGACTGTATGCATAGAGTAAGGCGTAGTCTTCGTCGGTCGTCACGTGTGATGCATTTTTGTCTTGTCGGAAGCGAGAAATTTGTGCGAGCAACTCGTCTCGCGCCCGAGCGACATTTGCAGGGACATCCTCTAATGTGTGTCCAAGATTGACGGTGGAGGCGATGACTACAGCAAAAGAATCGTCATTAGTCAACTCCATATAGACAGGACCAAACTTGCCAACAAACCCCACAGACGCATGTTTTTGGCATGATGAAGAACCTACTTCCAAACAAATGGCTGATGCAGTCGGACAGTCGTTTTCTGGTAGCTGCGGTGTGCTGCAGGAGCAGAACTTGTCCTTCTGAAAGACTAGACAAATTGCAGAGGACCAAATCGAGGGAATGGAAATCATCCACGATCTCTCGCGTCCTCTTAATCACCTGGACGTAGGTGGCATCAGGGAACCGGTCTTTTAGCTCGAATTCGGATAAAGCCGATTGTCGCAGAGAATTCAGCTGAGAGAGTAAGCGCTGAACCTCGGCTCTGGCGTGAGTTTTCATGTAAAGCACAGGCAGCTGCACATCACCACCGGAAAGCAGACTCAAGGGCTCGGACTTCCAGACATCGGCAAGCTGGACCCATAGAGAGTGCAATGTCTCGTCCAGTTTCGCTCGCGCTCGAATCGGCCAGATACCCCGGGTGACAATGATACCCCAGATGTTGCCGAGCATAACGGAGACTACGCGGCGCAAGACGATGGAGGTGATATCAAGATGTTCAGTTCCATCATCCGACTGATCTGGATCTGCCTGAGAATAGGAAAAGGCATAAAGCACAGAGAGGTTGTAGGTCAGGAGGATAAATCGACCCATAGGCCCTTGACCCTTGACGAGAATCAGATAGAAAGGGCCAATGGCCATGACAAAGCCTAAGAGCGCCAGCTTAACTGCGTCTTCCCCGGCAAGGTACCAGGCTCCAATCGAGCAGAGGCCACCGATGCATGTTCCTAAGAAGCGTGCAAGTCCAGTGGTGTTCGAGGCGCCGATAGTCATGGAGCATACCAACATGTAGGAAATCAGACCCCATTCTCCCCGCCAGGCTAAATATATCGGTCTTGTGGCAGCGATAAAGGAAGGAAGTGCAAAAATTGCGGCTCCGATTCCGACTTTGAGGGCGAATTTAGCCTCGTCTTTTCGCAGAAACGCAAACGGCCTGACAACATCATCTTGGGATCTGTATTGACGGGCCGGAAGATGTGGCGTGCCCTGTGAATGGGGCACCAATGGAATTGAACGCGGTATATTCTGCACGTTTCTTGAAAGGCTTGCGTCGCCTAGCTAAAAATCAGTTACCATGTATCAAGATGCAGACAGAACTATTTCAAGAACAAGTCGACTGACCGCTATGTGGAAATGACATGCGACGCCAACGACGTGGCCAACAATTAGATAGTAGCCAGTCCCTCAAGGCGTTTAGGGGCCGGGGATCAGTATCGGTTTGGAACTCGGTAATTTTCAGCACGAGACCTTTGAGTTGCTCACTCAGCTCAAGCAAAGATACCGAGAAATATTCGCTGTTGGCAAATAACTCCTCAAGTCTCGATTTGTCCACCTGCGCAGGTGATATCCTTCCCCAGTCTTGTCGCAACGACGAAAAGACTGTGCGACGAGCGTTCCGATATCTGTGAACTGCCTCGGTGATCCTCATCACCAATTCATCGTTCATCATATGACTGTGCACGGTCGTGGAATTGAGGTTGACTTCTGCGAATATCTCATGCAGCGTTTGAGCATGTGACATCTGGCTTAAATATCAGTTGTTGGCAGTTGAGACACGGCCATACAGGCTTCTTAGTTCGTTGGACATACAATTGGCTCTCTAAGTCCCCGGGTAAGTTGCTCAAATATCTCGGCCGAAGAATGAGTCGATAATGGCAGATCATCCTCCTCCGCTATTATGTCGCAGAGCTCGTGGCTCACTATGCGAGAACTGGCTGTCGGGTCGAACGCATTCTCATCACGCTGTGTAGTGATGTCCAGATTGTTACTTGGAACAGGGCGAGAGATCGGCAACGAGGTTCCCGTATTGTTTCGGTGTTTTGCGCGCCCTAGCAACTTGGATTGTAAAACCACTGCACTGCGCAAACCACCTAGACCATGTGTAATATCTCGGACGAGGTGCATCAGATCCTTCTCTATTGTATGCTGCCGCTGCGTTCCAGCCACATAGTGTTCGAGCTTCGTCTCGCCCAGTAAAGCAGTTAATCGACCAAAGGTCTCGTCATGAAGCGCGGCTGTTTTGGTGAAGTCCTGCAGTTGAATATCTTGGTCCGTGCCATGGATGAACCCCTCTGAGATGCTCATGAGCATTGTGGTTGCGGTGCTCGCTAGAACCGACAGCTCTCGACGAAACTTTTTACGCGCCGAAACAGGGAAAACAGCAAAGGAGACAGCTGTTGACACGCCAATACCAAGCAGAAGCATCCTCAGTATTTGAGATATCTTCGTGAAGGAAAGGTCACCCGACTGTACTGCACCTTCCTTTATCAGAACCAAGATGGAGGCCAGCGAAGCTAATGAGCACGCGATATTGACGAGGGGATCTTGTTGTCGCTGCTTGACCCATCCTATCAATCCGAAGCCACCCGTGACGAAGATTATCAAAACAACGGCATGGCCTAGTTCAATTAAGCCATGCTTCCGGTGGAAGGTGATTGTCACCCACATGCTCCCTAACGACAGGCAGGACGCGAAGAGAAACGCAACAGATGCGCATATAAGTGCCTTGTACATGGCGCCTTGCGATCGTGCCGGATGAAAATAGACGGTAATCGTGGCGACCAAATGTTTACCGTATTGCTTACCAAGAAGGGCCCCAACAAATGGAATAAAGACCGCCATGGAGGCAACAAAATATGCGAAGCTGCATTTGAATATGCCAACTAGCTGTCCGGAAGTGATGATAGGTCTCGACTGGCGCCATGTTTGCGAAACTCGATCAAATGTATGCCGCAGTAGAGAATTTCTTCGTGTCAAGTCCCCCTCGCTGAGAACAAATGGTTCAAGCTCTTCCAGCTCCTCGTGGGTGTCGTGGCGCATACCCAGATTCATCGGGCTATGCGGGTTCGATGTCCGCATGCTCACAATCGCGATGACGTCAGCAGAATGAGGTTGAGGTTCTCTGATCAATGACTATGTGTGCACCCTGCAGGAAGCGCGAGATTCACTTTCAAGCACAGGTCAACTTCATCGCTCATCCAAGAGAACGGTATGACTGAACACTCGATCTTCCGAGAACCTCGAATATGTTAGACGGTTTTTTGGGTTCGAAGACCCGCTGTAGGCTCCAAATCTCCACATTCTGCCCCTCAAGGGCTACCGCTTTCCATAAAGCGGGCCAAACATCAACCAAGCCTTTTCCGGATGCCTCCCAATTCATGGATAGAAGCTTGGACCTCTCATCCGGAGAAGTGCTACGACTGACTGGCATACGATTTGCAAGTGACGGATCGTAGTCGGACTTCTCGTCAACCTCATACCTCAAAACTGGTTATATCGAAGCTGCGTTCAGATGATGCTGCGTGTGTGTTTTATTTTTTAAAGTACGTATCTGAAGCCGGCGCCGTAGTTATCCTCAGCGGCAATCTCTCCACCCTTGCCCGGATTAGAGTCCACTCTTGGGCCGTAAGTGTTGTCCAACTTGCGGTTTTCCCACGCCAGCAAAACTCGAAGACATAGTGCCAAAACTGCCGTGAAGAACATGAACGCGGCGCAAATGGACATGCCTTTGATGTATCGTGGAGCTCCCGAGTCAGGGAAAATATTTGTTCCAAGGAATGGGCCGCACTGGCCGATGAGGTTCAGAAGGACGATGCTTCCGCCACGGCGGGTATCAGATCCCTGATTATCTGTGGACCGAGTCAGAATACATGCACAATGTACAAGGTGCAATTACTGTCGGGATTGGCAAAGATGAAGGTATACCACTCACTCAGAACCCAAGGCAAAATATTTGCAATAGAAGGGAAAATTCCACAAGCCGCCAAAAACACACCCAGATATCGGACTCCCACTGGCTTGCAAGTTGCGAGTAAGACATAACCAATACCGCCAATGGTGGACAGCCCAGCAATCATCAACCCACGCTGCTGGATGCGATCTGCGATCCAGGTCGTCGCAATGGTGCAGAGAAATGACGCGAAGAAGGGGGAGCCGTCAGACCTTGTGCATTGATGGCTGTGAACCCCATTTCCTTCAAGATGGTGGGCAGGAAAACCGGCAGTGAGGAGAAGCTCACATTGCAGCTGAAATACATCAGCTACGAACAAGAACGCAATGGTCAGCTAAGGCATCAAACTCTTTCTTCCCTTCAAAACACGAAGAGACATACCGCGGTGAACCAAGCTTTTACGTCCAGAAGAGTTGCAAGCAACTCCCTCCACTGGACCTTACCAACTCGCTCCGCCTCTCCGGACTGTTGAAGGGCACGCGCGCGGGCAACTTCTTTTTCTTCGTTTGTCAAAAATCTCGCCGACGAAGGTGTATCTGGAAGGAAGAACCATGCCAGGATGGCCGCGGCACAAACAGGAACACCTTCCACTAGGAACAACAGTCGCCAATTGGCCAATGCGGCATGTCCAGAGGTAATTCCATACGCTAGCGCTCCTGCAAATGTATTTGCAAGGGGAGCGGCCGACAAGAACAAACCACAGCGAAGACCAAGCTCATGGCGACGATAGAAGAAGGAGAGGAGGTACGGCACACCCGGTCCAAACCCGGCTTCGAAGATACCCATCAAAAATCGGAGTGCCATCATTCCTTGCCAATTGGTCGTTGCAGCTTGGCATGATGCAACCAAACCCCTATCATAAACAATTAGTGCCATTGGCCAAATCTGCTTATATCGCTCGGAGGCGGAGAGAAGAACGACTGCCGATCGAATGATGGCCGTACCAGGAAAATACCATCAATGTCGCCCATTGATGCGGCTTCACAACTTTCCACATCAGGGCCAAGAATTCGAACAGTGTATATGAAATGTAAAAGATGGTCAACAGCCAGGAATAGCGATTGCCCGTTAGATTGAGGTCTTCCGCCATGCCAGCTATTTTGGCATTTCTGCGAGAGTACAGTCAGTCGCAATTGATTTACACCTTCTCATTTGCAAGTTGCCGAGTGCACGAACCCAATGTTACTTCGATCCAGGAAAGCGAGCAGATCTGTTTGAAACGAGCGATTAGCTTTGTCTCAACAGCTGATGTCTAGGATTGACGGAAGGCCCTACAAAAGAAGGCCATCAAGGTGGGCACATGTAGATCCAGTTTCCTCAGTACCCTCTTCTCCAACTCCGGGCTGAATGCCGTCAAGGAGGAGGCGGCAGCATTGTGTCTGCTGGGCGACGTATATTCCTCGTAGTCAGGGACGGCCTTCTCAGGATCCGTGTCTGCGACGGCATGCTGGATCTCCTCATGGGCTTCATTCTGAGTGCGGGAAGGGTCCATTTTCACCACGGAGGCAGTTGGTTGACAAGATGGCGATGTTGAAGAGCATAGGACTTGGAAGTCTTTCTTGTTCATGCGCACTTCAAGGGAGGGAGGCAAGCAATGCCGATCATCTCGCATGGCCAATTCCAACCATGTGCGGGGGTATCATAGGATCGGCATTCAACCGAACTTGAAATCGGTCGCATGCGCTGGATTGGATTGCTTTTGGGACCACCAACTGCTGGTGCAGCTGCGACGGTCGCAGTGATGCTTGTAGCCGACATCTTGGATTGACCAGTCACCTTGGCTGGAATGCCAGATGGGGCAGCGATCCGCAGCGAACTCGGCGCCGTAGCCATCCAGCTCTTCTCCTGTTTCTCGCTTGACTTATCATCTGCATGGAGATGGAACTTTTGTTCCGATTCACTTTTCCAAACACATATTGAGCACGCTGGTCAGGTTGAACGAGCTTGATGAGATCCAGAACGGCTTCGAGCGCAGCAGTCTCGAGGTTGTACAGACCCTCAAGCCAATGACGTTGTACCGAGCTGAAAATGATCGACCGCTTTGGGATGATATCAAATTACACTCTCAGTCATGATGGGTAAAAGTGGGCAAATACAGTAATAATGAGTGCCGTGAACCTGTGAAGAGCGTCCGACTCGGTGGAGCAGAATCTTTGGCCTCGGAACTTCCGTCTTGTGCGTTTCCCTCTGTGGTCATGAATTCAGGTCACTTAGTAAGTTAGTACGGACATGCTCCCCGTGTTATACCACAGAGTACAGTCAGCTACCGGCTCGGCTACCTGCGAAAACATGATGCGGTTCCCTCAACGCGCAAAGGCGAGCGGCAAGCTCCCGGCCGTGAAAGTCCCGGGTGGAGGCATCAGCCGCGCAGATTGACCAGGTTCACAAGTCGCGCCGCGAGACAAATACAAGCCCATAGTCACGATCAATCGCACGATTGGAATCAGAGCATTTCGAGTCATCCACCGAGGAAAACAAGGCATATCATCAGTTGCGATCCGCAGCCACGGCGGATGAAGCCAGCTTCGGACAATTGTGAATCGAATTAAACTAAAGTTAGTAGTTTTGAAAAGCTTGTTACGACGTGAAGAGACCACATAAGGACGTCAGGATCTCACTTCCGGCGCAAAACTCATTGGGTAGAAATGGAAGCGGCGTTTGCATGTTAAGTGATTGGAGGGCTAACATAATAAATAATTATATCATTATCATTTTATCGAAGCCGCAAGCTCTTCTTTGTAAAGCATGGATGAGTTTTATCCGTCTTTCGGACTGTATCAACTTGCAAATAAAGTCAGCGATTCCTTTCATCTCTACTTCATAGGTGAGCTTTCCTAGGTCGATATTTACTACTACTGACGACTGCACGACTGCCCGTACCATTTAGTTTACCGATTGATATCTTGTACTATCTTTTCGTGTATATGAACCAGCTACCTAGGCGAGCTGGGTAAGGTCTGATTGGAGTGGTGCGGTCTAGACTGACGGGAGTGAGTTGAGGGAAATCTCACTTTGACTTACTGTAGGCGAGTACCTAACGCGTTGAATGAGGTGCCATTTGAAGTTTTTGGAGTAACGATGGAATTCAAGTACATCCATGTCGATGCCGGACGATTTTCTGATCAAAAGGTTCCAGGGACATTCAATCTGCATGACCTACCGGGCTACGCACTCAAAATACAGTCATGATTACCATACTGTGGAACATCCGTCTATCAATATGGATGCGATCAAGTTCACTGATACATTCTCGACACCCGAGGCTTAGAAGGTCACAAGCGGACGGTCTGATTATGCATGTTCTCACAAAGTGCAATTCCCCCGTCGAATCCTGTCATGTGAAGATAGCATTGTTTTCACGGGGCTATTCTAAAGTCTTGTCATTGTCGCTCCTGAGCTTATCGCCGGACGGTCGCCTGAGGCCCTTCCTATCTGCACTACAGATCTTTGCGCCTTAGAAAGTAGGTGTCAGGCATTACTCACTTGAACCGTCTTCCGTACCGCATCAACAATTATCCGCGTCGCGCGGCCAGGAGCCCTGTAGGTCTCGTACGCTCCGAATCTAATTGCTGTACCCAGGACGATTCTCACCCGATCAGCTTCCAACGGCGCTGTACGGCTCCTTTGCGCTTCAACTTCGTTTCGAGACTCCCATTTCCTGCCCAAATTGGGTAAAAGCAGAATGGATGATCCAGCTTCCCGAATTTCGGGGCAATTGGTGAGCGCGACCCGATAGACTTTCATTGCGTCGCAACGCGCGTGATGCACTTTTGGCCAAGTGGGAAAGCACTGAAGCAGTATTGTCCTAGCTGGAGCTAATATGGCGCTTGAACTATCTAGCTTCCCCACATGCACTTGGTGTCGCGCAATCGCTACCCCAATATGCACATGATGCCAACTGAGACGGCGTTGGAATATCTTCTGAGTGCGCCACGAACGTGCCAGACACAACCGATGCAGTGGACTTTCCTGGACGGGCCACAGGACGGGACTGTGATGTTGACGTGGCAGCCCCTCAATCATCTCGGCACCAATTTCGCCAGTGACGGGTACATCTGGGCCGACCCGGAGCAGGTCTTCACCTTCGAGGCCAGGGGATTTGTATGAATGAACCCTTACCCGACGTGGCTCGTGATACGCAGCATACGCTGACCTAGGCGTCTCTCAGACCGTCGAGATGTTTGTTCACCACAGCGGCTATCACCCACCCCACGAGAACCTTGCCAGTCACTCTCGTCGACGTTATCGCATTGTCTCCTCTAAAATTCCGAATTCGCCCCAGCCAGACCCTTCTTTGTGGATCGTTCACTATTCTCGTGCACGTCAACAAGAACAAATTCCCGTAAATCGCATCCCCATCACACCGCAGGTTCAAAATATAACGGCACAGCGGCGCTTCCTACAAAGTCAAGGTCAATTGGCCCATAAGGACTTCCTTCTCCACGACCGCAACAGTTGGCCCACGGTCAGGTTTCCGCCTCAAATGCCTCCTCAGGTGCCCCCTCAAGGTTTTGCGCAACCGCAATCCGGTCCACCCCACCCCAATTCGCAGCCGGGTCGTCCAGGCTTCTACCCTCCCCAAGCTCATCCAGGCGCGGCACCACCAGCGCCGGTCCAAGGAAAAGCATCCCGAGCTTCGCGTGCTCCATCAGCAGCAATGGCGGTGGCTGCGGCTGACTTCTCGCTTGAAGATGAAGACGTCTCCAGCGGGGATGCTATGGATTTCTTGACCCCTCGGGAAATCAGCAAGATGCGATACGTCCAGCACCATGAGTGGATGGAGGAAATTTACGGATCACATCACTCCATTTCCCAAATCACCCCAGTTTCCCTCGGTCTTGGTCGAAAGGGTGAGCTTGAGTCGCTTACAACGGGATTTTTTGACGCGCCAACCGGTGAGGAAGGGCAGGGCGGCCAGGTACCTGACGCCACGAAGCTGGGACCTGCCAAGGCAGCCGAATTCGCAAACAATGTTGAAAAGAAGGTCGCTGATATAAACGCGGAGATTGAGCAACTCAAAAGACAGCATGCCCGGCGAATCGAGCGCTTCAATCGTAGCTCACTGTTCAAGGCTGCCGAGCTGCGACTTCGTGAAGCTGCCGCCGACCCGTCAGCGACCGGTTCTGAAGTCTGGCGCTTGGAGGGTCGAATCATCGCCCCTGACGAAGACGGTGAAACCCCTCAGATGGACTACGTGGAGGAGAAGTCCAAGTACAAGGTTGATGACATTGTGCGGGAGGTCGAGACGGTCTGGGGAAAGCCAATTGTGCCTGTGCCCACGGTTTCTTGTGTCGAGAAGGGAGGTCTTTTGGAAAAGATTGAGCCGGAGCAAAAAGAAGAGCCGGAGTCTTTCACCAATGATATGGTCATCGATCAGTCTGGCTCTCTCCCCACCAACCAGGTTGACACGTCTGTTGCAACGGGCAACTCAGTGCCCGCGGGACCACCTGCTCTTCAAGAGTCGAAAGACGTCGACATGGACATGGGTAATCAGACGGGAGGCGGAGGCGCCGCGGGGGAAAGTGGGGATTGGGTTATGGTGAACAATGAAAACAAGAACGCCAATACTGCCTCCGGCGCTGCTGCTGGTGAGAGCAATATCGAGAGTGCCAATTTTGATGACTTCACCAACATTGACAGCGCTGGAGATGCCCTTGCTGCTTACACTGAGCAAAATGATGGGCTGGATCTCCCTGATCTCGACAATTCTGCGTTCGGCGACGCGTTCCATGCGTCCGACAATGAGCATTCGCATAACCCCGATGCAGATGAGATGTCCTGAGGATGAGCATCTTAGCGACGGAGTCTTCTCGGCCGTTTAAGCTACTGTAATACATTTGTTGATCATTAGGGGGGCGTTGGCTGGCGTGTTGGATACTAAACACCTCGACTTGCTTCAAAACGAGCTGTCTGATTGATACGGAGTGCAGAATTTCCTTTTGAGATGACTGGTTGGAATGCACGAGAGTCATGGATTATGAAGATTTTTCATCATATGATGCCTTTCTGGATTAGTCGTAAAGTCTGTCGCAAATGATCCCTTGACGCAGGCCACACGCGCTAGATCTGAGTTGAGTCTTTCAGACAGTCGTCTGCTGTTCGCCCTGTCTCCAAGGCCAATTTCACTGTATCTCGATCGAAAATCAGGACGCTTAACCCAGGCGGAAATGTCAACCGCAAGGGATGGCAAGTCATAAGTATATAGATCAATGAATGTTCACCATCAAGTTGCCTCACAACCGGCAATCCTCCCTTTGCATCCATTAAACTACATGGTGGAGAACGGCAGTCCGGGCTGAGGACCCAGTGGTTGAGCCGTCAAGTGACAAGCTTAACCTCGAGCTCCTTGCCCCGTCGACATTTGATTGGCAATAGTCGGGCTTTTTTTCTCCATCCGTGCATGGACTACAGTTCGAAATAAGAATGATACAATCATACAGTCGACGAAGAACCGAGCATCCGCCCCTCCCCGTCATGACGTCACACAGCCACCGGGACTACACTTCCCGCAGCGAGCTGCCAGCGGATTTTAGGGTTGAGCACATCGTCATCTATGGGAAGGTGCCAGCCCACTTGATCAGCGTGTGGAGATCTCGGATGAACCACCACTATATCTCGGCTTGTCCTCCTTCCAAAGTCTATCTGAAATTGTGCAGTTTTGCCCACAATACCACTTTTCGAGATATTGCTCCTTACAACTTACACGATACCCGCACGCCAAAATGTGAGTCTGGCACAGAGTATCTGTGTCTCGTTGTGACGTTTTATCGTCACCTCAGTCACGAGCACGCTGACGTACAACTCTAGGCATCGCAACATGTCGATCCGTTCTCGCAGAGAGAACAACAGCGGCCGTCATCGCTTCACCATGTCCACCTTTCGCGGCATGCAGCAGCCCGAGCTTAGCAAGAAGTTGAGTCGACTGATAAAGAGCGAGAACTCGGCTATCGGCGCGCATGAGACAGCCGGCCGAGAGCGCATAGCTATTGCTTCTGCTCTCTCGGAATGGGGCGAGTCGACGGGTGACGAAGCCATCTCTGACCTCTCGGACAAATTGGGCGTCATGCTGGCGGAGATCGGAGAGCAAGAGGACCTCTATGCGCAGAACCTGGAGGACTCCCGAGGCGTGCTGAAGCAAATCCGTAATATGGAAGCTTCAGTGCAGCCGTCCCGCGACCAGCGTCAGAAAATCACCGACGAGATTGCCAAACTGAAGTACAAGGACCCAACCAACACGCGCCTGGTCACATTGGAGCATGAACTTGTGCGCGCTGAGGCTCAGAACTTGGTTGCTGAAGCGCAGCTTTCCAACACCGTACGTTTCGGCTTGCTCACTTCCTTTGACGGGGATCGATATGGCTGACAGTAAGATCTTTCTTGACAGACCCGCACCAAGCTTAAGGAGGCCTATGATCTCCACACTGCCGCGGTCATCGAGCGCGCAGAGAAACAAATCATCCTCGCCCGTCATGCCCGCCGTCTGCTCGGCTTGATCGACGACAGTCCCGTGGTTCCCGGTGACGTCCGCTCCGCGTATGACAGTGAGGAAACCGCCCGTCAGATTGTCGAAGACGCGGAGACTGAACTACGCTCGTGGGAGTCGAATGTGGAGCCAATCGGTAGCCCAACTGAGGATGTGGCCCGTCAAATGACCAGCGGTAGCCTGTCTGGTGGAACCGAGCAGGATATGGAGAGTATTGCAACTGGACGAAGTGGTGTTGAAGCTGGTCATGCCGTTCCCTCCTCGTCTAAGCCGCTCGAGGAGCCCGTCGTGTAAACTGCGAACTGGCAGGAGAGTTCGGCACTGAATGATGACGTTTTTAATGATGGATGTTTTGTTTTCGTTCTTTCGTTCTTCACAATCAACCGAATGTCTTATCGCCATGTTTCTGTGTGGAGTATTGTCTATCCAGTTTAATGAGAGCTGAATATTTTCATGGTGGCAAGCTTTGATTGCTCGCCTTGAGATTCCAACGGAATTTCAAGGTCGTGTCGCACATTAAGACCTTGAAACAGAGCTTGAAACTCTGGATAGAATGCATCCTCAATGCGATGGTCAATTTCCAGAAGTGAAAAGACCAGTGATATTGTTATGTTCGTCCTGATAGTGCTAGAAAGGCCAGCAAGATGTATGGGCTCCTAGGATACTTAGATGCAGGCTGCAGAGTGGAGACGATTTGTATCGTCACGTGATAATAGGCGCCAGAAGTGACGCGGAAGTCCCGAGCTCTAACGGAGCTGCCATTCATCATCAAGCCCAATCGTTATCCACATCACTCACCATCCGTTATCTTCCTGTCCGTCTTGCAAGCTTGACAAGTTACCCATCACGTACTGCACATCATGGATAAGCTTGTCGCGCAATACTCGCGCCCATCTCACCAGAATGACTTCTACACGGAGGAAGAGCAAACCGACATGACGGGGAGCCTTCCTCCGCTCTCTTTGAAGTTCGCCCTTCCTCCTGTCGCCAATGTGAGTCCTCAGTCCAACTATATTGTGGCTTGCAATTCCTTGCTCGCCTACACGTTCGTGGAGCCTCCCAGCTAGTCACTCGTTGTTCAGATCGAGCGAAGCTCGGGCTTGGCCATTCCTGCCCTGTACCGGATCGATGCGGCCTGCTAACGAGTATTTTATCATCTTCCAGCCCTCAGCTTTCCTCCGTGCTATGACCGATGATCATTCCAACCCCAGCTGTCCGATCAAGCTGGCTCACGGAACAACAACTCTGGCATTCCGATTCCAGGGTGGAATCGTACGCTTCTTGTCACTCAGTCTCTTAAGAAGGTCTTCCTATACTGACACCGTACTTCGGGCCGATAGATTGTATGCACCGATTCTCGAGCCACAGCGGGTAACTGGATCGCCAGTCAAACAGTCAAGAAAGTCATCCCAGTCTCGCGGTTGAGCCGTGGAGAAGACAAGCCATCAAATGATCCCACTCCTGGACTTTTGGGAACAATGGCTGGTGGTGCGGCGGTGAGTCTTTTGTCTCGACAAGGATGCTCTCACCTTGATCCGAGATTCAGCTGTGCTGACGACACAATCTGTTAGGATTGCCAATACTGGTTGCGTTATCTGAGTCAACAGTGCACCCTGCACGGTAAGCCGGAGAAATGGATTGGATTGAGCCCTGCCATCGAGAGCGCTTTCTGACAAAAATCTATGCAGAAATTCGACACAAGCGCCGAATCACAGTAGCAGCCGCCTCCAAGATTCTTGCCAATCTCACCTACGCGTACAAGGGCTACGGCCTTAGCATGGGAACAATGCTTGCGGGAGTACGTATTCACACGGGAAGCATGGCGAAGTTTCAGGTTACAATTTGCTGATTTGGCTCGTTGTGTGCAGGTCACCCCTCAAGAAGGACCTGCCCTGTACTATATCGACTCGGACGGCACCCGTCTGCCTGGCAACCTGTTCTGTGTCGGTTCAGGACAGACCTTCGCCTATGGTGTGTTGGATGCGAACTACCGCTATGATTTGAGCGAGAAGGAAGCTCTGGACTTGGGTCGTCGGGCTATCTTGGCTGCCATGCACCGTGACGCATACTCTGGTGGTTTCATCAACTGCTATCACGTCACAGAGGCTGGTTGGGTGCACCACGGCTTTGACGATATGAACCCCATCTTCTGGAAGACTAAGCTTGAGAGCGGCGAGTTTTCTAACGTCACGTCGGAGCTGTAATGGGCGAAGGGACTTGTATGATTGTATTGATCAAGATAGTAGAGGATTGGCAGATGGATGCCTTGGCTTTTCTATGAATTCATCTCCTGACGCGGGTAATCCATGTTTCCGAATAGTTACTCCGTGGGAGATTTGCCCGGGGTGAGATCGACGATTAAGGAGACAAATGAATCTGCACGAGGTTGAGGAATGCACTGATTCAATAGTATTTGCATGCCTTGATCATCCGACCACATTGGTCTGCAACTTTAACTCGAGCACCCAGACAGCATCATGAACATCAACTCCAGTACTCAAAAAGTAGATCTTCACTCAGCCAAACGCGTGTAGTTTCACGTGAGACGGAGTGTCAATCAACGCTTCTCGTGACCTCGGATCGAGTTTAGAGCAACACAGGATCTCACGATGAGCCAGTAGTGTGTCACAGCCAGACCCACGACTAACGACGATTGGCTTTCCCTGTTTACTACGCAACTACCTTACCCATACATCTCATGCTATGCAATAGAGATTTAGAGATTATCGCGGTTCGCGTCAGAAAGCTATTCGTGAGAGTCGCATCATTGCAACTCCGTTCTGAGCGAATTATCTAGCGAGTTGCCCAGTCCACCATTCAAGCCAGCTAGTCAATTCAGGCAGCCAGGGAGAAAGCACATTATGCCTTCGCAGAAGCGCAAGGCCGATAAGATCACTGCTGATCTAAACTCTCGCGATGGCCTCAAACGAGCAGCAGCAGCAGCAGCAGCAGCAGCAGCGGTTTCGCTCTCTTCTACCTGGCCTCTTTTCACCGCACTCAGAACTTCCCGCGGGATTAGATCTCGGTAGCCCACATGCACTCTTTTCACATGTCGTCACGGATCCCGTCTTCAAATACTTCAGTGACTCCATAAACGAGTATGCTGACTACAAGCGATCGAAATCAAGCAAAATTCGCTCGTGGCAGACAACCACTGTATCAGAAATCAAGGTCTTTTTCGGCGTCATACTTTACATGAGTGTTCCTGAATTCCCTACAATCAGCTCACTCTGGCGTTCGGAGCCCCGCCCAGGGCCAGACGATCATATGAGCCACGAACGGTTTGAGCAGATCCAGAGATTCGCGCATATTTCTGTACCTGGAGGTGATTCAGATCGAACCGAGTCGGGGTCCGAGGACGACACATCTTGGCGGGAGACAATAGCACCACTGGCGGCTCTTTTCGAAGAAGCGGCTATGCACTTCGAAGAATCAGCGGCCAAAATCTTTATGAGTGGAGCCATGACCCGTCGTTTTGGCCATTCGTCTCAGAATTTCCAGTTGCAGTGCAAGCGCTGAAGTATTGACCTTGCCTTTCGAACACGGCGTCCAGTCGGGCGATTGGGCCTGCCATTGTCTCGGGATGTCGTCGAGTCTGTAGGCTTCAAAGAGGAGTTTGGCTATGCATCCTCCTCCTCAGATGAATGCTATGAGACTGGAGAGGTAGACATGGGGAGAGTTGGCGAGAGAGTTGGCGAGCGAGTTGGTGAGGAAGGAGGCGAAGAAGACGTTGGAGAGCTTCCTGGATCGGCTACGAAGACGGCCAGCCTTTTGGCCCGTCCCGGATCGCCGTACATGGCTTACAGTTCTGGTCTTTTTCGTCGACGCGGCTGCTATCAAAGCCTATATGATATACAATGAGCATTCGAAAACGCACCAGCACCGGCAAGATGTGCCTTGGTTCCGTTGTCTGCGGCAATTCCGTGAGCGGTTGTATCAGGAGCTCTTTGCATTCTCCGGGTATAGAGCGCATGAGGGCCGAGGGCAGGTTCCCAGCCAGCAGCGGATTCCATGACAGATGCGATAACCAGCCCAAGCCGTATTCCAGTGGTCAGTCCACTATCCTATCCGACTAATCAGCCGCCAGTTCATTCATCCACGTATGCTCCGACGCCGTCAACGGCCCATCCCCAACGTTCTCAACAGTCAAACAACACTGCCGAATACGCTCCGAGCCTCCGACAGACAATTAGTATGCGTATGGTGCCGATACAAGATCCAGCGAGACCGCGCAGGCCAACGAGTCCCAAGAACGCGCTGTGCATGTTTAGAGTGTAACCAAGCCCTGGGTATCAAAGGATCATGCTGGGAGGAGTACCACCATGATTTCGATGTGACGGTACGCCAAATGTGGGATAGTGGACGCATTCGAGCTGGGAGAGTGCCGGGCGTACATACCATACAAGCACATACAACACAGTGAATGTCTAGTCGATGTAAGTTGTTTCGTACGGGTTGACTTGCATTTTGAGCTAGAGTGATACCTGGACTTGGTATATGATGAAGCTAAGCCCATAAGAAATATAACTAAATGGCAGGGTCTACATATCGACCTCTGGGACTCAAGGGGGAATTTGAAATTGATTGATATTTAAAAACAGGAACAGGATAATATCGTTAGCCAATGAGTGATTCAACCATCGCATTGGCACTAGCATCATTGGTCTAGTGGTAGAATTCGTCGTTGCCATCGACGAGGCTCGTGTTCGATTCACGGATGATGCATTTCGTTTTTGCCCTTGAAAGATGAAAATAACCGTCGCTTTTATCGACGGACAGCTCCTATCTACTTCAGTACCCGTATCGGCTTATCTATTCCTCGTCCATGCCATTCAGCTAGTTGCCTTGTCGAGCACACGCTTTATCTTTTGGGTATGCCCGGTATTTCTTGCAGATATCCTTTTTTCTTCGGCTTGATTCGCTGGAAGTACTTTTATTTCCGCCCTACCAGCACTTTGTCCTTGTATATACATAGATCCCAGCTCCTCGCAGAGATCAATCACTCGCCTGAAAATCAACAATCAACTCCGGCCACGCTTCACCCCAACAATTTGCTTCTCTGGTGTCGCGCGACGACCCATGTGATCGATATCCATATCATCAGGCTCAATCTTGATGCGAGCCCCACCACCACCACCACCAGCACCAGCCTGCGGAGTAAGTCGCGCAGAGCTCTGATACAACTCATGTTGCTCGAGCGATTGGCGCGACTCATAGTAATCGTCCTGCGGCATGCGCGGCAGACCGTCCTGTCTCCGATCTGACAGGAATTGATCCTGGCCAGCGTAGAAATGCGTCGGTGGTGGGCCACCACCGTGCGAGTGACGGTCACTGCGCGGAGGTTGTTGATCATGGTAATAGTCCTCGGGTCTATGTGTCATGGCGGGATGGCCGTGGCCGTGATGCGGCGGAGGCTGAGATTGAGACTGAGACTGAGACTGAGGACCGGATTGACCATGGTAGTAGGATGGCTCTGGTGAGGCGTAATGGGGTCCAGGTGGGGGTGCTTGTTGATGATGGACCGGTGGGATCGGCTGTCGAGGAGGCGCTGCCGAGGACGGGTGGTGGGGATAGTGGTGGTGTTGGTGTTGGGGGTGATGATGAGAATACTGCTGTTGGCTTGGATGCGCGTAGTTAGGATAGTACTCCGGATCACGCGAATGATGCTGCGGCAGAGGGGGTTGAGATGCAGACTGCGTGTAGAAGCTTTGCTGCTGAGTGGAGGAGCGACGCTCTTCTGGTGCAGCCGAATTGTGGTGATATGCGCGGGCCGGTCCCGTTCCACGCTCTCGACTCGGGTATGGTTCGCCGGATCGAGAGTGCGAATGATGAGAGGTCGGCTTTTTGGTGTATTTGGGAGGGAAGACAGGCTTGTGATCGGGACCGGAGAGCTCGATGGGCTGGTTCGGATCAATCTTGGGGTCAAGTGGCGAGTCTTTGGAGACGTAGCGTGATGATTCAAGTGACAGGGTCGAAGCTTGTGTGGCGGGCGACTTGGTGCCAGCGCTTGAGTGGGACAAGGCTGGACTGTTTTTGGAGCTTGAGGATGCCATCGTGGATTGGATACGTGATGGTTCTTATTGTTGCAACCAGGTTCTTGTCAGCGATCGTGGCTTTTCCCTGAGCTTCCCTTCTCTCAGTTGCGTCCTAGTCTGGAGGATAAAGCGGGGTATGGCTGCAGATGAAGGTTGAGAGGATAAGGATGGAAATGGTGACGAGAAGGCGGAGGCTAACCACATCAGCTGTGCGGACCTGAGAAGAGTTGCGCGTCGGCCGATCTGCACAGCGCTTGGGGACTGCCTTCGAGTACTTCCTAAGCCGTCCTTGACTGGAGTGTACCTGGAAGATTGCTGCCGATGGGACTTTCGTTGTGTCGAGTTCCAGCAGTCAAAGGGAGAAATCAATACAGGTGGGGCGGAGACGATTCCTGGGGATGCACGTCAGCGTACATGATGCATGCCTGAGATCTTGGTCTGCAGCCACCTGAAGGTCCGTCGAGATTTTTTTTCGGACTAATCAGTCACCGATGGAAGCCAACCATAGATTGAATCAGATATGACGACCAAATTGAATACTAGTTGACTGGTGTAAAGGAGAGCGGCCATTCATGTGGTTCCCAAATATCGCCTCCACCACAAAGGCCTGGAAGTACTATTGAATACTGAATAGTGAAACTGAAAAGTGCTAATATTACAGTACTGTGTACCTCCTTCGAAGATGCGCGACTGATTTGTAGTACGGTAGGTTGAATCTCCATTCAGATAGAGGGTTGAGTGACAGACACATCGCCTGACTGCCCAGACGGATCAACAACCAAAATCAGTGTATCAGACAGACGCTTCATTGATGATATAGTAACAAATAAATACAAGGAATGTTCCAATGAAAAAACGAGCAATTGGCATATTCGACATCCAGAAACATTTTTGAGACTCCCACTGATGAATCGATGAACAAAAGAATCCCACAAGTGCAATAAATATATAATCAACATCTCTAAAATCATCCACTTCATGCAGAGAACGTGCCCTTCTAGTTCTCAATCTTGAACTTCATGCGGATACCCATCGCCGCCAACTCGACATCAAGGAAGCGCAGCACACCAGGCACCGCAACCACAGTGACGTTGTCACCACCGACGTAGCGTTGCCCATCACCATCCTCCCAGGCCTCCGCACGCGAGTCGTCAAAGGTGGCCGAGCGGGCACAGCGACGGCAGCGCACAATTCCGTTGGCACCACCCAGAGCACCAACGGTCGTGGCGGCGGCACCCAGGTTCTGGTTGGGAGCCACCTTGGCCGCAGCCGCAGCCGCACCAGGGTTCACTGCGGCGCGGCGAGATGCGCCAGAACCAGAGACTGCCACTTGTGTTGACAGGAACGAACCACAGTCACGGCAGATCCAGGCGTGTTGGGAGTCGGAGCAGTTCATCAGTCGATCCTGCAGGAGGAAGGCGGCACCGTGGGCAATCAGCGAGTCACGCTCCATCTCTCCCACACGAATACCACCACCCTTGGCACGGCCCTTAACGGGCTGACCGGTCAAGGCGTTGACGGGACCCGTCGTGCGCACCTGGAACTTGTCGTTGACCATGTGACGCAAACGCTGGTAGTAAACCACACCCATATAGATATCGGCAGCGAACTCCCGGCCCGTGATACCACTGTACAGTGGCTCATTGCCGTAGTAGTTGTACCCGGCCTTTAGAAGCTGGTGGCCAAAGTAGTCGGTCGCCGTGTTCTCTTCAGAGAATTGGAACGGCGTGCAGTCTTGAGGATGTCCGTGAAGGGCACCAGCCTTGCCCGCCATTGATTCAATCATCTGGGCGATGGTCATACCTAGACAAAAAAAAGCGCGGAGATCAGCGATAGGCAAAATCAAGAAGTCAAATGAGACAACCTTAGGAAAAGGGCGGCTTGGGTGCCGTAGCATCGGCACGCATGAGACGAGTATATTGCAAACTTACGAGAGGGGAAGGCGTGAGGGTTGATGATCAGATCGGGCTGCATGCCGCTCTCGGAGAAAGGCATGTCAACCGCGGGCCAGAGTTGTGAACAGACACCCTTCTGACCGTGACGAGAGGAGAACTTGTCACCAATAACAGGCTTACGCGGGATGCGGTATTTGACACTGAGCGATTGAGCGGGCTCGTTGCCGTTTTCTGAGCCCATGATTCGGATACTCTCGATGTATCCAGCCTCGGCGTCCTTGTACTTGACAAAGTGCGTGATACCATCGACATTGACGAACGAGTCCGTGGCCGCATCGTAGCGAACGTTGTGGTAGGCGGCGATCTTGTCACCTTCCTTCACACGCACACCAACGTGAGGCATACCATCGCTGTCAATCAATGACTTGACTTCTGCGCGAACCTCATCGCCGGGCGCGAATCCAAAGAGCTTGGTCACCTCCCGTCGGGACTTGCTGCGACGAGAGTCACGCTCAGCTAGACTGTGAACCTTTGTCTTGTAAATAGTTCCGTGTCCGAATCCACGCTCGTGTGCTGACTTGTTAATGATCATGGCGTCATCCATGTCGTAACCAGTGTAGGAGATAATGGCCACAATGGCGTTTGTGCCGTTGGGGAAGTTATCCAGGCCGTACGCGTTGTACAAAGGCGGCCGCACAACAGGGGTCTGACCGGTTTGCAAACGATAAAGCTTGTTATCTGTGCGGTAGTTGATAGATGTGCCGGGTGTACCCATGGTCTGCTTGCTCATCTGACACTGGTACATGTTACGAGGTGACTGGTTGTAGTCGGAGAAGGGAGTCATGTTGGCAACGATCGAGAGGATGTTGGTGGGCGTGTATTCGATATGGGTCGACAAGCCCGCGATGAGGTCGGACTCCAAACAGGCGATCTCCATGAACGGTTGCTCGAAGGGACCCACAAAGTCCATACTGTCGTTGGCAAGGTATTTGACCGGACGATACATACGAGCAGCCTGCGAGAACATGTAGACACCGGGGTACTGACCGCCGTTTGAGTTTGGGACGTACCCAATCTCAAGCCCACGGGGAATTCCATTCATCCCAGACACCTTCCAGTAACGGAGTGTATCGTGAATCTGCTTAGCCTGCGTTGGTGAGCAGAAACCGATGATGCGACCATCCAATTGGATGACAACGCTGTCATCAATAGCGACGGACGACTCGGCTCTGACTCCAAGCTGGACGAGAATCTTCGGAAGGTGAGAGACATCGAGATTGTCTGTGGCGATGAGACACTTATGGGCCAAATGGTTGAGCAGACCGCAAGGAGAACCATCGGGTGTGTGGACCGGGCAAAGGAAACCCCAACTCTCGGGTAGTAGCTTGCGGACGGTGGTGGTCTTCAACTGTGCGAAGAAACTACCACGATGAATCATACGGAAGTGACTGATGAAACGATAGAAGTTGATCTTCTCGGCGATAACAGTGTAACCGGATGTCTGCTGAAGATCAAGACCGGTGGGACTGACCAAGTTACCGGTGGACAAGAAGTATTCAAGAGCGTTACCGATGTTCTCGTTTGATCGCTTCACGATCTTGGCGAGGAACTCTCTCTCGAACGCAGGATCGGAGAACTTGGCACCGCCATTGCGAATTGACCAGTCTCGAGCAATGGGACCAAACGAACGCAGCCACTCTTCAATTCGCTCCTTCAAGATCATACCGTAAAGGAAACCACCCAGCAAAATCTCCTGGTTGGAGACTGCATCAGGGTTGTCGGGGGCGCAGTCGCCAGCAACCAAGGCATACAGTTTCCGAATCATGAAAATGATCATCTTGAACTTGTCATAGTCTTGAGTCTCGGTCACGTTGTGATTGCCCAGATGAGGCAGAACCACCTTGCGCAGGAACTCCGTACCCACATCCTCGTCCGACATGTCAGCCGGCACGCCGAGGACAGGTCGGAAACATTTGCCCAAATGGGATCGGCAGTCGTAGCGGCTGTGCTTGTTGTAGGCCTGATAGGTTCGGAGCAAAAGCTCGACACGATCCGTGACGAAGGTGTTCTTCATGCCCTTGGAAGTGGCACTTCCGACGAGTGTTTCAAAGATCTCACGGTCATTGGTCTCTACCAAAGCCTTAAGGATCATCATGACGGGGACAAGGAACTCGTTCTTGCGCCAGGAGAAACGGAAAGTGACATTGCCATCGGAAAGGTAGTGCAGGACATTCGTCTGCGACGTCTGATCGGGACGAACTGATCGTATTTGCACACCGAACTTGGTATAAGTGTGACCACGCTTGACAAAGGAGCCACGGATAATGGACATAGGATAGTTTCGCTTGCCGACGATCAACATTCGGATCAGCTTCTCATTGCCGTTCACAATGAAGTATCCGCCAAGCTCCTCGGACTCCTCCTTGTATGTGACGAGATCCTGCGGGGTTGCATTCTCAAGGTGACAGCGGTTTGTGCGCATCATGATGGGGACCTGACCCAGCTCGCGCACAGATTCCATCCAGTCGCCATTGTTGATCTGATACTCGAGACGAGCGCGAAGCTTTCCACGATAGGTCGAGTGGCGCTCTCGGCACTCCGAAGGGTAGATATTTCGATTCTTGTGGCTGAATTTGTTGGTTGGCGGGAGAGCGGGCTTGTCGAGGAAAATTTCGGTGACTCGCACGTTCAGGCGATTGCGCTTGGGCGCCCGACGACCCTCGGCGATGCGAGCCTTCTTCTGTTCGGGGGTCTCAATTTCTCCATCCAAAAACGTCTTAGTGCCGATATCCTTCAAGCCCTCCTCAAGGATCTTGCTTCCACCGAAAAGTTGGTTGAATGAGTCGATATGCGGCTTAATTGACTCGGCCAAGGTCGGATAAGCGGTATGGTCCTTAGGCGGGTTTTGGAAAAGGTTCTCACGGCGCAACGTGTCATACTGGACCGACCAGTTGGTGTCAGTTCGTGCAGGAGCCATGGCTGGAAGCTGGCGGATGCTGCCCAGTTGGAGACGAGAAGAAATGTGACTGAAAGAAGATCAATTGGCGCAACAAGATCGCACCCGAATTGAAATTCTAGTGAATGGTGGGCAGAATCTGAAGATACCCTTTCTGCAGCATCAACCTCAGCCGCTCAGGACCTTTATCCGATGAAGCGAGGTAATTCAGCCAGCACTGGCAGCTTGGATGAAGTCGTGCATAATTCTGCTTGGGGAAATTTTTCGAGGGTGGATCCGGCTTATCAGCACGTGAAGATAATTGCTTTGCCAGATCTTGGGCCTGAGGCACAGGTACCTGTATTAGATAATCAGTGCTTGCGGGGGAGATGTTTGCATTGATTGAAGTAGCGGGCGGATGAGGCCTGTCACTGGAGTGACCGTCACGACATGACACTTGCTAGTAAATTATTCGCGTCATGGTGCTGTTCGAATCATTGCATAACTGTACAAGTGTACATTGTACAAGGCGCTTTTCAGGCAGCCTCGGCACCGGAGAGATAGAACCCAAGTGCTACTACGCAGCGCCCAGTCTCCATATTTGGTTGCCAGTATGTCACCGCTGCCACCTGGAGATTACAAGGCCTAGACTCGAAGCTTTGAAGTTGTTAATACTAGGACAGTAGGACTAGGTAGGCATTATGCAATGAGACATGCAATCAAGTCGCTTCCACACATACCCGAATCATCGTAAAAGATCCCCATACAAGCCACTACTGTAAACCAGTATCTCGAATCCTATTCGGTGTAAGAGACTCTCAAGCCTGCGAATTAGGTCCACTACAGGTACGGCGAATCGCTTTGCGTGTGGATACTTCCAAAGTTTGGTCTCCCGGCAAGATTAGTAGGTGTCAAGGTGATAGCCCTCGGAGCCACCATCGGAGTGCCGAGTGTATGTACCCGTGTATTCATTTCTTAACAATGAGCTTCAGCTACTAGGCGCTGGCTCCAACGGCATACGCCGTGGCTCTTCGGATAGCGCCATAAGCACAGCCTTCTCATATCCATGCTACACATAAGCACAGCCTTCTCACATCCATGTTATACAATACTTGTGACTCTTGCGACGACCATTTACGCGTATGGATCAACAAAATCTAGCGAGACTTGTCGTTTCCTGCTAGGCAGGGTGACTTCTGTACTCGTAGCTTGCTTACCAAGCTTATCTTGACTAGTGCTCCGGTCCCGTCTGTGCGCGGGAGCGTCCATCAGCTCCAAGAACAGTGCATGCAGGAACTCTGGTCATGTGGACAGGATATTTGGAAGGCATCGCAAGTAACATTTTTGTAGTACCTCATCACAACTCCCAGGAGGTACCTAGGTACCTACATAAGTCAATAAGACAGTAACGAAATAGTAGTGGTACCGGCGGTGACTCTCGGTGACATTTGGCAGGCTTCGTTCTTGATGTGCTAGTTCTGGAGGTATTGTGGGCTTGCGAAATGAATCTCAGATTGCCTTTATCGGTTAAGGCCAAAGACAGTCCTACTTAATTAGGGTGTGTTTTCATCCGAGTGTTGATTCTTGAGTATCCACTGACAAACAATTGATTTGGTTCTCGCGATGATATTTCTTCAGATTTCTGATGTTCGATCTAGTATAATGAACTATCAACGCTCAACCGTGCTTGTAGACCGCAATATCCAGTTCACACTTAGTACCTCGGACTTCGATATACCTAAGGTACTTCGCCCTTTCTAGTAACCAACATATACCCTATTACCCACTAACTTACCGGCTGGTACACATGTGACTGTATGAGGAAGCGCTCTAGTGAGCCTCCTCGGCTCTGCCCGGTCGAGCAGTGTTTCTCTGTTGAATTGTAAGAGCTTGTTGCATTGTTTCATATACGTGCAGCTACCGCTACCTCTGTGTCTTGTATCTTGCCATCTTGACGTCCTATCCTTGTCGCTGTTGATCTTGTCTCATTCCTTATGGACAAACTCCCATCAGTAAGGTACTCTCTAGTCTCTGCATACCTGATGTGACAGTCCAGCTTACACGGGCGTGAGTTGATGTTGGGACAGAGAATCCCTTTCCCTATACGAGACACTGTTCGGGAACCTTCCTGGTAAGTGTACCTGAATCAGTGCCGGCCCTAGTTGCTCATGCGTGATCACACTCGACTTTCGTCCAAGTTGATCCGTAGTTCGCTGCTGGTTAACGCGCGCGCCGCTCTCTGCGACCCCACTTGGAACCCACCCAGCTTCCGTCTCCAGACTTGCTCATATTCCACTCCTGGCAGCCATCATCATCATCATCATCATCATCATTTCAGACGGTCACTCGAATTCTTGTCTCCCAGCTCACGCTACACATTCCCTCGGTCGCTCCTTTTGAAGTTCCACAAAAGCTAAACCGAGCCTAATAGTGTTGATACTCTACTCTGCTTTCGTCTATCAATCAAGTAATATTCTGGCTCAACGCTTGCCACAGCTTTGATTCAAGACCGAGTGTTTCACGCCCTGGATCATTATCCTGCCTACAACCTCCCCTCTCTGTCTCTCTCACTCGCTCTCTCTCTCTGGCAAGACACAACACTCTACCACCGCACACATTCTCGAATCACCGATTTTTTTTTGCCTTGCCTCCACCGGTTCCCTTTCAGGACTTTTATATGTCCAAGTCTCAGGAACTTGAGTAGAACCGACATTCTTTCCTCAGCAGAGCCCCGTTTCGTCTACCACCATGGCCGGCATCTTTCGTTCCATCTACGATTGGCTTCTGAGGATGTTCTGGTGAGTGCATCACCTCTTTGCCCGTCTGGTCTTTTTACTTTGTTTTGTCATTCATGCCCATCGCTCTCTGATGGAGCACTTGGGTGCACGGATCTTGATTGTGCCCAGTTGCTGCTCCCCGTGGGAGGTGAAGAGCGCTGCTGATCATCTGTGTCAACCCTTGCAGGGCGACGGAGATGGATGTCACGATGATCGGCCTGCAGAATGCCGGCAAGTCCTCCTTACTCCGAGTGCTCGCGGTAAGTCACTATCCATCCAGCAATGTTTCTTGTACTTCCGCTGTTTGGTGCACTACCTGAACCATCGTTTTGGTACCGGTGTTGTTGTGCTTGGCTTCGTCGCCAGCTCGTGGGCGTTAGATGTGGAAGATCGGCTCGCTGACGGAATTACGTAGGGCGGGGAATTCACGGTTGAGTAGGTTGCTCCCGAGGAGTCGACGGACTACAGACCACAGTCGGGCTGCTAATCGTGCATTCACCACTACAGTTCAATCCCCACCATCGGCTTCAATACCAAGCGGGTTCAGAAGGGCCATGTGACCCTGAAATGGTATGAGCAGTCCCATTTGAATATTCCAGCCGACTGACCTTTACCCTTGAGGAGTATGGACCGTGTACTGACGGTCGCAGCTGGGACTTGGGCGGGCAACCTCGATTTCGTCCGATGTGGGAGCGGTATTGTCGGGGTGTGAATGCAATCGTGTACGAAAGACCTGCATCTGGATCGCATCTCGACTCTTTGCTGATCAGATACCTTGCAGATACATTGTAGATGCGGCTGACAAGGCGGCATTGCCTGTGGCAACGGAAGAATTGCACGAGTTGATGCAAAAGCCAACTTTGGATGGTATCCCGCTCTTGGTGCTTGGCAACAAGTCGGATCTTCCTGATAAGCTGTCGGTCGACGAGCTGATCGATGCGATGAACCTCAAGTCCATCACTCGCCGTGAAGTGAGCTGCTATGGCATCAGTGCTAAAGAAGAGACCAATCTGGACGCTGTACTGCATTGGCTCATGGCCCGTGCCAGTCGGTAGAGAGGCGCATTGCAGCAAAGCGTCTCTGATTAATTCGGGGGACATGAGGAACTCCCTCTATTTTTACTTCTCCCTTCACTTGTGCTTTTTCCCACAGTTCCCGCGGTTCTGCATGGGTTCGTTTTGCTTCTGTGCGTGTTGCGATTATCCCTCCCCGAAACCCCCATAGGGAACTTTGTTTCTCCCAATTCCGTAGATACTAGCGTGTTGGCTCGCCGCCTCGGTTGTCACGACTTAATGATTCCCTTGGAGTTGTGCGATTTTTGTCGTTCTCTGCCCCGTGTGTGAATTTTGGTTCACCCGTTTGGACTTTTGTGTGTGTTGACTGGCGAGGGACTTTGGTTCTTCTCAATCAGTGGTCTGGTGCGAAGAAGTATTGATGAGACAGGATGTATGACTGAACGAATTGACGACGTTGCACGGTGCCAGAACTCGGCGTCTCTGAATGTGATCTTCCAAGTGCAAATTGTTCCAACAGGGTCCTGCACGTAACGGGATCGATGTACCTGAATTGCTGACTGGTGAGCTGGGAGCTTGAGTCGAGGCGACCACGAGTCAATTTGGTATGTTGGTAACCTCTGTGTTGATCCAGACTATTACAAGCGCAGCGAATTGGCCAACTCGTAGAGACGAGGTACAACCCCAAGATCATCCCACAGAATGGGATTTAGGTGATTTGGATTTATCTCTATTCCAAACCCAAGGTGGAAAATGGATATGAAGAAACCCTCAAGCAAGCTGGAGGTGCCCCCCCGACATAAATAAAGATGCAACCTTACCTACCCGCCAGACACGTCAAACCTACACGGACCAAGTGATGCGTTGGCACTGCATGAAGCTGGAGCCAATTCCCGCCAAGGAGGGTCCCTTTTGCTCCAGACGGGGGACGATGACATGTCAACCGTCATCAATTCGGGCAAGCAGTTACGTTGAAACTTTTCTTCACGTGTGTTCAATGTTTATGATAGGCTCAGAATGAGTTCTGTTCTATGTAGAGTGTGTTGCTGATGTGGAGAAGGCTCGATTTTCCGAGACCTTCCCAGAGCGACAAGATAATGCTTGCTTTGGTGGTGGGCGAAGTGTAGAGATGCTCGATTACTATTGCTTACGCTTACAGCGGAATTTTGGGTGATTGACATGTATCTCAGATGGACTGTTGTACGTACTACGTCAGCCTAAGGCCTTCATTCTATGTGCTTGTATGGGCTACGGAGATTGGAGACTCTTGGCGAGTTAGCGTGCCGCAGACGTTTGACTACTATGATAATGACCGACTGTATAATTATGGAGTCAGAACATAACTGCTGTACCTCGGTAGAATGTAGATGCTCATAATAATGGGTCTATGCATGCTGAACGAGGAATCATTTGACGATCAGGTATGACGGTACGCGCAGGATAGCCAACTTTTTGGAGAAAATTGGGGCGTCACCCATGCTGACATGTGATTATGGCCTCGACTCAATACCTTTCTCGCTTCTACTCCCCAACTAGGGATCCTAGTCACGATAGAGATGGTATAAATGGATCAGGGTCAATCGGAATAATTTGACGAAAAAGGGCCACTGACTCACCTTGGCCCTGTCCATGAACATCTAATATTAAAGCATGACACCGTTCTCAGATTAGGCGGCGAAATAACCCCCCAGAATCCCAGATAGCCAGGGCGGTGTCATGAGGAAACCACGGTACGGCTAGTGTTGGTACGATCACGCGGATCGATCGGAGCGCTTCGTATTCGAGGCTACGGTGAGAGCTATGAGGCTATGTTGCGAGGATCCTGCCTTTGACGACGGGTGTTGTCGGGAGGCGACGAGGTAGATGGTACTAAGGTAGGTAGCGTAAGACTCCATGGAGGAGGATTTTCTGACTGTGCAGTCGTACTAGTAATGAGTCCTACTGTATTGCAGTCCGTACTCTCAGACTGACAGACGCTGTAAGTCTGTAGTACTGTGAGTGTGGGGAGCTCGGCGACATCAACACACGTTTCCAGTACTAACTGAAATTACTCAATCATAGTTACTGCTTAACAGTCTGGCGTCACCAGAAAAGAAAAACATGGAGAGAAAAAGTATTGCATGGAAGAAGGTAGGAATAGAACGAGAAGGAAGTGAAAGACAGATTTTGCTCATTGGTTATCGTCATTTGACGAGTGCCTGTACGGTGAGATACATCCATGACGCCCTCAATGAACGTAGGTACATACGTACGAATGTACTCGTGACCTTAGGTGAGAGGTTCAGCAGTCGCCATATCCAGGATCCATGTCCAGAGACTCACAGTCACTAACATTACTCCCACTCCTCTGGCCGTCGTGGATCCTTACAAGACACAGTGCTCACTGCCCAGGACTCAGGTGCTAGAACTTCGATGAGTCTCGCGATGGATGCCGTCAACCCTGCATCTCTCTCCACATGTCTGCGACAAATTGAGATGATTGGGATCGGAATGCCCAAGTCTCCACTTGACTGCGCCGCATTGATTGCCTCTCCGTCTCCTCATCTGCGATCGCACTGGAGCATAAACTTGTGCCGCTACCAGAGATCTCCATGAGGTTTAAAGACCGAGTCGATGGCCACCAACAAGGGTGGCTGAGTGAAGTGGTGGAATGGTCTGGAAATGATGAAAAATGGGGAACAGTCCAGTCAGGCGATTGCGATTGCGTGGTAGATTCTAGGATGCCCTCATATATTAGTAGGCTACCGTTCCTTCTCCTTTCGCATCATTTGAACGACCAACACGACCTGCTATCCATCTTAGAGTTATACAGCATACTCCCTGTACTGTAGCCGAAGTACCGCGGTGACACCAGACACCCAAGGGAGCTGTGCCCGGAACCAATTCTCATGAAATCATCACAACTTTGCAGCCTAAAGTGCCAAGACCCACCCGCTCTTTCCATTCCCAGCCCCATTCAACTTAGTCGCCTGCGACGACCGACTTGTTGAGTTGACAACTCGCCAAAGATCTTCCATCGAGTTGACTACCACACAACTGCACTACGCTCCACTTCATCAACTGTCACTTCATCATTTATCACTTGGCTGAGGAAGTCGTCACTGGCCAGTGAACCCTCCATCTCGCGTCGACCTCCGATCGTCTGTCTGAGCTGAGCTGAGCTGAGCGGTACCCCAGAATCAAAGGATCACTGCGGACAACTTCCTGTCTCTCGGCGGCCCCCAGTGAACCTCTCTTTTGCCTCCCACCCTTGCTTTTCTCTCCCAGACACACACCATGGCTGTCCTTGCACGATATTACTGGTAAGTCTTGCTGCCTCTCAATATTGTGGAGCTTGGTCGCTGTATGGACATGGATTTTAACCTCGAGCGGCCAATAGTTCTGGTTATTATTATAACGATTGCTACAGCAGTAGCTGGGACCTCTGGGGTCGATGGGTAGCATTTGCAGTCATTGTCGGCTGTGCCTTTCTTCTATTTCTCGGGTTTGCGTGAGTCCTCCTGCTACTGTTGTCCTTGTCTCAGTTCTCCTCTTTGGCTCCTCGAGACCACCATGGCTATTGCTTTGGTGTTGCCACACGCGCGCGACCATGCTCGACTGACACGGTTTCCTTTCCCACAGCTGCCTCAATGCTCGTCGTCGCCGCCGTCGTGGTATCCGCCCCATCACGGGCACAGGATGGATGGCCCCTCCCCCCAGGGCCTCCCCCTCCAAACCAGCCTTATTACGGCGGAATCCAGAATGATCTCTATGGCTCACCACCTCCTCCACAATACTCGGCCAATCCCCAGAATTATGGCTACTTTGGCGCGCAACATTCTGGACCACAGCAAAACGGCATCGAGCTGCAACAACCGGCCCCTACCCACGCTGGTGCGCGGACTTATAGCCCACCTCCCGGCCCGCCCCCTCCGAAGGTGTAGACCTCGGACACTGTTCTCATTTGCGCAAACGCCCTGAGATGACAATGAGATGTTGATTGGCCTGCGCACGTTGTGTTTCGCTCATCGATGAGTCCTTTCTCTTTTCTGCCTGGTTGCACCTCCCTGACGAGGCATTTGGGGAGTCTGAAAGAGTGGTTTCGTGTGCTGGACTCTTGGGCTGTCCATGATCACCTTCACTTTATATACCAGTGCTCCCACGCGACGCACACCTCCATTTCACTCCTGTTTACCCAGTGGCTCCTGAAAGATGGTAACCCTGCTGATCCCGCAAGAGGATTGTACAATCAATGTCGAGCATGATCATGGTCGGCGCGAGTTTTTTGCTCTCTATTTTGGCTTTTGTCGTGACCCCTCCTCGGTGTCTTTCCGTTTGCTTTCTTCTCTCCTCTATTAATGACATACCCAGGAGTTTCTTACTTGGCATACCAATATCAACGTCCATTCATGTTCCATGAAGTGATCATAGTCGCAGGCATTCTGACTGTAGAGATGGGTTACTTGCACTTTGGAGTTGAAAACATAGGTCTCGAGGTTTGTGCATGTGATCTTTGAACTTCATCACGCTGAGATCTCCATTCAACTCTGACGTCACAACTTCCATGTGAGCTCTAGCTTCTTCGATGGACATTGCGCTCTGTGGTGAAAGTCAAAGATCAATGAAGAACACCCAGACCGCGCTCATGTCTTGACAGGACAATGGACCCCAACCGCATCCTGGCCGCTCTTGAATAATATGTTTATTTGTTTATAGGGGTGGGCCTTTTAAGTCAACCTTACATCTATGAACGACTGTGACTCTTCACCATTCTATCACTCCAAGTCGAATCCACATGCTTCATCTCCACTCTAAGAAGATACAAAGTCTAAAATTCGTTGCATTCCACCTTTGCCCACGTGCCGAGTCCAGACCCTCCGTTAGCCCAGGCACGCCGCAGATTCCCGCCCCGCCCCACCCAAGCTTCTCATCTTCAATCTCCGCTCCCGAGTTTCTTTCCCCTCCACTCCGACTCCGACTACGACTCCTCTGGACTTTCTACTGTGCATTTCTTCTCCTCTACCCTCTCCCTCCAATCCCCCCCCCCCCTCCTCCTTCACGGAGAGGCAGAGGTGTCTGAACCATTGCCTCACACACCCATCATGGACATTGATGATATTCTCGCCTCGGTGGACCGCGGCCCAGGAGCCAGTCCCGAATCCGCTGCCCTTGATCACCAGCAATTGACGCGATTCTGGATCGCCGAACGCGCCGTCTCTGAAGTTCTACCTTGGCCGGCGCCATTGATGGAGCGCATGATGGATCGTGTGCGATTACAGGTAGGGTCGTTTTTTTTCTTCTTTTCAGCATCGACTCGAGCGGTCTATTCTACAATATCACATCTCCCCTTACAAGCCTTCCCCCCAAAAGTCTCTCCGTGACATCTTGCGCCTGTCTTTCTTTTTCGTTTCAAAATAAATACTCACCGCATCCAGATCGAAACCATTGAAGACCTCGCCGCCTCATCCGTCGACACCAACCCCTCACACAACAGTACCTCCCACAACCCCAACCTCAACCTCCGCCTCTCCATCCTCCAAACCGACCTCGCCCGCACCCAATACATCATCCGCTCCCTACTCCGCGCGCGTCTCGCTAAGCTCACCAAACACAGCATGCACTACCTCGTCCAACTCGCCAGTCGCAACAAAAACCCTCTCTCGTCCGCCTCCCAATCCCAATCCCAGTCGCAAACACAATCGTCGGCCTCAACCGCCAACGTCTCGCCCGAAGACTCGGTCCCGGATATTTCGGCGCTGACCGATACAACGCCGCTCTCGGGACCGGAGACGAGCTTTGTCCATGCGCATCAGACGCTCTTGGCGGGTCATTACGGGGCGTCGTTTCTGGGGGCGTTTCCGAGACAGTTGAGGAGGCTGGATGATAATGCGGGCGGGACGAGTATGGTGCAGGGGCCGGAGCTGAAGGAGGTGGTCTTTGTGAGGTGTTTGGCGGCGCAGGTGAATTGTTTGATGGAGGGGGAAGGGGATGGGGTGGATGGTGAGGATGGGCTGGGCGATGAGATTGGGGTGACGATGCGAATGGGGGACGTTTGGGTGGTGAGGTGGGATGGGGTGAGGAAGGCGTGGGAGAGGGGGAAGTGGAATTGTTGTAATGTGTGAGGTTTGGGATACATCAACTTGCGCCGTGGAGAGATGAGGTCGAAAACTCAAATCTTCAACGGTGCATATGCTCTGGGAAACGACCAGGCACCACCACAATGCCCGAATTACCCGGTGGACATCGAGAAGGGAGGAAGGACCGAGCGTGTCTATAACCCAAGTTCTCGGTCTCGAAAATCTGCCCAACAACTGCCAGGGTTGGCATTATCTCCAGCTCTCTTCCTTTCTTCGGCTTTCCCTCAACAGCAGAGGTGAATCGAGAGATTTCGGATCCTGCACGTCATTCTGGAAGAAAGCGTGCGGCATATATTTGTGGCGTTAGGGTCGGGCTTCTCTCTTTTTTTTTTGTTTATGGGCGCCAGCTCATTAGCTTGCTGTTACTCTATGACTACGTTACTTGATACCAAAAAGTCGAGGAAGCTTTCAATGCAAATACTCTATTAATTTCCGCAATCTTGTTACATGGCGAGAGACTCGTGACAGGAATCTTCCACGCTAGTAGACCTAAAGCTGGAGTGATTCAAAACTTGCAAGTTGCAATGTTGATATGCTTTCATCAAAACCTAGTCATGAGCAATCGTAATTCTGACACCTTGAAAAGATCTCAGACGGGACTCCATTTGCGAGGAACACTCCTTTACTTTCGAAAAGGCCGCTACTTCGGCCTGATTCAGATAAAAACGAGCCCCAAGGCACCTGCACCACCCCAATTGCAACTTCCAATCCACAAGCGACTTGAACCCCCCACCCAATGAAACGCCAGTCGCTAAGCCCGTGAAAACAAAAGAGGGGTTGGAGGAAAAAAAAGGAAGCAAACATAAAAGCCAGCTGAACATGCAAAATAGAGCTATCAATACTGTCTCGTCATTGGGGAAAGCTTACGCTGGAATAAAATTCTCTTTATGCGAGGTAGACGTATGTTGACGCCTCGTCTCCTAGACGCTCCAGGTACTCCCGGTCAATCAGACTGTCGATACGTTGCTTGACCATTTTCACGTCGGGGACAAAGCGCGAGGTCAATTGGGCAAGGACCTCGTTCATGAGGTTCAGATGAGTAAGGCGCTTGCGTTGTCTGTTTGCAAGATTAAATCAGCTTAGCTCTTCATCGGCGAGATGAAATCAAGAGGGTAGAAAAGGATGATAGGCAGCTACATACTTCATAATTCGGACCACGGCGGCCTCGATGATGTGCCGGCGTTCCTCGTTCAGCTTTTTCTCGGTCTCTTCGCGTTGACCCCGACTCTCTACTTTGTTGGCATTGCCAGCGACGACCCCAATGCGCACCTTGACGAACGGGCTCTGGAACTCGTGGTTGAACGAGAATCGATCCGTCGGCTTGACATCCTTGCTCATCGGCACTTTCTTCAAGACTCGTGTCTTGGGTGCGACTGCGAGAGACTGCAGATTACGAATCAGATCGTTCTCAGGAATCTGGGTCTGTTCCTGGATCTGCGTAAATGTCAAAGTCTCACCATCTGCAATCTCGTTGAACAGAAGTAGGATGACCATCATGTACGTGGACACGTTGAGCTCGTAACGTTGGACCTTGCCATTGCTCCGCACAAATTTGGCGCGAATGTCGGCGGACCCCATGGCTGCTTGCCAAGACAATTGACGACCGCTGTGCTTGTCGAGGTAGAATCTCTCGAAGCTCTCCTTCAGGGTCTTGATCTGTTGGGGATAGACGCATGGAGGAGCCTCCGCTTTGTTCTTGTTCTTGCCCATGACATCCATGGGCCACATGGTGCTTGTGAGAACATGAACTTCAAGGTCGGGACGATCATCGTCCGCAGCGTTAGTTTGAGACATGTGTCTTTTGTAGCTCGTCGTCAAGTCCTGTGAGATGGCCATGTCCCTGAACATAGACTCGATTCGCTGGGTGAATTGATTGCCGACCTCCATCTTCATCTTTGAAATCATCTGCCGTTCCGCGTCCATGCTGGCAGATTTCTTCATCAGAAGCCGGCGAGCCAGGTGCTTCTTGTAATATGTCTCAAACAGATCCTTGTCCTTGATGTATCGGAGAAGCAAAATACCGTTGTCCAACAGTGTGTCGACCTCGTCCTCCGTCTTTCCCTTGATACCCTTTTTGAGATTCTCGTCGAAGAAGAGCGATAGGAATTCGGAGCTCCGCGTATTTCTGTTGATGAATTCCCCAAAGCTGTCATCAATGGACTTGTGCAGAGTCTGATCAGACTTGAACGAATGAAGCCAGACGTTGTCGATTTGCCGCTTGAGAGCCAATATCTCGTCAACCCATTTGATGGCTGACGCGGTTTGTGTGTTGACAGTTTTCTCTTTCTCTGCATTCTTCTCCTTCTTGGGATCCTTGGAGCGTTTCCCGTTTTCAGGGGTTGCCTGGTCCCCATTTTGAGTGGGCCCTGAGGCTGCTGGTGGTGGTGGTGGTGGTGGTGGTGGTGCCAACGACATAGTATTGATCTCATGGCCTAATTCAATGATGCGATTGCTGAGTTCTTGAGTCAGGACACTCTTCTTCTCATCGACTCTAGCATTGAGCGTATACAAGTCTCGCAGACTATCGAGCTGCTTCTGGTCAAGCATGTGTCGAACACCAGTTCCATCCATGCGCACTACTTCCCCAATATTGGGAAGGATCAGCTCCTTGTCGATGACCTGATTGATCTTAGGTTCAGTACTGGCAGACAGCGTGACATTGCATCGTTCTTGCTCTTCGCCGATACGCTTTAGAGCTTGGCGACAGAAGGTTGTGGCATCCCCTTCCTCTAACAACTGAGCCCCTTCTGCCCGGTAGAAGTCCTGACTCGCGTTGAGGAAGAGTGGTTCAAAGGTGGTGATGTACAGCCTGGATGTTTCCTCTTCCATCACTGTCTCGTATAAACCCTCCAACATTGACACACAATGACGAATTAACGGTCGATCAATCATGTGGCCGTCTCGTTCTAATTGTACCAGGAAGAGGATCGTCGAGTGAAGAACGTGTTCAACGGTTATTGACAAGTCGGGGCGTACAGGCACTCGAAGCACATTGTCACGAAAGAGTGCCATCGAAACGACAAAGATGGACGGATTGCTGCGATCCCCGGAAACTGTTCGATCCTAGAAAGATTTTGTTATATATTAGTCAAAGCTCAGCTAGGAATACAGAGGCGCTGATTTTTCCCCCCCCAAACTGACTCACCATATACATCAAAACATCTGTGATCATGCCCATACACACTAGATGATCTTGCCAAGTCTCTTTCAGGACGGAGAGGAATCGCTCTGCCGCAGCACGCCGTTCGTTAGACTGTTCTTGCACAGGCATACCTCGGTCTGGCCCGTTCTCTGCACGAAGAAGAATTGGGAGTATGGAATCTGTGACTTGACTCCGTACATGGTTGTGCAGCCAGTCCTTCTCCAGAGCTTTGACCCGCTCATAGAGCTCCAGACCCCGCGACATCGTCACGATCCGGTATGCATTTCGGTAAAGCTCTTCGAATGATAGACTCGAGGCATTTTTGGTGTGTATACCCGACAGCGAAGACGCCAGAATTTTCCAGATGGCGTCAAAGTCCTCTGTTGGCGTAGATGCGTGACTCTTAATAAATGCTCAGTTCAATGTTTCCAAATGAGAGATTCACAAGGGGAAATTTACCCGTCGCGGAGCCCGGATCTTGTTGCGGGCTCTCATGGACGCCATATTGAATGGTGTGGAAGACTCCAAGAGAGATTCAAGGAGTCAAGAGTCGTAGAATGAGAGCGTGTTGTCCTCTAATTCAATTAAACCTACTTCGCTATTCCGCGGAGTATCACTACGGATCATCATTAAAGCGTCTCGGCATTACCCTCGTCGCGGTACGTCAGACGAAGGCCGCGAGAGGCGGTCGGGAAGGCGGTGCGGCGCATTGGGGTCAAGACGGTTCCAATGGCTTCCATTAATTGACGTGCTAGATAAATCTAAGATTTCTCATCTGTTCCATCTGTTCCATCTGTTCCAATAACTCAGTCAAACAAGTCAAGACCCCTGCGCCTCTCAATTCAGACCACTTGAAAATCCCTGCCACCGAGTTCTCGAGAAATGCGACCCTTCGCCTCGGCCGGCTTGCGGCCTCTGCGCTGCCTACAATATTTCACAAACACATTCTCGGCAGCCACGAGGTCCTCCCAACGATCGTTGTCTTCACAAATCGCTCACCTCAAACCATGCCGGACCCCTACTCATTCAATCTCACTATGGTCCAAGAGTCTGCCAATCACTGCAATCCGCCAAAAGTCCACAACTTCCGCTCCCTTGACCGAGGAGCCCGGCGACCGAACGGAGACCGACGCCGATCGTCAGAAGAGAAACGAAGAGCGGCGCCGCAGTGAAGAGGCCTATCAAATAGTCTTCACTTGCAAGCCTTGTGGGGAGCGCTCGTCTCATCGTATGTCCAAGCAGGGATACCATCGTGGCACTGTCTTGATTCAATGCCCTTCGTGTTCAAATCGCCATGTCATGAGTGACCACTTGGGCATCTTCTTCGACAAACGAACAACACTGGAGGACCTGCTTAATGAGAAGGGGCAGGCACTTACACATGGGCATACGGATGGGAACTTGGAGTTCTGGGAGGACGGTACGGTCAAGAGCTTTGGGCTGGACGGACGTCAGCTCCTGGAATCCACCGCGGAGAAGAGCTCTTGAAACGAAGCTCTTCGGGAAAAGGCCTGTGGATTCCGTCAGTCTGACAAGATGCCCCATTCATAGCATCAAATTCACTCATCAACATCGATGATTCTTGTTGCTTGGCAGGACCATTGCGCAAGAAGGTGAAGGCACATTATCGTTTGAAGACAGCACAGGGTCATTGTGCCTGTTGGATATATTTGGGCTTGTAAATATTATATAGATAGACCGTACTTTGTGCGTGTCACGGAAAAGAACCTTTTCACCTCTCTAATTGTCTTGCCAGACTGTGGTACATGCAGCTCCAAGTTATCATTGTAGCATCGAAGGTGCAGTCCATTTCTGTTCTGAGCCGAGATGAGGAGTGTTCGCATGTCACATGTACGACGGTAGAATCAGATTCCACATCGGACGGGCTTGTCTTGAAGTTGTCTACAGTCTACACTTTACAATCTACCCTCTACAGTACATGATGCCTATATGCAATGTACATTATTTGTATACCACACGACCCCTTCTTCATCTACCCATGGGTTCTGTAGAGTGTAGACAGACATACAGCTTGAAGTACGAAGAGTAAATAGCCCTACTGAGGTGATAATGATGGAAAGATAGCATTCGACCATCAGATAGACGGGCAAAAAGATTGACCGACGCAGGGGTCGAACCTGCAATCTCTTGATTCGTAGTCAAGCGCCTTGCCATTGGGCCAGCCGGCCGATTGAAGCAACTATTCCAGTAGGTCAAGTTGTCCTGCTTGTTGTAAGACGGAATCATATTTGCCAATATGAGGCAGAAAAACTTTGCACAAGACTTGAGACAATATGATTGACTTTCCATTCTCTCGGCGCACGGGAAGATCCACCTGGTGCAATATATGAGTGGATCAGGCGAGAAAACAAGTTCCACTTGTGGATCTGATCCGGCCAGCGACTACCGACTTGAATCAGCTCGTTGAAAGAGCCAACAATAACATTCAAAGATACAATCCAATTGATGTAGTAGTCCAAGCATTAATCGCATATGATGGATCGAATCGCGTTGTCCAGACAGGTGTTGATATTTTTAACTAGATTGCCAACTGCTTTCGACTTGAGCTTTTGGACACGAAAGTACACTGGGCGGTAGCAGGTTTTGGCGCGCGTACAAGCCCCGTAGGTACGGACACTCGTGAAAATATATGGTTGTTTAGCAATCGGTGATGGGAGTGCACGTGGACAAGCAGCTACATTCACACCACCCGTATAAGTTATCCAAAAACTTTGATTAGACGACAGTGCAACAGCACCTGACATGTGTGCCTCTGTTATGGCGTTTACCCTTCACCGTCTGACCTATGGGAAAAAAACAATCGTCTACGAGACCCGAATCAGGGGAATCCCGTCACCATTCGTTGAGAAATATACCTGGCGATTTTTCTTTCCGGCTTCTACCATACATATTTCGTTTCCAGACTACGCGTAACGAGGAACGGTGCACTCGGACCAGGGAGAGAAAGAAAAATATAGACCAAGCCCATGATGAGGGATCTCTGCCAAGTCTGAGAGATTGTCATCTTGAACTGTACAGATAGACATGAAAAGAGTTGGAGGATCTGTTGACACACAAAGGAATCGGCTCAGCTTTCTCGTAGGCTATCTGATGAATTCATTTTAACATCTTTATCTCCCCGGCGTTCTTGCAAAGAGGTGCTGCGGGAAAGGGACTCTTCCCATAAGTTATAACAATCTTCCGATGCCGAGAAATATGCCTGGACTCTATCAATTGATTCGATCCTGTTTGAAGTGTTAAACGCTCTTCTCGAGTCTCGACGATCGATGTGTCAAGGAATTTCCCGATAAATAGGGCGCCACATCCCTCCTTGGGCCTATACTTCGCGTGACCAGAATCTTGCGCTCGGCTGCGCGGCTGAGGCCGTACTCTATTTGAAATTGTTTATTCGAGTGATCGTCGCCCTAGAAAAGAGCTATCCAGGATCTGGGTAGCAACCGCGGGACAAACTGGAGACGCGGGGTATAAAGTCGACAAGGTAGTCCGGATACAGCAAGATACTCTTCATCATTGACCTGCGGCTTCATGGATCGTTGGCTTTGGGTTTGTATGTCTATATGAGATACCCTTCGACGGGCTCTTGTCATGTCAGCCACGACGGGGGGTCGTCTACCTCCAGCTCCAGTGGGCTGCTTTTTTTAGGCGCTGCACGTCAACACTGAGCTATCTCACGTAGGCGAACCTTCATAGAAGGGGTCTAAGCATTCAATGAAGGATTGAGTACGGACGGCTTCCTCCACATGCGTCGCTGCAGTACCTAAAGTGATACCCGAACTAAGGCCAAGGAGATCTCCGATTCCGTTCATCGGGCTTTCCTAGCATGATAACTAAAGGAAGTGGCTCGGTGAGGGAACCCTACCAGGGCCTTTGCGACGCTGACTGACTCCCAGGTCGATCGACAACTGGAAGTCTGGCATACACCAGGATATGTTGACTTCAATCTTCCATTTTCCTGCTCACCGCTTGAACGCCCAGAGGAATCCATGACTCGGAAGAGATCAAAGGGGACTCGAATCGCAGATACTTCAACATTTCTTGACACAAATGCTAGATATCGTTCAAGGGTGATACAGAGCTGGAGAAAAGTGCTCACAATCCCAGTCCGCGATCCCAGCGGAGTCTCTTCTGAAGTCACACGGATTATGCGCGTCTACAAAGCTCAGCATACCGATGCGCTATCTTGTCGAGTCTGCTGCCTAGAGGTGATTCTTCAGGCGGAATCAAGAAGCGAAAGATGAACATTGAAGATAGACAATGTTCTAAGGGAAGAATGACATCTCTCCAATCTTACTGCGACACGGCCGGAAGTCCGCGTGGCAGCCCAAAAGAAAAGAAAAAATTAATATGGAAAACCACTGCTAACGTTTGTGGTACCATGCCGACGTGTCTCGAAGATGGTCACAAACAAACCAGCGCTGTGCCTTGATTCTTGCAGTGCTTTCAGGCGCCCTGTCTTCGGATCACGGGAGAAGACTTATAAAGGAGGACCATCGTCGTAGTTTGTCTTCGGAAACACAATTCAAACTCGCATTCTTCATCTGGAATTACCTACCGAGACCCATTTTGAGCTTCAGCTATTCTGCTCTCGCAAGATACTTGACCCAATGACTGTTAGCATTCCGAACGAATTTCAAACCCTCCCGTCCATCGATAAAACAATGCCCGACACAACAACAACAACTAGCCCCGGGGAGTATCTCTTGATTCGAAATGCAGCCGAGAAGGAAAGGTTGGTCCGAAAATGCATTCAATTGGTTCTGATTCGACCGTCGAAAAGAGGACTATCTGACCTGTTGATGTCTAGACTGGAAATGCAGTTCCAGGTGTGGCAGGCCCATCTCGGATATCTGTTGCATCCCACTATCAAGACACATGAGCACATGCGGATTGCGGACGTTGGCACGGGCACAGGGTGAGTTGGAAAACCGTGTACACCGTCTCCACATGGTCATATCTTCGACATCATCATGGTCAAGCACAGCGCTAATGCCGGGCGGAATCAAGTGCATGGCTGCGGGAAGTCGCCAAAACACTACCAGAGACATGCCAATTGGATGGCTTCGACGTCTCCGATGCTCTCTTCGATGGCCGACTGAGCCAAGTCCAGAACATTTCATTCCGCCTGCATAATATTCTTCGACCGTTCCCCGAGGACCTGGTTGGCAAATACGACATTGTCAATGTCCGACTTTTGGCCGTCGCTCTCTCCTCGGATGAATGGGTGCCTGCAGTGCGCAACTTGATCGCTTTATTGAGTATGTGGCCAAAGGCTCCTTCTCCGTTGGCTTGAACTCTGAGCAGAGCAGTACATATTAACGACACAAATTCAACAGAGCCCGGTGGCCGTCTGCAGTGGTCAGATTGCGCTCCGCAGGAAGGTGTGATCAAGACACCATCTGGAGTTACTCCTGTCCATACAAAGCGCATGATGGAGATGTTCCACAAGATGCTAGCTGCATTGGGAAAGACCCCCGAGTAAGACCATCAGATTTTCTTCCCAGAGAGAGAGAGAGACAGGATGATAAACAAAAGACGTCAAAGGCATTCCGAACTGACATCACTAAAACCGTTCGATAGAGTCCACCGCTTACTAGACATTTTCCAACAATGCGGCCTAGTCTCATGCGAAGAGGAGATCTTGACGTTTGAGAAGCCAAAAGTTCGGGACGATCTCAACTTGACCATCGCCAATGTGATGGCGCACGGTCTGGCAGCGGCCTTTGAGTTGCACAAGCTCGAGGGCATTCAGTCCGAGCAACAAATCACCGAGATGCGAGACGGCGTGCTGGACGATCTTCGTACTACGGATTGCTTTTTCAGCTATGACGTCCACGTAGTACTCGGGCAAAAGCCCTTGTGATTGGGGTTTCACGACGCAGCCTTGCTTCGACCTTCGGAATCATCTCTAGACCCTCTCTGGTACAGACAGGGGGTTGAAACGATACCTGCTCGGCAGGCACCGCCTTTACGAGCTGAATGAGAGGGTAACCGATCTCGGACATATGGAAGCAAACCGATTTTAGAACATAGCCTTACTTGATCAGATAGAGCAGGTGGTGGAAGTGTCATTCTATTGAAGGGTACAACACCCGGCGAATAAATTCTGCTCAACAAGTATATACACCAAGAGGCCTTTTTCATGCCCCCCAAAAAACGCCCCCATTTTTGTATGCCGATGCAATCAAGTCATTCGTTATATACAGAGCTCGAAAAAAAGAAAGATGCATGAAATCTTCAGCACTCCACTTCTTACCAACCACGTCTCTTGCCACGATGCTCCAGACCCTTTTCGTGGCGCTTGACCCTCTTTCGCTCGTTTCTTCTGCGCTTATCACGCTCGAATCGCTCAGGGTCGGCAACTGCCTCAATTCGGCGCTTGACACGGCGACCCTCGCGACGCTCCTTAATTTGATCCTGCACCTTGGCCATCTCGGCAATATATTCGGTGGTACCGAACTTCTTCTGCAGCAAGTCTAAAACTTCGTGACTGTTCGAAACAAGGCCCTTGTAGGTGTTCTGGAAAGTCTCGTCCGTGGAGCGAGGTGGTGGGATGGACGGGTCTGTCAAATGCTGCAGAGGCAAAAGTATGACGGGCAGCGAGGGAAGGATTTGCTCGGCCTCTAGATGGCGAATGAGGGCAGCAAGAAGAGCGATGGAGGCAGTTTTGGGGACCAGCACATTCGGTCTGCTTGAAATGACCTCTCTGCGCAGGAGGGTGGAAATCTGCGAGAAGATGTAACGAAGCGCGGACGACTTCTGTTCGGAACCATTTGTCTGCTCTTCTTTGCCGTCGACTCCGTTGGCGGCGGTATCGCCCTCGTCCTCATCTTCTGATGCTACTTCTTCCGCTACCTCGTCTTCAGTCTTCTGGAATTCGAGACCATTCTGTGCGCAGCACCTTCCAAGGAAGACCAAGTTGCGAACACTCTGCATGGCAAGTTCCTCGGAAATACCGGGGGTTCGCAAAGATCGAAGACTGGCCCGGAGCAGCTTGAGCATCGACTCCCGGTCCAGGAGAAGGCCAGAACTGCTCGCAAGAGGGATCTCGCTGTACCCGCCGGCGGCATTTGTTTTGGCCACATCAGCAAGCCACATGCCGATGAGGTTTGCAGCACAAGTCTTGACCCAGGCATGAGTGAAAAAGAGAGACTCTTGGACAGCGGCCCAGATTGCGACGCAGTCGGAGCTCAGCCCCAGTTTAGGATTCGTCTTGCAAAGCTTCGTGAAGAGCTGCAAGGCAAAGTACAAAGTCTCCCAGCTCTGGCTCTCTCGATCTTCAAGAACAGACTCCATCAAGCCAGGTAGGATTCGGACAACGAAACGTCCTTCTTTCTCCTTCTCCGTCTCTTCGGCCTCGAAGTAGATACGCATGGCCTGGAGACCAATGCTGCCCAGTGCCATGTTGTCAGTCTGCTCTAGCCAAGTGTGTAAGGGAATCAGAATCGTCTTCATCTGCTCTTTGTCTGCTCTATTGTAGAATTGACCCAACAGAGCTCCAGCCATTTCGCGGCACTCGGTTGACTCATCATTTGCCATAGCAAGAACAACAGGCAGGAAGAATGTGCTAACGATGTCTTGAGCCATCTCTTCTCCTGTCTTGGAAAGGAGCAGATGGATTGCCTCAAGCACAGATTGCCGTCCTTCTTGGTGCTTGTAGTCCAGGTTCTTAGCAAGGAATCCAAGCTGTTTCGACCACCGGCTCTTGGCTTGCGGATACTCGATCAAGAAATGGATGTATGTGCCCCGTGCCAGATCACGCGCAGAGCGAGTCTGATTAGTAACCATCATAGTCGCGATGTTGTCAACGAGTTCGTACATCTCCGGCACAACAAATTTCCGGGACATGACGGCTCGGATGAAGTTGAAGGTCACACCCTGACGATCAGGCTCCTCAATGTCGGCGGTGAGCCGCTGCAGCAGGTATGCAAGATGCCCATCACGAAGCTTGGTAGCCTTACGCTCACGGATCATCGAGGATATCAGCTTCAGGGAGGCCTGGGACGCCTCGGAGTTAGTGCTCGGAGACTCCTTGATCATCTTCACAGCTTCCGTCAAATACACGTGCGCATTTTCGTCAAGTTCAGGCAAAGGAAGCTTGATTATCGTAGACAAAAGCCGCAGAGCAGAAATTTTGACCTCTTCTTGAGATTGCACAAGCGCATCCCCAATAATCGGCAAAAACCCTGCGACATTTGCTGCGGTCAAGAGTGAATTGAACTTGTTCAAAATGGCGCGCAGAATGTCAAGTGCGAATCGGGTCAGCTTGTAGATGTGTGATGCTGTCGTACCGCGTTTTTCCCCTCGTTTGGCGCCTTGCAGTCGAACCAGAAAACGCTCCTCCCTCTCCGATCTCGCGGTAACCTGAGATGTGGTGGAGGCCTTATCCTGGTACGTTTCCTTGATGACTTCGTAGCAGAAGACCAGAATCTCTCTGCTCTCGGCACAAGGATTTCTCAAAAGGCCGATTCCAATGCGTCGCATGAGCTCGTCGAGTTTCTTGACAATATTTGTGTTAAGCTTTTCCCGCAGCAGTGACTGGAGCGGTCGCACAAGACTTGATAGATGACTGATCGTGGCATTCTTGGCGAGCAACTCCATAGAGTCATAGCTCTTGTTGCTCTTCACTTCCTTCATCTTGCTGACGTAGTCTTCGGCGTCCTTCTCTTGCCCAACAGTGCCAAAGGTGTCGTCCATGACAACAGCAACAAGGTCTGCCATGCAGTAGTCCAAATCTCCTTGGTTGAAATGATCCGTTGTGAAGACGAGCATAGAATGAACGGTGTAGGATAAAACGTGAAGCTGATATCCACGCAAGAGGGTGTTGCGTAACTCCTTGAGGATGTAGCCGAAGTAAAAGGGCCCAAGCAGCAAAGCAATGTCGTTCAAAGTCTTCCGCGCAGTATCTCGAGAGTCCTGGGCTTTACTCTTCAGTGTGCTGCAAACATCCAGAAGCACAGCAGGAAGTCGAATAGCCATATCCTGCTCAGGAAGAATCTTGAGCAGTTTGATGGTTGTCACAGCGGCAGGCAAGCGCAGACTCATTTCCGCCTCCTGTTTGTGATGGATGAAATTGGTCAGGAAAGGAATGAAGTTGGTTGTCAACTCCGAAGAGACCTTCTCGAAATTGGGCAGGGACTTGGCGAGTCTGCAGTGGACTGACTCAGAGACGTCCATCTTATCCACATCGTCCGAAACATCTTCATTCGAGTCAGACTCCATGGATTTCCTTTGGCCAGCCGCACTGGAGAGCGCGTCAGACATTCGGCCGAGCAACCTGAGAATGTTCTTCTCCATTTCAGGCTTGCTCTGCATGTAGCTGCGATATCTCCGGAAGTTGGCACGGAACTGGTTCCAATCGAGCCATTCTGCCAAAGAGCCAATGGTAGCTAGAGCCTCTGCAATCAGGTTGTGTCCGCTCTCATCCTCAGCTCCATCGAATGCGAAATGCTCGACGAGAGGTAGGAAAATGGTGCCCAGATTTGAGGACTCAATATTTCCCTTGCCAGCCTCTGTCGCAAGTCGGCGCAGGGCGCGCATCCGACGATGTTGTTGAATGTGAAGAATGTTGTTGAAGAATGAAGCCTCATCGTCATCTCCCACGAGAAGAACATGCATGTCTTGCACCGACGGCCTGGAAGGGTTGAGTTTGACAAAGTAACCAAGCACGGCGATGATCTCAGATCGGATCAACTCGGACTTTTGCCGAATTCCATATTTCAGAGAGGGCAGCAACACATCATTGACAAGAGCTTCGAAGCCATCATTGCCAGTTTCCGTTGCAGCCCTGTCGATGAAGCGTTTCAGGCCAAAGCTGGCGCTGGAACGGATGGCGAGTTCTTCTTCATCCTTGATATGGAAGAGCATGTTGTAAACAAGTGGTCTCCATTGCTTGGCGTTGAGGTTTTGCGACAATTCTTCATTGATAACTCTGAAAGCTTGCAGGCGACGCTCGTAGTCCGGGCCCAGCCTCTTTACCGATCGAGAGTTCAGATCAGCGCAAAGATCAGCGACTTTGGCAAGTTCCTCATCATGAATGGCCAGCGCGTTGAAGACTCGTGCCAAAACCTCTCGATTCGCGTCATCCTTGAAGTAATCGAACATCAAAGAGACCGCATGGAAAACCTGTTGAGAAAGCCCGGGATCGTCCTCGGGTTTGTAGAGCGGTAGGAAATGCTCGAGAATCCGCAACAGGCCGGACTTCGTCTTCGGATTGACACGATCAGGAGGTTGCCGAAGCAGGTATGTCGCAATGCTGATGAGGCCCGAAGTCTCACCGGAAGATTCAACGCATGGCGCAATCAGGGACAAGGCAGATACTCCGGAGTAAAGAACGGGTTTCGATGGACCTCTCCTCAGAAGGCGACCGAGATGAGACAGAGCATGCTCGAGGTGGGGGGAAAGAACCTCGCTGCGGATTTGCTCTGGCGGGAAATCAGGCATTTGTTGATCTTCATCGCTTTCGTCATCCTTAAGCTTGATGCCGCTGGCCAGCTTGACAAGGGGAACGAGCACTTCATCGAGCACAAAGATCTTGACCTCGTCTTTAGCGGATTCGACCGCTAAGATATCGATGATCTTGGCCAAAACATGCTTGTTGTGTTGCACCAGGTAAAAGGTTGAACGGGGAGCAGATGCCCAAGTGTGGAACAAACGAAGCAGTCCAGAGACACCTTGTGCGGTCTCAATAGGGAATTGCTCGAGCCTGCTATCGATGAGCTCACGGAAAATAATCTGCACATATGGAGTCCAATCGCGGTGCGGAGATACAGCGAAGACAAGACTCATGCAACGGATGGCCGACTGACGAATGTTTTGAAACATCGACAGAAGTCGCTCGTCCTGTCGGTCCACAAAGAGCGAGCTACTTTCATCATATAAGGAGCGACAAGCCCGCACCAGACAATAGATGATCACATTCATTGCCTGAGTTGTGTAAGAAACCATGCGACTCTGCAGGGTGTCGAAAACAGTATCAATCATTTTGAGAAGACCAAGCTGTCTTCTGGGGCTTGACAATTCCTCCATGAACGCCTGTTCATCATCTTGATCGGTGGAGGCTACATTCACCTTAGCGAGGGGGCCGAATGCAATATCAATGAATTGTCGGAAGTCGTCTTCGGAAAGATGTGAGAGAGTTCGCAAGATGGTCTTACGACGGCCAGACTGTCCTGCTTGAGTAGAGCTCGCACCCGCCTTGGAGATCATTCGGCCGTAAAGGAGGCGAAGAAGGACAGGCATGAGAATCGGGCGATGCTCTTGCTCGATCAAACTGTCCTCTCCCCCAGCTCGGACGAAGACCATCAGCTCATCCTTGAATCTTGACTCATCCAGAATGTTCAGTAGATTTTCCTGATACGGCACGACATGCGCGTTCTTCCAAGTGAAAAGAGCCTTCAGAGCCGCCTTCTGGATCTCCGAGTTTCCGTGGCAAAGGAGACCCATGGTTGCGTCATGAACTTCTGGGGCCCTGTATAGCACCCTTGGATTCAAGAACTGTCCAAACAATGCAAGCATGGATAGCCGATCTTTGAAGCCCCATCGAGCCGATGCGTCCGAGGGTCGAACTGGTGTGTCGGTGTCGGATGGGAGAGCATCATCCTGATCGTCACGAAAAGCCCAAGAGAGGAACAGAGGCACGAGTTGACGAGATCGCTTTTCAGCGACATTGGGAGCCGCATTCAAAACCTGTAGAGCGTGGCTTCGAGGCAGAGCCGGTACCAGACCTGCAAACTTGTGCTCTTTGTGGAACCGCTGGGAGAGAGTAAGCGCTGGCGACTGAGCAGTGGCCCAATTCGCCTTGATGGTACGCTCCGTGTTATTAACGTTGAAACATTCGTAGTCATTGTCGACAAAGTTGCTTTCTTTCTCATCCTCCGCCTCCTCATCTCCAGAAGTGGCAGAGTCCTGCTCTTGCAACCACTGAATAGACAAATCGGAGACAATCTTCTCCCCTTCCGGATGCTCGCTTATAGTCTTGAGAGCCGCAGCGGAATCATCCCAAAGAGGGGCCAATTTCTTGGAAAAGAGACCAAAGCAGAAGTACGGAATCAGTGTGGCCATCCACTTGCGCGAAGCCACTTGAGGGTAGATAAGGGCTAATTTTCGGACATGCATCTGGATGGTTCTCGCACTCTGCAATGTCAAGGGGGATTCTTCCACTTCAATGGCTAATGCAACCGGTGACGGATCTTCTTGTGCATACTGAATGATCAGCTGCTGTAAGATACGGAGAGAGACGAACCTCAGAGAGTGAGAAGGTGAAGCCAGGTTGAGAATCAACTGAGCAGCAAAGTCGTCCACAGACCCTGTCTCCGGCTCTGCTTCCTGTCTCTGGACCGTACACATGAAGGTGAGAACTCCATCCAAGAAGAGAGGCAAACGTGCGAACTTTGCGGATGCAGCGAGAATGGACCGCCAGAGATTAGCATCCAGCAAATTCGCCTCTTTAGCCAGCTCAACATAGACCTTGAAGCCTTGACCGAGATAGAAAGCAATTTCATTGATCTTCTCCTCGTTGGACTCATCTGCGGCATCCTGCATTGCGGAAAGAATGTTGTCGTGTAGTCTCTTGACAATCTTCGACAACGTGACAGGGTCCGCGAAAAGAGAGATCGCCTTGGGGAGTTTGACCAAGGCATTCATAAAACTCTGGTCCTTTGGCGGATATACTAAAGAATCGTGAATGCGGCTCTTGAGCCCCTCGGGACAAGAAACATAGCCGGGCCTCGATGATTCGGGTGTGATGCACCCAGTCTCGTGTAGTCGTAGAAGAGTCAGGCATGTCTCGAAATCATGCTCCTTCCACGACGAATTAATGAATTTCTGTAGGTAAGGGACCAGCAAACTTTGAAAACGCTCAGATCCCCACTCCGAAAACGTCGTACAGAAGAATAGGAAGTACTTTGAAAGGGAGCCGTTGGTGATCAAATCCATGAATGAGCGCATGAACGGTAACATTTCATCCATTGGTGACAGTTGCAGGGCATATGCCACTCCACCGAGCAGCTGAGGCATAGCTTCCAGATGAACAGCCGGGGCTGCGGCGGCTTGTTTGAGGAGCAAAACCAGAGTTTGATGGACCGTTTTCCAGTCTCTAATTCTGGACGCCTTTCGAGTTGCAACACAGACAAATATGAGACGGCATGAAAGCGAGAAATTGGGATTATCCCCGGTGCTAGACCGAATCTCAATATATTCCTTCACTGTCTCCAAAAGGGGCCCGAAGGTGTCAGGTGTCATGTGATGGATGAGGTTGATGACTACCCCTGTAGCCACCTCCGAGGGCAACTGATGGTTTCCAGAGCTCGAGGGAACTTGGTCCAGCACGCATCGAAGAATATCAGCTCCGTTTGAGTGTAGCCCGTGGTTGACTCCCTTGATCGCATCAGCGAACATAACCATCAAACCCTCCTTGTATGAGTCGGTGCTTTTCCCTTCTTCGGCATGTTGCATGATGTCTTCGTACAGGAAGGAGACGGCGTTCTCGAGAGGCGTCTTGTTTTTGTAGTAGACAAGACCGGCTTTGCGAATGAGGAAGGACATTGACTCGGCGGCAAAGCGGGCAACGAAAGGCTTTTGGCGTTCCTTGCCCAGGTATGGGCTCATGATCTTCAAGAGCTGGCGCAGATCAGGAACTAGAAGACGAGAAAGAAACTTGAAGATCCATGCAAGGCAGGTAAAACTCCATTCGACAACTTCAACATCGGGATGTGTGGCTGCGACTGATGCGACCAATGTGACTGCTGTGGCAAAGTGTTTCTCGAATCGAACTCCTAGATCTCTGGCAAATTGTGACAACAAGCTCAACAAAGGCTCCAATGAATTCTGGTCTCTCTTCTCGATGAATTCGACCAACAGGCCCATGATCTTCTCCTCATGGTATACAATCTGCGCAAGACTTTCGGAGAGGTTGTTGACACGGCGAGTGAATTGTGTGAAATTGTCCGATAAGTTCATGTCCACCCAGTGATCAAGAGCCGACCGGAAGTAGGATGTAGTTTCGCCTTCATCCTCACCAAAGCTCGCCCGGCGCACTCGGTGGATGGGATCGATTTTGAGCTTTGCGATACGCTGTGAAAAGCCCTCGAATCGATGTGATTTTGTCGTTTCAGTGCCACCTTTCAAGCGCCTGGTGGGCTTGGCCCGTGAGCCTTGCGCTACCATCTTGAGAAGTGCAACAGGTAGCGCTGCTGACGACAAAGGTGCCTTTCAAACTTTTTCTCAATTCGGCATCGAATACAAAAAAAGTTGAGCGGCATCCGGCTCCACATTGTTCCGCACAGGTTGAAGTCCGCAGTATCACGCTAACCCAAAACGGTTAGCATGGTCACGAGGTGGCCCGAGCTCCCGCCCTCGAGGACGGTGCTACTGTACATCCTCGAAGACTTCTTGAATATCTTTGCTTCAGAGATTTTGAGTGCATTGAATTAGCACCAGGTAACAAATAACAATATTTGCCTTGTTGTCGTTGCTTTGATGTATTTTCAGCTCGAAAACTAGGATCTAAATTGTCCAGGCAGACCGGTCTGCTTCATTTCAGTGTTGAAGTATGGCTTCAAAAATGTGAGGAGACGACTGACTGACCTATTCATGATACGATTGAGAACGAAGAAAATTGCTGACTTTGAAACCAGCATTGTGATAGGCAGCCCAAACTGTCAGCTGCAAACAGTTTTTACCAAGTTGGCGAAACTGCACGCAAAGCAGAATTTCGCCTTTGCTATCATTGTTGGCAACTTGTTCGGTGATTGTTCTACCGAGGCTGAGCTGAATGAGATTTCAGCCCTACTGCAGGGAAATATCCTTGTACCTGTGACGACTTACTTTACGATGGGAAGCCGACCTCTTCCCACTCGCATTGTAGAGAAAATCGAAGCGGACGATGAAGTCTGCCCGAACTTGTATTTCCTTGGCAAACGAGGAGTGTTGAAGACCGCTGAAGGGATTCGCATTGCTGCCCTTGGAGGCCAACTTGATCAATCGGGTCCATCAAAGTCAAGGCCTGAATCTAATGCCAGCGGCAAGTTCCAAACGACATACACGGAGTCTGACGCTCGTGCTCTCTACGGCATGGGCAATGCAGATATCCTGATCACAAATCAATGGCCCAAAGAAATCCGTTTTGGCTCAAAAGTTCCTGTACCAGAGGACTATGCTTCTCAGTCGTCCGAGACACAGATTATCTCGGATCTTTGCGCAACGCTCAAGCCCAGATATCACTTTTCTACTTCCGACTCCTTCTTCTACGAACGAGAACCTTTCTTCCACATGCCATCGGAAGACAGTCCACAAACAAAACCCATGACACGGTTCATTTCTCTTGCAGCCTTTGACTCTCCATCTAAACAAAAAGCTCTTTACGCCTTTTCCCTTGATCACACCTCCGCGGCGCCCCTCACGATCCCCGCCGGCGTGACGGCGTCCCCCCTCTCAGCACCTCAGGCCAAGCGCAAAAATCTCCCCAGCCAGCAGGAATCCTACTCCCGCTTCGCTAGCCACGACAGCTCAACGCCGTACTCCAATAACCGCCGCGGAAAGCGACAGCAACGAGAGCCGCCGCCAGGCCCTGACAGATGCTTCTTTTGTCTGTCCAACCCCAATGTCGCCACACACCTCATCACTTCCATCGGCGACCAGAGCTACCTGACAATCGCCAAGGGTCCTCTGCCGACGAAGGAGTTTTTCCCTTCGCTAGGCTTCCCAGGCCACATTCTCATCATTCCCTTTGAACACTCACCCACCATCAGCTCTATCGCAGACGTGGCCACCCGCACCGCGACATTAGCCGAAATGAGCCGGTTCAACCAGAGACTCCGCCGAATGGTCAGTGACCGCTCATCCGAGCAACTCGGCGCTGTGACCTGGGAAGTCAGCCGTGGCGGAGGCATCCACACGCACTGGCAGTTCCTCCCTGTATCCACCAGCCTCCTGAACCAAAACCTCGTTGAACTTGCCTTCCAAGTCGAAGCCGAGAACCTAAGCTACCCCAAATTCAAAATCACCACCTCGACTCACTCCGCCGACAACAACGTCAACGCCAACGACGAAACAAGCGACGCCCCCGCCCAACAAGGCGACTACTTCCAAGTCTCGATCTGGACGCCCGAGCAGAAAAATCCCAAGCCTGCCACCGACGCAGCCGACTCGACGGACTCGAAACTCTCCTCCGATCACGGCACAGAGAGAGTCATGACGCTGAACCTCGATCCCAGCTTCCAATTCGATCTTCAATTCGGTCGCCGCGTCATGGCCAAGTTACTGCAGCTTGACAAGCGCATGAACTGGCGAGATGCGCCGCAGTCCCAGGTCGAGGAGGAAGCCGACGCGAATGCGTTTAAGGAAGCGTTCAAGGAGTATGACTTTTCACTGGAGTGATGTGTGAGCCGTGGGCAATATTTTTGGTTCTAGCATGTGAAAGAGTAGTGTGTAATGTGTACGAGAGATCTCTCAATCTTCAGCGGAGAAACCGCTGGGCCCTGTGATGAGACTTTGCTCTCAGGGGGAGCGAGATTCCAATGAAGTCCCTCAATTTTCTCATCACCTCAACGCGCCCAGAGTGATGGTCACACATGCACCTTAAATAAGAAGCGTAGCTTGCAAACAGCCCACACGCACATGCCAGCAAGCTTAACGCCTGTCTATCTGGTGCCTCTGTAAATTCATGTTATCTCTCGACTACGCCACCTGCCAGGCTTAAGTGAGAAGTTCGACTACGATTCGCAAGAGTCCAAACTGGCAAACACTGGACACAATACTACTCAACGCGACTGGTCCCAGTCACAAAATCATTTGAAAAAGAAGATGATACAAGGCAGAAGAGCCCCTTTGAAAAAAAAAAAAAAAAAAAAAAAAAAAAGGAAAAAAAAGGAAAAGAAAACGCCTCACGACATTATGTAGGTCGTCGTGCCGGTGGTATAATGAGCCTTATAATGAGCAGGTGAAGAAAAAAAATAGAGAAAGCTTCCGACCCAGAGACCTTGTCTTTTTCATCATACATTTCGGTACGTGTTCGGGACAGGCTTTCTCCCGCTTTGTAGAAGACTTGGTGGTCTTTCTCTCGAGGGCTCGGTTACTGCGAAGCCGTATTCTGATGGGGCCGTAGATTGGAAGGGCGGAGGGGGTGAGGCCGCGTGAGAGGTATACGTCGGTGGATACTGGCTCGATCCGAACGAGGGCTGGCGGTGGAAGTCACCCATCACCGGATCAGGGTGCGCCGGGTCTGGGGATTGGGCGAAGCGGGATGCTGTAGGATGGGTTGAAGATTGGGTAGGGTATGTCGATACGGGTGTGCTGGAGCCAGCGCCCTGGTAAGTGGTGTTTTGATTGTAATCGTCATATGGCTGCTGATGACGATTGTTGTAGTATTGGTGGTTGTAGCTGTCTTGGCCGTAGCTCTGCCGATTGTAGCCCTGTTGGCGGCGGTCTTGTTGAGTAGGGTTGTTGTACAAGTACGAGGAAGAATTGCCATTTAGAGGCGATGTCACTCCCGACGAGCGACGCGCGTAGGGATCCTGGGCAGGACCGTACGCTGCTGGTGGACCCGGCGATTGGCGGCTATATAAATCTATCGTCGGTTGGGGACCTGGTGATGTCCGCGCATAAGAATCAGCGCCCCGCGGGGTACCCGGCATGCCATTTCCAGGCGAACGGCAGCCATAGGGATCCTGGAGAGGGGATAATGCAGTGGTTGAACCAGGAGATGGTCGCGCATAAGGGTCAGCGGATGGGATACCGGCGTATCCTGCATTGGATCTCGAACGATCTGGCAGCACGTCGGAGGACGAATGACGGGTGTGTAATGGAGAAGCGCCCCGGCTTCTGTTTGGGATATTATGCGATGGGTTCAAAGGTTCCAGCTCCATTTCGTCGTGATGACTCTTGTCCTCGACATGTTTCTCTACTGCGGCGGCCCATGTGGGCATGGCGGGAAGAGCATCTTCATTGACCGCCGGCGACTTCGAACCTGAGTCGAATGTAGCCGTCTGACTGGCGCCACGATAGATCGGGGGTGCCGAAGGAGGCTGATACGCGGTATGGGGATTCTGTGGAGGCGGTGGTTGGTACGGGGCCGGCTCATTGTAGTGTTTTGGTTGCTTCTCTCTGCGCCGTCCCGAGGGACAGCAGCAACCACAACAGCATTTGCAGCATTGATAGCCGCAGCAAAGACAATTGACAATGCAGCCAATGACCGAGATGAGAATCACGGCGCCGATGATGATTCCGGCGATCACAGGCCACCTGGAATGGCAAAATGTGGTAAGCCTTTTTTCTCTTCTCTTGGCTCCGAAGGGTAAGCAGCGGTGGAAGAATTGTCCACAAATCGCTGCTAGAGTACCTTGTCACCGCGCCATCTAAGGAACACTCACTTGCAATAGGCCTTGGTCATGCATTTATCCCAGCTTGAGAAAGTCGCAGGCACCGACTCGAGGTCATTCGCGACATTGCGAATAACGAATCGCGCCAACCCGGGTGGACTCATCATGAGTAGTCGCTCTTCGTGATTCTTGCGCGCTGAGCCTCTTCAATCATTCAATCGAAACCGGGATGATCAATGCTTCATTGGCGCACTCATACGAATGATCGCACAAAGACCAAAAACCTTGGGATGAGAAAAATGGTCGCGGTAAGCGGAAACAGCTGCGGCGGCCGACAGCGACCGAGCGAAGGGATAGTAGTTGGTGAAGTTGAGACCAGTCTCCAAACCCTGGGTCGAGAGAGCGATGGCGGGGCGCAGCCGAGCCTCAAGAATACGAAAGAGCAAGAACGAGGACGAGGCGATGCGCTCAAAAATAGAAACGCAATGCGCGGTCCCAGACTTGGTGAGCACTTTGCAAAGACCAGGGTTTGCAGAGGTATGAAGCTTGGCCGATGTGAGGTGATGCCACAGGCAGCAGGATTGTCGCAAAATGCAACGGGTAAGAAAGACTAAGCACCACGTAACTTAATGGCCGGGGTAGTTAGTCAGTTTATGACCCCAAAGGCAAGCGAATGTTGAGAGCAAGTGGCAAGTGATGCAATTACTTCATGAGGGCTCAAAACGAATGGAAAGCCCCAAGAATCCGGCGGGACATTTGACTACACGAGTCGAATGATGAACAGACAAGGGGGGAGACCGAAAGGGAGACCAACAGAGAGAAGACACCGCTATGAAGGGGATTGTTTGAGGAGAGCGGGAGCTCGGGAGGAGTCGTTTAAAGCTGTGCATGCTGAAACACGGAGACATATGTACGGGTGTCCGCCAGCCAGCACGAGGCTCGAGAGTTGACATGAACTCCATTCGGGTTCCATCTCTACACTGTGCACGACTGCACGGAGGGTCGTGGCCGGTCGTCATAGATAATCATCAGGTTTCCGGGGGGGGATCTACAGATTCATGAGATTGCGCTGCGTGTCCAACTTCCCTCCGGAGGAGGGAAAACAAAGGCGATGAAGTCTCCGCGGGACCCGCTCCAAGCATCCAAGGATGTGGGTCATCTCGGTCGAGGCAGACTGGCCCGCAAATAGATCTCAACTGGTTTCGGCTCTGGATCTGGTGTTGGTGTTTGGTGAGGGCTGAAAATGCAGGGAGGATGCATCGCAGGTGGAGAGTCTTTGCAGGAGGCTCGTGCGGGGCCCGGATCCACCTGCACCCGCGGGGAGTGGGGCCCAGTCGAGGCACTGCTTTTTGGGAGACGAACTCTGCAGGAACAGTCGGCACTGCTGCAGTGAAGCAATTGAGATTGAACCAGATTATCATATCAAGGAAAAGCTGAACCACGTTACCAATGACCGAACCGTTCTACAAGACTCGTGGAGAAGAGATAGTATTTCGAACTTTTTTTTTTGGATTATTCTTTCAGTAAGCTCACAAAAGTGGACCGAGTCTGTCTCTGCAGCGTCCATTCCAGGGCTTGTGGCAATCCACACATTAAATCCCACAGGGACACAGATATCGGAGTGTGTCCTGTTTCACGGTCTGACAATTAGTCGAGTGGTTATGTACAAGCTGATCGGCCAGCGGGCGGGGAAAGGGGGGTATCGGATCCCATCACAATACGCGCACGCAAGAGAAACAGTGTGTTTTGGTTCATCACACAGAATCAAGAGGGAGGCAGGAGGGGGTGAGGGAAGGGAAACACGCCTGACCCTGAATCAGGGCGGGCCCGACAGGCGCACACGAACGAACGGGTATTAGTAAAGGGAGCGTCGTGGCGCCGATCGGGGACAGCGAGCGAGCGCAAAGTGCTGGGCTCAGAGAACACGAACAAGTACCTGTACAAGAAGGTGAAACATTGAATTAAAGGGAGATAGACGTGATTAGGAATGGTGCTAGGGAATGGATCAGGCGGGAAAAAGAGAAAGCCAGCTGGTTGTATGGCAGAGATCAGGTCCAGATGTCACTTGTCGGAGGGGAGGTGGACAAACGATCATCCAGACGCCCTCCCAAGGTGTGCAGAATGTGCGACAAACAGGACGATAGTGTGGGCGATGATGGTTGTGAGATTCGAGACATAGGAAAAGTCCGTCAGGTCCACTGCCTGAGGAGCGTGGGATCATAGGAAGCCCATTGCAGGCACCACCGTCGTGGAGATAATTCATGAAAAAGAAAAATAATCGGCGAAGTTGACAGGCCAGAAACGAGGCGCTGGTGGTGTTAGACATATCGATGCCGAGGATCGTTAGAAGAGAGGTAGGAAATTGAGAAAAGGACGGGACTTTTAGAAGAGGCCGGTGAGGCGAAAAGGATGAGAGGTGAATCGAGAAGGAAATATGCCCGAGAATGAGAGGATGGAATGATATCGATGGCTGGATATCAGGTCGGTTTGTCAAGAAGTATGGTCAAAATGGCGTGAGGGGTAATTGCGCTCTCCAACCATGTTGGCGTCAATAGGAAGCCAACCTTGAAGCCTCGGCGTTCGATGTGCGACAGAGGGGCAGAGAGCGGATCCCGCGCGGTGGAAAAGCTGACCATGCAATGGAGATGGGAAAGGAAAATGGCAAAGACAAAGGTCGGTGGGGTAAAAATGATGAACCGGGGGCAAAAGAAAAAGACGTGACTCGCTTGAAATACGTGACAAAAAAATAAAGCTTGGAGAACAAAGGAAGAGGAGCTTGGAGAACAGCCATGATCAAGATCGCGTGGATATGGCAGTAAGCGGAGGGCAGTGATTGTGTGTGCCGGCGACCTAATATGAAAGCATGCGGCGACCAGCACTGCGGTTGGAGATAGGGCTATTCGAGTATGGCGAGCCCAAGGGTGAAGCAAGCAGGCGGCTACTGCGATCAAGACGGGTTCGACCCGTGGGGCTGTCTTCCATCTGTGGGGACGACTGCTGGCCAAAGGCAAAGGTTTGCGCGCGATTCAACTTGGAACGCTGCTTGACCTTGCCGAGACCACGTTCGCAGGCAAACTCGTGTCCGTCGGCATTCATCTCGACGTAATTCTGGGGGAAACAGAACGACCGATGCTCAGCGAAAAACGAACTGTAGCCTCCCTCGAGGATGTACAGGTCAGGGTAGGTGAGATTAGGGTAGGAGTCGATGTTAACAGCTCTGTCGTGGTGACGAATGTATTTGGCCATGATGGGTGCGCGATGCGCGGAGTATTCACAGTGAAGAATAAGGGCGGTTCGTGCGCGAGGGGCGCCAAACAAGTCGGTTGCAAGCTTCTCCTTGTCATTGTAGTTGATGGCACCGCTGATGTGACCACCCTCGTACTCATACTCGAAGCGGCAGTCGACAATCATGACATGGTCGAAGCGATCATTGAACTTCCCGTCCAGAAGTTCCAGCAGAGTGTTTTTACCGATGCGAGGCAGATTGTCCGCTTGATCCTCAGGGACGAAGTGAGGAAGTTGTGGGGCAGGCGAACTGTCCATGTCACTAATGGACGGGAGGGGTGCATTTGTGGTTACCTTGGCCTCTTTGTCGGCAATAACATCCGCAGGGTGCTCGAACATGCTCAATGACCGGCGACATTGCTTGCGTGGACGCATAGTTGGGTGGGACGCTTTACGAATGAAGCCCGATGCGGGGGAGCCGCTGCTGCGGGCTTGCTGAAATGGGGGTCGCAGACGCGGGGGCGCCAGCGAGGTCGACGAATTGTTGCGGGAAATAGTCCGCTCTTGAGGAGGCGAGTCACCGAACATGTCCTCCAAGGATGTGGAAGTGCTCAGAGAGGTCTTCGCTGCGGCGGTACTGAATCGGAATGGTGGCGCTCTGCTCTCGACGGCGGGACGACTCATGCCGAGCTGGAATGATTGAGCCTTGCTCTTTGCCAAACTGGGACGAAGGAGCCCAGGACGACGTCGCCTATAATATTCAGGGTGAGTACAATGAGATCTGGGCAATGGGAAGAGAGCAGGGCAGAGGGTCTCTTACTCGAAGTGACCCCGACTAGACAGGTCCAGAGGAGAGCCCTGGAGGGGGCTGGCGGCGGCGGACTGGATGGGGGAGTCCATTGGGCTGCAGGCGGGAGAGGGCGAGGCCAACTCGATCTCTGTCGTCAGCACAAACGCAGGCTTGTGGGGCAGAGGCGACATCTCCATCGTGTCCATGGCGGGTGCCGGCGAGGAGGGCGGCAATGGAGGCGTTGTCATCACATGGTCTAGAGGGTGGAAGACTGTCAGCTATTTGAATATCATGTGGTGCCATCTCTATGCATGTGGGACAACATACCATTAGAATTAGCCTGGCAGAGGATACTGGAGGTGAACAAAGACCGTCGAGGCGTGGCGAGCTGGGGACTATAATTAGAGTTAGAAGGGACGTTTCATTGTCTGAACATGTACCGACATGGTTGTCTTTGTTCACATGGTTGCTATTTCGAGGGCGGGAGGCAACGAACCTTTGGTCAATGTGGAAGTTCTGAGACAGATCCGCAGCGAGGCTGACAGTGGGCGAAGGAATGGGCTTCGAGTCGAAATAATCGGGTCCTGATTTCTTCATTGATAGGTCCTTGAAATTGAAGCTGGCCGATCCGAATCCAGACAAGGAGGGATATGATGTTGGTCCATCACCATGGAAGTAATGACCAAATACCATTGAGGGTGGCTGCATAGCAGCTAGAGGTGAAGAGTGTTCCATAATACAGCCCAATGCTCTAGTAGGATTGTGACCGAGGCGCGAATAATTGTGAAGATAGTCCCGTTGACTAGTTTGGATCCTGCCGGCAGCACTAACAGTCCACCGAGGCTGACACCTCCGAACGGTCTTCAAGCGTTGTGTTTTTGACGAAACGGGACACAAAAACAGTGCCCAATGAAACCTTCCAGCCCAATGGAAAGTGTCTGTCAAGTCCAAATTGACCCAGGTCACCTCTCTTGTCTAACCCGTCGTGATAGGCTAAGACCGGTCCGACAGACACCCAAATGCCCAGATATCACCGGAGTTCACTGCGATTGACAGTTCGATTCCCCAGTACCAGCTCTCGAATGGCTCGAAAACGGCCACAGCACCACCGTAGGAGAGAAAGGTCAATTTCCCGAGAAAATTTGGCGGCGGTTACAAAGACATGACCGAAGCGGAGGATCGGAAGTCGGGGAAGATGCAAGAATGGGAGGGGCCAGTAGCTCGTGGGCAGCGGGAGGAGTAGTGTGGAGGGAGCAGATGCAGAGGATTATTGTTGGAGATCCTCGGACGGCGGAGCGGAGGGTTTGGGTGAGGGTTGGGGAGGAAAGATGTCGATGTTGAAAGCGATGTAGTTGAAGGGCAACCGGAAGCCGCTGGAATGTCGTGAAGAAGAATCCAAAGAAGAGAAAAAGAGGTGGATTAGTAGTGCATGAAGAACGAAACTCGTGAAGCTGAAGGGATGGGTCTGTTGCAATGGCAACGCAAGTGGGGAGGATCTCCAGATTAGGGTATGGTATAGTCCGTCATGGTATGGGCGGGTACGGGTGTAAGGACGGTACCTGATACCAACTCATACTCTGCCATACTGTACAAGTGGGCGTATTAGTCCCAACTTCCAAGCAGCAGAGCTTGGACTCAAACCCGTTTGGGTGTCCACTTGGGTTTCTCCCACCGTCCAACTACACGGAAGTAAAACTGCCTTTTCTCCATTATTCTTTTTCTGAACCCATTTTCTGTGCTGACCATTTCGGGAATTTAGACACTCTTTTTGCTGCTCCGTTCCGCAACCATCGGCGGTGATCCGTGATACGATTCGGTCATCTTCAATGGACTCCAAGGCACTGCCCGTCCTACCAACCTGATATGAATTGATGCCGACACCGCGGACTGCCCATGGCTTTCTCCCAAACTATGCAACTGCACTTACCGGCAATCTCCTCATATTGATCTCGGGAGTTACCATTCTCTTCCCTACGTAATGGTGCCGCCAACTCTTCTCAATCTGGTGACGGCTGCAATGCGCTCCCCTGCCAAAGTGGAGACCTCCGACACATGCTCACCCTGCACTGCGGAGCTCCTGCTCAGGTACCATCTCTGCCCGGTATGCAGAGCAGCGTAGACCAGTCTCCCTGTCTTCCTAGTTCCTACATACTACTACGGTAGGACCGACCTACAGTAGTCGAGAGTCGAGACTCGAACCGCGCTGGAAGGGCCTCCGTCCCGCTGTGAGGATCAATTCAAGCGATCGACATACCTTTTTTTTTTGGTGGTTGCGTTGTGTAAAGGGGCCGCTGGTGCAGATTGCAGATTCATACCCGCGGTTGCTTCTGACTGACTACCGAGTCACCACGGACTCTCTATGCTCCCTCTCCAAAGTCTCTCTCCTCGGGTGTCTCTTCCCACTCCCATTTTGGCCCCAGCGGTTGCCGGGGCTCCCTTGCCGCCGCTGTTGGAGACTACTGGCTGCACAGCAACCTTGAGCGCCTATCAGCCATTTCCGAGTAGTCCGTTCAGTGCGAAAGGAACCGATTGTGGTGCTTCTTCGGCCGGGTTGAGACGGTCGGTGCTACCACCGTCCGTCACCTTTGGTCCCTTCACTAGAGGCGTTTTGAGACTCAGGCCCGAGAGAGTTTCGTCCGCTCACACTGTGAACCGTGCATGTTCGGAGAATCCGCCCCAATCTTCTCTGATTTGGTCAACCAGCCTGAGCCGTCTGGTTTGACCTGCCCTTGGCGGAGTGAAAACCGCAGTGACAATCGTTTCAGTAGTGTTCAATAAGCCATGAGGTTGAGGCTGAATCCTTCCGTCTTGTTTCTCCATTGACTGTAGCAGCCTTTCCAAATTACTACTATATAGCAATATCCCGTTTCTCCCTGTTTTGTCCTTGCTCCTCCGACCGCAGCAACGGGCTTAAACCTACCACCTAACTTACCAGTGATAGAGTGAGCATGTCGCAATGGTAGCCAAACACAGAATTTCCACCACACTGGATTGCCATGATTAAATTGGAGAACCTCGTGAGCGTGGCAACCCTAAGCTCTCCTCGGTTCCAGAGCCCTTGATGAAACCGCCTGTATATTGGTAAATGGTAACCCGTGACAGCCTGGTCCCCATAGTTGTATCGCGATGCTCCATCTAGGGCTTCATTTGATGAAAATTTCATGCCCCATTGAACAAATTTTCTGCACTGGTCTTCACCGAGCTTCGCCGTCGGCAGTATTGTACAGCGTATGGTATAAATTGTACATAATCACAATTCGCTCGTACTCCACGGTCGACGGAGCGCTTGATCTTCCTCCCAATCGAAGAGTCGTTCTATGCGTGTTCTACGGGTCTTCTGTATCCACCGGATCCAAAGAGCTCAGCATTAGTGTGGACTTGACGGATGCACATTGGAAAGAAAAAAATTTTTCCCCTCCTCATCTGGCCAGTAGGTCTCCATTCCAATGCCGTTGCTCTGAGGAACGGCCGGACCAACGTGTGAACTGGAGCTGGGACACCCGTACAGTGAATTATTGATACAGTAGGGTAGACGAGATAACCAGCGGAATACCAAACATGTCAGCCAGAATTACTGTACTTGCCTTCCTTCATATTGCGGCTAAGAAACCCTCTCCAGAGAGACCAGCCACCAGACAGCACCAGGGCTCCACCAGCTTGTGCACCTGCAGGGTCCACTTCGGTCGGAAAAATAGAGCTCAGGAACCACAACGAGCTTCGTCTGCAAGTGATTTCCCAGGATCGACTTGGGGCATGCAAGGTAAGGCGCATCTTGATTCCCAGCCTTCGACCCCAGATTATTATCAGACTCGGTCAACTTAGTTTTGGATTCGATCTAAGCTAGAGAGAGTTTCCTCCCTTGAGCCCTAGCACTAGTGGACTGCCCTGCGGCTGAAAGTGTGGAGGCGCTTTCCTTCCTTTGCTCGTCGGAGTCTCGGTTGAATTGGTAGTCTGGTAGAAGCTGGTGCGGCGGTCCGGAGCGGAACAACTGGTTCTGTCGCCATCGCCGGAGGCGCTTCGACCATCCTTCACGGAGCATAGCCGTTGTTGTTGGTACTTGCGCTTGGTGTGCAGTGTGCACTACTACACAAGTACACAGTAGACAAGGCTCCTCCTTATCAAAAAGCCATGTAAACAGGTATCTGTGTTGATCATTTTCAGCACACAGACTTCAGTACCCGGATGGGTATTTCAGCGCCCGAAAATGACACAATACCAAATGATGTCAGCAAGAAGCCTCCGGGGCTAGCGTTGGTAGCAAGGCTGGCCAAATTATTTTTGGCTCCTAGAGGACGCCAGGCACGCGATCTCAATTGATTTGCCCGAGATGACCAACTTCCCGTCTGGCCTCGAGTTCTCGGTCTCACCACCTTCCACCAAATGGAGATTAGCGACCGGCGAGGAACCATGACCAGCGGAGATTGTGATTGGCCCCGTCAAATAAGCATCGTCCTGAAAGAGACGTCCCTGCATGAGCCTTGCTATCGCAAGTCGCAGACTCTAAATCCCACCGAGTCTCGGAACAATTCAAGGTCCTGGATAAGGCAATAAGTGGACACCCTTTGGTGCAGATTGCAGGCCAATTCCCAGCCTGACATTACAGTAAATGAATGTAATCCAATCCCCAGACCCTTTTGGGGAGGACTCATAGCAACTCTGTCGACAGTTTGTGTATGCAAGTGAAGAAAAGCGGAGCCGAGAAACGTGCCATTGCCAGATTCCTTTGTCAACTGGGGAACCCTGGCACCGTAGCATTGAGGAGAGTAAGGATCCAGGAATGGTAGAGTTGGTTCCATCGTTGAAGAATTCGCTAGTGGCAAAGCCTGGAGAAGTTGCTCCCCTGATTTTGGACCTCGAACACTCCAATCGTGACTCGCTCCGAGTCTGGGGTAAGGTGAGATCGACTCATGCCCGTGACAATGCCCTTACTTGCTGGACAAGCTTAACTACATTCTCCTTGATCAAGGGCCCGCGAGGGGATATCAATGTCGCGCATCCCTTCCACCCAGCCCCCCTTTCAGAGAACGGCTGGACAGGATTCTGAGTAGGTCCGTAAAAAGTGTTGTATTCAGGTACAGAAGGGAGGGAAACCGAAGGCTTCGCCAAACATTCGCCTTTTCTTGCATAGAAAACTTGGGTGCTGTCGCTCTTGGTGACTATGGTTGACTCGACCACGGATTCACCGACCGCGGCAACTGCCGCGTGGGATACCAGAGACCAGAGTCAGTGTTCAGAGTTGTTGCCGTGGATGCTGATCAGCCTCACCTGATCCAAACGACACCGTCTTCTCTCGTGCGTCCGCCCCAGTCGGACGGAAGCCATTTTACGCTGGTCGCGCTGAACAACCGACTCGGCTCCAGCTCATGCAACAAACTACACCATTAGGCCCAATTACGAGCCCAACCTTGACCGCAGATAGTTTTCCCGATAACAAAGTGCGGTATGATACTAATACCATACGTACAGCGCAGCCACGATGATCGAAATACAAACCATCCTACAGTCTCTGAGTCTACACAGAGTCTGTGTCGTAACAGTCATTATCACTCTATCAGAGCGAAGAACGCTGCCAAGCCACGCCTCGTCTGTGCTGATTGGCAACGTCCCGTCGCATGGGAAGCATGGCTCGCTGCGTCGCAATCGATCGAGCACCATTCTATTTGGCCGATAGATCCGCTTCTGGTATTACCTCTGGCCTCGTCATCGTTCGATCACCCCTCGATTGGGAACCTCGAGGGCTCAGCAGAGATACAAAACCATGGGCACTGACATCTACTTGATCCCATCCTTTCAAGTGCCCAAGTCGGGCGCACCCGAGGTGATCCAAGCATCACCTAAACACATTCCACTTTCCATCCCGTTTGCTGATATGCCTTCGGGCAATGAAGCATTGTCTCACAGTACATTTGCAATTATACAGGGGGAACGGCATGACTAAGCTTCTCTCAGCAAGGTCCTTGCCTGCCTGAAATCCCGCTCATGCGACACGGTCGTCAAAAGAGCAAATGTGAATCCGAGTCGAGATGCTACATTCAGCCTAGTACGTCGACGGAGGCACTTGGCGACCCCACATCGTCATGGTGTGCTGCTATGCTCGGCACATGGCGGAACCGTTTCGATATGAACTCCGAGTCGCAAACCGTGCATTTGCCATCCCAACAATACCTTACCCAGTACTTGCCAAACTGATTGTGTTCGATGATGTGCCGGGATGCTCTTTTCCCCGTTCGCTGAAGTTGATGCATTCCTTGCGCGCAAATGCCTTGCTTGCTGTGTCGTGTCGGTGTAGGATACATCGACCTTGCACATTGGTGTTGACGTCGACCTTCCAGCCGGAGGAGTGGTGATTGTCCGTCTCCCACCGGGTTTCGAGGGTGGCTTGAAGCTTCCTTCTCGGTCGGCATACACCATCCGAGATCGCCTACTTCGTTGTAGATACGGCATCTCATCTGGCTGTTCTGAGCCGTTACGCCCACTTGAGCCCTGGAGCCTTGGAGCCCTGGAGCCCTGGAGCCCTTGACCCCACGTTGGTCCGTGGGTCTACGTCACTCCGAAGCGGTCCTAGTCTTAGTCGTGTTCTGGGTCCAGTCGACGGTCCATCGATCCATCGCCAGCAGACCATCTGTTCATGACGTCTATTTGTTATGGCACACGACCGGTTCAGGCTCTTGTATTGTTTATCTCGACGCGTCATTTGTTTACAATGGATTGTTGATGTTTTGTTATGGTGTCACTGACCTTACCAGATTCCCGCAAAACCTGGATATTCGCGAGTATAGCGTTTTGTACTGCACCCTGCATGCGATGATGCGACCATACATGTTGTACACGATTAGAGGCTGACACCGCCAGTCTTCCATTCTTCTGTCCTTGCTGACGGGGCTTCCAAATTAACTCAAATCAATCATTAGCAACTGGTTGGGCAATCATGGATTATATCTTATCCGACCGCATCCATTTCGACCTCTCTGACGGGGTGGTGTTCAGCGACAGAGACCACGTTCCGTCGGCCAAACCCGATCGCTAGGGGTCTGTCACGCAGCTTGAGGGGGGAATCCTCTTGACCATTGCTCCTCTTGCTTTCGTTTAGCATACGCCACTCCTGCACGGCCGAGAGGCCCGGTGGGGTCGAAACATTCTAGTGATATGATCCCTCAGCTGCGTCACGCCAGTGTAACTGCCAGTCACATGGCCTCTGGACACTCTCCGCTGCGGGGTTCATCACGAAACTCTCTGGAAAGCAAGTCGCTCGTCCAGCGTGTGCCAGTCGAGTCTCGTCCATTAGTGCCGCAGACCGAGAGATCTCCCCCGTGTCAATGTCGAGAGCCAAGTGCAACCTGACTAGTGGAAATCATTCTGGACCCGCCTCGATGACCCCTCTCTGAGCCAATCGTGATGTCAGACTGGAGACGATGATCCTTTGATCAACCTTTTTTTTTCTTGCAATCGATTCCAGAGGGCCCAGGTCATGATGCTCATCACTTGTGCACTCTCTCGTTCGGCGTCCATGTCCGCTTACCACGGTAAGTAAAGTGTAAACAATCCGCCTTTTTTTTGGCCCCCCCCCCCCGCGAACCGAACGCAGATGCGCAGTCCCGTGACTTGTGCCCAACCAGCGGCCGGGCCAACCCTCCTACTCTGCAGTCTCCGAAGAGAAGTGACATCAGATGGGAACAACTGCTGCACATCCATCGCCTGCATCAGAAGCGGGCCTTGATTCTGGATGACGGACAGAACGTGCATCCTGTTGATTTGGTCTGGACTGTTCAACCTTGAATGATACAGCCCCTAGGCCCTTTGCTACATCTGACAGCCTCGATACCTGAATTACCCATACCACCGTCAAAGTTACCGGCCGCGATCCTTTTCCTCTCTCGCTCTCCCTCTCTCTGGCTCTCGGCCGTTCAGCTGGTCTTGTCATCCTTTGTTCATCGTCCAGACTCCTCCACTTCGCTCTCCCTCTCTCTCCCTCTCTCTTTCTCTCTCAGCCTCTCCGCCAAGTCTGACCGTGGCGTCATTAGAGCGGCTCCACTCCCCCAGTAGTCGTAGTCCCGGGGGGTCTCTCTGGGAGTTTGATCTATGATTCATTGCATCGCCCGGCATAAACAGCCTCTTCATCTATTTTCAGGCGCGCCACTACCTTCCTCGAATTCTTCTGCCCGTTTCCAGTGTCCCCGGTGCCGCCGATCTGCGACGCTATTGAAGTTGGATCTCCCCTCTCTTCCTCCTCCTGCTGCTCTTTTTCTCCTCCTCCAGTCTCCGGCACCATCTCTGGTGCTGCCCACACTATCCATGCTACCGGGCCGCGTGCCTGTCAAATTCAGCTGGGGAGAGGCTGAATAAGCGCGACACCCCCTGTTCTGACTCAGAAAACAGACTGTATCTCAGTAAAATAGCACATCTCCAATAGAATAACTTGCTCTTTGCAGCAATACAGCTCGCCCAGCTTCCTGTCCTAGTATCCTCCATCCTCACTCCTGTCCCCGATGAATTCCCGACTCCCCCTTCATCAGCGGCACACTACCAGCCTACACATGAGTCAATAAGCGATCTGCGGAGATATCCGAGTCCCCAAGTCTCCAGTCCAGCTCGGCTTGATCAAGCCCCCGGAGGCCCATCTGGCGGACGGGGGCTAAGCCGTCCCCAATTGCTTAGGGCGCTGGTAGTGCGCATCTTGATTGGGTGTGGGCCGTGGTTCGCGCCAGCCCCCGATAGATCACCGATTACGGGTGATTGTGTCGCTTTGGTGCATGGCCAATTTCCCGACGCTGTTGTGATCGCTTAGGTAGACTGAATAATCATGGACGTGTGTTGTGTGCAATGTACGGAGTACATTACTAGTATAGTACCTGGTAAATATTCTTATGATCATGTAGGTGTGTATTGTACAAACTATAATTGTACACTACTAGTTTACTCAGTACCAGGATTTAGTCTTTACTGCAGGTGGTCAGTAACTCAGTACTGAGTCACTGACTCTACTGAGTCCACAGACTATACTCGGTATTGTTGATCTGCAATCCAGTGGAGGTGTTTTCAGTGGTGGGGTCAAGCTTGATGCGGACGTGAGTATTCCTGTGGGACATAACAGAATTTCTACCATGCTGTACATCTAGTTAGTGCCGGTGGCTCGGTGGTATTTGCAAACTGCAAAAAGCAATGTGCATGGCCGGGGCCTGGATGTACATCGATGTCTTATCTGAGTACTACAGTAGCGCATCTTCACCGATCTGGCATAGCCATGATTCACTACATACCCTTTATCTGACTTTTTTTTATCTCAGAGCTGGATAATGGACAACTGGACCCTAGTTAGATACTAGGTACAATATTCTCTAATCAATCAGCCAATATTTGACATAGATGTGTTGGGTTCATGTTGTACTCCCATCGCTCAGTGATCGGCTCACAGCATGCTGCCTATACTTGAACATGAGCCCAGCCTTTCTCCCCTAATCAACTTGACCAGGCCCATTCAAATATTACATATGACTGTAAATTAGTAGAGATATCCACCTATGTACCTATTACCTACCAGTCTAGGCTGGCAGCCTCTTATGACAGATACAGCGCTACATCGTGGATCCAAGATACATCGTTCTGTAGCACCCATGCAGAGCCCTGACAATCTCCAATCAACCCAACCTATGCATGTCCTAGGCGGTTATTCCCCCCTTTTCCTGGCAGACATGTATATATGAAGTGCCTGAGAAGTCATCTATGTAGATCAATACTGATCCATGGTCTACTGTATATTATAGGTCAGACCAAGTTGAGTCAAGCTGTCACTTGAAACTTCAACCTCTACTCCACTATGTACGGATGCAAGAGCCAGGAGGCCATCTGCATCAAGGCCCACCACGTAGCGTCAGTCGCTGCCGCGGGTGCCACCCTCATGCGAGAGAAGGTTAATTTTTGGGAAGAGGTCTCGTACTAAGTAGGAGTACTGCGAGTAATACGGTAGTAATTCTGCTTGATGGTACTGTAGTTCAGGGGGAAACGTGACCTGTTCAGAGTGTGGTCGTTGCTGTGGTTGCCAAACTGGCAGGGTATGGGCTCCGATGGTTCCGATGTGGGAACGAAGGATGCTTCCGAGACTGCAGGAGTGCATGCCGCATGGCACATGCACGCTCCAGTCATGTAAATACCTGTCACCTCCCGACCATGTCCGCCGTCCGGTCCAGCACTTCTGTACTGAGTAAGCGATTCTGGAGCTTAGAGTCCCAGGTAAAAGGTAGCTTGGTTATGTAATGGACTGGGCCCCTACTAACTATCGCACGAAGAGGAAGATTAAGCACCGTATTGAATGTTCAATGTATCCACCAGCGACCGTCGACCACTACTAGTCTCCAGTAAGATGCATCAACACATGCATCGCAGCCTCGTACAAGTCAAATTTTTGACACTTGCGACGCGTGGACCGGGCACCGTCTCAGAACGTGTCCCGTCAGTGTCCCGTCAGTGTGCTGCATGTGCGATCCAATCGTGATGCACAATTACACACTGGCGGAGACTGCCTCGACTTAAAAGTTGAAACACATCAGATTTCAAACCACGCTAGACGAGTGTGACACATAAATTCTCATCGCATAGCGCCAATCACATAGACATCGTTCAGTTTGTGCTCGTGAAATATGCTTGCTTTTTTTTCTTTGGCCTAGCTGCAATCTACACGTCGTTTTCACTTTTTAGCGGAAAAGAATTCATTTCTCATACTGTACTTGTAAATTCTCGGCGCCCACGCGGTACAAATAGCTCCCGGCTACCCAGCCAACGCACCTTCTCCATCTCCATCCAGATGTCCCAGAGAGGCGAGTCCCGTGGAATCGGGCTGTCGCATCCCCCAAACCCACCCAGGCATACGCACTTACTGCAGTGACTCGTTAGAGTCGGAGCGTCGAGCGCTGCACAGCACTAGTTTTCTGGTTTCGTGCCGGATCCATGCGATACTTCTCACGCATCTGGCCGTGGTTCTGGAGAAGCCCAGAGAGGATCGCTACTGTTAGTTGCCTCTCCCGGTCGCTAGAGAACCTCTGCATGTCCACTTGACATGACCTACCCATATTTGAGCTGCAGCTTTGAGAGAACTCCGATGCATGAGGCATCGTGCCCTTGTCCATGGTCCATATACTCAGCATTGACCTTTTTGGTTGGAGCTACAGTACCCCTGAACACCTCTCACAAGTTGATGAGATATACTCGACTGGACCAGTGTATCAGTCCAGTGTACCGTGGCAAAATCTGGATTTGTCAATTTATCCAAGGTCCCAATGACAGAGAACACATGCAGGTCCGCGAATCAACGAAAAAAAAAAACACCTCCAAAATGAACACCGAACAGACGAAATGAAACTCGAAAAAACCCAACCATGTGTGGAAATCTTTCCACTTGAAAGGTTTTGTAATAACATCTCCGTCGATTCAGAAACTCTTTTTTTGTTCTCTTCCGGTTCCGCTTCATTTTTTCGTTCGAACACTAACGTGGTTGATGGGGTGATGGTCGCTGATCGGGGAGGAAAAAAAAGGGCCTCTCCAGCGGCTTGCACATTATGAGACTGGTGCCACTTGGAATGTCCACTTGGCGGGGACTGGAGAATTTGCCAGAAAGCCGAATACAGTATGAATCGGACATGGATCCTTGTGCCGGTGAGATGGATTGCAACTGTGTCCGGGATTGGGATTCTGGGGGGGAAATTGCATGAGGAATGGTTCAAAGCTACAGTCCTGGGATTGGAAGTGGAACATGAGTATTCCATGTCGGTTTTGACCTCTACAAAGCTGGAGTACGTTGCAAACCCAACCGAGACTTTTGACTAACCCTGCCCAGAGCACCTTGCAACGGAAGGACCCTAGTATAGTAGTTCCCAAGACGCAATGCTGCTCAAGGTTGACTCGGGCTGTCAATTGAGAAAGACTGAATGGATTACAAAACCAAACCTGGTCGATTGGAGCCCCAATCGAACAGCGACTGGCGTTCTTCGGGAATTCGAGAACTTCCGATCAATTGGCTGGAACCCCCTGATCAGTCTTTCCACTAATGCCCCAGATAATGAACGTAGCCTTGGTAGCATCCTCAATTAGAGCCTGCGCCGGCCTTGAAGACGTGAATCTTTTCCTGCTTTGATCGTTCACGTGCCCAGATGGTATCATCGTAGTCCGTTCCATACACTCATCGGTCAGGAGTACCATGGAAGAGAGCTAGACTACTGCTGAACTAGCTGGCCGAGCGTCGTCGGGGAAGCAGTGTGTTGTCCGTAAAAGTCCCACGGAACCGGAGAACAAAGATATATTTCTTCGTCCCGAAAACGAGTCTTCCCGCACGAGTCGGCAGATCGATAATTCGAGTCTCAGCATGTTTGGGGCCGTTGAGTATAACCAGTCGGGTTGCACCCTTACAATCAGCGGGCGCAGTTTAAAGCAAAGCCATCTGGAGGACACATCATGTCAGCTCACTTGAACACGATGTTTCAGAAGCATCACTGGTCGGTGCCTCTGTGGTATGTAGTTGACTTTGACTGATCGTAAATCGTGCGAGAATCACGGAGTTAGCGGGTTGACCACGATCTGTTTCATCTTCCTATCGATAAGAGCTGCCTCTTATCAGCCTATCAGCCAGCGCTAATCCAAATCAGGAAATGGGCACCCAAAATTTCCTACGCAATAGCGAAGGTTCAAGGTTGTGACTCTACTCCGACAGCAAGAAACAGCAGCTCGACAGCTTCATTGAGGATCTTCCAGCGGATGAAAGGGTCATAACCTGCTCATAATCACCACTAAGCAGACTTCTTCCGGTCCCTTCTCGTCGCGATGGCGTTCAATCGACCCGTGGGGAGAAAGCGCAGACGCGAACCGTACAATGTCGACATCAAGCTGGTCGAAATTTACGAGGATCTCGCCAGTGAAAAGGATGAGATTCGGTTGCGCGCGGCGCAAGGGCTCGTATCGCAGTTCACCCCCGACAAGAGCCCCGCCGAAGAGCAGATCAAGAAGACGCTCCAGCGATTGTTCCGCGGCTTGTGCAGTAGCCGCAAGGCTGCTCGCATTGGCTTCTCGATCGCGCTGACCGAGGTCTTGACTCAAGTGTTCTCGGTCGCGAGAGAGTCGAGTGAGTTTGGTGTTGCGGATGTGTTGAATATCTGGGAATCGCAGTCCAATGCGACTGGCAGTGAGACAGGACAGGTGGGTGATGACGCGACCAGCGATAGTGATCTTCATGCGTCGATCTTGAAATGAAAGAAGCTAATACTCGTGGTGTCTGCGCTCAACAGGAGCAGAGAGATCACCATTTCGGCCGCCTCTTCGGCGCCGAGGCAATCATCAAATCCGGCATCCTGTTCCAACCATCAACTCCGTTCGCAGAGTGGACCAAGGTCCTCGACCTCATTCTCGACCTCGCCCACAAGAAAACATGGCTGCGTGAAGAGTGTGGATGGATCATCTATCGATGTGTCTACGATCTTTCGGCTCGCCAGATGGATGCGACTTTCGTCGAGGCTGCCGTGGAGCGTGTCTGCTCCTATGAACTGGCCCGCTCTCCCGAGGGTGTTGCAGTCTGGCTAGCGGTCAAGGACATGTTCCCTACTGCGGAGCTGCCTGCCAAGGTTTGGAAGCACGACGATCCATTGGATCCCAAGGAGAGGGGCAACCTGGCAAAGATCATGAAGGAGTCGTCCGCGGAAGAGAATGATGGAGAGAACAAGGGCAGCAAGTCGTCTGGGGTCTGGAACTCCAAGCTTCACTTTGCTTGGGATGCTGTCATCTCGCGGACTAGTGTCAAGGATGCTAGCTCCAAGACCAAGACCAAGTCAAAGTCCTCACGACTGAGTTTCGTTGACTTCTGGACGGAGGTCGTTGACAGTAAGTTTCCAAACCATGCGAAGAGTTCCCACCTTTCAAGTACGAGTCACTGACCGCCGATCTCGGATTTAGATGGATTGTTTGCTTCGTCCTCCTCTGATGAGCGCAAGTACTGGGGATTCCTCCTCTTTCACAAGATTCTGAATGAGGGATCTCTCCAACAGGCCAACCACATCTTCACCAAGAACCTGGTCCGATGCCTGACAAATCAACTCGCTGTGGAAGACCGCTATTTACACCGTATGGCCGCAAAGGCTGCCAAGGCCATTCAGATTCGCGTGTCCAAGGAGCCCATCTTTGCTGCGGTCGCCGTTCGAGGTCTGATGGGAAGCAACGGCGTCGTCAATTTCGATCAAGTCACCAAAACCAAGACTGTCGAGAAGCTCGTCGCCGATGCCAACAGCGAAGCTCTGACGGAGATTGTACCTCTCTTCGAGACCCTCCTCAAGAACCCCGGAACGACTGACGAGAAGGCCGCGGCGTCAAATCGCCAGTTCGTTGCAGGTATCATGTTGAACATTGTACGCGCAAAGGCTGCGACTGGCAACGCCGAGTCGGATGAGGACTACCAGTCTGTTCTTGAGCAGATCTTGTTCATTTTCGTGCGCTTTGCGTACTTTATGGACAGCACGCCCGAGCCCGCATTGACCCAAGCCACACAAGAGCTGCTGCGCAACCGGATCAACTCGGCGTTGAACAGTCTTCTTGCATCTCGAAAGTATGCCGCAACGATTCCCTACGCTGTCGTGCGCCAGATTCGAGACGGTGCCAAGTCAAAGGAGTATGGCAAGTTCATCATCAACATCGATGACAAATTGGACGAGTCGGTCAAGACTGCGTTCAAATCGTTGAAGAAACTATCAAGCAAGGTACGTTCTCTGTCAACCTTTTTTCCGAAAAAAAAAAAAAAAAAAAAAAACAAAAATCACCGTTTCGCTTGTGCTGATCCTGATCGTCTACCTAGGAAAAGAAAGAAGAGAACCCCAGCATTGCGGCTTTCAAACTTCTATACTCCCTGACAGTCTTGCAGGTATACAGCGGCGATGCTGACGCCGTTTCTATGCTCGACGAGTTGGAGTTCTGCTACGGCAAGTTCATGGGCGAGGAGAACAACAGCGAGGACACCTCGGATGCTTCAGATGCCCTTGTTGAGATCCTGCTGAGCTTTGCCTCCAAGCAGTCTCAGCTGTTCCGCCGCATGAGTGAGCAAGTATTTGGAGCCTTTGCTGATCAAGTCACTGAGAACGGCCTGGAATCATTAATCTCGGTATGTACATCCACGAACCTGCGAGACTTGTCAACATCCGGGTATCTAACTCGATTCTGTAGATCCTCGAAGCCAAGGAAAGCTTGGCCGGTCAACAGGAAATGTTCGATGACCAGGGCGACGGTGACGAAGATGATGACGAAGATGAAGAAGATGACGTCGAGATGGTCGACGCCGAGGATCTCGACAGCGACGTCGAGGTTGTCTCCGGCGGCGACGCTTCCGAATCCGAATCCGATGAGGAGGAGGACGACGACGAGGGGGAGGAAGAAAATGAGGAAAATGCCGCCGAAATCGCCGAATTCGAAGCCAAACTCGCCGCCGCACTCGGCACCCACCGAGCCGACCAAGATCCCAACGCATCCGACTCCGACTCAGACGCCGACATGAACGACGACGAAATGGAAGAAGTCGACGAGAAGCTAGCCAACGTGTTCCGCGCCCGCCACCAAGCCGCCTCCCAAGTCAAAGACAAGAAGGACGCGCGCGAAAACATGGTCAACTTCAAGAATCGCGTCCTCGATCTCCTCGAGATCTTCGTTAAAAAGTGTCACTCCCGTCTGTTGGCCATGGACCTGCTCTTGCCTCTTCTCCGTCTCGCTCGCCGATCCACCGTCAAGCAGATCGCCAACAAGGCCAATAGCGTTTTGCGCGAATACACCAAACTGTGCAAGGGCAATGCCATTCCCAAGATCAGCGGGGATGACAATGCGCCCGAGGCTGTCTGGGAGCTTTTGCGGGCTATCCACAAGGAGGCGGGTCATAGTGGACCGCCTGCGCATACGACGGCGTGCAGCCAGGCTTCGTTGCTGGTGGTCAAGGTGCTGGTTGCGCATGATAAGGCTGCGATTGCGGATGTTGTCGACGTTTATGCGGCGACTCGTAAGGGTCAGTTGATGAGTTCCAAGTGTCATATTCAGCCTTCGTTCTTTACGGACTGGAACAACTGGTGTGTGTCGGCGAGCAAGCAGTTGAAAAATTGAGTTATGTTGAGGGAGAGGAGACCGATGTATATAGAACGATATTTCTCGGAGAATTTCCATGCTATTTTTCTCTTGTATTTCAATGATGAAGCCTTTCGAAGTCGTCACGCAAATACATATCTCTTACATGGATTTTGAATCAGGACGTAATACATAGTCTGTCGTATGTAGTTACAACTTACTAGTATGATAGTTTCAGCATCTACGTATAGTGAATATGGTAATGGGAAGCCCCCATTTCATAAGACAAGGGACCACCAATCCATGGGCAGTAAATGATGCAACAGATATACAAGACTGGTATGCCGACGCCCAAAGCATCGATGGAGCGCTTTCTTTCCCCCCTCCCAAAAAGCCTCAAAAAGATCATGCAGCACAACGATCCTTAGAAACCTGCATGATATCGATGCTTATCCGTTTCTTCCAAGACTTCCAATACCATCCCCACCCCCACAAGACCCTCGTTCCGAGGCGCAGCCAGCATACCAAAGCAAGGCTTGAATTTGATCCCCTCGTCAACACGACGATACGACATCAACGTATCCCACGGCTGCTTCTTATGCTTGACAGCCGTGTCTGGGTCGACATTCGGTACCTGACAGCGCGCACAGCGCGCAACAACATCCACATCTAGCGGTTCATGCGGCGGGGGGCCATTCGGCGCCGAGGAGGCAGAGCCCCGATGTATCCGCACAGTCTTCCACGAATCCTCGATCCACGGCGTCTCGCCGCGAACAATGATATTCGGTCTGAACCGCTCAATTGTAATCGGATCGAATTCCTGAGACTGCAGTCTGCCATTCAACTCTGCGAGAGAGGCCTCGCTCGCAATCAAAACGGGACATACGTCCGGGAACGCGGTGCTCTGAGTGCGTCCCAGCAGTTGCGGATCACCGTTGCCCTGCAGAACACGTGGTTGAGGGCCCTTGTACGCGAGCGCGACGGGTCGGCCCAGAAAAGCAGAGAACGGCTTGTTGATATCATCGCGGTAGATGTATCCGTCCGTTTTGGTGCCCCAGATCTCGACGTTCGAGGTCTGGGTGTTCGCCTCGAGCCATTCGCGAGTCGGATGAGATGGGATTCGGATGGTGCGTGCAGCTCCGGACCGATCGGGCTCGGTGTCCGTTGCGTGTTCAGATCCGTCGTGGGAAAACGGAACGGTCATGATTAATTCGTTTCCATCTGAACTGAGCGCGGTCCGGATGCGCGTCATCTGCGGGATCTGACGAATCGTCAGGAACTCGTGGGTGGATGCGTCGACGAGCATCCAGCGACGATCAAGGTCCAGCCCTTGCTCCTTGAGCGTCGTGGACTGGACTTCGAATCCACGGCATGATTTGATGGGGTATACGCGGAGTGAGACAATTTCACTGCGTTGGCGACGCCGCCCCGGCAGCTGGATGCGAAGATGTTTGGTCCATCCGTTGAATTGCGGGATGAGTAGTAGAGGTAGCAGGAGGATGACTCCCGAGGCTAGGATTACGGGGGTAGAGGTTAGCGTTGCTCTGTCCAGCATACTGCTGGGTTTGTGAATCTGGGGAACTGGACAGAAGATAGTTCCAGGTGATGAAAAGTCAAATAAAGCGACAAGATCTTGAAGGTGTGCTCACTCGAGGTATATCTGGGTTGGAAGTTCTGCCCGTATGCTAGAGAGGGCTGGCCACTAGCGCGAAGCTCCAGCTCCAGCTCCAGCTCCAGGCCGAATTAGGCTAGACTTGGACAGGAAGAAGCTTGCATTGGATCCAACTGGCAATGATCTACTGATGGGGTGGAGGACTTGGCCAATTGACGGCTTCTAGTAGAGCCGTAGCTCTGGATTATCTATTTACCTGAAGAAGGGAATCATTTGTTAAAAGCTGCGTATCCTGTGCTGCATTCCGGTATGGGTTGAAGCCTACCGAGGCTGAACACGGCCTAAGGCAATAAAGATCCACACCACCTGATAAGAGTATCGTTTATCTTCCAATTTGATGTTGATGTCATGAATACAATAAAATGAACTACATCTGATCAGGTCTAGCAATGAGGGGGTACAAACCTAGTCTTTCGTATCAGCTGAAAAAAAATCGTAAATAATGAGTCAGAACGACGAATACAAGGATGCAGATATGGTAAGTACAACAGACAACTGGACAGCCCAAGACCGCAAATCAGTCGATGGACCAAGACCGGCTTGAGTCAGTTGAAACGGGCAAGATCCTGCCCTTCAGTCAGTGGGTATGGCACAGCAGAATGGGAACGAACGACAGTCCCTACGTCGGAACTCCATTACTCTGGCCGGTTGACCTCGGTATATCCGAGAGAGGTATGAATTGAAAGGTGTGATCCAGGTATGATGCTGCCGAATCATCCTATCACGCCAAATCCTTCCGCTTATCATCAATCCAGCAGGTGACCATGGTCTTTATCAACGCAAGTGCCACATTCCGACCACGCTCGATGTCATGATCGGCCGCTCCACCTGGGACGTGCAAAAAGAGCACATTGCGATCCGCACCTTGCAGCTTTGCCGCAGCCAAGCTCGTATAGAAGATAAAATCACACAAATAGTGGCCGGGGTCTCGCGAGATGCGCAAATCGAGGAAACGAGGAGCGTTCGATTTCCACACGTGCAAGAAATGGTCGTCTGGCGGGTAGGGTACGACTCTATGAAACGGTTGCTCTGATTCCTCACTGACTGAGCGCCTCACCCCCTTGATATCCTCTTCTGTGGCCAGACCGGGCGCCAAGATGGGTGGGAGTCCCAGTTCACGCCACCGCTTCTCCCCTTCTTCGTATCCCTTCTGGTCGTCGACATCTGTGATTACATAGTCATCGCGGTGAGCGAGAGATTCCACCGAGTAGTATGGACGAGGCGAGGCGATTCCGATGTGAAGGATCAAGTCTGGCCGCTGGCCATCGTGTGTGGCTGCATATTCTTCTAGGATCCGAGGGACCATCTCTCGGACCGTGGCGTATGCCACACGAATGGGAGAGTGATAGACATTGAGAGTGATGCGACGTTCAGTAGAGCCATCGTCGCCTTTTCCTGAAGAGAAGTCTAGCGAGGGAGGAAGCGAGGAGGCGATGAGGTACGATGCGTTCACGAGGTTTGTCTTGAATGGCTGGGGAGGGAATTTGTACAAGTCAGCACGAGGCAGGGACGACTAGAAGTGAGAGGCGGCACTGGAGATGCAACAGCGACGCCCATGTGGGTTGGATGCTCGACATGAGATGAGTCGTCTAGCGAGCTCGACCCCGTTCGGACCAGGAGCGTTTTGAAGCTGAGCAGAGCACTTACGCCGAAGCCCGTGATCAGCACGGAAATGTCGGTGGAGGTCGACGGAGATGGCGAGTGCTGGCCCGCCGGAGAGGACTCGGTCGGCGGGACCGCGGGGCCGTAGTCTCCCATGATTACTCTATGGAGGTCTCTCTGAACCTGGAGCTGGAGGTGTGGATTGTGAAGGGGAGAGAGGCAGTGATCACTGGATCAGACTTGAGGCGATGGACCTGATCCGCGCGCGGCGAGGTAAGTTGGGGATGATGTCAAAGACAGCTCGTCTACGGCTGTAAATGGAGCCGGTGAAGGTTCACGGGCCGATCAAGATCAAGATTGCCTTATGATTCATTCCCAATCGCGACGACTCGGACGAGACGCGAGTCGCTGCGGAGGGTGGCTGAATGTAGGAATGCGGGGGAAAGATCTGCTGATTGGCCGGAACAGAAAGCACTCGAGGCTGTGGAGACGAGGTACCAAACTCTCCCACGCCCGCACGGTCTTGAGTACATGCCGATGGTATGCTTACTTGCTGGGAAAGCCAGGTACCTGGTTACGAGCAGGAAGAGCCCTTTGGAGGTCCCTTTGGCACTGGGCAGCATCTGACCTCCCGAGCACGCTATCTGACTTGCATGTGAGCCAGCTGCCAAGAGACTTGCCTTTGGCGATAAGGGAGAGAGTACTACTGTACTCTTCTGACCGCTTACAGCTCCATTTTGATCCTGGGGAAATCCCCAGTAGCCCAAGCATTCAAAGTCTTCACCTTTTGGAGACCCCAAATGCTTTTTCCAGTGACACCAGTCCTGTTCCAGATCCACCGAGGCCGAGTAATGGTATACAGTAAATACAGTATACCATTTATATAGATATATCTGATTGTGCACCTGCACTCACCCGCTCCCTCACACCATTGATCGAGCCCATTAGGGTTCGATCGAATCTTGACACTTCCTTTGGGCCTCCACTTATCCCTCTTGTGGATGGAGGCAGCCGGAGATCTGACCGCCAACCTCTCATGTACTCAAGGACCCGTGCACGTCCCTCTGAAGGCAAGTCAAACCCAGATGCAATAATGTGCAGGTGTTGGTAGGTTCGGGATTTGCTCTCACACACTCTCTAGGGGAGACGATCTGGAAATACCCCACTTCGTAGGCATTCGGACAACCCTTCCTCATTCTGTCGATTGTAAACCGTAATCAAGCCTGATGTGCATCCGCGCTTATGAAGGACACTCAAGTGACTGAACGCTCTAGCCCACCGTCGCAGAGTCAAGAGACAGGTACCTATACCTTACCCTCCGCCAAGTCATGGGGGGTTCGGACACGCGATAAGGTTGGTACCAGAACGGGAACAACCGACCTGACTAACTGGCCAAAGTCAAATCCCGTCGCTTCCAATCACTCTTCGACTGTTCACAATAAGGACGTATATCTCGAATAATCGAGATCTACAACTATATGGTACATACACACCATGCTCAACTTTCAGCACTGAAGAGTGGCAACAGGAGAGTCTCTGTCTGCGACCACGATTGGGAGATGGACGGGCACACGTGCACAGACCCATCTGTGATTGCTCCGAGACGACGGCGTCTGTCTGGTTGAGCGGCTGCACACAACCCAGGGCCTCGCTAAGTCAGCTGCCAGTGCTACCCTCAAGTCGAAATTGGTACAATGACCACAATCACGGGGCCGCCATCCCACTCCGAGAGTGCCGAACCTCTTTTTTGGTGTCTTTCATGACAGCCAAGAGGTCTGGCTGGCGACAACGTTCACCCTTCTCCCACCAGGACTGCGTACAGATTTTGCATCTAGGCATGGGGGAGGGAGTAAGCACTAGGTAGCTTCTAGCCACGGTCTCTGGTTGCAACTTCCAGCTTCCCGCTTCCCGCTTCGGATGAGGCTTTCCGTCGTAAACCTCCGGATGGATGTTTCAACTGCCGGGGTTGCATTCTTCTCCGGGCTTGGGACCATCCTCATGCAGTCCGGAGAGTTCTCATCAGTCACCACCACGAGGGAGGCTCTGACCGGACGACGATTGAATACGAGCATTCATGATCCACCTTTCCGAGACGTGCGCGTCCGGTTTGAGTACTGGAGTTGATGCTCGTAAGCGACATGGCCTCATACTCGGAATGTCAAAATACCGAGACGCAAGGCACTCCCCTCTTTTGGCCACGGACGATGGATCGTTCTTCGAGGACCCTCGGAGGAGGAAGCTTCCGGCTGTGGCGCTGACATTGGTCTCCCTTCTCCACTGGTCACACAGACTTCACGGCTAAATGCCTTGTGTTGGATGCAGCAACAATCATGTCGGCAACTTCTCGAGCCGGCCAAGACTGATCGAGAACCAGTCGAACGACCACCGGCTTCACGCTGGCGCTGCCCGAACTAAGGAACTTGGCGACTTACCGTACAAGGCACCTACACAGCCGAGCTCAGTGATCGATTTTTACGTATCTCGAGTACTTTTCTCGTATCTGATGTTTGCTTGGACCAGGGTGTACCAGCCAGGGTGATGTCAAAAATCGTTCACGTACTCAGTGTCTCTGTCGGCTGCTCAGCCCGGTCAGTTTATCAGAAAAGCATGTGTGCAACCCAAGCACTCAAAAGGAGCCGTCCTGAACCCGATGGAACACCGGGGGGAGGAAACATCGCACTTTTCTCTATTCCTCAGATAAGGGCCTCACGTATCGAGAATCGATGCTTTCGGAGACATATTAATCTTCCCACGCCTCAAAACACCTTGCACCATCATGGCACTGATTTGGGAGCTCTTGCAAGAGTACCACTTGCTCTATGCCCCCGTTGTCGGGGTCGTAGTGCTGCTAGCCCTCAGCGCCGTGTGGAGCGATCTCTGTGATGAGATTCCTTACCGTCGTATACCACTAGTTGGCAAAACATGGTGGGATTTGTCGAACAAGAAAGCAAGAGAGCGGTTCTCTCACTCGGCGAGAGCTATGTTTTCAGAGGGGTTTGCCAAAGTAAACCAGGCCTTTTGATTTGCGCTGTGCTCCCTCTTCTGTGATCAGTCAGTAGCTGACCAGAACCTCCAAAAAGGGATTTGAAGTGTTCCAGATATTTGGCGCCACGAGTCCTCTGATCATCCTCCATCCAAAGTATATCGATGAGATTAAAAACAACCCTCTTTTGGATTTTGTCAAAGCCTCGGAAAAGGTCAGTCCCATCATGTCCTCAGGCCCTCATCACCTGGGAGCACGGAGTGTTCCCCGAGACCAGGACACAAACCTCAGCTGACCCAGCAAAACCTCGGCGTAGAATTTCTTCAGCGATCGAATCCCTGGTTTTGAAGGAATTCATCAGAAACGCCAGAGCATAATACTGGTGGAAACAGTGCGGGTCAAGATCACTCAAGCACTTGGTACACACGACCCTGCACGTGGCATTTGAAGAACCCAAACCTTTCTAACAGGCATATGAGTAGGTGCATTATCTATCCCGCTCTCTGTCGAAACGGCTCAAAGCCTTCAGGACATCTTGGGCTCATCAAATGGTACTGTGTATGAGTGGCCCCCTCTAACTTCAAACTCTTGCTAATCCTCCGTCTCACTATGTGAGTAGAGTGGGTAACCTGCAAGATGTCCGACAAGCTCCCGTATATCGTTGCTCGTGTCTCTTCCTTGTTTTTTGTCGGCGAGACGGTCTGCCGGGACCCTGCTTGGCTCGAGGTGGCGGTCAACTATACTGTTGACGCGTTTGTGGCTGCACGAACCCTCCGAATGTGGCCCTCCCTACTGCGACCCCTTGTACACTGGTTCATACCCAAATGTCGAAATCTTCGGCGATATTCTGCTGCTGCTCATGCTATCATTGCCCGCGAAGTCAAGAATCGCGCCGAGGCAGACGCAAACCCGGTTGATGGCAAGACTAGCCCGCGCACTTCTGATGCTCTGGATTGGGCGGATGAGATGTCAGCGGTGTATGGCATGGATATCGACCGGCCACGCATGCAAATCGGATTGTCCTTGGCAGCGATTCATACAACGTCGTACACGGTGACCAATGTCATGTATGATCTGGCTGCCTATCCAGAATATTTTGGTCCACTGCGAGAGGAGATCAAGGAAGTGCTTGCAGAGGATGGGATTCTACAGAAGAAGAGCCTTTCCAAGCTCAAGCTACTGGACAGTGTTATCAAGGAGTCACAGCGACTCAACCCTGTCGGTATCAGTGAGTACTTGTCAATAGCTTCGGCTCGTTAATGGAAGATCGACCTTCCATCTTACTTTGAAATGATACCGTATGCTGAAAAGACCTTTAATTCACAGTATCTATGAACCGATACGCCTGTGGCCCGATCGAACTCTCAAATGGCACCAAGATCCCCAAAGGCGCAACGATTGCCGTCTCCGGCCATACCAATCGAGACGACTCCATTTATCCTAACGCCTCCACGTACGACGGATATCGCTTCTACAGGATGCGCCAGCAACCGGGTCACGAGCACCGACACCAGCTGGTGACCACCACAAATCAATGCTTTGACTTTGGACATGGCATTCACGCTTGTCCTGGGCGATTCTTTGCAGCCAACGAAATCAAGATTCTGATGATACATCTGCTGTTGAAGTATGAATGGAAATTCAAGGACCGAGACGGTCGTCCCGCGAACTTTGATGTTGGAACTGAGATTGTCGCGGATCCCACGATCGAACTCTTGATCAGAGCTCGCCAGCCCGCTATTGACCTTGCGGCTCTTGGAGAGTGAGATCATGGGGGAATCTGGAAGATACTCAGGCGCGGACATGCTTACGTTCGTCATGATGAATAGTGTATAATGGCCTTCAAATATTCGGCTTCTTCAGCTCCATCGCAGAGAAATGTAGACTCCGGCTCTGGCCTTGGGCTGGGTATTCGAGAGTATATCCCTGGTAGCATCCATCCTACACGTGTATACGCATGTACCTAAACCAGGACCAGGTCGCACACACTGTCACGGTGGAATCAGGCATGCAGCAAGTCCATGCAAGTCCGATGATGTTTTACCAAAAACCGTACTAAGATTATTTCCACATGCACGATTCGATACTGACTTGTCCTCAGTAGCGAATGGTCCATTCATAATACACGAGCACATAACCAACCAGTGGACTAATTAAAATCCAGTGACATCCACCACCCAATCGTTATCACCAGTCCGAGTCAGTCCAATTGAGGCGGACCTATTCGATTTTCAGGACGTCAGCTTTTTCCAGTCAAGGCACTCGGGCACTCACCTGCGATTTCCGCCTAATGTTCCAAGGAGCGGCCGCGCTTCCAGTATTCAAGATGGGTAGGCAAAATATCAGTCACCGCTCCTTCTAGTGTTCTGCCTCAAGACTGACAACGGTCAGAATCGGTGGAGGTTAGATAGCTTCGCCAGGCAAATGACAATGAGAAAATTCCGGGCCCGTCTGCCGCTCATACCGCCAGAAGAGATGAACGGAGCCTTGTGCCAGGTTCTTGGTATTCAGGGCTGGCCACATGTACCTTTGGAGAGATAATCCGCGCTTTCTTTGAAGATGCGACAGATCTACGGGCATTACCTACGCTCAACAGAGTTCACACTGCGTGTTTGATCTCTGCTACACTATGAATGGATCACGGGCAGCAGGTTCTGTTTTCACTCTAAGCTTTCAATGGAGCGATAAGCGCGAGTCCACCCTTTCGAAGATTTCCCCACTCCCAGTCATCCATTTTCTTCTTCTTCTTCTTCTTCTTCTTCTCCTTCTTCTTCTTCTGCTTCTTCTTCTCCTTCTTCTTCTCCTTCTTCTTCTTCTACTACTGCGGTGAGGCGCTTGGATATGCATTGCTCGTCTCCCCTTCCCAACCGCCGTCCTGTCACCTGCTCCTCCACCAGGGCTGCAAGGGTGGCTCCGGGACTGCGTCTTGCACCCGGCAGCGGGATCTGTCTCGAGGCGTAGGTGATCGTGCGTCGTCAAATCGGAGGGATAAATGCAAGGAATGGGCTCTTTGTTTTTGGCTGGCAACGGTCGCACAGCGATCATCTCCCAGTACTCAGTTACTCAGTACACATATGGCGACAATAGATCCTGCGTGTTGCGGCTGCCCTGCCAGCCTCCGGCGATCAAATCATGCGCCATGCGGGTATAGTGAAGTTCAATGCATGGTTGCATGTTCACTTTTTGGAAGGGTTGAATATGACGATGTCCTGGTAGGTCCAGTTGTGGAAGTGATTGATGACTAGTTGAGAACCAAGTTCTAACGATCTTTAATATCGGTGGGTGAATGAATCAAACCTGATTCAGGGATCCGCCGTCATCAGGACTCAGGGCTCAGGACGGTACCTACCTGGCCTTCTGCCAGGGACAAAGCTCTACTCCCAAGAAGCGGGAGTTTTGGATGAAATTAGGGATGTGCATTTGTATATATCAACGAGAAGAGTGCATAGATTACGACGATAAACACTACCACACTACACGGAGTACATCAGTACACAGACACAGGTGATTTTCAATCCCACCTCTATCCAGTCAGCAGTGTATCCAGTATCTAGTATCCACAAGGTTATTGACGTGACCACCTTGGCACCTAGTACCACTACCTACACCCCATGGAACTTGAATGGCCTCGGCCGTGGACTTGGAATCTACAGGCAGAAGTGGTCTACTAAGCTTCTTCTTGACACGGCCCCTCTCGTACAAATCCATGGTCACGGTATATGCTGCATGATTCAGGTGTCTGGCCTCACTCAATGATGGCAGTGTCAGTGTGTACGAGGTGAAAAACGGAGAAGTCTCATTGTGGTGGAACACAGCAGTACTATATTATCTTGATTTGTTATACCATTGAAGACGGATTTCACAACTGTAACGTTCTGCTTCTAATTTGATGTCTTTTTGGCCTATTTGTGCGCACTGCGCTCGACGTTTGCCGATTTGAGTGTTGACACCGCTTGAACTTGCAAGCGTGCGGCGAAAAACTTAAAACCGAAGGAACCGATCCCTTGTAGGAACTAGGAACAGGTTCAGAACTTCAGACATAGGCACGGCCACGGCCACGGCCACGGGCAGGGACACATAATACGGCCCAGGGGTTCCCGTCTATATGATTTGAAGAAAAACAAAAATAGAAGCCCGCAGTGCGTTCGCGCCCATTAAACACGAGGAGGGGTTCAGGTACAGGATTCAAGGGTTCAGGTACAGGATTCAATCCACGATCGTAGTATCGAAGTGGACCTGAACCAGGTCTCACCGAGGAATCCACAAGCAGTCAAGCACCGACCATGCTCGAGAACAATTGGGCCTGACCACTGGACGATCAAAAAAACGTCGATTCCTCTTTCGGAGACGATCGGGGACCACCAGCCCACTAGCTTTTGTACTCGAGACGGGAGGAGGCACCGACAGCGGGAGAACGAGAAGAGAGGCAGTGATTTAACTCTTTTCGGAAAGGGACGAGACGCGCGACACGAGATAAGCGCGTCGCGACTCTGGCTGTTTGTGACGGGTAATCAGCTCGCGTTGCTAGCTTGTCTGGCGGAAGTGTGGAGGAATGATTGGCCGTACGGACTGCAGATTGCATCCGCGTACAAGGAGCATACACTGTTACGGTATATGCGTAATATACTCGATTCTGCTCAATTGCACATGTGCTGCGAGTGAGTCAGTCTCTTCTTGACACCCGAGACTCGAGTCCATACTGTGATGATCGAGCTTCCCGAAGTTCTACCTTCCGCACAAGGAGGAGCTCGTGCCACCTGGTCCTACTTTAGTACTTCGTGTTTGGGAGACGCCCATGCTCCACCCAAGTCACGGAATATCCAAAAGATGAATTCTTCAAGTGGCCGAATGTGACTCGAGAGCTCCGAAAAGCACTCAATCTTCATGTGAGCAATTGGTGAATGCATGATGATTCTTTGCAAGGATAGTCATTTGGCGACGGTGACTCTGGTTGAGATTGTCGACTTTCCTCCCTGGTACCTTATCTATGGCTTCTGCATGTTCCATGAGATCGACTGTGCGCCACAACGTCGGCTCAGGATAGTTTCTGCTTCTCTGTAGAAGACTCGCGACTTGAGCCATACAGCGAGTAGGACGGCAAGTCCGCCCCACCGCAAGCCAGTGCTCAGGGCTGGACTCGCCGACTCTCAGTTCCCGCTTGAGACATTTTGAGAAACGGAATTGGCGGTGGAGACGGCTTGGTCAATTACATGATCAGTGATCTGGACTACTACTTACTACCTGTTAGGCAGTTACTGCCTGAGTTAACTAACTACTACAACACTACTACTGAGGTGGGTTCGGTTTCGGTAGGGTGATACAGACGAATCAACTATGACTCAGTTTCGGACATTCGTAGTATTCTCGAAACGCTCTGTTTGTCAATGGAGTGATGAAGCGTGGCTCGGCAGTAGTATAATTGTTGTTTCCAATTGATCTTGACAGCTGAGCCTGAAGCCTTCTGGTCATCCGATCATTTTTGTGGGCTCCGGAAATTCTCCTCGCCGAAGGATCAAAAAGTGGCGAGATTAGATTCCGATTTCCCCCCCCCCCGCCACGGCCCGTGAAGCTACCATATCCAACGGGTCCTTGGGTTGACTTTGGAATTGTAGATATCTTGCCGACGGTGCCATCGAGGGACCACATTCAGAGAGATAAGTGCAAACACCTCCATATGCTTGCATAGGCAATAAGCATCTCTTTGGAAAAATACAAGAAGGTGGATGTACGATGGTGGCACTCATCACCTATCGATGTCCGACGGTATAGTCAAACAGTCGGGTGACTCGGGGCCTGGAGAGCACCTGACTTGGACTGCCGAAGGAGATGCATGGGGTGACAGGAACCGTCACATCAGAAGCACCCTTGATGGCCAACGAGCGGTTCAACTTGAATTGAACTGGGCCTCTTCTCTTTGACCGATCTTCATCGAGCGACCTCTTCATGGCGGGCACTCTCGCCCCTTGTCTGTTGCAGTGGAGGTGCTCTTCTCGATTGACACTCTTCAATCGGAGAAAGTAGATTAAACAGGCAGACCGTGACTGGTGGTATAAGGGGATTGTGCTGTACAATGCAACCCATGAGGTTGGTGAAAGGGGGGGGTGGGGTGCTGTGCTCCCAGCATCCGGTTCTTGAACGGATGTAGCTGCAGGGCGCGTCAAGTAAGGCCCGGGCTGCAGGTTCATCCCTCTGGAAGGACTCTACGAAGATCTAAACAACTCGACACATTCCTCGCGTAGGTGGATCATCAACAAACAATGGAGATGACCACGACGAGACTGCCCACTGACGCAGACATAGAGAAAGAGCTCACTTAGTCTGTGAGGTCAGGGTAGGAAACTTATGAGTCGAGTGGCAGGTTCCAGGCCGACGATGTCAAGACTGACGAGTCCATAAGCGAGACAATCTTATCTGAATTGGGCTACCATTGTGCCAAATGACTATGAGGAGCACGCTACACCGTAGTAGGGGAAGACAAGCCCACCACCTCATTCGACAAAATAGGACTGTCTGCGAGGAGATTTTACCGATTTTCAGCGCAAGGCACTATTCTAGCGGGAACATCTCGAGGTGGGCCAGACCGAAAGACGGCCGTGGCGTGTAGAAACTACCGCCTTGACCAGGGTGGATATGGTGGAGGAGGAGGGTACCAGGTACCCCAAGGAGTGGTACCGCACAGACGCCCGTGGAGAGGAAATCTGACCGAGTCTTCCATCTCCCCCTCCTCTTCTGCGTTAAATTTTGGAGTTGCGACGCGTCGTGCCCATCGCCCCGTGGTGCCCGCCCTGTGCTGCTGCGAGTCCGTTGAAATTCCCTCCCTCCGTGACCTCTTTGGTGGAAGTTTCCCTCTCGGAGGCAGGTACTACGCAGCTGGAGTACCCGATCGTAGTGAACCAGGTACCACAAAGGTACCTGGTAGCTTGGGACTACGGTCGCTGTGGGTAAGAGTGTAGTAGTCGCATCGCCGTCCCTCCAAGCAGTCATCCACACCAAGTACCCGCCTCACTGATGGGCACCCAAACCCAGCATCCCTCTGGACCCTCTCTGATTTGCTCACCTGCTCACCTGCTCACCTGCTCACCTGCTCACCTCCTTCCTACAACTCCCCTTTCTCTCTCGTTCTTGCTCCTCCACAACCTCTCCCACACCCATTGTTTCCCATTCTCCGAGAGCCAGATTCACTCACCCACTTTATTTTTTTTTTCCTTTTGTATTAGGTCTGGTGCTGGGTAATGTCGGCTTCTTGATTGCCTTGCCGTACCACTCGGGACGGAGCCGCAGTTGTGATTTGGTGATCTCCCGATATCTCAGATATCCGCCCAGTTGTACTGTGGGCGCATTCCGCAAATCGACCCTCACTTGCGCCAGCACTCCTCAAATCTGGGGTTCCTTGGCTGCAAGGTGTCGTGCGCCTTTCTCACGAGTCACCACACATCAATCATTCTTCTGACCTGCCAGACAATCCTCTTTCACCTCTTCCCTCCTTTTTTCTTCCCACTCTTCTCCATTTTCTTTTCCGAGTCTCTGTTTTGGTTGCCGCCCTCGCTCAACCCTGTGTTTCCCTTTTCCTCACGACCTCACGACCCCCTCCCCCAATCACCACCCCCCGAGCGCGATCGCGTCGGATTGCGACATTCCATTCCACCCTGTCTACCAACACAATAACCACCGTCGCGTGACTGAGATCGGATTCCTGACGCTGTGATTTCCTGCCGCCTTCGCGTTCGGAACCGCTCTCCACATACCAAGGAGCGGAGACCACCTCCGATCGCCGTCATGGCCCAGCGTCAGCTTTCCCGCACGCTACCCAAAAACTTCACTTTTCCCTCGCTGAGTGCAGAGGGCCCTCGTACCCCCGAGCGTGAGCTTGAACAACTTGAAGTGCCGCCACCACCACGGCAATCGACCTCCAGTGTCCGGCTGCCGCGTGTGCGCGCCCGTGCCGGCACCGATGTCTGTGAGCGCATCGACTTGGATCTGTTTCGGTTTCGGGGCGCGCGCGCATCTCCTGATGTGCCTGTTCCGTCCATTGAGTTCCCTTCGCGCGACCACTCGCCCCTGGACGCCGCCGATGCTGGTTATCTGACCAACGATGACCGCTACCTCGCGCCGCCCCGCCAACGCGTGATCTTCAAGACACCTCCATCTCAGATCCGCGGCACAACAGCCGACCCGTCCGATGCCGAACAAATGTGGCCCTCGTGGGATGCGACCCCAGGCATGGTGCGCGGCTTCGTGCGTCCCGGCTCATCCTGCTCAGACTCATCCTGTGAGTCAGTGGAGACCTTCGCGTCCCGGCCCTCAGTAGGCGGAAGTTGCACCAGCATGGAGAGCGATCACCTCGAGTATTACTACCCCAAAGACGCAGACCGAGAATCCCCTTGTCTTCCGCAGCGTCTGCCTTCCGAGCGCACTTCGGGCAAGGACAAGTCCTGGACGCGTGAGATGGACAACCACCTCTGGAACACATACCAGCTGTACTTGCAAGATCCCACCATCACCCCATTCAAACAGACCCCCGGTACGATTCCGCCGCTCGGGGTGACTGCTCGTGTCGCCCGCCGTGCCAGACGTACCTGGGACACTCGGCGATTGGCCTTCCCCCAGCCTCCCTCGGACCGGCCTGAGGAGCCGAGTGGCATGTCCACTCCCAAAGCGCAAGAGTCGTTCCCTCAGCCCACCTGGCCTCGATCGGATACCAAGACCCGTAGCCGACTCAAGCTGCTGTGTCGCCGCAGATTCTCCATTTCGCCTCACTATTATCGCATCATGCAGTCTCGCACCCCGGAGCCGATCCCCCAAACAAGCGATGTCCCATCTGAGCCCACCCGCCTGCTGGATCGTGATGGTAATTCATATGCCACCCGCGATCTCGGGGTCTCACTTGTCTCAACCCATAACGCTGTGCTGGCTGGCTTCGCGGAGAATCAGCCACGTGCCGAGCTGCGATCGGACTGGTTCAACAATGCGATGGAGCCCGCTGTCCAGCAAGCTCACCCGGCGGCTCGTCCGGTACCCGAGCCTCCTCGCCAAAGCTATCCATTCCCGGCTATGGACGCCCAGCACCTACCTCCTCGCCTGGGATCGCCGTTTATGTACAACACCTGGGGACCTGGAGGTTCCGGCGGCCAAAGTGGACACGTTCCTCGAGCGCCCAGACGCGACACGGTGCATATGCCCCCCGTCGTCCGCGACGATTCACTTGTTTGGACTCGAGTACTGTCCAACCGGACAATGGCTTTGGTAGAGCTTCGGGCCATCCCAAGAACGCCGGCTTAGATGAACAGGATGAGGACGATACCGAGGTGCAAAATCGCCTGGAGCATTTCATTCGCGAGAATGAGCTCCAGAGCATGGGCAAAGGCCGCGTTCGTATTCGAAACCGTGGCGCCACCACATCAAGTGCGGTTCCTCCACGAGAGGTCGATCAGCTGTTCTCGCCCCCATCCTCCGCGATTTCTTCCCTCGCCGAAGAGACGACACCCGTGTCTAAGCCTCCTGTCAACTCTCGACTGAACATCGACGGCGTCAACATCAAGCGTCTTGGCTCGCCTTTCAAGCTCGAGTCTGCTCTCAGACAGCACGGAGCCCCCAAACGTGTCGGCCGCCACACCCCGTCGCTGTCGGAGCCGTTTGTCAACTATTCACCCTTCAACCCACCGATCGGCCCCTCCTTCAACTTGACGCCACACCCAGAACTCGATAAGATTGCCGCACCGCCATTTCCCAGTCCCTTTGAAGTGGGTCTCCCAGACGCCGAGCGCATTCGCCGACAGATTCTTATGCGCAAGTAAGCGCACCAGCATTCTCATATCGAGTTGTTCGCATATCAATTGTTGATGCCCGTTCCCCCGGTGTCGACGTCCACATCAGTCGATCTGTATTGCTTCCATTTCACGGCGCCTATCCCATGATTTCAACGACAAACTGCGCAAGCTTGTCATGCGTCTGGCTTCATCTTCCTATTTTTTTTTCATGACCGCTATGGCCCCTGACGAATGTAATGACATGTTGGGGGACAGGCCAAGCCCTTGAAGTTCGATGTACTGAATTTTCATGTGCAATGCGGCCTTTAGTCTCCCTTTTTCAACAACACACGAAACACGACACCCATTCAAACAATTGCCACTCACCTTGACTTCCACTCCCTCTCCCTACCGAAGAGAACACGGCAATGCGCTCTCATTCACTCCGATGCTCACGACGCCCGTCCTAGATTCGAAAGCTGCCAGCCTTGATAGGTTGGAACCCTTCGTTCACTGGAGTGTGAGAGACAGCAGCTTGTGAGCTTGCGAGTTATCTAGTATCCAGTGTCGACTTTCAGACATGCCAATGCGAAGCAGATTCTTTATTGAGCAATCTAAGCGAATGCCATTAGCGCTCACATTCACTATTCCCACCGAAATCGCCCACCATGCCTATCATTCCGATGCATGTATGGTCGTGCTTCGAGTCAAAGAAAAATCGAGGATATGATCGGGGACCTAAGGATGGGATTCTTTTCAATCCTTGCTCTCATGCTCGCTCTTCTTTGACACGAATTCCAGTCCTTCCTTTGAAGCCTCGATTGGCTCTTTTTCATTTCTATCTCGGCTGTGGACCCGCGTGACTTTTCATTCAAGCCCTCGGACCTCCCACCTTCAAACAAAGAAAACCCCCAAAAACACCGAGAAAACAACAGCGGGGAGCATACCGCAGCCAAAAAAAAAAAAAAAAAACAACCTACCAGGGTTCATTCTACTTGTGAACCCTTTTTCGCCTCAGTGCGAGTGACCTTCATTTATCGACCCGTGTTCTTTTTTCCATGGCCCCATCTCTTCGGCAAAACTTTCTCAAAACAAACCGACCGGCGAAACGCCATCGTCGCTCATGTTTCCCTCATCACAGCGCTGGACCATCTTTACTAACACGACGGCTACCGCGCCTCCAGTGATACCGGGGAATAAGAGCTTCCAAGCCTCACATGCGTCAAGGTGACGAACGCCACACCATTTTCATCTTAACGGACGTATCTTAACGGACGTATCTTTACGGACAACCTCACACGACATGACCGCCAATGACCCTCAGCGCCCTTTGCGCTGCCTACGAACCTATTCTTCCCTGACTGCAACAAAATGCAAGCGCGGTGTTCTGGCTTTCGTTCTTGCCCTGCTCTGCTGGGCCTTTGCGCCTGTATTTGTGCTTATCTCCAAGTCATTTCGAGTCTAATGCCAGCGAGCTTATTATGCCCTTTCTCTTCTCCATCTGCATCTACCATCCACTCGCGATTGGGTTAGATTGATTACTTTTCACCTTCTTGCATCAGATTTGGGGGTAACATTGCCAGAAGGGTGTGTTGGCAACGAAACAAAGATGGAGTTTTCAGTGTCTTTATGAAATTGAACTCCATCTTCCCGTATGCTTCTCAGCCGACCCATTGGCCCTGATCCACGCTGCACTGCACTCTCCTGCCTGGCTGTTATCAATCCAAATTCTGCTCTCCAAACGCATTGTACCGGAGCTCACGTATCAGGCCCATAAAGCCAATGCATTTATCTCATGTTCACCTTCACTCGCAAAATTGCCATCCTACCCCAGATTGTTCACTCTTCTGTTTCTGCAACGAATCACGTCTGCATTCGCATCTCATCTCCCAATCATTCTCGATTGCGGACTTGAGGTCGCGACCATGTCCACCTCTTTGCATGTTCATAGCGAATTCGACTCTTGATCCGGGAACTGTACGTTTGCCCGTCTTCTTGGATAACCCTGCTTGATGCTGAAGGTACAATGATAAATTTCCATCTTCATTGACAATGTCCTAGTTTTCGCTTCGCCGATGTAGTCAATTGCGTTTCTAGATCAACGGATTAAGCATCATGGCATGCAGTCAGCCCCTCGGTGACTTGGCCGATGTCACCAGGTAGTTTGCTCAAGCCCTGGAGCACGGATTTCGGGCATTATGAGTATCAGGCTTGTCTGGCACAGATGAAGATCAGGACGATTATTTTACAAGGGCGAATGGCACTCAAGTTCTTTCCCCTTGAATGGCTGGTAGTCTCTTTGACTGGACATGAACGAGATAAGATTGTTAGACTAAAAGAAAGGTGAACATGGGGGTATAGAGAGACCGAAAAGCAGAACGCAACCTGTTGACGCGAAACAATAGCCCTAAGTAATGCACACACCCAGCAGAAGCCCCGAAGAATAGCATCCACACAAAAGTACAGCAACCGCTTTTTGTCATCGAGTCAAAGCGCCAGAAGAGACAAAGAGAGAAACGAAGACGAAGTTGAAAGGGAATCGGAAATGAATCGAGCAAGGGTACGGAGGGGGTCATTGCTCTCAGGAAACCAACGGCAAATGGGATCAGGTGACGGTCGTTCAGACACGTTCAAGCTTTTTTCTCCTGTCTGCCAAAACTATCTCGATCTTCCGTAATTGCGAAGCAAGACCCTTCCTTTCAGCATGTGCAACAAGCCAATCCTCCATTCGGCCCCGGACATACGCCATGGACTTAAGTACCGGTAGTACCGGACCAGGGTGGTGATCCGACTCTTCGGCCGCCCAGTCATCGCCGAGCTCCATTGCAACCCATTTGTCGCCACTTGGATTGAGTAGGAGATCGAAAACTTCACTCCAGATATCACGGTCCCAGTATCTCTTGAGGGTTTCGCGAATGCGATACGTGCGTGTTTGTGCGCCGTCGCTGGTTCGCATTGGTGCGCTCTCAATGTACTTGCCGAATAAGAGGACGTGAATGACGCCTGCAATGCCGTAGAGATCGATTTGGTGAGTCCAAGGGCGAGCTTCGCGGATTTCGTTGCATTCGTGAGTCCCTGTCTCCCAGTCTGCAATGAATTGAACGTTGGGGCTGAACGCATTCATGTCGATGGCTCGGCCGAAGTCGATTAGCGCCAGACCTTTGGTGTGCCAGCCATATGCACCAGAAGGGGCATATGCAGGCGAGTCTCGAGGGTCAGGTACCACGCCATTTTCATCGCTGGCCAGGTCAAGTAGGGATAAGGAATCGGTGGGTGGATCAGAGGGCGAGGGCTCGTCTAGGCGGACAAGGCAATTATCGGCTTTGATGTCGCCATGAAGAATGCCCGTGGCATGAAGTGCCTCGATTGTTCGGAAGAGCTCGACTGAAAAGAACATCGCCAGGCATTCGTCCAAACCACCGTCACTAGAATGCGCGGTACCGATGACATCCTTGCGAAGAACGTTCACTAGGTCCAAAAGTGTGCCTTGGCCTCTGTAATCTTCGACAAGGAAGCTTTCTCGCTGGTGTACGTGAAGCTCATGGGCGCGGACAACACTTTCCACAGCTCGTCCGTAGAAAGAGTCTTCGTGTAAACGTTCTTGGGCTGTCTTGATCATGTAGAACTCCCAAGCACTAGAGGGTCCCTTTTCAACCTTGATCGCCTCGAATGGAAATCGCTGTCCCCGTGACGGATTAGCTCTGACCATACTGTCAACAAAGTTCTCGGCCCTGTTCTCTTTCGATGCTCGGGCATTCTCGATACTTTCAGCGAGATACACAGGGGCGTATGCGCCAGCGCCAAGCTCACGACGAATGATGTAGCTGCGCTCGGCACCTATAAACTCAAGCACTGGCATGTCACCTCGATCATCGTCCGCGGATTTTGACTTGCGGTGGTGCGCCCTCACGAATTTCTGAATCATGCTGGAGTAGTGGCTCTCTTGACTATGACTATGATATCCTGCGTAACATGCCAATGGCGGCTCCAATGAGTTGAGAATTGTGTTGCGGATGCCCTTGTCAGTGGGATTACACTGCATGTCTTTGATGATGGCATCTCGCCGACGTGACTTTGGTGCCAAAGTTCTGAAAGCAGTCGGACTGAAAGGCACATCAATGATTGAGTTCATAGTATGATCCGCGCGAAAGGGCGTAGACTTTCCGAGTGGACTTGACTCCAGTAGGCTGCCCATTTGAGGTACAGCCGCTGGGGATCGCGGCTTTGAAGGGGTCTTTGCATTGTACAAGCTCCGCGCAGCTGTCATGGAAATCGAAGATTCTGTTCGCTCTACTATAGGTGTCATGAAAGGAAGCCGATTTTGAGCCATTACATCCGGATCGCGATATGTTCCAAATGGTGGGTTGTAATCAGCAGGCATCTGAGGCACAAAACGCTCCTTGGTTGGAGAGTCAGTCTGTGATCCAGGGTCCTCTTCGCTCGCAACAGACGCGCCATCATAATGATCGTGTCCGGGAACGTCCTTGCTGACGCTGAACTCTGTCCAGTCGTCTCCTACAACACTCTCGGCTCGTGTTGTGTTACCATCCCCATACTCCGTGTCATCGTAAGACTTGTGGAATGTTTGAGTTTCGTCGTCGCCAAAGTCACTCGACGCGGCGGATATGTGACCGGTGCCTGTGCTATCGACGGTACTAGCACATTCATCATCCTCGTATTCGCTGCCATAAAGACTATCAGCCGGATCTTCTAGTTCAGCCTTGAGTGGCTGATTGAAGATGCCATAGATTTCATCCGTAGCGGCCCGAGTGTGCATCGTCATTGTTGGCTCCCGTGTACTCTTCCTTCGGACCTTGGCGTTTGTCGGCGAGTCGAACTTCATCTTGACTAACCCTCGAATGTCAGCCTCGTCACCAAACGTCTACTAGCATCTGCATCAACTTACTCGTCTGTGTTTCTCCTTGCACCTTGAACTTCTTCTCTCTGGGCCCCTTGTTCTCTTGAGCCTCCTCCTGATGTTTGGCGCGGGATTCATGTTCACCGGAAACCAATCTCTGCGATGGCATTTGCCTGTGTTGGTCATCGACGAATATCTTGAGCTTCGTGGGCGCAGCGTCGCCAGCTTTGTTGCCGGAAATCGGTCTCAAAGGCTCCTTTTGTATTCCCCAATCTTTACTTGTCCATCCACGCCGCATGGCTCGCAATTCCTCGAAACTGACTTCGATCAATGGGTTGTGGGGATCGGGATATACTGCCTCTAGATCGACGAACACGCGCTCTCTCCGACCGGTCCGGGGATTGACAGCTTCCTTTACATGGTGTTCTGGAACTTTTTTTGGGCCCTTTGGCGAATCAGAAGGTGAAATTGGATTGGACTGTATACAAACAATCGAACATAGAGGTCCCCCCCAGCAATTAGTCCTATGATCGTAAATATATGGATATTCATCGGAGAAGAATGTCGTGGAATGAAAAAAAAAAAACCAAGACTCACCTTGTCTCTGAAAATCGCCATCTTTTGTGTGGGCGCTGGCTTTTTGCCTGCCTTCAACGTCTCCCCAGCCCACGGTTTCGCCTCCATTTCATTCTCCTTTCTGCGTTCCCTCATTGATCCAATGCTATCCCACCCCTTATTTTGACCGCTTGTTGCCGGTTGGTTTGACTGCGCGGCATCAGCGTCAGAGAAAATTGCCATTTTCATTTTTCCAGACTTCGATTTGGCCGGGGCGGCAGCGACGGGGGCTTGTTGCGACGCTTGCGGGTCTGCGGACGTTTCTGGTGAGGCGAACGGATCCTTCTTTGCCGCAAGAGCGGGTCGAACAGCAGGGAGGGCAGGTGAAGATGGTCCAGCATCCAGAGTGTGTTGTTCGTATCGCCGCTGGAACTCGTTGTATTTTCGGGCAAGTCGTTCGACTGGTCGAGCCTCACGATCGATCCCTAGCCGATAAACCTCATCTGCTTGTGTCCAACGACCGGCACCCTCCAGCCATGCGGCAAATTCTTCGTAGAATAAAGCCAGTCCCTCACCAACGTGATGGCGCGCGAGGAAGGCGAAGGTCTCACGTGGGGCATCCGAGAAAAGTCGGATATAATGCATCCAGATTCGCAGATATCGTGGATCATTCCGGTAATGTGAAGATGATAAGAAAGACTTAGTGGCACGCTCGAGGAGGGGCAGGAGTCCGGACTCGGCCGTGGCTTGAGCGGACGGATAGGCATTGAGAGTCCATTTGACGTAGCGGTCGTAAACGTCAAGAGGGTCATCCGACTCTCCTATCGACTCAAGCTCATTTTCGTATTCCTGTCGAATTGCACCGTTGATGGTCCTTGTGTCATTGGGTGAAGGCGCCGCCGTCTTGTCGCTCATGCTACCTCCAGAGAAAATGCGAGCCAACTCCCGGGCTGATCGACCACCAGGGAGAGATTGAACATTCTCTTTCTGTGCCTCAATGATGTTAAAGTCGACCAAATCATCGTCTCCCGCCATTTCAGCGAGGTGTTAGGTCAGATGTGACCTTGCCTGCCCAAAGTTGAAAAATGTCGAGCGGGGCTCGTCGATGAGTCTAAGACATACCAAGCAGAATGAATTGAGAGCTTGTCGGGTCAGCGCCCAAGAGGAAATTGGGTTATCGATAAACATCACATGACTGGTTGCCCCGGCAATACTAACCGGCCAGACGAAATCAGATCTCAGATCTGAACGAATTCTAGGTTATAGCGGAAGGTCGGGAAGCAACGAGAAACTTTTAAGAAGAAAAGATTACGAACAGTCTCAAAATATTGATCCGGCTCGAGCTTTCCCACATCACGTGTGGTGCTATTTGGACGAGCACTTGTTGTCGACGTCACTGAAGAACCGTCGAACGCCAGATGCTCGACTAACGCCAGGCTTTCACAATTTCCACAGCCACCTCTAGTCACGTGCTCGTATCGACTTTCGATCCAATTACTCCAGTTCTCCACCAACCTGGGGACAGAGCCTTCTGTAAGAAGCCAATACAAACCTTATCTGGTTGCATATGGTCACCACTAAATCCATAATATCCAACTCGATGTCGTCTACTCCTGCCAAAGCGAGTCACAAGAGGAACCTCAGCAACGGAGCTTCTGATAGCTTCCCGTTAAGAAGGTCTAAACGCCAAAGGCCCGCCACGAACATTGAGGAGCCTTCGTCTGATGACGGCTCCGGAGTAGACGAAGCGGAAGCAGTGTCTCAAAGTAAAAGGTCGTTGCTATCTCGAACCAGAGCGTCAAAGACCAGCAAAGGGAAAGCTCAAGACGCAGCGCCGCTGGTAAAGGACGAGCGCATAGAGGATCAAGCTGCTCCGTTGGGAAAAGCTGCACCCAAGAAAAAAGCTGCCCAGAAATTTCAAGCCGACGCGATTGAAGTGAAAGGCGAGACTGGGATAGAGACAATTGTAGTGAAAAAGCCTGTCAAAAAGACCCGGAAGACCAAGGAAGAAAAAGAGCTCGACGCAATGCCGTTAGCATCGCGAACACAGGGATTGAAGATGTTCGTTGGGGCTCATGTCAGCGCTGCGAAAGGTAAATAGCTCGGTGACTGCACCCGACAGCGCTTGGGATTTTGAACTGACTTACTTTGCCAGGTGTTTTCAATTCCATCACCAACAGCACGCATATTGGGTATCACGCCATTTCCCCGTCGATCTGATGTAATTGAAGCTCACAATCTCATGAACAGAGGGAATGCGTTTGCGTTGTTTCTCAAATCTCAAAGAAAGTGGGACAATCCGCCCCTTCAAGACGACGTCCGAGATCAGTTCCGTAAGATGTGCGAGGAGCAGAAATATGATCAAGCAAAGTGTGTCGCCCGAGTCGAAGTTTCGGTCAATCAGAACTCTCGACTGACTTTGATCTAGACATGTCTTGCCGCACGGATCCTACCTTGTCAACCTTGCTCAGAACGACAAAACAAAGGCCAATCAGGCTTATGACTCCTTCCTGGATGACCTTCGCCGATGTGAGGCACTTGGCATCAGGCTCTATAATTTCCAGTCAGTACTTTACGTCGTCGGGACGGATTCGTCTCTCGAATTCCACCTTGCTGACCCTCAAGTAGCCCGGGGAGTACGAACCAAACTCCGCTGCCAGAAGCCCTCGCCCGTCTCGCAGATGCCCTTACTAGAGCAATCTCCGAAACGAGCACAGTCATCCCAGTCTTGGAGACCATGTGCGGCCACGGCAACACTATTGGCGGGTCACTCTCGGAGTTTCGGGACCTACTCGCCCTGATTCCCGAGGAACATCACTCACGTATTGGCATTTGCATTGACACGTGTCACAGCTTTGCTGCCGGGTATGATCTGGTCACCCCAGAAGGATTCAAAGCGTTTCTGGCCGAATTCGAAGAGCTCATAGGCATCAAATTCCTCCGCGCTCTGCATCTTAACGACTCGAAAGCACCCCGTGGAAGTCATCGTGACCTCCACGCTAATATCGGCACCGGCTTTCTTGGCCTCCGTGCTTTCCACAACGTGATGAACGAACCACGATTTGAAGGGCTTCCAATGGTCTTGGAAACGCCCATCGATCGTGTCCCAGGTCAGACCGGTGGTGACGGTGAAGGTGACAAATGTGATAGTTGCACGAGCGAGACAGAGAAGAAAGTGAAGAAGAAGATTGGAAAGCAAGGCGCCAAACGGCCTGCGGGTGCGTCTCCAGCAGCTGTTCCGGACCATGCTGTCTGGGCGCGGGAGATCAAGTTACTCGAGTCACTGATTGGGATGGATCCGGAGGGAGAGGAGTTTCGAACCTTGGAGGCGCGCCTTTCGGAGGAAGGACGTCCAATGCGGGAGAAACAAATGGAGCAATATGAACGGAAGCTGGAGACTGAGCGAAGAAAGGACGCAAAAGCGAAAGAGAAGGGTCAGAAAAGTCTTGTGGAAATGATGAAAAAGACCAGCAAAGAGTGATGTCACTGGGTCCATTGAAATCAAAGCTCAGTATCGTATATCTTGTTCAAGTTGCCGAGCTGTACCTACTTCATACCTACGTTAGGTACACCTGAAACTGATCTGTGCTCGTGTTCGCGCAGCGCATATCATCATCTATGCGATACCTGTTGAACGAATGCCAATGTCCGCAACAATTTACCTCTCGTGCAAGTGATCCATTGGAAGATCCAGTTGTATATCCAATCAGAAGATGGGGGCCTATCAATGAATTCATAAAACTTGTGAATATGATATCGAACATAAATGAGACCAAACGCTATGACAGAAGTGAGGTAACCCGAATTTGTGACATTGATTGAAACGTAATCCCACGGCCAACATCGTAGCTCACAAAATGACAAAATGACAAAAGACCACTTGCTGAAGCCATTGCTTTCAGCACGTGCTCGAGGGTATCAGAAACATTCAACACCAATCGAGTCAACTGTACAATAACAACCCAAAAATCGAACCGCGCCAGTCTCGTTCCAGCCTTTCGTCGACGACTGTCAAGTCTTTGTCGTCACGCGACCGCTCAAGTGAAAGAGCACCGGCTCGCTGAACTGGATGAAATTGTATATATCAGGAAGAAAAGCTCGCGGAATATATGCCGAGGGGGTTGAGGTGACTAGGAATGAAAGGTGCTCGAAGTCTTTAACGGTGCGAATGAGGGCACGGTGTCCAAGTTTGGGGAGGCTTCTGGAATTGACGGGTGAAGGTGGCTCGACAAGGGCGCATCCACCGGAGGTGTGATCGTTGGAGACGCTGGAGTGACGGAGGCGTGCATAAAATCATCCTCGGGTATAGTTGAAGGGGCAGCCAAGTTGGGCATTGCACCACTGGCCCGCACCCGAAATGAGTGGCGCTGCTCACCGGCGTTCGAGGTCTGCAGCTCGTCATTATGCTGAGCAGCTGTCGTGGGTAGTGGAGCACCAGTCTCAGAATTGGCCATCGGATAACGGTCAGCGTGTTCAGTGCCGCTCATCTCTTCCGAGTCAGAATCCGGCGTCTCCTCGCGGACCCAGTCATCGCGCTTTGCTTCGTTACGCATCTTCGAAATCTTCATGTAGTTGTAGCAGCCGATGCTTGCGATGGTCACGACCAAACCGGTGATGTTGACCACGGTGAGCTTGTCATGGAAAATGACACCGGCTGCGCTGATCGTCACAACTTCTTTGAAAATTCCGCAAATGCTCAGAGTCACTACAGACGATCGCTTGAGAAGGGCAAATTCGGAGGAGATCATGCAAAAGGCGAGGAAACCAGGGAATATCAACAGACAAGCCCCAAATATGGCTCCCCGCTGCTCAGCAAGGGTCAAATAGCCGTAGTGAATGTTACTCGGCCCTTCAACTGCAAGAGAAATACATAGGAGGGAGACAAACATGATGGGCGTCAGCAGGAATAATGTAGAAAAAGGATTGGAAGTCGCAGGATGGCGGAGTAAGAGAATCTGTGTCAGACCCCAGCGAAAGCCCGAAAAGAAAGCCGACGCAATGACGAGACCGAATCCAAGCGCATTGAAGGCGGTTTCGCCAGCCACCATCATGACGACGCCGACGGTCATTGCGGCGATGATCAGGATTAATTTGAAAGAGGGTGATTCCAGACGAAAAAGGAAGGCAAAGAGAAGAACGAAAGCGAGGGCGGATGATTTACACATGGTAAGGAAAGTGAGAGAGATAAATCGCAGTGACATGTTACCGAGACCAATGTCAAGCGAAGTCGCTGCACCGCACGGAACCAGACGAGTCAGATAGAAAGAGCGCGAGATTAGCGACTCGGACTCCTTTGAAGATTCCGTTGGCGAAGCCGAGGGTGAGACTGGAGGAGCCCGTGGTCTCAGGGATGGAAAGATCCACAGTAGAAGGGCGGCAAACGTGAATTGAACAAGCATGTGCAGACTGGTCGTGAATAGAGAGGAAGGGGAAGACAACATCGTTTTCGGAGAACATCCATTTGTTATACTGTGAAGAAGACCCGCTGTTAGCCCCTATCAATCGCGCTTTCTGGTTCGAACAAGCCAATGGATCGCAAGTTTCGCAGATGTACTCACAATAGAGATTGACAAGGAGAAGAAGTACCACAGAAGAATCAAGCCAGCGTTGACGAATAATTTTCGAGCAACGGTTCGATCCGTTAATCCCAAAGATGGCAGACCGAATCGGGATGACTTCACGTCTGCGATCCGAGCGTCCAACTTGCGACGTTGGCGACGCCGCCGTCGCCTCTGGCGTTTTTGGCTTGCTGTGAGACCCGTCTCCTCGTCATATTGGTCGTCATCCGAACTCATCTCGTCCAACTCCTGGGTTTCCAGGGCCGACGCGGACAGTTCGGACGTGTCCGTATCCTCTGCCATCAGATGCTCCTGTTCGTCCAGTTTGTTTGGGCCTGCATCTCCATGAGGTCGCAGGCTTTCCTCTCTCCTGTCCGATGGGCCTGGATGTATCGAGCGACTTGCGCCCGTCAACACCGAACTCCGGCGTCGGTGGTGACCCGTTCCAGCGGGTGACAGTCCCATCGTCTTCGAGAGATGGGATGTAATTGTGTGGCAGAGGAGGGAGGGGAAGCTTGAGCAGCGATCAACACATAAGTGTGCGCGATGGGGGGAGTGTTCATGCACGACTGCGCACCCTAATTCGATGTCGGCACGGCGCAAGGACGGCGAGTCGCAAGGGGTTTCGGTAGTAGTCGAACCTGGGAATTTTTGACAATTGGAAAAACAAAATCGAAAGGAGAGTGGGATGGGGGAGAGAATAGAGCGAGTATGTCAGTGAAGAAGTGAATGAGCAAAAGAGAGAGAAAGAAGGGGAAAGAGTCACGCGCGGAATGGATGAATGGATGCAAGAGGAGAAGTAAAGTTAAGTTCCCCGACGGTGCCAAACACCCTTTGGAGGCGGTGATGAGCGGCACTCGTGAGGGAGGTGAAGGAGGTGAGGATTGCAGTATCAATCGCAACTGGCAAGTTCGAGGACTCACTTGTCCTCCGGGATCATGATCTTGGGCGAGGACTACTCTCGAGCAAGGCACGAGCTGATTGAAAAAATGCGGTCCAGGGCATATACTGCTTTCACTCTGAAACACAGTGTAGAAAGCCTCGATAAGTTTAACCCTGCGGTCGCAGTTCTTCGAGACCCATAGTTGATGTTGCATGTCTTTGCCCGGCCCTCCTTATCTGCTTAGTGAGCTGTCCCGATCGGCCACAACTTCAAAGTTTACTACTACTGTGGGTGTCTCTGCGCTATTGATGCACCATCGTTAGCTACGAGTGACAATTGACAGCTGACAACTCAAGAGACCTATTAGTCTGGACCGATAGCTCTCATTCAGGCCAATGTGACTGTGAGCAGTGCACCTTCGACCCATGTTCATGAGCTTGCAATTAATAATCATGTCGCCCTTCATCCGACTATCTCTACAGGGTCGTCCCCCGTCTTGATCCTTCCGAATGACTGGCTCACAGACCGCCACTACAGCTCCACTAAAGGCGTTTGCTCCACAAGCTGGCGGTCGATCCGGGGTCGAGGTCAGACGAGATGACGGCGTCAGAGAGACTTCATGTCCATCTTGTTGGGTCGTCCTTCTGCAGCTGCTATTGGCGGACTCTATCCTCCGACCTGACCAAGCCAACATTAATGGTTATTGTTGAGGTACCGTGGAGCCCAATATGGACGGAATAGATGAGGAGATATCCTCTGGTCAACGATCACATCGTGTGCTTGCGCTGAACACTTCGTACATGAGCGCAATGACATTAGATGACCCGATTCGACTATTGACTGGGCACGATTTGAAGCGTTCCTGGTATGCAGCAGCGAGGGAGATGCATGGGCTTGAGCCTTTCAATTGAGCGACGATGCATAATGAGCGAGCAGGAACAACATTTCCACGATGACCAAAGATCTGCGGCGGATGCCGGGACCGACATCCAATTGGCAAGCCTATAGAATGAACCACCTCACCATCGATATGACCTCACAGTGAACCCGTCAACATCATTATGTCGTTGCTTCTTGGGCTGTGTCGGAAGCATTTGGGATTCCTATATGTGTTCGTCGGCAGACAAAGGTTGCAGTCAGCTCAACCAACGCCCTATGTTTTGCCTTTTGCTCCAAACTTGCAAAGAGCCTCACCCTGATCAGGAAACAGTTGTGCCTGAAGACTGAACGCGAGCAAGACGGTACGATTCAAGAGTGCGCATACCGAGGTCTACGCGACGATTTGACCCGGCCTTTTACGAACGCAGCCCGAAATTTCTGCCATGGCACAGAAGCCTCTTTACAATGCCATCGAAGACTACGGTCTGATTGGCGACATGCACACATGTGCTCTGGTGAGCAAAGCTGGTAGCTTGGACTATATGTGCTGGCCAGTCTTTGACTCTCCGACAGTCTTTTGCCGCCTCTTGGATGCCAAGAAAGGTGGTTACTGGTCTGTCAATCCAGCCGAGTCAGTGGTCGACGCGCACAATAAGCAGCGGTACCTGCCATACTCAAACCTGCTTGAAACTCGCTGGACAAATGAGGACGGGGTAGTCACTCTCCTGGATTATTTCCCCGTGGCTCCTAAGAAAGCCACTCAGTCAACTCGACTTCTCTCGGGCTATTGCCCCTGTAAGGAGGCGGGGGCGAATCGATTCAAGTCCGGGCTTCAGCATTCGGGTCTGATTAGAAAGATCGAGTGTAGTCGAGGCTCTATGGAACTCGAGGTGAAATTGTTCCCAGCGTTCAATTATGCACGAGACACTCACCAAGCTCGTGCCAAACTCGACAATGACCTGGACGCTCATCGACTACAAACGGTTCACTTCGAGAGTGCATCAGAGCGACTGGAGTTGGAGATCTTTGCTAGCTCACGAGAGCCTGACAAGATGGGCATGCCAAAGGCCTCTTTCACTCTCGAAGAACATTCAGGCTCAATGGGACGTGGACTTGTGGCAATCATTCGTCTATCCGAGGGACAAGCCATGCAATTTGTGCTGCATAGTCCGGAAAAGGCCGTGCCGGGACCCGCCATGATAGGCGCCTATTTGGAAAAGATGGAGGAAGAGACGTCCGACTTTTGGACGGATTGGACCCGTCAATGCACATTTCGCGGCCACTACCGAGAGACCGTTGAGCGGAGTTTGTTGATTTTGAAGCTCCTCACCTACAAACCCACTGGTGCAATCATTGCGGCGCCGACATTTTCTCTTCCCGAGAGTGTGGGTGGGTCACGTAATTGGGACTACAGGTACTCGTGGGTTCGCGATACGGCCTTCACACTATACGTGTTCCTCAAGATGGGCTATAGTCGTGAGGCAGAAGACTACGTTAACTTCATCTTCGAGCGGATTTTCCCGCATGCCGCGCAAGAGATAGAACCGCGGAGTAAGCAGCCTTTCCTGCCGCTCATGTTTACCATACGGGGCGAGTGCGACATCCCTGAGGTTGAGCTTGACCACCTTGACGGGTACAGAGGCAGCAAACCCGTGCGCATTGGTAACGCAGCCGTCTTTCATACTCAGCTTGACATCTACGGAGAGCTATTGGACAGCATTTATCTCTACAACAAGCACGGAAACCCAATCTCTTATGACCAATGGGCCGCAATCCGACGAATGGTGAACTATGTGATCGGCGTACGACATCAGAAAGATATGTCTATTTGGGAGTCACGAGGTCAGATTCAAAACTTCATCTACTCCAAGGTCATGATGTGGGTCGCTCTCGATCGGGGCGTGCGTCTTGCAGAGAAACGAGCCAGTCTTCCTTGCCCAGACCGTCTTCACTGGATTCAGGTGCGAGATGACCTGTACGACGAGATCATGGAAAGGGGCTACAACAAAGAACGTGGTCACTTTTGTCAAAGCTACGAGACTCGGGAGGTCTTGGATGCGTCGATTCTCATTGCACCACTCGTTTTCTTCGTCGCACCCAACGACCCTCGTTTCATCAATAGTCTCAAATGCATTCTGCGCGGTTCAGACAAAGAAGGTCTCTCGAGCGCGAAGCTTGTTTTCCGATACGACCACTTGAAAGCCAACGACGGTGAGTATATACTTGAGCTATTGGGGAATTGATTGTCTTCTCGAGATGAGGATGCTAACAACTGCGCTGAACAGGCGTCGGCGGCGCTGAGGGTGCCTTTATCATGGTCACATTCTGGCTTGTCGAAGCGATGGCACGCGTAAGTTCAGCCATCGAGCAAATGGGCATGTCTACGACTCGCGAAATTCGGCTAATTGACTGCTCTTGTAGGCTGCTAAATTCGATGTACCGATCCCAAACCTGTGGAAGCTTGCGCTCTCGCATTTTGATAATATCCTGTCTTACTCAAACCATCTGGGCATGTTTTCGGAAGAAGTTGCTATCTCAGGCGAACAAATGGGCAACACTCCGCAGGCGTTCAGCCATCTCGCATGTGTCAGCGCGGCCATGAATTTGGAGAGACTCGGTCGAGAGGAGTGATCTGACAGATACAGCAGTATTCGGCTTCTAGTGCCAAATCTCTCTTTCGTTGTGTTTGAGGTCTTCTGAGAGACAGCCATTCTTCGCTGTTTGGGCTACATATCCGCCCTCCGGATTCTACTGTCTACATGCCTCATGCCATCCATCTGATTCCAACCTTCTTGGGGAAATCTCCTCTCTTACCGTACTTGATCTACTTTCACTTGCCAACTCTTACAGACATGATTTGATCACAGTCCAGACAGCTGCCCGAAAGAGGGCGACTGTGTAGCCACATAAGTAGACCTAGTTACTCCGTTGATCCAATCTTCCATGGATTTGATCTAGATCCGGACGATGATGCCCTGAGGAACTTTAGCTCGTATGCATGTGACAATGAGCACTTTTATCGACTAGTCTGACAGTCACTCGTTGTACCTGAAGCCAAGTCGAGCTTCAAGAACACCATTCACAGCGTGAGGGTATCAGACAATTGGTGAACAGGTCAGTTGTCAGCCAGACACCATCGGGCCGACTCGATCCACTCGCTCATCGAGTAAAAATTACTGGCCTCAATTTGAGGCTCATCAATTCACCTCATGGTGGATAGTGGATACAGGGTGCAGCAGATAGCAATGATCATGGCATATACATCCGCACACTGTGTAGCGACGACTAAGTGGTACCGATGAACGGGCTCATCCTCTGAAAGTCGTAGCGTAAACAAACCATGTGTTGACTATTGATCAGCCTGTAGGCGATACCTGAGAGAGGTCCTTTGGGATGGTCTTCCTCATGCAGTGGTCTTTTCAGGTTCGGCCAGTTCAATGTCTTGGCAAGATCACGTTCGGCCCCAAGTGCTCATGTCGACCGCCGTAGCAGGGGGGCAAGGTGGGGACCGACACGGGCTGATCCGCTTCTTGACGAGCCTCACTCCACTAGCTTATTGTGTCTCCCCAATTCCGTTTCACTCATCAACTTCTATGCCTGCCTTCCAGTTTGGATTGTTCGTAGTCCAGATCTCGACTGCGATTCCTTCAGACTGCTTGGTGGCTCTCACCTGAGATCTCTCTTGCTACACGGCCGTAATCCTGGTGTCTTGTATGACTGCCACCAGCTTCGATCGGGCTGGTCGGCCAGTCTCCGACAAAGCGATGTCGTCCGGCGAAGAGGATTTTGTGTCCAGCCAAACCACACCCACTGCAGGTCCCGACAACTTCAGCCAGAGCGGGCTGTCTCCAACAATGAATCATTTGCAGCTTGACAACTCGGGCTCACAAGCCTCTGCTAGCTACCAGACCGCGCCGCGTCTTTGCGGGTCTCGGACTGATGCTCCACAAGCACAAAAGGCGGGCGGCAATGGAAAGGGGACGAAACTAGAGCTACTGGATCTACCTCTGGATATTTTGAGGGAGATCGTAAAAAATGTAAGATATACGAGTCTGCATGCTTGCTCGGTCAAGCTTCACTATTCTCGTTCGACTCAAGGGCCAGCAGATACAGCTAACAGGGATTATCATTCAAAACAGGTCACTCAAACCAATGACTTGACGTGTCTTGCATTGACGTGCTCCTCTCTCCATAATCTCACAATTCCTCATATGTACTCACGATTCGATATCGTATGGCCCGAGGCAACCGACAACATTTCAACGGAGGATTATTCTGGCGTGGATGCTCTATCCTATGGCCTGTCGACGCTAGTGATGGGGGAAGATATATTTCATCAGTCGCCGTATGCACATCTCTCTTCCAACTTCGGCTGTTGTGCACGATGCGGCTACGATGGTCGAGAAAATGCTTCTTCTTCTTCTGGCAAGGAAACGCGCGCCGTCGCGGCAGAACCTCGATCACGCAGGGGCAATTATTATGCCCAATTTACGCGCACATTTTCAATCGGGAATGGACCCCTCAGTTGGGTCCAAGAATACTCTGTGGATAGAGATATGGGTAAAATGCTGGGGACACTAGTAGCCCTTGCAGTGGCACGAATGGTGAATCTAGAAGCATTCATCTGGGATATGCCTACCGGCGTGGTTCGTGAGATCTGGTTGGCGCTTGCCTCCCTCGCCAATCGACCTGGACACGAATGTCGGTTGGAGCGAGTCTGGGTTCGCTGGCATGACAACTCGGAGAATCATGTTAGCCCAAGTCACGCGCTCCTTTCCAGCTTGCTCGGCCCGAGGAAGAACGTTCGTATTGAACACCCGTCTTTATCCGTCTTACCACCACTGAAAAGTGTGACCGTGCTGGATATTGACGAGACTGCCTATCTGGACGAGCTCGCAGTCTTGATTGAGCGGTCGCGGGCTCGCCTCACTGAACTCAGAATAGGGATCTCTGCGGAGGTGAAACTGCAGGATGATTTTCTGCCTCTCAAGGACAACGCGGCTCCACGTGCTGGCTGGCCCAAGCCTAGTGGTGTGCTGTGTGTTCTCTGTCCTATCGCACAAGCCAAGACAGCTCATGTGCATGGTATGTCGACAGCCGGCACTAAAGATGATGGGGCAGTGGGCCCAGAGTCCTCCGGCTCGAAAACTGCCCCCCAAGGCACAGAAGTCAGGACGGAAGCAGGTTCTTCCGGAAAGACCACCGAGCAGACAGGCCAGGCGCTACCAAATGATAGTGAAAGGGAATCTCATATCAGACCTTCTACCTCTACTGGGGGACTCCCTCATCCTGCTGCTCGACCGCCGCTCGAATTGCAAGTCCTTGAGTTAGAACGAGTCTCGATGCATTTGCCGACTCTTTTACCCGCTCTTGATTGGACACATCTGTCTAGTCTCACCTTATTGGGATGTGTGAACGACGGGCATCTATGGAAGGCTCTTCGTCGGAAATATTCACCACCAATGAGCTCTGTCAACAAGCAGGCAAGCGAGCGTCGGCCGAGTCTGGGACGGTCGGATTATCCACTCAACTTGAAGCATTTGCACACGAATAGTGTCTCTTCGTACCTAATGCTGTTTATTAAGGAGGCCCTTGCCCCCAACACTCTGGAAAGTGTGTACCTACACGAAACGGTCCTTGACGACTCAACTGTTCCCCTAGACGCTATTCATAAATACGTTCTACGCCGTCATCGACTGAGTCTTCGCAAAGTACTCATCAAGCCTGTTGATCGGCCTGAGCCAGTCGAGGACTTGGGTCACGATGTCTTACCAAAATGGGCGTTCAACTACGATATCATCACGTTTGTGACTAGTGGTCGCATGCCTCAGCTCCGGGAGTTAGGGATGGCCATTGATCACCGTTATTGGCATTATTTCCTGCAGCGGATGCCTAGCATGACGCAACTTTACGCTCTCTACCTCGCCAAGACCGAGCAGCCACTTGCGTCCGATTTGAAGGAGTTAGCGCTTCAGGTATTAGACATCGTCAGTATTCGTCCTGACTTGAAATTGACATATATCGGATTGCGCTCCAGATGCTATCAGATCATGGAGAGTGAGGTCGGCGATGAGAGTGAGGTCGGCAAATCTGGATACGATACCGACCGGCAACCTGAGCTGGAAAATTGGACCAGTGACGCGGAGGAGGAAATGAGTACCACTGGCAGTGATCATCACAATCCTCCCGCGGCAAGAAATCCGTATGATTCGGATGCTTTGTCAAGCGACTTCTCCGATGGGGATGACAGCGACCTGGAAGCTAATACTGAATCACGGACACGGTTCTGGTTATATGAAATGCCGTACTGCGATGATAAGGTTTCCATATTCAAGGCTCGCCACGCTGCGCTTTGATTTCAGGCATTTGTTCCGCTTTCCTTTGGTCATCTTTTGCACCTTACTCCCGCGGATGCAATCGTCGGTTGACAGCAAGCTCTAGCCGGCCCTGATCTCATCACGACACCTCAATGCCTCTCTACAACTTATTCCACTTATTTTATGCTAGGGTGAGGGCGTCGATGGTTTGACGAATAGCAGAGGCTGGACCTTTTTCTGTCTGTCTTTGAGATACCATGCGTGTTTGCGTTGCGAGAATGCACTTTTAGTTAGAAATGAAGATGGCTATTATCGAGAAGCGTCTCCAGGGTCGAAAGGGTTGATTGGATTCTCCGTGTAAATCCCTGCAGCGCGAGCAGATGCCTAAACGTGCCACAGGCACTGGGAGGTCGCTTGGGCTATCTAGATGGAATGTCATGCACCCGAAGAGTGTCATGTTTCTGGAACCAGGTTGATGACCCCCGTGTCCTGTTGAAAAATGGCAAGCGACCACATCAATGTTCTGTGTTTTGATTGCTCAGCCCCTTCTTCTTTCCCGCTAGGTAGGCTGACGAACAATCAAGCCTGTTTTTGGTTGTAGTGTCCTCCATCGTGACAACCGCTTCTACGCCGGGAATGTCCAGCTGACTTAATACCTTCTTATTCCAGGAAACCCCCGTGGGGCTGACCGCGAGGTATGGTCATGCATCAGCTCCTTGGATCTCGGCCAAACCATGAGTCTGCAGACCATCATTTATATGTCAACAAGGAAGCACTATCGAGCTACTTAGTCGCCTTATAAGACTGGGATTTCCATCCGCTCCTACATGAATAACGTCTTCCAGATGGAAACATCTGCGCGGTGACTACCTTTCCTTCTGGTCGGCTATGCGCGTGCCCCTCCTGTTTCCGCAGTGGAGTCGACGAACTTACTACTGAACTGACTTGACTGCCGCGGGACCTGCTGATCAAGCGGGCTATTCCTAAATTTGGTTTGCTTAGGAACATTCCACTCCGCCGGAGGAATCGCTCTTACTCATTGATTAATACTGAGCTGTTGCGATTCTGCCCAACTGGGTCTTTGCCTTTTCTACCGCTCAAGACGGGGCCGCTCATCCACGATCTCTTCTTCTCCGTTGCCGCGAATCAATAATACTTCCTTCTTTGACGACTACCGGCTCAAGAGCCTCGACGACGTTGACATTTATTCTGGTGCATCTTTCACCGCATACAAAACATCTTCAACTCCCCAAGTTCCGCCTCTTCCCGCATTCCACCCTCAAGCCATGGCTTCCTTTATGGAGGAGCTATGGTCCAGCATCTTCGTCCCGGGCCCCACTCGGACCTTGCTGATCGCAACCAATGCATCGTTCGCCGCCCTCCAGCTTCTTCTCTTCATCCTGGGGCTCGCCACCTACAGTATCCATTTTGTGGTTCTCTCACTGCTATCGGCAGGACTGTGGTACTCGATCAACTGGTTTGCGCGTGAGGTACGCCTGGCGCAAGCGGCGCAAGAAGCCGAAAAGGCAAAGCAGGAGGAGCGAGAGGCGGCCGCTGCTGCCAGAAAGACGGATATCAGACCGGTCGACAGCGGAGATAGTGAAACCGAAACCGAGACGCTGGTAAAGTCCACAGCATCTGCTGCGTCGCCCGCTGTGATGACGGGCAGCGAAGCTGTCTCCAGCGGACTGCAACCTCTACAGCGGGACACCAAGAAGCGACTGAACACGGGCGGCGATAGTTCTGGTTATGGCAGCACCGATAGCGAATGGGAAAAGGTGGACGACAGCAAAGATCGGTAGGCGCAGCGATATCAATCCTTCGTCTCATTTTGTCTCTTGTACTTGACGGGGTGCAGCTCTGTGATTTCGAGACCGAAGGAAGAGTGGTGGTTTTCTCTCTCATGCCAAACTGGCATGTGAGCGGGCACTCTCTGTACGACGTGAACATGACTTGGAAGACAGGAACCCGACCACGTCTTGGCGACTTGAGCCTCTGAGGACTGATCTCGTCGTGCATGTGATCTGCTGTCACTGATCCTACCGGTGATCTTGAGTGTACTAGTCTTGATGTGATCCGCTCGGTCTTCATTTGGAATGCCGCACTTGACACGTACTGAGAAATCGACATGTACAGAGATCATCTATTCCCCATGTCATTTGAATCTTCAAGATACCCTAGAAATGCCATGTTTTTGACACAGTGAGCTGCTTGTTTGTTCGTGCCAGCTCAGTCAGTGTCAAGACACGTGATCACGCGCCGCTCGGAGCCGCGACTCAACTGCGACCGTCTTTCTTGTAGATCTCTCCTAGCTCTCTCGCTTCGATTCCCCGCAAGCTGAGCTTGGCCAGCTCGTCCAGCATCGAATCCTGTAGTGACACAGAATGTCGAACTCGACCAGAACACCATGATAAACTCCAACCCCTTGAATGTGGGTCGACGACGTGTTTTCGGCTCAGTCTTCTCCCCCGCGCCGTTCGAGGCCCGCTCCTCCGGCCGTGGCGTGGATCACGGCAATACTCAAGCTGCATCGCCATTCCACCCCGATGCTTCATTCTCCACGATCAGAACTGGCTCGTTCAATTCGCCACAACCAGGGAAGTCGTTCTCATCGACTTTAGATCGGGAAACATGGAATCAGGCATGGTGTCTCGCGAGCGACTTCTTGTCATTACCACATGAAGGATTTGCTGAGGTTTACAACGCGCGAGGACGCGTGGAGAGCAAAGGAAAGGCATCAAGATGGCACAGGCCCCCTTCCCAGGAAGTGGCCGAGGCGCTTTCGTACCTGGCTTGTAGCGAGTCGAGCGAAACGTCGTCTGAACTGAATGGTCTCCATGAGTTGCTTCTTTGGTATGGCGGCGAGATTCGACGGCACTTCCTCGCCAATATGCGACAGGGCCTGCACGAGGTATACCCCCATGATATGAAGGGATGGACAGTGCGCGAAGCTAACATGTGATACAGCTGTTTCGACGCGAGGATCACGAAGAATTGATAAGATCCATTGTCGAATGCTTGCAGCTTGCTCGACGCATGTACTTGACTCCCGTGGCTAATCATGTACTTGAATTCGCTGAGGCAGAATATCGGGAAAAGCTCATGGCTCAATTACAACGCGTGTTTCACACGGTGGTGTCGTACTCGCTCCCTTGGTCAAAGATATCACCACTAATAAGTGTCGTGCTCGCTAAAGAGGCGCTGATCATCCTTGGTATCGATACACTGCTGAAGGAGGGAGATATGGATGCAAATGATAGGGATGACGATGCAATGGAGGTTGACCGCCGTTACTCGGTCTTCTATGATCACTGGAGAAATGAGTCTCCTGAAGGCCGTGAGCGTATGATGATTGAAGGGGAGGACAATCACGTCACCACAGCTCGAGAGCGACTTCTTATGTTCCTGCAGGGTTTGCAGCAGGTTGGACTTGGCGGTGACAAGACCCAAAAAGTCTTTGCCAGCGTGATGAATATTATGATGACCGAGTTCATCCGCGCGGCGTACACCGGAAAGAGGGAGGCTCCTTCATTAGTGCCTCAACACTTGCGGCACTGGGTTGAAGATGTCTTTGCGCGGCTGGTGGTACAAGTGCTGGCGATCATACACCATCCTCGGATGGTAGATCAGTCAACCAACATCCTGAACGTCAGCTTCAGCGACGTCGAAAAATGGCAGGAAATGGGCATCGCTCGACTAGGAACATTGCGCACTAGCGAGCTCTTTGATGTCATTGTGGAATGGCCTGCAAGCACTGGAGCCATTGAAGATTTGCGACACTTTACCACATATCCCGCCGCTCGATCATATCTTACCCAGAACTTCATCACAGTTCTGAACCAACGCCTGCTTCACCCAGGTGCATCGACTCTGGAGATTCTTCAATTGTACATCGCTATCATCCGTGCTTTCAATCTCATGGATCCAAAGGGTGTAATCTTGGACCGCATTGCTCGTCCTATCCGTCGATACCTTCGAGATCGCGATGACACTATCAAAGTCATTGTGAGCGGGCTTTTGGCCGAACCAACGTCCATTCCAAATCGAGGCGCTTTACCAAGTACTCATGATACACTGGCGGAACTCTCAACAGAATTATCAAAGGCTCATCAGCTCTCCATAGAAAACAACACGAGCGAACTGGACTGGGACGATATGAACTGGATGCCTGACCCGGTCGACGCGGCACCGGATTTCAGCAAATCAAAAGGCACCGACGTCATTGACAGCGTTGTCAGCTTATTCGACTCCAAAGAAACATTTGTCAAGGAGCTCCAGACCATGTTGAGTGACCGACTACTCCAGAATCGGGATAACTATGACCAGGAAATTTCCGTCCTCGAGCTTCTCAAGATACGATTTGGAGAGTCCACTCTGCAAGCATGCGAGGTCATGCTGCGCGATATCTCAGACTCTCGCCGTGTCGATGCATCCATTCGCAGAGATCAAGGGCTTGTCAAACTACCCACCCGACCAAGGCCCAAACGTTCAGCACACGCTTCCTTCCCTGATCTTCATGCGAAAATCCTCTCTCGCTTCTTCTGGCCCACCATTCCCGAGCAAGAATTCAAAATCCCCGACGAAATAGCCGCCCTCCAACAACGTTATGCGGCTGGCTTCGAGGCCCTCAAGGCCTCCCGAAAATTGACCTGGCTGAACGGACTGGGCCAAGTCCTTGTCGAACTCAAACTCGCCGATCGAGAATTCTCCGATCACGTAACCACCTGGCAAGCTACCGTCATTCACGCCTTCCAATCCGACTCATCCTCCTCCTCATCATCATCATCATCCTCCGCAAGCGAGGAGACCAACTCAACAACTGAGCGTTCGATCTCCTCTCTGGCCGAACAGCTCTCCATGACCCCTTCCCTTGTTCGGTCTGCCTGCTTATTCTGGGTAGGCAAGCGCATCCTCGCAGAATCCTCCTCCTCCAGCGACACCTACCACGTTCTAGAATCCCTCCCCACGGAAGAAGAGGAACACTCCAGCACAACCCACCACGCAGGCCAACAAGCCGGCCAAAGCGCAGGCACAAACACAAGCACAGGGCCCCCAGACAACACGACCCTCACAACAAGCGCTGCCGACGCAGCGGCGGCCGCCGAAGCCGCCGCCGCTGCAGCAGCCAAAGAATCCGCCGACGCAGCCGCCATGGAGAAAATGAACTTATACTGGCAATTTATCATGGGCATGCTCACTAATCAGGGCGCGATGCCGCTGCAGCGCATCGTGATGATGTTGAAAATCGTCGTGCCGGGTGGATTCCCTTTTAGTAATGAGGAATTGAGGGAGTTTTTGGCCGGTATGGTTGCGAAGGGCAAGGTGGAGATTGTCAGTGGGGGGAATTATAAGCTGATCCATTAGTTTCACATTGATATCGACGATGGCAATCACGTCGGACACGGACATTCAAGCTCGAGACTTCCGACCTTGCGTTTGACCGAGTAAGCAAATGAACATTGTATTGGCATTTCGCGTTTTGTCCCTTGCTCGGTAGGTAGGTTCTGGCCCGTACCTGGATCCTCGGGGTCGGCGTCGAGAGAGGACCAGGTTCTATGGAATACGTACGTTTGGTCTTTGCTGGGAAGTAATTGGTAGGTCTGGTAGAGATATGGCTCATGGAAGTGAATCAGGTATAAGCCCGCAGAGTACATCCCTTCTTTGATGCGTAGTTCCATGGCTCGCAATTCATGTCGTTGCCGATAGGCCCCTTACGCGTCCTAGCGTACAAGGTAAATGATGTCGGGTTGTTGCCAAGTACAAAGTGCCAACTACAGAGACTTTCCCACAAACAGTTATACCATCATGTCTACCACAATCCTACGAGATCAAGTAGTTGTCCAGGTATGTTTTTTTTTCCCAGTCAGACATGCGATTGATTGAAATCAACCAATGCAGTCCACACAAACAAGGTAAAATTCACGTATTTTGAAACCCTAGCAAACATGGACCAAACATGGACCCGGGGGGTATCAGACGCGAGATATAAGATCTCGTCAGCCCATGTAGATCAAAACAACCAGGAGGCCACCCAGATCCCCCAAACGTGGCTCAAACAAAAAGCGGTAGCTCGCAAGCTCCGAATCCAGAACCCTTCCAATCAAAGCCCAGATCGGACGGAATCGATCAGATTCAACAATCAGAATCAAAAGAATCAAACATGACGCCGTAGCTCATAATCGCATCCAAAGTGTATGGAACCAAGGATCGGAAAACGCTGAAGATAGGAGGCGCGCGAGATGGATAGGAGGTGAAACAAAAGATAAAAAGAGAAGGCGTAGGGCGCAAGAGGTAGGGCGAAAAAAATGGGCAAGGCGAAAAGAACGGATCAAAAGAAAGTCGTCGAAGAGTAATAGTACAATGTTGTCATGTTCCCATAAAAGTAGACACAGCTCAAGAAGGCTTTATCTTGTCAGTTGAGCCCAAACGGTGCTGAGCCATCCGGTCGGGATGCCAATCTCGGATGGACCAGTCTGGGATAAGTGGGACGTGTCGCATCCATCTAAGAATGCCAGGACGTCGTCACCTCCAAGACTGGTCGTCAATAGTAGACTGGTATCAGGTCCATCGGTGGAAGTGAGTGGTGGTGAAGGCGCCAGCTGAGTGACAGTGCCGGGAAGTGGAAGCACAGAGAGGCCGTTCGGGGCGGGAGCGTTGATAGGGGGCAATGAAGAGGAATAGGGAGGGGGAGGTACTGAAGGACGAGACGGCAACCACGAGTTGATGGGCTGTAATCGGTTGGAGGTGGCCGTGAGGTACTGCGAGGGAGATTGAGTGGTGGTGGCGATGCTGGGTAAGCTGGGAGGTGAAGAAGTGTACATCGCTGCGGCTTCTGGATGATGCGGTTGAAGAGACGGCAGCGAATAAGGAGATTGTGAGGGCATCGGTCGAGTACTGGGCAATGGAAGACTGGGGCGGCGGTCCATCTCACGGCCGGGTGGCGGTGGCAGGCCAGGACTGTTGATCGGGACCCAGGATTCGCGACGACCGCCTGCGCCGTCGTAGATCTCACTGCCGTCAAGGTCACTCTTGACCGCATTGCTTCCAGCATCGCTCAAGTTCATCATACGATCTGGCATGGGCTCGCCGTTGATCGCGATCGCGGTACCCGTGTCATCCTCCAGGGAATCGGGAAGTTGGTCTTCAATCGTGCCAAAGTCCAGGAACAACTTTTCCAGAAGCTTGAACTCTTCCAGGCCACCACCAAGTCCACCTTCACGCAGAGGCCGTGCGCCGTTGGAGGCAGCATGATCAGACATGTCGGAGATGCTGTCCAAGCGGTTACGCGAATACCGGCGGAAGTCTCGCTTCACCTTGGAGAAGTAGCTGTGAAGACGGTTCAGCGTTCGGAACCAGCTGTGAGCCATCTTCAGGCGGGGTCGCATCTCTCGCAAGATATCGAGCGCTTTGCGGGCTTGCGCCGCGCCAAGCTGGTGGCTGTCGTGGCTCGCGGGTGGGGATCGAACCCCCATCAGACTCTCAGGATCCATGTGCGGGAAGTGCGAGGCGTAGACACCAATGAAGGCGGCGTTGTAGATGGCAAAGCCCACCAAAGGGTTCTCCACGAGAGCACCCCGGGCCTGGCAGGTCACGACCAGATCGATGATCTGACGAGCAGCCTTGAAGAGCTCTCGCGCACTATCACGCCAGAATCCCTCAGGAGGACCATTCACTTTGTCCGAGGGGAGCAGCGGCTCATCCAAGGGACCGACGGGTTCATTGCACCGGATGGGTAAGAACGGAATATATGCACGATGCAAGACGATGACAGACAAGAAGTAAACCACGTGCATGACAGTGTACGACGCCAGCGTGGTCTTGTACATGAGGTGGGTATCGGTGTTTCGAAGAGAGTACTGCAGATTACGGGAGAGGCTGTCGCGGAAGCCTGTCAACCGCATGCGCAGCGCGGCGAATTGGGACTCGGGGTGCCAGGGCGGATACTGCTCCGTCCGTCGGCCTCCGGCGCACGACCATTTGGCAATGCTTCCCCAGATGCGAATGACGCGGATCACCCGACTCAAAACGGACTCCTCGGCGCCGATCTCCCATCGATCGACATCTTCTTCAGTGGAGTCCTTCCGTCGCGAGACCGGTGACCATGCCTTGCTGTCGGCGACGCCGTTGGCTGCCTGCAGTTTTTCCTCGCCAAATCCACCGATACTCTGCCGGATGCTGGGGATCTGCATCCCCTGGGAGCCGAAGCTTGGTGGGCGTCGGGCCCCGACATCGGTTAACCGAGAGGTGCGTACACGTTCACCAAAGGCAAAGGCATTATCACTGGGGAGCTGAATATCGAGTTCCTTGACTCGAATCATGCGGGGACGATACTTGCCACTGCTCAGACAGCGATCCAACAAGAAGCACGCCCAAAATGTTCGACGCTTCGTCTCCAGGGCGATAATGTCGTCCGAGGTGGGCTCTTTGAGTTCCAGTCGTCGCGACAGGCCAAAGTGGTCGGCCTCGGTCTTGAAGCCGGGTGAGGAGCGCGAGACGTCGGGCAGTGGGAATTCGTTCTCCAGTTCAAAGGGAAGCCCCATGGCCTGGGCGAGTCGGATGGCCATGCCGACATATACCCAGGCACTCTTGCCCCGACACATCCCCCACTCGTGCAGGGCGAGCATCAGTAGCGCTTGTACCCGGGTGAGATCTGCAGAAGCCATGCTGGCGCCTTCCAGGCCGGCCAGCCGGCTGCGCAGAGCCGTCGCATAGTACTCCGAGGCAGCCAACGGATTGGATGGGGTGCCAGGGGCGGATGGAGAATGAAACGCTACGAGAGGAGGGTGAAACCGCGCAGTGAGCGCCAAGACTCCCAAGGGGATCAATGAGGTCGTTGGATCTGTCTTGAGGGACAGGTTCTGCATCGTCTCCTGGGTATCGAAGGATGGGATGGGTGCGGCGAGAGGTGAAGACAATATTCGCGTTTGGCTGAGAAAGGTGGCAGGGTGAAGAAAGGGAAGGAGGGTTACGAAATGGGATTGGAACAGATCGAAGACGGCTTCCCAGACCTTGGGCGTCAAAAGCGATGCATCGAGGGCATCCATGCCCGCCCGGGCTCCCGGCGAGGGGGCCATGCCGATGGATTTGCGGGGGCGTGAGCGCTTGGGGCCATCCCAATCGCCATTGCGGTCGTCCCCTTCTGCCAAACTGGCCAGGTCCCGTTTGCCAGTCACTCCAATGGCCGGGGTAGGATAGACACAGTCTCGACCTGAGGATTCACATGCGCGGCAGGTGGTATCGATGCCGGAGTTGACACATTTGATTTTACTGCGCCGGCACCGGGCACAGGCGATGCTGGAGCGCATGGTGGTTGTGGTGGCAGACCCGCGGGTCTGAGGTCGTCGAAAGAGTGAGCCGACTCGGCAGGACAGTCACGCGGCAGGGCGGCTGGCACGCTCCCATCTACGTAGGTGGAAGGAAGGGGAGGGGAGAGGGGGGAAGGGGGAAGGGGGGGGGGGGGAGAGGTCAATCGGAAGCGACTCCCGAACCCGAGTGATGTCGGCAACAGGCGAGGACGGCGTGCGCGCAAGAGCGTGCGTGCGTGGGCGGGTTTAGGATGACAGTATGGACGAGAGAGGTCGGGGGGGGAGAGATCGTTCACAAGAACAGGAGGAAGTAATGACACCAGGGGAGAAAAGCAAAAAGGTAGGAGGCAACAAGGCGGACGGTCGGAGAAGAGGGTGGTGTCTCAACCTGGACGGGACCCTGAATTTTCGGCGGGAATGTTACCAGACGGGCTCTCTCGGCTATTTTGTGGAGGGAAAGAAGCCGCGTCAGAATTGCATATGCCGAGTGATAGTCGAGAGTCGGTACCGATGAAATTGGCCTGGTTGGGTTCTTGACTGTGTGCAAAGGATGCAGGGAGGTGAGGCGAGAGGAAGCCGTGGAGTCTTTGGGAGCAGGCACAGGAGGGAGAAAGAAAGAGGGCGAGGGAAGAGAAGATGAGAAGATGAGAAGGGATCGAGACGTTTGGAGCAGGGGAGGGAAAAAGTGCGGGAATGAGCGGAGTGTGGGGGAACAGGCAGTCGGGGGAATCGGGGGAGTCGGGGGAGCGGACCGGCAAGGCGAATTGAATTTCTGGGCGGCTTTTTGCACTTTGGGGAAGTACTTCCTGGTCTCTTTTGCTGGGCTCGTTGCTCTGGTCCCGTGCTGGTCCCGTGCTGGTCCCGTGCCCTTTGGGTCGTGGTGGGACTCTTCGGTCGGAGCCTAAGAGGCTCAGAGACCGGGACTACCCTGGAGATGGGGACCGGGGCAGGTACCAAGTGTCCAGCACTCGTTGGATTCCTCTTTTCCTTCACACTCTCCTCTACATAGTTACTACATAGTACATAGTCAGACTGACTAAGGTACTGGAAGTCCAGAGATGGGAAAGGGGTATGGTTCTGTGTGACTTTGACCATCTATGTACCCTATAGTGATACTATGGGTGTGAGGCATTCAAGAATGAAGAAGAAAGTCACGAATCGCTCCCTCAGAGTCTCCCGGAATCACACTGTCTTTTTTGTTTTTCCCCGAATTATCACCACGCTTGAGTATGACAATTGCAACCCCGCCCACGAAAAACGGAGGAACCAGAGACATCAGGGGACAAAAAAGCAAAAGTGGAAAACAAAAAGAGAAAAAAACAAAGAAATGAGAATGAGCCAATAGATTCCAGAAACCGAGAGTATGACCAACGGGTGTTTAGGCTCTCTCCAGGTCAAAGGAGCAGAGTAAGAGAAAAGGCATCCTTTCATTGGATTGGACTACTACTATGACTCTGGTAGTGCTCACTACCAGAGTCACTCGTGCCTGGGCGGATTGGCAGAAATGACCGCACGGCCAAACTACGGCAAATAGCAAGTCGGAAAACCCAAACGGGGAACCGAGGACGTGGCTGGAGCGAATGTGACGGCCGACGGAGGACGGAAGACGGAAGGGAGTGATCTTTATTCAGAAAAATCAGAAAGGGGAGTGTCAGCATTGAAAGACAACCAAGTCATGTTTTGCAGTAGGAGTTAGGTTGTCTCGCATGCTTTAAAAAGGATCTATTGCCGACTATCGACGACTGACAGTGGTCTGTTAACGTATTGACTGTTCACGACGACCAGCTTTGGAGGTTGGCTGCTGGGAAATTTCTGGAGAAGGAGTGGGCAGTGGGCACTGGACATTGGGCACAGAGGAGCCGAACGGGAAAAATGCGGAGGGCAGAGGCCCGAGGCATGCAAGGACGCGAGAATCTGGAGAGATGAGGAAACAACAAGAGTCTGGAGGTCTGGCCGAAAGGGCGAAAAGGACGGGGAGTGGAGCAGGGGGTGGAGCCTCGACGGTAGTACAGTTAACCCTCAACGAGTCAACAGTCCTTTGGAGGGTCGATTGCTTGCCTTTGCTTGCCTTTGCTTGCCTGGGATTTTTCTGTTTCTTTTTCTTGGGTCCTCCCGTTTGGGACACACTCACGGGACCACTCTTGTTCAGGCTGCCTCTTTGGGGTTAGTCTCCCCCAGAGACACACCTACGGCCCCTTCCCAGAGTCCGTCGTGGTACACCACTGGATTATGTGGGATACGCCCATGGTGGAGGTACACTCACGTTTCACACTGCACAAGTGGACAGTGCACATGGTGGGAGTGGAAATCAGTGGGCATGATTCCACTCGCCGGTCACCAGTAACCCGGACCCCCCATCTCGACTGGGTCATGTTCTTCAACTTACCTAACCCCTGGTCCTGTCGCCGCCGATGGTGTTACATAATCGGTCCGGCCGACTGGGCCAATCGAATGGTAGGCAAAGTGCGTGGGATTTTTCCCGCAGTCAGTAGTCGACCAACTGACCAAGTCAGCACATCGGAAAACATGGATGGGGCCGACCGGGTCATCTATAGAGTGGCTGGCTATCACGAGTCACTACTTGTTGGGAGATCTGATTAGAGTGATATGGGGAACAGCAACAAACAATGAGCTCAATTGACGTGAAGGTCACCCCCACAGCAGGTCTAGAAATGCCGGGATAGGCCGATGGTGACAAGATCAACAGCATTCCTCGGGAACTACTCCAATGACGGTCACCACCTGCAGAGGGGGAAATTCCGGGGTAATGTGGTGGCCGCGACCGGGTGAACTTACCGAGGAACAGGCAAACCGCGCGGCAACGACCACTCCAGTGACTGACTGCGTAGCAGCCTTGCTTCCCGACACTCACTCACTGCGTCAGTGCTTACTGCTCGGCGTGATATACCTAAGTACCACCAGACTCATCAAGCTCGCCATGATAGGTACCTAGTATTAAATCAAAAGCATGTCTCTATGTAAAATTTAAAGATTAAGTATACTACAGAGCCATGAACTTTCTGAACCCATTCCCCATTCGTAATAAGGCCGCCAAAAGACGTAAAGTACATGGTGGTAATGTGAAATAGCAGTGTACTGTATGTACCTCGTAGTCGTACTCTCGTAGCACGTATGCGACTTTGAGATTCTCCGCACCTATTCAATACCTGCAGTGAGTGTAGTCAATAGTAGTACTGATGAGCTTGCATGCACCCCCAGGTCCTTCGACACGGCTCATCCTGTGACTATTCGTCCCTTTCACTGTCGACTCCACGCGTGTCTCTCGGTCGCCCATTCACCAAACATACTTTGCTCCCCCTCTTGAACTCAACATAGACACCACGAGCAGCTCAGATCCCCCGTCTCCAGTCATGTGGAACAGCTACCCCGACCCTCTTGTGCTTGTACTTGCTATCTACTCATAGACTAGACTACCACTATCTCACTCATACAGTAGAACTTGGGTCGGACGCCCACACGAATGCATATATACCTAGGGCGAGCCTACGAGGCCACTGGCTCGAAGAGTCTTTACTTCCGGTCCCACACACAACACATGAACACACTACTGACTACACACTACACAGTGAGTACCCGAGGCCATTTGTTTGCTTGTCTAGACCAATGTAAACTCAGCTCCGATAGATCCAACACTGGAAATTGTTTGGTTTGCCGCTCCGGCCAGAATTCAAATCTGGCATGTCCATACTCCCTCCCCCCCCCCCCCCCTCGCTCCAGCTAGGACGTAAATGTCTTTTCGTGTCGCGTCTCGAATCCTCACCGGTACTCTGGGCCTCGCGATCTGACGCATCATCTCCCTAGTTTCCTACAGACTGGGAAGACACATTCACCCCCGCCTTCCCAATTCCACCGAAGCCGCAGCTGCCCAGGACTTCAACCCTGGCCCTCAGTTACACAAAGCGCATGATGAGTCGATCCATGCGGCTGATGCCCGATCGGCAGCCCACTAGTCTGAATCCCGGCACGGCAGGGACAGAAGTCTCTGCCTTGGAAGGGTACATCCCTGGTCGGTCACTGGACGGGCAGCGGGCAGCGGGCAGCGGATAACGAACAACGGACCACAAACCAGTGACCACAGACACGGACCAACAGTGACACCCAGCAACTCACACTCAAGATAAGGTGGGAAACCCACTGGACGGATGGACTGGACTCGGTCTGGGACTCCACAAAGAGTCCACACAGGTAATCTAGCTTTCAAATCCCCATTCTGATCAAGCTCTAGGTCGAGTAGTAGTGACCTGATTTGTCCAGCAGGTGTAACAGGGCCGAGCACCACCTGACTGATGCCCACTTTGTGTAGTTAGTAGCTTCGGTTCATTGTGCTAGATTGTCATTGCCGGATTGGGTCTGTATGATCTAATAGTCCAGCGAAGTGGCAGAGTATGTACTATAAAGTATATACCTAGGCGGATTCATGTGTTCTCTCTTGGCCTACACAAACAATGCACTTGGCTGCCGTGTCTGCGTCACCGGACGAGGGTAGCCCCCATCGTCATGAGCAAGAGAACTCATGTCTTTGTCACAAAGACCTATCGCTTCTGCATGGGATCACAGGTGTAAATTGCTTCCCAGCCGTGACCAACAGCCTCTATCGATGAAATCCCCGGTTTTTCTCAGACTGCCCAGTGCCCATGAACGACCTTAGCCAAACGCCAAACCAAGCCGGTGACAGTGATAGTCCCACCATCTCCGTTAGGCTCCTGCTCTGCCTCACGGTTCATCACCCAAGGAAGATATTTTTGTCGACCCGAGCTGGATAATCCCGGGGTTCCCCGCGGGGACGTGGTTCGGGAATGTGGAGGGGTAAAAGAAATTCGAGCTTAGCCGTAAGCTCGGCTGAGAGGACGTGAACGTGAACGTGAATGTGAATGTGCTTATGTCCCGGGAGATTACTACAGGTCCAGTCTGACATGAACCGCCATGCTTACTCCGGCTCCATGCTATGTCCTAACTCTCCTGGATCGGGAAGTTGATAG